ATCACTACCCAGTAAGTAGCCAGTGTTGATAATCAACAAAATTCTAGGATTATTGTGTGGAAATGACTTTTGCAAATCTTCCGGATATGCGCTATTTTCTTACGCGTACGATTTCTTTGACTGTCGTTGTGCTCAGCCGCAATCTTTGATAATTATTGTATGAACTACTTTGTACAGTTGCCAGAGATCACAATCGCAGATATTGGACCACTAGAGTATAAAAAATCCAGAGTAGATTCTATAGATAGGATACTAACAGATCACATCGCATTTGAACGCTTTTTTTACTGTTATCGTAAAAACAAATTCCAAGGACTTACTCCAAGTGTATTGTACACTGCTTACTCTTAGTGTATTTTATTTGACCGGTACGTTTAATAAAATCCAACTACTGATTTATACTATTCTCGTCCCCCATAATCTATCCCGCAAAAGTATGTAAGGCTTCCAAGTTTGGATGTCAGCCGTGTGTCTGGTGATTTCTATTTCTGCAAATCCTGCAAACTTGGAGCCGGAATGCAGCCACCCTGGAGGCCTCACCACCTTAACAACCAGTTACACAACTAGCACCGTCACATTCGCCAACTTGTTTCGCAACGATTCGGTCAGCGATGCTGAATGGTCGAAAATGATCCCATCCCAACTGTGCGGTCTCGACCGGCACTGGGACAAGCCATCCTATACTGATCCACCCAATACCTACGTCCGTATTTACTGTTACCAGTCCACCGAGAGCAAAGCAGATATCGTCAAAACATTCCAACATTTTCATAACGTTTTTCCCCAGCGCGCTCTGGTCATGGATTTGGGATATGGTAACGATTACCAGCCCATCATCAACGCTGACGTGTTTCAGCCAATCGCCGGTCAGCTGATTGATCTGACCGTCGGGCATGGTCATGCGCTGATTACCCGGCACCTATCGGATGCCGGTCCGTTCAATGTTTTAATAAAACTGGAATTCGAAGACAGCGTTAATATGATTATAAAGAAGCAGGACTTTTCTCGTATGCCACAGATTCGTATGATCATTTTCAGTAAGTGTACGATTGCCTTTATCGAACCGTATACCTTCACCGATCTGGCGCTTTTACGAACACTGGCTTTGGAATACCGTTTAAGCTTTTTGCTTAGCCTTGTAAAGGAGAAGTGTGATACAGGGAATCTTACACAAATTTTATACCGCGACCGGCTACACGTGTCCACCGTTATCGAACAAGTACGCGAACGCCACTGCGGATGCTCCTACACATGGCTGCGGAATCTGTACCGGCGCAAACCATCCCTGATGGAAGAAAGGTCACGAGGAGATGTAGCGGTGATTGGATCATATCACAGTTTTTTTCGCAGTACCCTATTTCGCACCCGACCGAATGCGTACGTCGACTGCGCTGTACCAACCATCACTGAAGATTTTCTGCTTTACGGATTGACTAGTTTTACTGGTTCAGTCACTGTGTATTCTCTCAATGCCACCTGCATCGCCGCAATATGTTAAGTACACTAACTGATGAAGTTAAAACTGTCTCGCAAATGTTAACTACATACATAAAGACTTTTCAGCATTTGTCGGAAGGCAACGCGGTTTAAACAAATGAATGATAAATAAATAAGCCTAAAATCCACAGCTTCAAACAAGTATTAAACGAAGCGAGCTGCGTTTATCTGGATGTTACGTTTACGCTAAATAGTGTACAATCTACAAAAGTTTGTGCTACCGGGATACACTTTAGGCATAGCTGCATTTATATGCAAGATTATGAGTAAAATCTTTTAATTAATAAATACGTACTCGTACTGCACTCTGTCTCTTACCACTAACAGAGGCAAACGAAAACCTACACCGCGACCGCGGGGAAAGTACGGTCTGAGATTTTAAGCGCCAGCCTCCAGGGTTGACAATTTCATTCCTGGCATGCCGTATTTACTGCGATACATAATAATTAAAGTGCACGACTGCTATGTCGTAACATTATGGTTTTAATTGCACTAGAACTGCTCATTTGCGAGCACTAGACTAGATTACTGCATTAGAGAATGCCGTATTGTACTGTACAGGTGCAGCATCTTGTTTTTCTCAATGTTGCTATAATCACAGAGCGTAACAGGTAAGGTCGATAACAATATTTGATATACGTGAAGAAAACTCAATCTAGCGCCCTATAAACGTGTACCCACTGGCCTGCTCTTTATGAAAACGCACATTTTCCCACGCGCGCGTGTCGTACGGTGACAAGTGACAACTACGAACCAACCATTAACGCTGACGCCTTTCAGCCAATCCACGTTCAGGTCTCTGATCTGACCATTCGTTAACTGGTCAACCGCTGATTACGCAGTACCTGTCTGAAGTGTGAGTACTTGTGAAGTGCATGTTCAACAGTCTGGTGGTGCATTTAACTAGCGAAATCAGTATAAATCTGGGTGTAAAAAAACAAGATTTTCGATACAGCCACAAATAAATTCGCATAATAATCTTCAGCTTGTGCACGATTGCGTCCATGGAGCAGTACACGTCTGCCCATCTTGTGCTGCAAAAAAAATCACATGTCAGTTAACGCGGAACAATTACGGGAACGGCATTGCGGATGTTCGTGCTCATGGCTCAGGATTCTGTACAGACGCAAACCGTATCTTATGGAAGACCGGTCGCCTGTCGCCTGGAGATGTGACAGTGATTGCGTCGTATCTGACGCGTCTCATTGGGACGAAGCTGAACACAAGGTCGAATGCGTTCGTCGATTGTGCTGTACCCAGACCGTTAGTGGGCCATGAGAGCTCACGCCCAGTTCGGTTCAAAAATTCGATACTATCGAATACTGTTCCGTAAACGCAGCTTGCGATACTGCCGTATGCTGAATTAATGTTTTACTGAAAATTCCTTTTTTGTGAACACTAGTTTCACACAATGCTACGTGAAAGCGTTGAATCGTTGCGTTGCAGCGGAAGCGTTGTTGAATATGGTTGACTTTCAGAAATTTTGTCGATAATTCCTGAACCGTCGATATTCCTCAACCGTAACTTGCTACAAATTTAAATGACGTTCCGCAGACTTCTGTTACATCTGCACATTCCTTAAATGTTTGCCGGAGAAGGGTAAAACTGTTTCGGAATTAAGCACTTACCGGCATACTACCTACATGACTCATAACATTTCAGAGAAATATATACGGACATTAAAGGACTCCGACACTCTGGACTCCAGAGTTAAACGTACTGTACATTTCGTAGCGTGCAAATGGTCCGCTGTGGCGCTACCAAAGCAAAAGAAATGCGTGCATGGATGAGCGAATATGTAGCTGCAGATTCATCGGACGGTTTATCACGCCAGTTTTTGCGTCTTTTGAGTTTTTGAGTCTTGAGTTTTTGAGTCATTTTGAGTTTTTTAGGCCACTTTATCTGTTTAACATCCGAATTTTCGGCAAATTAGCCGGCGTAAACGGCACATTACAATATTATTGTTACTATTCCTGCTGCTGCAACGTCACTCTTAATTATTCCGTTTTGCATTCCAGTACCTTAATTTGGAGGCCGAATGCAATCGTACACTCCCATTAGCTTCCAGTATAAGCGCATTTCTACAGAGTTTTCGTACCGATTGCCGATTGGGTTAGCGATGTGGAGTGGTCGCAAAATGTTCCATTCACGTTTTGCAGTAGAAGTACGGATCGCAAATGGGGCCGGAGATATGCCGAAGCCGAACCATCTCATACATTCGTCCGCATCACCTGTGGTACAAAGCACAAAGAGACTAAGGCGGATTTCGTCCACATCTTCAACCACTTCCATCGGAATTTTCCCCGGTACGCGCTGGTTTTGCACTTGGTGTACCATGACGCTTACCAATCAGTCATTAATTCCCACGTTTTCCAGCCCATCCGTGACCAAATAATTGATCTGACCATTCGCTGTATATGGTCAACCGCGCATCACGCAGCACGTTTGGCATTTAGTGGGGTTGACCTTTGAGCTCAGTGTTAATTTGGTCATATCCTGACAAGATTTCTTCGACACGCCGCAAATTCTTACCAGCATATTCAGGGAGGTACCATTACCTACATTGTACCGCATACATTTACGGTGATTTACCCATCTCGCGCTGTCGTGTAGCACCATCTAGATGACGTCGTGCTGCGAGTGAGGATCGACCATGCGGATGGGCTCCGAGAAAACCTTAAGTTGGCATTTGGCAACTATCACCAGAGCGATTCGTGAGTGACATTGCGGGTGATATTACACTTGCCTTAGGAACGTGTATAAACGCAAGCCGGATCTAATTCGGGAATGGTCACCTGGGAAAGTATCAGTGATTGGGAAAGTTTTTAAGAAACAACTGTTGCTCTTTAAGATACGAGTACATAGTACTACGAACAGTAAAAAGTGATTTCTTGAATTATGTCCGGCGTATATCGTATTAGGCAGCGAGTAGGCACCGTACGCGTCTTGCAGTTCGCATAAACCAGACAGAACATTTTCATTTAGCGCATATGTAAAGGTCCACAGCAGTATTAGAGAAATGCGTACACTGCACAGTAAACCTATCCGTTTGTTTTTTATAAGCGACACATTAAAGATCTACTAAACGGTTGAAAAAAAGTTGCTTTTTCCTTTCGAAAGCTGCTAATTAAGTAATTACACCGGCTCGTATATTATCGTTATCACGTCTTGATGCTCATACACACTTCTTACGCTTGTTATTGCGGTAGCTACAGCGGGCTTCAGCACTTATCCTACAAATTGAAGGAGATAAATGCGGTTGGTTTGAGTTCTCACGCTGTCCTGAACACAGACACAGCAAACTGCGTGCACTGTACAGTTTATGTTTAACACAGACAAATTGCCACTGGTAAAATATCTGCTGGAAGCAGTTGTGCGAAATTATAACAGTGACCTGACGAAAAAAGCTGGGAGGCTAGCAGTTTGTTGCAGGAACAAAATAACACAACCAAAACACAGGTAGCCAATGTATTCCACATACTAAGACGAGTAAGCATTGCACGTACAATACGAAGTACAATACTGCGCCAGTAAATTGCGAATTAGCCCACAGCTATCGTAAAACACTGCTCACAGTTAATTTCCCAAAGGGCCGCAGTATTATGCTTCGCATTACATGTATATGACTTTAAAAATCCACCAGCAACAAACGAATTTTATGGAATTGAGTCGTTTGAACATTTCCTCTGTAAAACCCACGGGATAACTGGAAGATGGCGCGTTGGCAGATTAACACCATACTTGCAGATTTTGCAATGGGGCTTCTGCTCTGTATCCATCTTATGCTGATATGCTTAACAGGTACTAATAATCATTAAGCAGGTAGTCATCCCAGTGATTTAAATTTTGGCAACTATTGTTTTTACTGGATTTGTAATTTTCAGTTGCGGCAAGCTCTTCTGTATTTCCCGATAAACTGGAACCAGAATGCGGCAATATACTGAACATGACAATTGCTGTAACCGAAAGCCGAAATATTACATTCGCTCGTTCTTTTCGCAGCGATCCAGTTAGTAATGCTGAATGGTCCCAAGTAAATGAAATAATCCGCACAAAATTGTGCGGCGGGGACCGTTATTGGGATTTGACGTCCACCGCTCATCCCAACAAATACGTCCGCGTGTACTGCTCCAAACAAAATGAAAGCCAAACGGAATTCGCTAATCTTTTCCAACACCTTCACAACATCTTCCCGCTACGCGCGCTGGTTCTGCATGTATCGTACGACAACGATTACCAGCCAATCATCAACTCCGCCGTCTTCCAGCCAATCCGCGATCGGCTGATTGATTTGACCATCCGCCGTGGTCAACCGTTGGTCACACAGTACCTTGGCGGTGTGGGCGTGTTCAGCAGTTTAATACGATTGACCATTGAAGACAGTATCAGTCTGAACATCAGCAAAGAAGATTTTTCTCGAATGCCACAGATACGAATGATTATCGTACGATAGCCTTTAATGGCTGTACGATAGCCTTTATTGAACCGTACACTTTCACTGATCTGGCGCTGTTACAAACGCTGGTCCTAGAATACCATTTGGGGTTTCTAATTCGGAATTCGGAAGACGAGGAGAAAGGGCTATCAAAGTATCGGTTGTACCGGCAACAGCCGAATCTGTCGGTCATCGTCGCACAAGTGCGGGAACGCCACTGTGCTTGTTCGTACACCTGGCTCAGGAACCTGTACAGGCGCAAACCGGATCTTATGCGTGAAAGGCCAAGAGGATAGGTAGCGGTGATTGGATCGTACCTTCCTCTTTTTGTCTCGCGAGGATATTTTACGATACGACCAAATGCGTATATTGACTGCGCAGTGCCAACTACCGGTGAATACTTAAAGAGCATCGGATTGGACAGCGATTCAGGACCACTTACAATCTATTCCGTTAATACGACTTGCAACAGGTTGGATTGCTGAACTGAATTTCCAAATACACTTACTGCAAGTATGTAATAAACAAGCTTATTTTTTGTCATGCCAGATATATATGGACATTTGTTCAATAGTTGCTTGTAGCGAAAAACGATTCCAAAGTACAAAGCAGTAGTAAATCCGTGTACAGATACGTTACGAGTTATAAGGTACTTCTAGATTTTTTCTGTTATATTGTTGAACCATGGTGCGCAATAAATACTACAACAATCGAATTGATAACAAAATGAGCACAGAAACAATCAAATTCATTTTGGCATTCTTAGGAAAATCAGGAGCTAGTGAGGTATGTCAGAACCCAAATAACATCAAAGAAGTGGGACTGATAAACAAGCAGAAATGCTGATTAAGGTGTGGCGACTGTTTATTAGATCACTAAAATACATTTTTTGCGCTTGCTATTGTAACTGCCGAAATGCAAAAGCTCAAAGCCAAGACAACTGGGCTGGAAGGTAGGTTAAATCCGGAATTGCAAAAATTTGTATTGCACAGGAACATGTCAGCCGACAGGGCCGCTCCTATGCGAGACGTGCTGGCGGGTATCTGGTAGCAATCGCGTTTAACTTTGGCATCTGTAGAAGTAAATTTAGTCCGTAAGTTTAAGTACAGTATATAATATCTGTCTGCTTAATAAATCAACACTGAGTGCAGAGTACAGCTGAAGATTCAGACCTAATTATTTGTAAACGTACGTTATAAATGACATATCGCTGATTCGCTAGACTTACGCTGACTGGAAGTATCTGCGTGATTGGAGGTGGTCACTTCTTTCATGCACCGGGCATTTGGGCCATCACCACAGTCCACAGTCCTCATTTTTGTCGTGTTAACGGGATCTAGGCAGCGTTTATCAATATCATTAACGGTTGCCTCGCACTGCCAGCACGAAAGACCGTTTGCATCTAGAAAAGAACACAGTAATAATCTGTATGCAGAAACTTACAATAATTGTATTGTATTGTTGAATTAAAATTATAAGGACAATTTTCATAATATACTATCATAATGATTGTAATCGAAGCAGTAATCATCCGCAATTGTGACCTTTACGCTATAAGTATAACTTCGAGGTACAGAAATGCGCGGAAAATCTTTGACTTACAGTGAAAGGAAATAGCCATGAACACCACAACGGAACCAGCAAAACATAATAGGTTCTTTTGCTGCATTTCGATATCCGTTTGTTAACTTGTGCCAGACGAAATAAAATTCTCGGACAACTTGTGGAGGATATGATCACTTAAAAAATACTCACAACGTTTAACAAGAGTTTCTGTAGCTTACGCTTACGATGCTGCTCGATAAAAATTTTGAAATGCACTAAATATTTTTGTGGCACACACCTTTTTGTATTTATACTCGTATCAGCGGCGCGTTTACGTTGACGGGCTAAGCGCAATGTGTCAAGGCTGAGTCAACTTACACAGAATGCATAATTGTGTATAGATTTATGATAAGGGATTTTCTAACTCACAGCGTTGGGGAACATTCTTCCGATCCCGGCCTATTGACTTTAGTCACCTAACCATCAGAATACACGAGGCATGTCAATAATTTATTTTTACGACATGTTACTCAAATGTATAACGGCATCATGCATCAGTGGATCAAAATCAACCGGTAATCCGTTTACAGCCGGTGTTAACACTTAACACGATTGGTGTACATCCATTTTCTCGCACATTTACAGTACTTAATATTTGTTCTGATTTCAGATTAGTGATTATGGGCGAATGCAGGTATGACTAATACTCGATAGTTAAATACTGCAGTATTATCCTATCACTTGGATTTTTCGTACCGGCCGGCTAGAAATATTGAAATTTTTCCACATTATAGTGTTGCTTAAATTTATAGACTTGAATTGTGGAAATTATGCACCAGTAGAAGTGGTTGCAAAATACTTAATCGTTGTAAAATAACATCATTTAGATCACGCCTTTCTGTGAACAAATAATGTACAATTACCATTTATGTTTTTGCGGTTTAAATATTAACACAGTCAGAATAAGCCGAACCTCTTACTTACGCAATTTCAAATACCCATTTAAATTAAAGGCAGAATTATTTATTGTACATTATTGCATGATACGGAAGTACGCAATACCGATCAGCTTATTCAAAAATTGAAAATAATAAAAAGCACACTTGGTCACTGATCTATTCCTGGTATTTTTAAGTATACAAACAATATCATATCTGCATGTTGAAATGCAAGTAGTATAATAACCAAGGTATTATTAATCCAAGGCCTAAAGAAACAGTAAGGCACGGCATTCGTAAGGAAGAACTTGACGATCCGGCATGTCCACTGCCACGTGTGTCACCGATGGGATAGCCACCGCCTCCGGTGTACGTGAAGCAGTTCCGGTTATCGGTCGCCACAAGAAATCGCCGACTCCGACAGAATTCTGCTCCGGTGGGATACAGCATTCCCACTAAATCACCTAAAATGTTTTGCAATATATGTAAACGTTGTATTACAGACATCTAAAACGCAGGTATCGAATTCGGCTTATGGGTAGCCGTGTGACTTTTCTATCTGAGTGCAACCAGATAATAGTAAATACGCATTTTTTTACCTTTTAATCTGGCGTCTTTGCAGGCGTCCAGCACAGTGTTACAAAATGAACCACACATGATGAGCTGATGCCATCCATTGAAATAAAAAATGTGTTGTGCTGAAAAAAGCAGAAGTGTTAGTACTGTAAGATTCTAGATTTATTTTATTATTCACAATTTCACATTATCTCCGTATTATTAATATGCGTAATAACCGTATATTAGCAGGAGTAAATTAAAATATCTGATGCAGTATTGCATTTGTAATTTTTACAATTAGGAAAGCAAACAGTTCGGGCTTCTTGGCGGCTTTCGCACTAGTATAAATTCGTTTGGAACTATAAATTCGCGCTGTGTCTAGATTATAAATTAATTCTGTGTCTAGATTATAATTATAAAGATTCGCCATTATAAATCTGATCTGCTCGGTCTGCACTCTGCCTAAACGTTAGCCAACATATCCCAAGCCAATTAGAAATGCAGCTCTAAAAATTTTTCTTAGCTAATGGGCGGATAATCTATTACGTACTTACGTATATTCTGTCTCATATTTTGCCATCAATTTAAAACTATTTACAGACTGTACTATTTAAAATTTTCTGGCACTGTCTGTGTAGAAGAACACATTCTGGAGATATCTCATGCACTCAGCGCCTATAATACATCTATAATACATACACAAATCGTGAAAATGCGCCGCTGCCATGATCAACCGGTGATCGGGTCAAATTGAGCGTTTTATTGCCCTTTAATGGTTCATTGAAAGTGACCTGTTTAAATTTTGCATGCACACTGGGGAATCGATAATATGCAACATCAATTACTAATAACTGTAATTTTGCGAGAATCAATCTACACCGTTTTCACATCGTTACACGCAATAAGTGCAGCACCAACTTTTTGTGTATAGTGTATACCCGGTCCGCGCCCTTAAACATGCCACGAATACAACAAAAACGGGGAGATCGTAAACAGCCGACAATAATGCTGAATGTATGACATCAGCCAGTATATATTCTGACGTTTACGATTATATTCGTATTTCGTATTACTAAGGCGCTGCTGCACGACCGGCGCATATTGACAATTCAACTTTCTGTATGCCCAGGTATTGCAGAATGGCAGTATAGTTCTGTAGTAATATACCGGTCATGCATGCAATTTCTGGATGGAAATGTAAAAATGGAAATGGGCTAATTCCCTGACTGCACAATGGTAAACACATAATACCGTATATATCAGAAAATCAAACTGTGATCGATATTGAACAATGCCGGTTACATGTGTTTCACCGGATCTCTGTCGCTCACTTCCATTTCAAAAAGGTTCTACCGTCTACGTGTACTTCTAGAAAATCGAGGTGCTCTAAATATCGAACATTTTAAAGGTAATTAATAAACTTTGATCAATATTACTTGGCTTGAGCACTGAACCGGTCGAACAAGAGTTGTGTGTGCATGACAAAGTTTGTTGGAAACTATATATCAAGTTGTATGCAGCTTTTTCCGGAAAAATAGAGCTTTTTTCTTCAAAGAAGTATCTGTAATACCTGAATTTTGTTTAAATCTCTTTATAGTTTGAGTAACTAAATCAGTTTCTTTTTAAATAATGCATTTTAAAAATTTCTTTACAAAAGACATATTAATTTTTAAAAAACTGTTGCAGAGATAACTGAACGTGTGCAATCCTGTTTTCAAATCAGCTGTTGTGCACATGTAATTACGCTGCAACTTGAGCGTTATTATACATGTTGTGCTGTATTTTCAGACCAAGAAGAGCGGTACAGAAGCCCTGCGCATATGGAGTTGTAACGTAATAATTGGGTTAATTATCCCAGTTTAACCCTTACTTGGATCGCAGACCCAACAAATCATGTAATTGAGCTGCCGTATACAGTTGTCCGATGCTCCTTGCAAGGGTTTAACTTTCTTAAAGATGGACTCCAGCTCTCCTTGCCGGCAGCAAGCATTCTGCAAAAACATACATCAATATACTTATTTAGGCTAATTTTTACGTCAACAACTGCAGAACGCCCCGCGACCGCCAACTACAAGAAATACATTCTGTTGTCTTGTTTCTAACAAATCCGCAACCTATACCGCCTATGGTACTTAAAAGCACCAAAAGATAATACGAGTATTTATTGTAGATAGACACATGTACAAAATTTTCCCGCCTACGCGTAAGTACTTTGTGTGAACCTCGATATGCACAAAAAATGTGTTATTTTTATTAGATGTACATCCATCTTTTTTTTATTTTTTAAGAATATTAGGTTAGCGATCTAACTATGAACAAGCCTACCAAACATATGTCAACGGAGAGAACAGCAATGTTTTTTGTAATAAACGCTTGTAAGCCGATTAACACCTAATGTAATTCCAAGCTTAAGTACACAAAGTATCGTACACTGCAACGGCTGCGGTTGTATTAGGAGTTAGGTCCAGATTACATTACCAGAAAAAACATCTTAATGTACTAAAGGCCCTAAGCAATAAAAGGGTTTCGTGATTCCGGATTCGATCGATACACGGAGCAATTAGAAGATTTTTATATCCGACTGTGTTGCGAATGCTACAACCAGATACATAGAATACTTGTAGTGAAACTTTTCGTTGCGAAATGTAGGATATGTACGCGCAATACTACATTATTAATTTTAGTCAAATAATAATAATGTACAGGCAATTAATATTGCCAAAATACAAGTACACACAATGCATGCAGAGCACGGGATATGAGGGATCTTAACTTTTCTTATTATCAAATATCCTTTCTTTCTTAAATTTCACTCGGTATTACAAATGCACCACGGTGTCATATCGCAGAATTATTTTATTTTGAACTGATTACATGTTTAACAAGCACAAATGCATTGTTTTATTAAATCTAGCTTCCAATAAGCCAATTTTTAGATAGTAATACTACTACTAATATTATAGAACAGATTAAATTAATTGGATCTACTTTATGTAGACTAATTTCAAAAGACATCGCAATAAATTATGATGATTAATGGATCGCAATTTGCAAGTCTCGAACTGCACACGAAAGGCTTTTTTACAGATACCGTTACTGTAACGCAGTAAAAAAGCAGTAGCAGAAGCATCCAATAAATATGCCAGCGTCGGTGTTTTTTTACCTCTGTTAATTTATTCAGTTCCCCGCTACCTACGAATACCCTGTAACGCATACGACAGCTTGTTTGAAGTTGTTAGTTAAGATTTAAGATCATGGCGTAAGTCTGACTTGTCAATGGCACACATTACATTACATTTATTGCTTTACAATTTTTCATTCCGCGCTTATGTTTGCAAAATGATTAGGTTTAAAATTTCTGTTGCTTTAGTGCTGGCGCATAGTTTTGGAAGACCGAACGATCAGTAATTATACCGGTATGGTATTAAGCTCCAAAACGAAAAAAAATTATTTTTTTGTAAATGGGCATTCATTCTAGCAACCTACTTAACTGTTTCTTTTGGCTTTTGTGTACTATCAGTGAGCATAAACTAAGTATTACCTTTACATTTGCAGATTCCAGTATATTATTTGAGATAAAATACAAAGTTGATTAAGGTTAAGAAAGAAACTACTATGATCAATTGACGGATAGAAATAGGTGTACTAAAAATAACGAATTTTTACAGCTAAAGAGATGCATGGTGTACGTAGCGATAAGGCAGAACAAACCAGCCATATCTATATAATTAATGTTATGTTATAAAGATAGCTCCAGCTATGAAAAAATGATTTAAGGTGAATTATTTAAGCAAAATTGTGGTTTTTTACCTCTCTATACCAAGTACAATTGCGTAATCCCGGTTGTCGTTGTGGACTGCGATTATCAAAGAACGGACAGAAGGGTTTATCAACTTTAAGTGGCGCAAAGAGATGAGTAAATCCAAACTTGTAGGGATTAATCGTTTCCGCTTTATCGTTGTCATAATACTCAAAATCAATAGCGTACACCGTAAATACGCTCAGGCACAGGAAATTAGCCGTTAGCTGTACCGAATAGGTATGCGTATAAATATGCAGCATGGTGCGGGAGGAGTGCAATTGCGACAGTGATTGTTCAAAAATGTAATCAACTGTTCCTGGTTACATCAGCTGTATTGTTACAGCATTCCTCTACCGGCATCTTTACTCCCGGCATCTCAAAGTTTCCGGCAGCACGCATGACCGCATAACAAAGACAAAATGGATGTGCATTACGCTGGTAAAGAAATACAGTCTTATATGTAGACAAATGAACATATATATCTGACAACGCTTAGCGAATGGCCAATGATCGGTTCCGTCGGGATTATTTGATTAAGACCGGAAGTATGCACGTCTCTATATATACAGAATATGTATGTAAACCGGCGCGAGCGCGCGCTCGCATATACACGATACAGGAGCCAACTTTCTCCCGAATCGAACCGGCATCCAGGGGCATCACTATCCGTTAATTTACCCCTTATTCACGACAGGGTACGCTTTAAACTGTATATATGGACAGAACAAGATTGCCATGTGTATAAGTATGAAGAATGGAGAATATTCTGATTGATGTGCCTGCCATCGGTTGCGCTGGACGCGGGAGCGTCGGCTTAATCAGTACCAATGACTGCGACATGCATATGTGTCTCCTTCTACTATGTATGCCAAATGTGCGCGTCCCGAAAAAAGTGCGCGCCTATATGTGTCGCACTAAGCAGCCAGCGATGAATCGCGGAATTGTCGATTTATTGAATTAAAATAAAAAATCGATTTTTGCAATTTATATAAATGTACGATACAATGTCCTTGTAGAACGGATGATGTTTTCTATGATGCTTGCAAATGAACTATCGCGCACACAATTAATTTGGCTAGGAAAATTGCCCCGGAAGTTTAGTTGAAAGATTTATTCCAAGGCGTACATATATGCATCCGCTTCGATTTTTTTTCTAAATTTTGTAGCCGGCGTTAGGGTTTTATTTATAGTACCAAAACGCTGGCGTGTTTACCATCTTAAATTCTACCGGATTGCACGATCATTACCGGTCAAATCAATATACGGTGTTGTTTGATTTAGGGAGCGTAAAGTGGGAGAAAAACGTATGGTGAACAATTTGTCGCATTCAGTTAACAGTGTGTAACGAGTATAAATTTCCACCATACCAAGCAAACACTCGAGACTATACTTATCGAAGGAACACTTTCAATGGTCTAACCAATTCTTTAGGGAAGAGCAGGTAAAAGGAGAGTACAAAAACCCATTCGCTCGGCGCATGCACAAGAGGACAATCACCAGCCGGGTAATATTGCGTAACCAACTGCATACATTACCGGAGACAATTTTTACCGGTACAGTATACTATTACGACACAGAAAAATTTTATGTGTATAAAGTTTTATCTAGCCGATTTCGCTGCGGCGTTGGCACTGGGTTTTCCAGGTTGTGTATTACTTCCGCTCTGCGCTGGGGCTGTATTTTGGCTAACAGCCGTGTTGCCGGTATTGAGCAATCGTGCATCCCGGCTACTGCTGGCGGATGCGGGCTGTAGATCATTAGCATCGTTATTACCGGGTGCACTGCTCCCGGCGGGGCCACCCGTGTCCCCGCTGGACTGGGGCAGGCCACTTAGCGCGGAAATGTAACCTTTAGGTGGAGTGTCAAATAGCGGCTGCTCGCCGTGATACAGACGGGAATTGCCAAATTCATAGAAGCGGCTTGATCTGCAAAAGAAAAAATTCGTAATAAGCTTCTTCATTAATACATGACTATAGTACTTACTTTTAGCGAATGCTTGCGGTAAACGGTAAACGCACAATTGCGGTTCAAAGCTGTATGTGCAAGTACTTTTACAGAGTACAAAACGTGTGACAATTGCATAAATTAAGGTGCAGTACCGTAAAATTGTATGCATGCTGCTTGTACATTATTATGTCCAAACCAGTTTACCTTCAATGCTTTACATATATCACGTTTTAGAAGTCACTCGGAATACCGATTAAACCAACTGCTAACAGAATATCACTAGCAAATCAGCACTGTAGATTCCAATTCCCAAATAGTCAAGCCAGCACAGCGTGAAGTAGAATATTGTTTCTAAATTTTTCGAATTAATATCTCTAGAAATATAGCCGATTTAATTGCACTCGTACTGCTCGAATACGTATAGCTGTATCCGTGCACCAAATTCTAAATGAAAACTTATGTTTTAAGACGAGTTAATTATGGATTTTTGCAGACAGTACTCATGATATTTAGATTGAGTAAATGAGTGAATACCACAGACTACAAAATCCAATGTAAAGTTTTTAACTAAAAATTAAAAAAAGAGCCACCAACAAATTTCATGTACAAATTAGGTACGCACATAGCATCTGCATATAAAACAGATTTACGCCGATGGTGATGTTATTTTTCAGTCGTCAAGAATTTGACTGCTTTACGCGTTGTGCATGTTAAGTAATACTAATCTCATTCCGGAAGTCGGCACAAGTTTGTCACAATTACCCGTTGCAATCCACATTAAAATAATAATCGCACGTTAAGGTCAGCTGATTGAACAGTGTGGAATTCGGGCATAGGAATCCAGTCTGGTTGCCATTGATTTCACACCGGTAAAAAGCCTGACACCGTGATCCCGGTGATGTATCGGCATAATATCCCGGATACTTGAATTGACCACAACTGAATCCGGTATTGGGTACACTGTGCAGTAGCGGAAATGTCTCGCCCGGTTTGGCAGCAATCAGAATGTCAACAACACCATCCGGATCCAGAGGCGGAGTATTTAAATACATATCAAAAACATATTTACCGTTCGTGCTGTTGCTGTCCGACTGCGACCAGCACACACCGATCAGCAGGGAAAACACTATAAAAACCTTTTCCATATTGTAATAATGACGCCGGATTGATTGTACAAACGCTGATACAGATCAAAATTAAACGGTGTTATGTGCGTCGGTAATCACAACAATTTTACGCTATTCTTGAACAATTTTTTTCGGTACTAACGGGTATAAATAGAAAGCACGATGCTTTTATTTCAGATCCGGAATTTCTTGTACGGTAATATATGTGCATAATTTATTATAGACCGTTTCCCGGCAAATCTGGGCGCATTTACTTATATTGTACGCAGTGCGGGCGTTACGTTGGTTAATTGGCGCTGAAACCAGTTCCGGACATAGTGTGGTTAATGTAGAATATTTGGAGCATACTTGTAAAATCATTAGCGTATAAAATGTGTATTGTCAGAAATTCCTGTTGATGGAAATTTTAACGCTATTAAAATGTATGGCATTGTATGTGCATAATTATTGCTGGCGTGCTACTCTAAAACTCATTACGAAATACATTTTCATCTCTGCACTAGACCATGCGGTACAACAATTTCCTAGCAAACACTTTTGTGGTAGACTTCCATTCATGGAAGATTAATTTTTGAATTATTATTATAAGAGCAAATCGAGGTTTTGCTAATGAGTTAACTCGTATTCGCAGAAATTGCAATGGCATTTTTGCATTTTTGGCATTGCCATTTTTTTGCGAATATTAAAATAGGGTTTCGTATATTTGATGTTGCATTTGTGGTACACCGTACACATTCCCCTGGTGCAGAAAAAGCATTTGCTTAATCGTAAAGAAATTTACAGACTCTTGGCGTTGCCCATACTAAACTGAGAAATTTTCTACGTACATGTACTAACTGTATTTAAAAACTGGATGACACTATAGCCACCCCAAACACCACACCGCGGTTTCTTATAGCCACCCCTTTTCCACACCCCGTTAATTGTAGGCACCCTTTTTTAATTAATTTTATTTTAAGAACACCCTGTATTTTATAGGCACCCTTCTGACAGTTAATTAAATATGCAATCTAAGAGATCCAGAGATCCAAACTTTTTTGTTTAAAATTGTCTTTTGCCTATTGGAAAGGTCATAAGTAGCAGAAGTTTGAAGTTTGCTGGCATCGGTGAAATATGAAATTCATAAAAACTTTCGATTCCGAAAAATGGGCAGGAAAATTGGTGTCTATAAAAACCGCAAACCGGGTTTTCTGCCTGTACAAACCGGGTTATAAAAACCGGGTTTTCTGTCTGTACAAACCGTTGTTATTAATTTTAACTAATTGTAAAAGCGAGTGCCTGTAATTAACGGGGTGCAAAAAGGGGTGTTTTTAAAAACGGGGGTGAAAAGGGGTGGCTATAGTGATTTCCTTAATAATTTCGCAAAATCACTGTGCACAGAATAATTTAAAAAGCGAAAGTCTATGAGTAAATAAAGTCTACAATTGCAAGTGACTTAGGTAACTATTTTCTGAACGCTGACTGCGGTACGAAATACCATACGTAATTATCTGGTTACTTTAATTCACAACTGATCGGATATTTCCGTCTCAACGGAGTAAGTGACTTAATTGTTGTATAAAGAAATACACTACTGAAGCACATAAAGAAATACAGTACCGAAACAATTCCATGAAAACGATCCAAACCAATCGAACTACACGTACGTACCAATACAACACATAAAAGATTTAAACCCTTCGGCACACATTGCAGCCAGTGAACCACATATTTACAAAACGCATTCACAAAAAATTCAGAGACCAGAAAACGTTTCCGCTTCAAAAAAAGCAGAAAATACAGAATCTTATGAGACATCTCACAGGCGCAGCCGACTACACATCACTCTCCAGTGTGCTATCAAGGTCCTCAGCGGCATCCCTGGCGGCCTTTTTCTCCTCTTTGTTCTCGTCGTCAAAAACAACCTTGTCACGCAGCAGACGATTTTTTTTAATCCACACATCCTTAAGTAAAGTTTCCAGTGGCAAACGATCTTTTCCTTCTTCCTGCAACCAAACTACACCTTAAAATTAGAAAACCCATGTAAAAGTTTTTCTAAATTAGAATTCGTTGTGATTAACCGGACTTATTGTTCAAAAACGTCATCCAACCAAAACTTTACAGAAAAGTAAAATCGTGGTGGAAATACAAATCCGAAACGGAAAAGCTAAATTAAGGCTACCGGGAAACGTTAAGTAACATCTAAAATTTAAAAATGTCAAAAAAACGAAGACCGAGAAAAGATTTCACAATAATACAAGCGAAATGGGAGAGCGGAAACGAAAACAAAATGTTGCAAGCGCATAACCGTATCACATTGTAGAAATCTAAAATCAAACCAGTTAGCGAAATTTTTTAGGCTATTAATTAAACCGTGCTGAAGAAAATAAGTGTGCCGAAATAAACCAGCCATGAACGCCACAATCTGTACCTTCAACATCGCGGTAATAAGGCGAGCCGGATCAGCCGGGACATACTCTGGAATCTGGTATTTACAGGTGCGAATTTTATTGTGAGTCTCCTTTATAAGCTCCTGCTCACTGCGGACCTTCCCGTGGGGTTTGGTCTCGAACGGCGGACTGCCCACCATGAATTCGTACAGTAGGATCCCGGTGCACCAGATATCAATGCTGGCATCGTACGGCACGCGCTTGACCAGCTCCGGCGCCAGATAGTCCGTGGTGCCGCAGACGGTACGGCGTTTGGAGGATGGGGCATGCGCTGACCACCCGAAATCCGCCAGCTTCAACTCACCATACCCGCCCAGCAGCAGATTCTCCGGTTTGATATCACGGTGGATAATGTTGCGGCTGTGGCAGTAGATCAAAGCTTCACATAATTCCGCTACATACTGCGATAAGAAAATCAAAATTATTCAAATCTAAAGCGAATAACCAATAGTAAAATTAAATCAAGCTTGCAACAAGGAACCACGAAAACTTTCCTTCATAATTTCGATATTTTAACTGTTTCATTACGGTAGCAGGCAGCCCATTTAAAACTGCTGCGTTCCACTCTGTACTGTTCTACTAATTGTTATTTATTTACTTTACAGGCGCTTATAAATTCCTTTTTATATAAAGTGATACAAATGACTGCATCATGATGGAACAATTACTTAACTTATTACTTACACCGTCGAATTCCCACAATCTTCACTGTTAGTTCAATATTTCTATCGCAGAACTCCGTTGAATAAGTTGCACAAATTTGTTAATACGATACACTATAAAATTTTTAAGTAAAATTAATTCATTTTCAACGAGAAGATCCCCTAGTCACTGCCCTTGACCGATCGCGAGTAGTTACTTACCGAGGCACTATCAGGCTCATTGAAATGGCCCATCCGCATCAGCCGCTTGAACAGTTCCCCATTGGGCGCGTATTCCAAAACCAGATAGACACTCACGTTATCCCAAAAGCAGCCGTACATCTGCAGGATATTGGGATGTTTGATGCGGGCGTTGATCTCAATTTCCCGTCGCAAATTCTGCTCCACATGGTTCTCCAGCAGGCTCTTCTTGAACAGCACCTTCAGCGCCACGATAAACTGCTCCTTCTTGGTGCGAGCCAGATACACCCGTCCAAAAGCGCCACGACCCAGCGGACGACCAATCTCGTAATCCTTTATGGATGCGTTATGAAATACTTTCGTCATTTTGAAATGTCTGATGACAGACATTAATCACAACAAAAATTTCCACGCAAATTCACGCCTGTTCAATGCAAAACTGGAGAGTGGAGAGTCTCTGCATAGCAGAAAAGTCCATCAAAACAATGAAAGCATTCGCAACTCAGCATTGCGCAAGTGATCAGTGTGATTAAAATCACCCGTCGACTGGATTCAATAGTGCACATGCGCCGCCATATGCACGATTGCGCGATGGTAATTAAGGACGCCTGTTGGCTCGGTTCCAATTTACACGGGTTCCAGCCTGCATGGATTCCATAACCAGCACAAATGGATTTCCAGTTTTATCCCATCGTAGCCGCGCCCATGGCCAGCGCCCACGTGCGCAGTGCGCATGCCCAGTGCCCACGTCGTCGTGGTGGTGGTATGACTTCAGAACTTTTACAATCCGAAAGTTTTTCGCAAATACAGTATGCTAAAAATTTTTAATAACTCAAATTTCTCAAAATATAATTCTTTCCTTTCAAGTTTGATTCGCTTCTTTAACTGTGACACAGTGGCATATGGAAATTAATTGCTGTGCAGACATTTTATTGAGCAACTGTTTTGTGATTTGACAGCTGATACTATTGAAAATCGATTACTGTACTTACTTTTTCCATGGGCGCTAATGACAAAGCCAGCTGCCGCACTATCGACGTCGCATAGCGCAGTTCTCTAATCTTCCCCGAAAAAGCCTATCGTACTACGAGTCTACGGCCACTAGGCCCTTGCCATTTACTACATATACCTCTGTGTTGTGGATTTATGATAGAAGTGGATGTTACGTGTTGGAAGATGTCTCGTAGAATTTAGTCGCCCTTTCCCAATGCCCACCCACTCTCCCATGTGCTTTGACAGCACGCTGAAGGATATCGACGGTGCTCGCTCCTGTTTTCCATCGAAACGGCCCTGTCGGGAGACCTGCCCCTGCACGGCCTGCAGCATCATCTGCGCCGCCCCGTCCTTCCCACATCGGACAGTGTCGTGTCGTAATCGTCGTCACAGTGAATGTACCTACGGATCGGGATTATTCCCCATCGCATCGGAAAGTTTCGATGATGAGGGATTTGATCGGAACAGTCTGGGTTCCGATTACGATGGGGACGTTTTGGGTAGGAGATTTTCCTATGATTTGGATGATATTCAGGATGCCATAGAGGTATTGCGTCCTGCGCCACGCTTAACTACTCGCTCGATATCTACACCGACACCGCACCATACTCCCGTGGCGAAATTTCTTTCGCCTTCCCTTAAAGCGTATAAAGATGGGCCATCGGATACGGAATTCGTTATACTGCTGGATGATGAGGAAGTGCCCATTGAATCCTGCGGATGGGAGGAGCAGATGTTGGTCGATAGGATACCCGAGTAAGTTTTACGATAAATCGTAAAACTGTTGAATCGTCTTTTCGCCACTTGTGACTTATCGTTATAGTCTAACTGATTAATCACTCGGAACTCAGTTGGAGCTTTGGCTAATAGCAGTCAAACAGATTAGCAGGGCGTGAGCTAATTATAGGTTGTTTAAAAGATGAATATAGTGCGAAGAATTTTTATTTTAAAAATTTTCATAATTTATGAACCAGTAAATGTAATTTTTTTGGGGCCACTGTGTTTATCGCGTGCTTTTTATGTTATTAACGATATATCAAGCTGCTGCAGATCTGGAAATGTGCATGTTGCCAAAACAACATTAGATTAAATTAGTTTGAAAATAAAATCTTTTGGTGTAAATAGTTTCCTTAATTTTCTCTAATTATTTTGTCAGTCTGTATTCTGTAAGTGGATAACTTCAAAATCATCGACTTGGTTTGCAGGGTTATGTGTACGGATCGCATTACGGTCCGGGATTTCGACGACGGATCTGTTCTGGTTAACGATTTCTTCATGAAGCCGGATAGCGATCTGGGATGTGGATCGTTTTGTTCGTTTCGTTTATCATCCTGCATTGCAAATCATGGGCATTATGCCCTAAAGTTGGTGTCCAAAACGAAAGCGAAGAAAAATTCCATGTTATTCAAGTAAGCAGTTGACCCTCGTTCTATTAATAAAAAATCGATTATCAGCGAAATCTTCTTTCCAAGTACATACTTCTTTGGATTTCGCTGATGCATATCTTATTCGACTTGTTTACACTTTTTGCTTTTTACTGATTCGAGTGTAGTTTAATCGGGAATCGAGTCGTATTGTAAAACATTAAGTTAGAATTTCTTTTTCATGTTTGATTACTCGTTTCAGACAATCGAAAAACCCTTTTCTAAACATCGAGAGGGAAACAGCGATATTGAAAAAAATCAAACACCCCAACATTGTCAAACTCTTCGAGATTATGGACGATCCAGAAGAAGACAATTTGTATTTTGTATTCGAATACATTGATCGTGGATGTATTTTAACCATACCGTCGGGTAAGCGTATTCTGTGTGCTCATACCACCGGAAAATTCCCGTGGTTAATTATTTTTCCGCTTGTTAGAGGAACTGCTCGATGGACTAATTGTAGCGGCTTAGTGAATCTAAATTAATGCGCGTGCCAAAATGCAGCCTAATACACGTGCACTGGTGTATTTTTAGATTCTCCTTTGAAAGAATCCGTGGCCATATCGTACATGCGCGATGTAAGTGTTGCAGTGGTTTTGCATCCTGTATTAAATTAAACTGTACGAGAAAATCCCATTTTGATTTGGGCAACACAATTGAGAATCGATGTTTTACGATAATCTTAATTGACCTGATTGAAAGTTGACCTAGTTAGACCTGTGATTTAAGTTGTTCCGGTAATTAAACACGCTATTTCTGAAATTCCCGAGGAAACCTTCGTTGTTTTGGTACGGATATTATTGATTTCTTTTGCTCACGCGAGTGTGGGTTCGTTTTGTTGCTGTTGCGTTCGTTAAGTACTGAATTTATATATTATATGTATAAGTATAGTAGGTGGGGTTTGTCAGAGCTTTGTTTTGAGATCGGGTGGCCTTTGATATTTCGGAAGGCCCTACGTTGTGTGAATTAGTATCTAAAAATAAAGATTGTTGGTTCGTATGCCACTTTTAAACCATACCGCAACAGAATTCCAAGTGCTCTTCATATATTTTGTCATTCGGCGTATGAAGAAATTTTTTTCCAGGCGTTGTATGGCGTAGAATATCTGCATTCCAAGAATATCATTCATCGTGATCTCAAACCGGAGAACATGCTGCTGAATTCCTTTGGGAGAGTGAAGTTAATCGATTTTGGATTAAGTTTCGTCCATGAAGAGGGAAATGACACCACTCGTCTACCCTACGGTACACCGGCCTTTACCGCTCCTGAATGCCTTGATGAGGAACTACCGGAAGGCTATTCCGCGCCAATCATGGAGATGTGGGCGTTGGGTGTCACTTTGTTCGCTCTACTATTTGGACATGTGCCTTTCTACCACGACAACCTTTACGAACTCTACCGGATGATCCAGGAAGACCGCGTTGTTATTCCCAGCACAACGAGCTGTCATGTTTCCCTCAATGCCCGCTCTTTGCTTAAAGGGTGAGAGTGGAGCTGTTTAATTTGTATAAAGACCCTTAATTGTAAAATCACTGCACTTTCAATAGAAGTTAGTTGTGTGGACGTGTGTTTCCCTGGATGATTGTGCACGTAACGATCCTTGTAGCAGTGTATTTTAATTTCTAAGTACTTGTCATTAGTTGGCTTCATAGTCTCAGTAGGTAATCATTAACTCGATAATTTGCTCCCGATCAAACAAATCCTGAGTGTAAAGTACAATGGTACAGACTACTATAAAGTAGGCTATGCACGTATGAAAATGCATTTGGCATTGGTTCATACTTTTTTTATCTGACGCGGTTTTTAATTTCCCTAATTCAACCATAATTGTTGCGGCTTTGGATTTTTATCTTTCCCATTTGTTGTTTTAGAATGCTGGATAAGAACGTGGACGAACGCTTAAAACTTAAGGACATTTTGTACGAGGAACCAGTTTGTTTCGCACTGCTGCTCGGTGATCAATCGCTCATCCATGGTTTCATTATTTAGGTCTACGACGGTTTTTCTCTGGAAACATTCCTGTGGCTATTTACCGGAACCTTGTAAACCCTGCAAGTATTACCGGTTGAAGCATCGGGCTGCTCGATCTCGGTAGAATGTGCACTCTTGCCTCCGAGACAAATTCCACCGGTTTATTTAAATTGGATCTTCACTTTAATCCCATCTTACCGGGATGCTTGTTTTGTAGATATTGGTTTATAATAATTGCGTTATAAACGGTTGTGAAAGTATTAGTATGGTTTGACATGACTTGTAATTAGGATTTCTTTTGTAATGTGGATTTCTTTGGCTTGATTTTGAAACGTTTTAGCATTTTTCAGATCTGAATGATTTTTTTGACCAAAGTTGAAACGGCTGACTTTATTATTATGATTAGCGGTATGTGCAGATAGTCTGTAGACTGTTCTACACTGTTGCACATTGTACATTTTTGTTTAGTCGTGTGCATAGAAAATTTTGAGTTGTTTCAGACATTCATTAGACTTACTTGTAAAGTATATAGTATTATTGATTTAAAAGATTGGTAAAACGTCTTCAGTTCGATCGTTTTGTTTTGGCATCGCCGCATTATAACATGACCTCGCAAAGATAACCTTTGGAGTTTAGATTCAAGAATACCAAACCAAATACTAATTGGTCTGCACGAAATCGCCAAAAATATCGTTACAATTTGCAGGTGGAATTTTTAAAACTGGCGATAAGCAGGAGCAATTCTGAACACCGATCGATCATACCGTTTTGTTACAGAGCCGTTTAAACTTCGGAGCGAGAGGATGTTGTAGCACAGATCAGTTACGTCTCTCAGACTGGAAGAGCCTAATGAAAGTACGAGAAAATTTTTGCCGACGTCAGCAAGAAAATTCGTATGCTGTATCAGAACAACCAGCGTCGTTTATTATTACTGTATTTAGTGTATTAGATTGTTAAAGGAGCAAATTCACGCGTACAGTAGCTCTGTAAGTGACTTCCTGTTGTTATTAACGGGGACCAAGGAACGGTTGGTACCGACAAAAGAATGTGACTGTTTATTTTTTTTTGTTTAATGATTTTACTTTATACCAACAACTGTGTAAATCCTAAATTGATGGTACGACCACCGTGGTACGACTACGAATGCACTTTTGCTCGCATTCAGATTTTCCATCCATTTAGATCATTTAAGTACTTACGTACTGTATCTTTAGTAGTACAGTTCTCAGAACCCAGCAAATTGGGATTCCGAATATTAACAGAATTAGAAGAATAATTGTTTAAATGATTCTATTAAAAGTAATAATAATTTTTAGTATTATTTCTCGTGCTCTGGACTTGAAAAGTATTTAACTTACGTTGTAATTTAATTTTTTCGCTAATTAGACCATAGCTGACTGCAAAAGTTATCTTTCCCATGCAGTGCGATTGGAGCTGAACGATCTGACATGCCAAATGCGTAGTTTCAAATTTGGCGATCTTCTCGTGAAAGTTCATTTTGTTCATATTTGATTGTTATTTCTTTCGAAACTGATAATTTTGACTGATAATTTAATTTGCTCCTTCTTATTTCCTTCTGAAAGCTACAGATTAAGGAGAAACCAAGTGATCAGCGTACGGCAGGTTATCTGCATGGGGTGGGACAATACGTAAATCGGTGTGTCCACCAATGGCTGTCTTTAGCAATGCGGATTGGCTAGAGCATGTATCAAGGCGGATTGGCTGTACTGAGCTACTGAGATAGCTAATAGAGTAATCCTAGCGTAACTTTCACACTTCCTGTAATTGACACGCACTCGGACCCTGTAAGTCGCACGCTCCGCCCCTCTGTTAAAGATACGTTTGCGTAGGGCGTGAGATTACGTCATCATACTACCCGCCTGGCGTAGCTGGGTTTTGGGGCCGCTTTCGATTTTAGCACAGGTCGTACAAGGCTTGTACTTTCTGTGTTTTTACGGTAAACCGTAAAAATTTTAGCCTTCATAGGTTTTCGAGTTTCTATAACACTTTAATACTGTTTTTGGATAACTATTTGTTTTAAAGATATTACCATAAGAAAAGTCTGGAAAGATACCATTTTTTGACAACCTTACATTACAGTACTGAATAATCTGACCCTGTTCTGAGATCTGGCATCGATTTCTTTACCCATAACGATGCGGATAACCGATTAAACTGGCAGATGCTGCACGCTGCTGGTTCAGCCTAGTTGTAATCTTATATAAGTAAGATTACCAACAAGCTTGCCCTCCTTCTCGGATAATAATTTCTCTACTACAAAGTGCATCACTACTTGTACACCTTGGACCCACTATTATCGGAGGTCGGATGTAACCAGCATTCTCTTTCCTAACTGGCACACGCTCCACAATGTGCTTCGATAGCCCCGTGCAGGACGTGGACGGCGATCGCGTGCATTATCCACCAAAGCGAGCCTGCAGCGATGGCTGCAACTGCAATGAAACCTGCACCACCACCACCACTGCTCCTTCCATGTGTGAAGGCTGTGCATGTCGCACCGTCCCTTTTCGTAATCACGGGGAATCAGGCTACGAATCCGTAGAATCGGGATCATCCCAGCCTGTTGAACTGCGCTGGGATAGCGACGAAGTGGAAGGGGATTTCGATGCAGAGGTGGATGGTGTGGATTTTGATGAGGATTTTGAAGGTGTCGGGGATGGTGCGGAGGAGACGCAGCATTCTCCTTTGAAATTGTCCGCGCGGGATTCTTGTTCCTCACCCACGCCTCATGCCCATGTGGCGAAATTCCTCTGCCCGCGTTTTAAGGCGTACGAGGATGCGCCGTCCGATACGGAGATCTTTACGGGACCGACGGAAACCGCGGATGTGCCCATTGAAACATGTGGATGGGAGGTGCAGATTTTTGTCGATAGGAAGCCTGAGTAAGTTTTTTCTTTGATTTGTTTTTTTTTTATTTTTTTATTTATTTTGTTACATTTTAGCTGCCTTTGGTAATTACGTAGTTTGCCAATTTTCTGATTATTCGAGTCAGTAAAACGAAGTTGTACTGGCACAGTACAAAATACCATTAAGATTTAAGAACAATTGAAAGGGAATTTAAAGAATTTACGTTTCGGAAATATTAAGTAACCCAGCAAATATATTTGCTCTGAGCGTACGGATTACGATTTTTGCTTATATAACAATCTTTGTCAGTAGTTATGTGCAGTGCTTATGGACCTTAAATTCACGCACTGGAGACGACAGTAGAAATTTCTGCAAATCATTTTGAGCTATTAACGATTAGCACAGTAATATTGAAATTGGTACTTAAAAATTCTGATGCGAATTCGAGAATGCAACAATATTTTCTCGTTGTCTGTGTTGTGAGAAATTCGATAGGCTGTTGCCGCAGTTTTGCATCTTTTAGCTGTTGATAGGTGAAGTGCAGTTGTGGAATTACGTATATTTGCAGGGTGATTTGTACGGATCATATTGTGGTCCGCGATGCTGACGACGGATCTATTCAGATTAACGATTTCCTTATTGAGCCGGATAGCGATTTGGGATGTGGATCGTTTTGTACATTTCGTGTGGCGTCCTGTGTGAAAGATCATGGGTTATACGCCATAAAGTCCATTTCTAAAAGAAGAGCGCAGAAAAATTCCATGCTGTTCAAGTAAGCGTCGCATTCGATAAATTCCAAAAATTTTTGATACGTTCGTTATTCCATTTGAATTTGTAAGTACCAACTGTTTTATGTACTTATGCTTTCTATTGGCGATGGCGTAAGAGTATTTGATTAGGTTTATGGTTTACCTTACTCCTTGTCAGGAAGTTATCTCATTCATGTGTACGGTCTTTATTGCAGTGCCTATAATACAGTACTAGTTTAAGGCATATTTTCGTAACCGTATGATTTCAGGCAGTCAAAAAATCCTTTTCTAAACATCGAGAGAGAAACATCGATACTAAAGAAAATTAACCATCCCAACATTGTCAAACTCTTCGAGATTATGGACGATCCGGACGAAGACAACATGTATTTCGTATTCGAATACATGGATCGTGGTTGCATATTATCTATTCCGACTGGTAAATACGTTAAAGTTGCAGTTCTTTCTTTCACTAACATAGACCGCTGAACCAGTCTTGTTCGCGGAATCGTACGCTCGACTGTAACCGGAATCGGAACCGTGTTACAGAAAACAAGGAATAACTGAAGTACTTTCCTGCGTTTGTAGATACTCCATTGCAGGAGACAGTGGCCATGTCGTGCATGCGCGACGTAAGTTCTAAACCAATTGGATTACTGAAATTACCAATTCCATATTTGGGTGGATTTCAAAGGGCCGTTTAAATTTCTGTCAGCACTTCTTATGTTTTGATACTTCTACTTCGCTGAAACTGATTGTGAGAAATTATTCTACCAGGTGCTGTACGGCGTGGAATATCTGCATTCAAAGAATATCATCCATCGTGATCTCAAACCGGAGAATATGCTACTGAATTCCTTCGGGAGAGTGAAGTTAATCGATTTTGGATTGAGTTTCATCCATGAGGAGGGAAATGACACCACTCGTCTACCCTACGGTACACCGTCGTTTACCGCTCCGGAATGTCTGGATGACGAAATAACGGAAGGTTATTCCGCGGTGGCCATGGAGATGTGGGCGCTGGGTGTCACTTTATTTGCACTACTTTTTGGAAATGTGCCTTTCAGTCACGATAACCTTTACGAACTCTACCGGATGATCCAGGAGGAACCGGTTGTTATCCCCACCAAAACATGCTGCCATATTTCCCTGAACGTCCGTGCTCTGCTTAAAGGGTGAGAAATGTTTTTTCTCTCGATGCTGTAGCCCGTTGCAGTTGTGAACTTTCGCAACTCGTAATCATTGTACAAATTTATGGTACTGTAATTCTCTTGCATGTGCTAAAATTCATAGCTGTATGTTGAATGTTTATATTGGTGAATTGGTTAATATCGACGCATTATGTTGGCTTATTAAGACATTTTTGGAGCCTTGACATCGAGCGATCGTTGTTGTAATTCGTCTAGAATGTTGGAGAAGAACGTCAAAGAGCGCCTAAAACTGAAGGAGATCATGTCTTCTACGGTTTTTCTTTGGAAGAATTCCGCCCATTACCTTCCGGAACGTTGCAAAACCTGCCAGTATTACAGTCCTAAATCGTGCCACCCAGTTGCGGTATGATCGCACTCCATACATAGTTCCGTGGCCGTATTCCGGTGTGTTGGGATTACGCTTCTGGGTATTCCAGTCTTTCGAAGGGTCAATATGACCCATATAAATAAACAGTTTGTGACAGCATTAATTATTGATTAACAAATTACAGCACCTTTAATTAACGCCTGTTTAACTTGCTTTTGCAATCTTTTAGCTTTTATTTCTTGTCTCGTTATAATCTTGTCAGTTCAATTTGACTTTTTTGAGTCATGCATTGCCGCTCTACAATACTATAATTTTTACGCTTGTCCGGACATCATGGTGTGCTTAATAAATATTATGTACAGTAATTCTGGATACACGGACACGTTACTGAATGAATAAAAGAACGATTCAAAATTTGCAGGGACATATTTGTATATGATCCCGCAAATAGAACCTTAAATCGGGATTTGGGTACACCAGTCAAAATACGAATATTACAATGTAACAACTGCGTTTCTACTGACACACTGTCGTTATCCGAGTTGACAATGGCATCCGTAAAACAGGATGAATTTCAGCATTATTATTTTTTGTAGCTTTGTAAACGCATCTGCAAATAATGTGCAACAGGCGCAGCACAACCGTAAAATCAGATAGATATAATTATAATTTGCGACCAACAGTGTTAAACTACAAAAACGGTGATAAAAAACAACCTTAACTCAATCACGATGAATTAAACTCAAGACGGTACAACTTTTGCGGATGCCTCATACGAGCAGATTTGTCTAGTCATCAGAAAAATCATCATCGGCTGCAACACCGTAATAAACAACAGCGCCCATATCCGGCGTTTATGTCCAGCTTGATCAGCACGGGTCACTTCTGGTAAGATGTAGACTTTTAAAGACCGTAACTGAAAATAAAAATTAACAAGCTTGAAGAAGACGACTAATCATAACCTGCTTTAGGAGATCAAGAATTCACTCCACGGGGGCAACCAGTCCCGGAAAATGTATTGCAACTGTGTTGAACAGCAAGGTGTCAAAAGAAAAAAAATACTGTACTTACAAAAAACCATATAATCGCCACTGCCGCATAAATTAGAGCGATGCGGTAGCCGAACTGCTTGAGAAACAACGCCGAGATAGCGCAAGCAACCATCCTGCAAAACAATAAAGCAAACAATTTACAAGAATACACTTATCATTTACTGAAGCAGCAAGGATTTACTGAAACTCACCAGTCAGATAAAATTACATTCTTTCGGTCTAAGCAGTTTTAAGAAAAAGAAACACTTTTTCAGAACTCAACGATGGTAGAACCTTTTCTTAAACAGATTTATGGTTCTTAAATATTCTGTGAAAAAAAAACCGAGAACGCATTTCTGAATTTGATTTACAGTAACAGAAAGACTGCTAAAAAGCATAGAAATAGTTTTCGAACAAAGCTAAAAGTGAACTTCGCTGTAAAAAATGAATGTCAAGTTACAAACAGCATGATACTTACCCCACATATTTGTAACCGGAAAAGGCCAAAAGATGCAGAAACCGCAAATTCGATGAAATGCTGGTGATGTAGAATGTAATCAAAATCAGCAGGATTTCCACGACCAGATATGCTAAACTTTCACTGGCTTGCATCCCAAGATGTTCCGGCGTAAACCTTAAAGAAACATTTGTCATCCAGAGCACACATTTCAGAACGAAAAGATCCTGCCACACCGATTCTGCGTTCCCAGCAAAATTCCCGTACTTAAGATGTACGTTACGAAGGCCATGGAGGGAATATACAGATCTGGCGCGTTGGGTTCTTCACGCGGGGCCACACACTGACTCGGCGGAAATTTAATGGACCAGTCCTAAAATAAATATCAATCAATGCGCACGTTATTAAATAAATAAATAAATATTAATGCATATGTTATTTTCTAATTAAAAAATAAACAGAAATACTTACGCGCACAAAGAAAGGCATAACCAACACGAATAATTTCCGAATGACGTACTGGGTGTCCACGGCGAAGTAAAAGCGCAGGGTAGAGATGGAAATCCATTTTTCTAACTGTACAACAATATAAATTTTATAATCAAGACGATGAAACAGGAGTCAAAGATATTGCTGACATTTTGGTTAACGATTTCTTTGCCTTGTCCGGCCAAAGTTTGTCCGTACGCCAATGCAACATTAGCCAAGGGATCAGCAAAATACGCTGGGGCTTGACTGGGAAAACCCGTAGGAAATCCATAACCACCGGGCTGAGCAGGAGGAGGCTGATAATATTGCTCTGAAAAATGCGAAAGATTATGTATACTTCATACTGCAATATGTTTCGACGAAGAACACGTTTACATACTAATATCATATTCTCAAATGATATATTTATTTGTACCAGGCACAGTTTTTCTAAATCAGATTAGAAAAATCAAGCAGATTAATTTTCAAATACTTTTTTTAAAGACTTCACGACAGTATACGACTCTGTATGAAATCTGTAACAGTAATACGTTGAAAATAATAATAAAAATCAAAAATTCCTCGCGTTTCTCAAGTAATGCAGTTATCAAAGTGACTAATATTTATCAGACTAATAAACATTAGTCACTTTGCAGTTATGCATGGCAGCTATTTCATTACGGGCGTTTTCTCGCCACTTACGATAGTCAGGCGGCATCCCTGGCATCATCTGCGGCTGACCGTAGGGCATTCCCGCCGGAGACATACCCGGATAAGACGGTACGGGCTGATTCGCCGTTAAAGGAAACTGCGGCGATGATGTGGCCGCTGTGCTGGATCTCTGCTTCTTGGGCTTCGTGGAATGTCTGTGGCTGGATGTCTTCGCTGCCACCGGCGCCGCATCGATGGCTATACACAGAAAATATTAATTAGGCATTTTCTCACATCGGTTAAGTACAATATAGGTTTCAATGATGGGAACAGCAACGTACGCTCCCATCCTGATGACGGAGCATCCATGGTTCAAGCTGTGAAGTACGCAGGCACTGGAGCGCGCAGAAACGCGGATAAATACTGTGAGCCGATGGTTCAGGCGTTTTCGACAATCGCGTGTCAGGAACGACACAGTATCAGACAGTTAGGAACTTAGGAACGAAGCTATACAAATTAAAAACTATAACACTTTTCGAGATTTTCATAAAATGGCTAGACTTAAATTCACTAGCATCCGCAGTTGTTTACTCGGCGGAAAGGGAAGTCACAAAAATACTTAGATGTTCGGTGATAAGCACCGAGCGTAATGAGGGTAACCCAAGGGGCATTGGAGGTCTCCTGATCGTTGTCATAACCAACCGCCCGCTACTGCGCGTTTGATTTTGGTTCGTAACGTTGCACGAGAAAGTGCAAAATTTTTTGAAGTTTTCCATTTTTATGCGTTTCTAACGGATTGTTCGCGGTCTTGTTGTTATTTTTTTAAAAGACAATTTTTAAATATTTTTTGTTGTTTTCTGTACTACGGAAAAATTAAGTGGAGACAGATCTGTGAACTTTGAATTGATATTTATTTATCGGTTTGTCGAGGGTGCTCTTTCTTTTCCGGAGATGTTGGCCTCTTGTTGTAAATCGGCTGTGCTGACGAGAAACCAGCTTCCAGGCCGTGCTTTGATCCAGTGCCGTCACAAATACAAGAAAAAATGGGTACTTATATAAATCTTTAACCTTCCGCAGAAATCCGCGCATTGATGTTTTTCCGCTGAGACGTCGACTGCTTGTATTGTAGGCTGAAACACGGCGAAGCAATGCCCCTGTTGATTTGGCGATTGACGCTTTTGACGGCATGTACGGGAACGGATTGTACGAGCGCCAGTGGCCTTCCATCCGTCTGGCACTCCTTTCCTTGCCCAAATACTGTGCCGTCATCAATAATTTCAGTGGTCGTCGGGATGAAGTGCAGGCCAGACTGGTTGAATTGGGAGCGATGCCGTTGGAAACTTTGGTGCGGAAGGTGCAGCCGCCCCACGCTACCGTAGCAGCTCATAGCGGCGATAGTGATGCTGCAGCAGACAGTGCAAAAAGTGTCTCAACAGCGGCATCGGATGATCGACCGTCGGATGTTAATGACAGATTACGGAGTTTAGCCGGTATTGCAAATCAGGAAAATGCTGGCGAGGAAGCAGCGGCCGAGGAAGATGCGGAATTTATGCCCGCCACGAAATTCGTGGAGGAGACCATTGAACCGCCGCCGATGCGCATCGATTTGTCATCCATCGAGCGTAGTCAGCATCCCGTGGTGCAGGATGAATTTCCCCCGAGTATACCGTATTTCCTGAAAGTGCTGGTGTTTCCACGCGGGGATGTCACGCGGTTCCCGGCTCCTAAAAAGGATCTGAGTGGATTCCATGGTAGGACTATGCTGTACTTGACAAAATTTTTGTATGTTCTTTATTTTTATTGTAGGCGATATTTCTAAAAAGTTTCCGACTTCATTACGGTTGCAGTTTGTCTTTCATTTTGAAATTATTTCATGGTGGGGTCAGTTTAAGTGGAATTTCTTTGATTGTCCTTCTTTGTCTTTATGTTAAACGATATTTCTGCGACGTTTTTTGCTTTTTTTGGGTTGTGGCTGATTTGTCGTTTCTGAAATGTTTTAAATGCTGTTTTTCAAGCTTTGGGTTTTGCATGTTTATTTTGCATCCGTAACCTGGCGTTGTTTTCTAACTCGGTCAAATAGCAACGTTGATTTCTTTTAGCGGTATATCTGTGCGTCTTTATAATACGGCGTCTTTACCATACATCGTTTTATTTTTTTTACTTTCGTAGAATACTACCTTATGGATGCCGCCTCACTACTTCCGGTGATCGCTTTAGGCCTCCGTCCAGGTGATATTGTATATGACATGTGCGCGGCTCCAGGTGGAAAATCCCTAACCATGCTGCAAACATTATTGCCAGGTAGTTTGTTAAAGTTTTATTTTAGAATGAGTTTTAAAAGTACTGATATAGATATACTTGTTGCGTTGAGACGCTCGAACCGGCGTTGTTGGTGATGAGTTAAACTGTTAGGACATTTGACGTGCAATGATGTCTCGGAGTCGAGAACGAAGCGCCTGAGCAAAGTACTGCAGGATTTTTTCCCACTGGACACCGCCGAGATGCCGTGCCGCGTGCAGATAACGAATCACGACGGCGCATGGTACTACAGTGAGGCCGATGATAAACCCGATCGGATACTGGTGGATGCGCCGTGCACGAATGATCGTGTTTCCTGTACAGAAAATGAGAACAATATGTTTACGAGTCGGCGTACCGCCGATCGCAATGCGGCTCCGCAGCGACAGCTGGAGCTTTTGATGTTAGTAATTGGAGATGTACTAATAACTAACAATGTAAATGTTGTAATGTAACTAATCGGAAGACGCCTACATATTTTGATGGTGTTTTTTTACCGGTATGTAAATGTTTGCTGAATGTGTTCGATTTGTCTTTCCCAGCTATTCGATGCCTTTATGCTTCCATTTGAAGGACGTGCTTGACGCTTGTATATCCAGTAGTTTATTAATTAAAATGCATATTTTAAAAAACGTTACCGGTAGGCCGAAAATTTCAATCCGCGACGGTACAACTCTTGCAGTAATGTATGTGTAGGTCGATTTCGTGCTTGTAGAAAATTTATTGAGATTTTATGAATATTGAATTACAAAATCTCTTACGACGTTTTTGCCTTATCCGCTGTGAGCGGTAATATCAAAAGGGATTTTTGAGAATTCTATTGCTGATTATTGTTTTATTTTACTAGATGTGTGTTTATTGTAGGTGCGCCTGTGATGGTGTGAAAGTTGGTGGCACGGTGGTCTATTCTACGTGTTCACTATCGCCGGTACAAAATGATGGTGTGGTGCATCTGGCCATTACCGAACTGGAGCGGTTACACAAGATTAAAATGGCGGTTGTGGATACTTCTCCTTTTCGGGAAATCTTTAATCGTGTGTTTCGCTTTTTGAACACTGGCAGTGTGTACGGCCAAACGATATTGCCTTTTGTTCCGAATAATTTTGGTCCCATGTACTTTTCTAAATTGCTCAGGCTTCAGTAAAAATTATTTCCAGTAGTTTGAAGCTGTTTTTGACAACGGGATTTCTTCAGCTGATTCCCCGTTTAATGCTTTCGATTTGACGCTGACTTACGTTATCTGGTGGTCGAAATAAAAAAATATATACAAGGATACAATAAGCATGTTCGTATGCTAAAAGGCACAATCAGCAAGGCCATTTTCCCTGCTGCATGTGCCGTCAGTGGCCCGTCACTACTATGTACAGTTTACAGTACTAGCATTTTACAGTTCAGTAACACTAATAAAAACTCAATAAAAATCCGACCAGATCATCCAGAGCCGCAAATTCCAATTCGAATACAGCGTCCAGTATACGAATTATCAAAGCAAACCCCAGTACTAGTCCAACAATGAAACGAAAACGCGCATCAACATAAAGGTTCTGGCCGTGCGCAGGATTAAGCTGGAAACAGGCTGAACGGTTCAAAGCTGGAATAAGTGAAGCTGTGCGGTCTTCAGTTGAAAAGGGAAGGTGCACCGTGACTGCGGAATATCTGTGCTTGTAGACGGCCAGCATTTCGCTTGGAGATAATAAACCAGTCTGCATAAACGGTAAAGTATGTAAAAAAGTATGCGAGGGTAAAGCAGAGGATCACAACAAGAATTATTTTGCATCGACTCTAAATCGCACATTAAGGACAGAACATCAATGCAACCAGCTTCTTCACCGACCTGGACGGGACCATTAGCCAGTTCACTGTCGGTCATTAACGGAAACCTAACATCGTACAGCGCTGCATCCAGACACCGACGGCGATTGCACGCGCTTGGCTCCACATTATTCCGCTTGCAAGCCTCTACAGCCCACCTGCATAATAAAGCAAATAATGACAATTCATTGGAAATTGAGTAACGAATACTTTAACTTCATACTTTTCCACAGCTTGGTAAATTTTGTTTTCATCGGCGATAAACTACTACGCTGCAGGATTCTGTGCAGTGTGTCAACTCCAGTTTCACTGAACTCATCCGAGCGCAGAATCGCATCGCTGAATGCATCCACTAAGAGCAAGCATTTCTCCATAACATCAGCAACACAGGCGTACTTCCAGCATTTAATCTGTTAATGTAGATATAACAGACACTTTATGCAGTTAAATGGCGGCTTTGCGTGAATCCCAAACTAACATTGTCCAGATACATCAAGCAGTTGCCGGCGTTCAGCTGGCTGCTGACAAAGTTCATGCAGCATTCCAGCAGCCGCGGCAGGTTGTACTTGTCCGCGCAGTAAATGGTGGCGAACAGATTATCTGACTTCAGGTCATCTGCATCCACCACACCAGTGTACACGAAGCTAAAGATTCGAAGAAAACCGTCAATCAAATGCTATTCTTTTGACCACGTATTCGCGGTGAGAAGATCGGACAAAATTTCACGCCCACCTTAACATGTTGGCAAATGCTACAGGCATGATTTCGGGGATATCAATGGGATCCTCTCCGCTCTCAGGCAAAGCTCCGTTGAACATCCTATCGAAAACGTCGCTATGCAAAGTCAATATCCACCTGCAAAAAATCCAATCAAGGTATGCATTCCGAGGGAGAGCTCTCGACTCCACGCACAAATCGCCCACAAACATGCAGCACTCCATAATCAGATGCAACCTACTTGTGAGCTCGGAAGATCTTCGCATCGCCATACTGATGCCCGACAGCAAACCGAACGTCGCTCTTCTCTCCGCTGTCCAAGACTTGTTTCCAAAAGTTCGACAATCCATCACGGGAAGCCGATGGCGCAGATTGTGCATCCATGGCTGCAGAAAAATATATCGGAAATAAGAACTAGTTCACCAAGTTTCTGAATTACCGTATACAGAAGAAAAACTTTGGTGGAAAAAGTCGCCAACACAACTTTCAATAGAGCACATCTGATTCAATGCCGTATTAGCGGGATATGAAAAAGAATCAGGTCTGTTGGTGGCATTGTGTTTACTGTAAACTCTACGACAACAGTAAACAGTTTACACAATGGTATTGCAGACCAAGGGAGGGGATGTGCAAGATGCCACAAAATGGAATAAATACAATTATTTGAGAATTCTTTTGCTGATTATGTTTTTATTTTACTGGATGTATGTTTATTGTAGGCGCGCCTGTGATGGTGTGAAAATTGGCGGCACTGTCATCTATTCCACATGTTCACTATCGCCGGTACAAAATGACGGTGTGGTGCACTTGGCCATCTATACCGAACTGGAGCGGTTACACAAGATTAAAATAGCCGTTGTGGATACTTCTCCTTTTCGGGGAGTCTTTAATCGTGTGTTTCGCTTTTCGAACACTGGCAGTGTGTACGGCCAAACGATATTGCCTTTTGTTCCGAATAATTTTGGTCCCATGTACTTTTCTAAATTGTTCAGGATTCTATAAAAATATATTTGAAACGGTGGTGTTTGACAGTAGCATTTTGCTAGCGAATTCCCCGCCGGTGCGTCGGATTCGACGGTTGTTTACAGTTTATATCGTCCGCTGGTCGAATTTTATGATAAACAGAATGCGTAAAAACGTACATAATGAATGGTCCTGTAAGGATGTTTCCGGATTTGGAATCTTCGGATAAATTCCAACCCTGCACTCTGTAGTTGAGTACTGAATATTATACTAATATTCAGTAGTATCAGTACTCAACTACAGAGTGCAGGGTTAGAATTTATCCGAATTATATAGTTTGCGAAAGCAGTAGTATTCAGTGAATACTGCTTTCGCAAACTATATAATCTAGTTGTATAGAAGTATAACTAGTTCTATTGTGCCCAGTCCCTTCTCATGTAAATTGGGACAAATTCTTCATTTGATTATAATTTTTGAGCGAAGCTCGCTTTGTACATATTGAGAAATAAAATAAGATTAGTTCTACTATCTATATGATTCTTCTCATATCATGTGACGTGAGGTTACTGCTGTCATAAGTGCCACGTGGATCCAGCTGTTTCAACACGCAGTTAAAGGTCTTATGTTGCTAAAAATGAAATGGAAATTAGGTTGTTTTTTGCTTCAAATAAATACACTGCCGAAAATGGATATCCGCTGGACATTTCGCGCTAAAACTGCAAAATCACGGTTATCAGCAAAATCACTGGTATCAAAAAATTTTTAATTTCATAATATGGTAGCTCCGCACAGCTCGCAGAACGCTTAGTCATGGCTCTCGCACTTTCTTCGAACCTAGCTAATTCAGTATAAAACATAAAACCGTATTTAGGATCTACCAAGTACTTACTATAGTGTGAGAGTAAGTTCTTGGATCTACCCTTAAGAAACTACCTCGTGTTTGCTAAACTGCTAGTCCAATCAGCAATAACCGGTAACAACGTTAAACCATTTCAAATGGTAATCCAGTAATTCACGATCAAGCGGGGCACATCAGTTGGTACGTTTTCTTTTTATTCCCCCATTTCTTAATTATCCTCGGTGGAATTCATTTGAGCCGTTATATCGGTACCTATTGAGCAAAATAATATTCATTTACCAATATCAACACAAAGGTCTAAGATAGGTCACACCGTCATATAACGTTCACTTACTTACATAAACGGTTTTACTATTTTCGCTGAAACTACCGCTGCTATCAAATAATTATTTACCCTTTTCTATCGTCATCACCGTACAACCGAAGTCGATTCTGGGCTCGGATAGTCGGCAAGGATGAAGGTTCCATTTATCTGCATCCTCGTCAAAAAATTCGATAGTGTTAGTATCGCACCTAGCAGGTTCGTAAGAGCCGCCCAGAACGTAAATTTTGCGATCCACATACGCACACCCAGCGCTGGAGCGACCGCTAATCATGTCACCTGAAATCAGACAGTCACTACATTGTGCTCATAAGAATGAACTATTAACTTTTATTAATTAATAACAACTTATAATTATTAATAATTATTAATAATAAATTAATAACAACCGGCTGGCACTGCCGCACCAGACAACAGACACATACATTTATTCGACCACTGATCATTACTGGTATCGTAAACCTCCACGCAACGCAAACTATAACGACCATCAGTAGATATTCCACCTACGAAAGCGAAGACTTTACCAACGAGTCAGTTATAAATTACGCATAAAACGTAATTTTCTACCTACCGATAACGTAAATTAGGCCATTCGACCCCACACAGGCACTGCAGTATCGTCGTGCCGTCGGCATATCGGCCAGTTTCGTCCACACGTCCTCAGTTGGATTGTAACAGAAGGCCGTGTTAAGACTAACATGCCCTCTCAGTTGTGACATTCCCCCAAACACGTACAGCCGGTTACGGGTCGCCACCATGGCAAAGCCAAGTAACGGCTGCGGTAGGTCAGCCAGAGACTGCCAGATATTTTTTTCTGTGTCGTAAAATTCCACGGCAGCCATCACCGTCCTTTCGGAGTTACAGCCACCCACAGCGTAAATACGGCCATGAAGTGCAGCTGTACCGCCATAGGCGCGGCTAACTAGCATGGGCGCCAGCGTTGTACATCCACCAGGGAACAGATCAAGTCGGCTGACTCCCTTCGTGCCGCTATACATACTTTCATAATTTCCGCCACATACGACCAACGAATTCTTCTTCAGAACCGTTACACCACATCCATCGACGCCATACGGAAGCGTTGGTGTCTCGACCCGCCATATAATGGACATGGATGGACTGAAAACTTCTACATAGTCCAGAGCGGCATCGTCCTCATCACAGCCGCCAACATACACAATAACCTTTGGCAAACCTCATGAAACAGAACAGTGGAAATAGAACCTTTGGTAAACCTTTGATCTGTTTCAAATGAACTAACGAAAACTCTAGTAATAAAAGTAATAATATCATTACTATTACAATTACAATAAGGCATCATTAACATTTGGTTTACCATAAGATTCTCGGGGTCGACTTCGAGATATTACTGCTTCCGGATTACGGACGGGCAGTTCATCCAGTGTCCTTGATTGATCTTGGGAATTACCAGCGCGGGAATTGTTAAGTCCATTATACAGGGCCAAAAAATAATTTTCAAGACGCTTGGGAGAAAGAAATGACACACGGATATATTGCAAAATATCGGACTGCTGCGCACTCCGACCAGCCGGGTCGTAATCAGACCAACTCTTAACAGCCTCAAACACCTCATCCTCGTTGTCGACGCATAACTCATCGGATCCTATCAGCTCAGTCACCTGAAAAACAATAGTAAGTATATGCGAAATCGAAACACATCGAATCAATAAATTCTGAAACACATGTTTTCAGTTTTTATTATTAAATGTAAATAACACAAACAAGAGAATTACTGTACTAAACGAGAAAGAAACACAACTACAAACGGAAACGACCATAAAGCTGTAGCAGCAACTGCCAGCAAGTAAATTATGGCATTTCTTCTGTCAGTTATAAGTTGTGTTAAATTTCTAAAGACAGTACTGAAGTAATAAATATCCAGTCGAAATGTAAATTTCCGACTGTCTAAAAAAATTCACCGCAAGCACAAATACCTTTTCCGCATCGAGGCGCAAGAAGTCAACACTCCGTGCAATGTGGGAAAAGTGCCGAAAAGCAAAAACTTTGGCCTTGTCAGCTAGATGCGGATTGTTATGCATCCGCGCCAGAGAATACACCTGTAGACAACTGGAAACATCCAAGTGATTTTCCAGAAAATCCCAGCACAGTTTAGCGACGGGAGAAATATCTAAGAAGAGCGCTGCAGTGAGGACTGACTGAATACTGTCAGCATCAAGGGAGATTTGCAGAGTGTACGCGTAATTCACCAACCTGCGAACGAATAACACACCCCTCAGCGTGACTATCAAACTGACCAAAAAACAACAAAGAAATCATTAGCCGTAAAAATTAAAAATACAGAACGATGGATGAACGATTCAATGGGAACAGCACAATTTCGAAATAATTACTAAAACTAAATCTACATATTTCGAAAATTATTTTACAAAACAAAAAAATTCCTACATATTCAAAATTATTTTATGAAAATGATACGAGTATTACTTACAGTGAATGCTCTCATTTCGTTTCCTAAATAAGTCCACGTATTACAATTAATTAAGTCGTCAAACAATATACAAATCGTACTGCTCTCGTTAATAAGCAAATCTACAAGATTCAAAAGTTCATCCATAAAATGAGATACTACTATTCTCGTTACGAAATACGAAGCCGTTTTTAATTGTTAAAAATCTGACAAGCAAAGCTCAAAGCATAGCTACGTAATCTCACTTTTTTAACGTATCAGTAGGGATATTGCGCAACCGGATCTCCTCTTGAGAGGATTCTTTCCACTCGGATGTAAACATGGAGCGAAAGTAGCTGCTCTGCGCGCAGAGAACCACCCGATGACAAGGAATCCCAGCCGATAAATCTTCCGCTCCTTTGAGCACCACGTCGCACAGAACTCCACTGCTCTTCAGATCCTGTAGTCCGTCCAGGAATCGCTGGACCGTGGCGATGTCCACAAAGGAACAGACATTAACGGAATTCGTACAGGGCTGCACTGGCTCGGAAGACATGATGAGAACTGAAATGGAAAATGGGAGTCAAAGAAAGTGCGAGGAAAATCTTGAGGCTGACACTGGCCCGCGAGCTTTAACCTTCGCAGGGCAAAGGGCAAATCTCTCTTGGGTGAAATTACACCAGCTACGGTCCTGGATACGCCGTCAGGTACGCATCATATCTTTCCGAAATCTTTTCACAATGGTGACAACTTAGAAAAATAGTTAACCCTTAAAAGTTCAAAGATTTTTATTGTAGTTTCTGTTTAGTGTTTACATAATACAAAGAACATATCCAAATTCTAGTAGAGTAGTTGCTGAGAAGAAAGGAGTGAGTTGTTGCCACTGTATTAACGGTACTGCAGCGCGAAGGTGGGTAATGTACACCACAGGTCTATGGTTCAAAACTCGATGAAAAGATTTTTCATTTTATGTAGTCTTCAAAATCGAGGTTAGATTTCTTTTTTGAAATGTGAAACAAATACTACTTACAGTAAGCAACTTACTAAATATAACCTAACACAGGGTTTTTTTATTTTCCGTAATTAGCAAGCATGATCATACTTGAATGACTTAAAAATGGCACATTATCAGCGAGCGCACTCGCAAAGCGGGAGCACAAGCCACGATATCTCCGAGCTGATCCGTCGTCGTGTGTGCGAAAGACTGCAATCGGAATTGGGCAGTGCGTCGGACGATGCGGACCTGTCCGCACGCTGTAACGCTTTGCTGGAACAGCAGGACAATCAGCTGCAAGATCTGCGCCAGAAGGTAAAACCGTAGAACTCTTATGTGGTTAGAGTATCGCTTCGGGCCAGCCGCTGGCGATTTTAACACGATGGATGCCAACAGGCTGATGTGGCGGAACAAGCGTTCTTGGAGCGGAAGAGCCAGCTGATTGCTGATGGTGAACGCACACAACAGTTACTCCTCAGTGCCACCACGGAGGCCACGGCTGTGCTGGATCGGCTGCGATCTATTATGCCGCTAGATGAGGATAATACGGAGGAGATGAAGGGAGTGCTGGATAAAATCAACCAGACGAATATGCAGCTGCAGTATCTGCAGCGTTTGGAATCCATCCATGATCAGTGGTATTTACTTGTAACTTACGTGCCAGAATAATGCATGCTGTAATTTTATACAAACCTTGTAAAATCAGCGATAAAAAATCTAATCTGTGCCGATCTAATAAACCAGCGTTGTATAAAATACCATACTAAATACATTTGTTTAGTTTCTTTGATTTTATTATAATATTATATCAACGTTGTTTTCTCTCTTGATGTCGCTAAAAGTGGAACAGTTTCGGCTATTGCGCAAATTACCAAATGCTGTTCCTTTTCGTTTTTTCGTATTTTTTTTTAAAAGTACCAAGTGTGCATATTGTATTTCTCGTGAATATTCTAGACATGATGAAGTTTCTTTGTAGCGATCGTATAAGGAGTTCTTTAGCATGTGGAGCCATGAACGATGCTTTGAATTTTCTACAGCAGTTGCTGGATTGGTGCAACGAGTTACAATCCTCCAAGTGTTCGTATCTCCAGACTTTTTTGTATAAGATGACCGTGTTTTGGACAAGGATGGTGGCCGACCGCGTTGCTCAGTAAGGCCAGTACATTACTTTTTTGCTGTAAAATGGACAAATTAAAACTTGGCTTGTTGTGATTTTGCACTTTATATACGGAATTCTGCATGCTGTCATTTGACTTTTTGCACGCAAACCTAATTTAAATTAAAAAGTGCTATCGTTTTCTTTACTCTAGAGATCTACCCGCAATTTTTGTTCGAATTGGTTATCCAAAACCCCCGTCACTGCAGAAGAATTTGAGCGTAGCGATTGATGGTCGTTCTCGTTACGAAATTGCTGAGATTACCAAGATCTTGCTGAAAATGCAGTTGCCGTAAGTTTTACTGCCCATTTCCCGTATCCGTAATGATTGTTGAATTCTTGGTTATTTATTTTCAAATCAATTGTCATAGGTTTTGCTTACAGTGATTTCGTGGTAAATTGCACCGACACCGACGAAGCTGCCGTCTTTCTGGAACAAAATCTTCCTGTCAAGTACTTCGTTGTACCGCTGGAAAAACGCTTCCGATTCCATTTCTACGTCTCCGATAAAACCAACAAAATTGACAAAGTATGTGTTTTGGCTTTTGAAGAACGCGATGAACTGAGCTATTTAAAGTGGTGAAAAGCCAGGGTATATGTGTTGATGCCGTAAATTGTGTTTGCAGCCCGAATGGTATTTCACTCAGTTGCTGTCGTGGATCAAGGATTATGCTGATTTCTTGGCGAATGTGCTGCATCCGGTGTTTCAATCGGAAGGTTTCCCCCAAAATACCGTCAAGGTGTGTTTAATTAATTATTTCAGTGGATAAAAAAAGGAATAATCTGTGTTCAGTGCGTAAACCAATGCAGTATTATGAAAATTAGTAATGAAAGCCGGCATTGCTTACCGAATATCATATTTGTAGGTGGATTTTGTGCGTGCACTGGCTTGTTTGGGACGATCCAAATTCTTGTCGAGTGTCCCTTTACTGCTAAAAGAACGAAGCTTTTTTGCCCATGCTGTCGATGAGTTGTTGGTGTTTTCACGGCATTTGGTCAGCATGGGCTATGAAACCGTGGCGAAGGAATTCTGTCGTGTCCTTATCATACCGGAAATCTTTAATCCCTGGTTCGAAGCGGAATCTCTGCGTAAGCATTTACGCCAACACTGTCCGCTCGATTAATGAAACACTGCTGGGCGTTAAACAGTTTTTAGTTGGCATTTTTTGTAGTAATTGAGGAGCGGCTTGATTCTTTTATCACTGCGCCCGGAGCGTGGAAGAACAAGTATCGCGAAGGCGTGGAAAATCCGGAAGAGATGAAAGTACCCCACTGCAGTCAGCAGTTCGTTTTGATGTTGAGGGGATTGAACGGTAATTTCTTAACATAATTCCAGATCGTTCTGAGGTTTTTTAAAGTTAAGGACGCGTTGTTTTAGACCGGTTTCTATTGTTACCGTCAGCTGAGCACGAGCTGAAATTTGTGCAGCTGCTTTTATGTGCTTGTGAGGATTACATTTCCGATATGAAATCGTTTTTCGAGGAGAACCAGGAAGATGATTTGTTCTCGGCGACACAGTCTGGTCCTGCATTAGCCGCGGGATCGCGTTATCTATATGACTATCTCCAGGAGTTTGGAAACAGCACGGTAAAATAACTCAAATATTTACGCTCTAGCGCGGTAAAAAGCAACTCAAAGCGTACTAGATAAATGCATTTTTATAATAGCGCCCTTTGGCCGGTTTTCGTCAAAAATAACTGTCATTCATCATTCAGAGCTGTTCATAAAATAATTAAAAGTATTTATGCACTGCACAAATCTTGGCCGCGGTTCTGTTGCAGCACTGATTAATATGTTATCGTGTGGAATGTGTCGCATTACGTATACATACAACCACAAAATATACAACAAAATACGGATATGCACATAAAAGTTATACAAAAGTTCAGATATAATGTCTTATTGCTTTCACTATTTTAGTTGATAATCCAGCTTCTGTCCTCTTCCACACACAATCCACCATCAGCCAATGCTCGTCTAGCGGAAGAGTTGTTCGACCGGCTGTCCGCTATTCAGGACGATCTCAGTCGGATGAGTAAGACCTCCTTACTACGGACAACAACGGATGCCGCCATGAATATCGCCCGGCCTTTCGTGAGAGAATACGCTCGGATGGGGTGTGTTGAAGCGTCATGAAGATTGCTTTGCGCTAACACTGGTAAGTCTGGATGACAGGAAGGCTTAGTAATTTGTGTGTTTAGATGGAAGACAACGGGTGGAGTAATGGAATATGTGGTGCCTTCCTTAACGCCGGTGATTGGTGAATTGATATATTCCATGAAAACCATCTTGTCGGCACATAAGGAACGCCTGCTTACGGTGTTATATGAGAATTTTGTGCGGGAAATGATGACATCTCTCGATTTTCTGATTTTTAACGAGGTAAGCTTGTTTTTCATCAGTATTTGTTTTAAAGTATTTATACATTGTCGTATACGTACTGTATTTACAGAACTTGCGTAGTTAACTGTTTGACTGTTTCCTGTCTAAACATCGGTTCAGAAACAATAACTGTTAAGTGCTGCTGATTTTGTCTGAGAATTAATTACAGATCTGTATACTTAAGAATCTGTATCTGTGTAAGTAGATAAATGTATCTTAATCCATATAAATAAATTGATGTACGTGTCTGTATCTTAAATCTGTATACCTCAGAATTCCTCTTTTCAGTCCGTAGTCGGTTGTCAACTTGTCATTTGTTTTGCAGGTGATAATGAAAAATTCATTCAGTCCCGGAGGTGCGGGTCAGCTGAAATTCGACATAATGCACAATCTGTTGGTGGCGTTGCAAAGGCTGACGAATTTGCCGAACGCTGGGCTCACGAAGTAATTATAAATAATTTCTGTCTTGATAATGCGTTACCGGTTGTATGAATAAATTGCCGTTTTGCAGAACCGTTGAGAGCTGCAGCGTCCTCTTCATGCTAAAAGGATCTGCTCTTTTGCTTTTGGAAGTACTGGACAGTGCCTCAAAAGGGCATGCCAGTCAGAGTGATCGTGAGAGCATTACGCGAACGTTGACGGAATTGAATGTTAAAAGTCTAACGTCGGAGGAAGTGGCGGTGTTGTTAAGAAAGCGTGGTGATTTAGAGATTTAGCTGTCTTCTGTTCTCCGTGAAGAGTGTTGCAACGTTGTAAATGAAATGGGGGTAAAACTCAGTATTTTTCTACTACAGTTTTCGCTAATTTTGATCGGTTTTTGGTTCTAGCATTGGACTTAATTTAAATTCAAGTTTGCGCGGAACAGTGTACATACTTGCTCTGCGTGCAACAGGAAGTGCTGATGTAATTACGTACATTATGTTCTATGTTAACCATGTATATCGGTGTCCTTTCCAAAAGAAGTCACAGGTTTCATGGTATCTGTACATCGTATAAGATCTTTTCATGTACTTATAAGTACAAGTGATCGTGGACCACTGACCGTGCTTTGTGAAACCAAGCAGCCAGTTTAACTTGTCTTCTGGACGGCGCTAGCGCAGCTCGACATTAATACCATAATTTAATTACATAGCAGATTTTTATTGGGTTATTCAAATGAACAGTGGTTAAACAAAAATCACGCATTGCATAATTTGAGCACATAATATTGTACGTACATAAGCCATTCTCCATTCTTTTACAAAATAATGAAATACGTAAACGAAGGGGTATGTATGTCTATGCATGTGGTCAAATTAAGTCAATGGCGCAAACCGGCTTACCATGTGTCGCACGGTTAACCGCACGAATACTGCAGTTATGTGGTTGCGTAATCGACGAAACTGGAAATCTGCCGTAGTTGCCGGAAAGCATCAAGCCACTAGCACCACTGTGGTCTGCAATCTGCATTTACCATTCAGTTTAAGTAATTCTTGATGACTGACCTAGTCCGCTGTCCACCCTTTGCATCCACTGTAAGTTCTACCCTGTGATCCAGTTTTTTCTACTAACAAAATCTACAATGTTTCCCTCAACGATTATGGAATGTATCTTGCTGGCTGTTGTCTGTGTAATCCACTTGTCCTCCGTCCGTGCAGCACCACTCGCTGGACTGGATATCCCTACCAATGCTCAACAGGCGCAAGCTTGGCGACCTTCATCATCCCTCGTCCGACCGAACATTGCGACGAATGTCAATTTTGGTTTCTCCTCCTCCGTGGATCCGCGTACGGGGCTGGTTAACCTAGCTGGAGGTAATTGCACTGAATGCACTCACGTGAATTTACGCTGTCCTGTTTTTTGCTGATCTGATACAGTTTCATGGTCTGTTTGTTGACTTGCGTGTAATTCCGAGAAACCCGGAAATAGATGCGAATCTAATTCATAAATTCATTTGTAATAGATTGTGTACAGATAGTTAGCTAGTTTCTGTTAAAATTTAAACCCGTTTACAATCCGCGTATTTACGGTGAAATTTCTAAATTTATTGTAACTTACAATAAATTGTCAGGCTTTTTGTCGTGTGTACCATCCAAAAATGGAAGCCACTCAAACTCTTCACTTAATTAAATTCTAAATTAAAATGTTTTTAATCAGTATAATCTTTTCGTTAATTGTTTAGAATAAATAGCTTACTATTATACGACAATTTATTATTAATTTGTTACATGCATAACGTTCAGTTTGTCGGTTTGTGTTCTTGTAAAAATCAGTTACTATTAATTAACATTTCAAGTTTCTAATTTAATTTGAATGTAAATCAATTTGTTTAATCAGTAAAGGCTTATAAAGCCTAGAATAATCACGTCAGCATCACATAAACGAAACGACAGGTTTTCGTAATTTTTTGTTGTGTTGCTACACGCTAATTTTGGTGTTGATCTGTAATAGGAATCGCCGATGGATTCGGTCTGGATGCGGGTATATTGGCCAAGACCGTCGGGAACAGTGTGACCTTCACCGGCGGCAATGGATCGGCCAACGCCGGCAATCGTAACACGGCGGTGGGCAACGGGGGAGTGCAGAGTTTGGGCCATGTCAATGCCTTCGTCCCGGTGATGCCGAACGGTCTGGCCCTGTCCAAAGCCCTCACGCAGACCAACGCCATCGGTCCCATGAGTCATGCCGGTGGACATGCCGCTGGTATTGTCGGTTAGTCTGGACGCTGTATGATTGTATTTCTCTTTGTGATAATATTTTCCACTATCCTGTTTTCGGTTTTTTTTGGCGAATGTCTTTCAAACACAGTACTTCGCTTTTTGATAGTTCTGGCGTTTGTGGTGTTTTATTGGGCGAATTGTCTTTCAGATACAGTATTTTGCTTTTTGGTGATTTTAGCTTACATTGACGATATTTTTCGTGCCTTGGTAATTTCGCCATAAGTTTTTATTTGAGTATTTTTTTACTGTGATTTCCGTTATTTTTATCGACTTTTGGATGATTTTCATTAAAGCGTTCAAGTGAATTTGGTACGCACACATTTTGTACAGTCAGGTGTTGCTTTAATATCAGAATTCCAGAATATTTTAGCGCGACAACAGAGCCGTTTAATCAGGACGTAAAATTCTTTGATTAAAACCGTATAAAAGTAAATCATTATCTTCCGCTTGATTGCAACTGCTTGAAGCTTTCAAGGAAATGAAATTCGAGCATCCAGTCACCTTCCTCGGAAAAAATGCTGTCTGTGCGTTGATGACAGGTATTACCGTTACAGAGTATACACGGGAAAGAATTACAATAAACAGGGTGAGAAAATCGATGAGTGGGTGATTTATGCTGAATGTGCATTCTTTTTTCCTTTACAAAATCTCTCAGCGCCGCTATACGAATATCCATTCAGCTCCAGCCAACCATCCGCGTCTCACGTGTCGCGCACCGCTATCCGGAAATTCAGGACAGGAGAACCGGTTTCTCATCACTCGCGCTCTCGTAGATCAATAGCGGATAGAGCCGCCCGGCGAAGGGCACACGTCGGGGTCGCGTGAGAAGGATAATGGTAAACGACGCCTCGATCATGGTCAGTAAGGTGGCCACCGCGCCCGCCACCACCAAGGCGAACAGCACCACCACCGTGGTGTCCATCGAGGTGCCCGGCAGCCGGGTGACGGCCTTCTTTAAGCACACGCACATGGTGATCACGAAGGCGATCTTGACGCCGATGACGGCGGTACACACCACTTTGATTAATGTGCGTTTGCAGTGGGACACGTTCATCCCGGTGAAGACGATGGTGGGGTCCTGGGCGAAGGCGGTGCGGTAGGTAGTGATGGCGCTGCGCATGTGCCGCACGCAGATGTACACTTTCACCCATAAGCCGGCAATGACCAGACCGGTCAGCGGGACGGAGATCAGGTCGTGGGTCCCGTAAAAGTCGCGGAGTTTATGATCGGGATCGTTCGTGAACACAATGACGCATACTGTAAAGTAAAATACACGATTATTAAAACTGACAAATATACGACCACAAAATCATTTTCTTATTTGGTAATCGTAAAAAACACGTAAATTTCATAAAAAAGATGGTATTATATAGAAAGGGCAAGAGCTGCTTACGTCGTTCTGCTTACGCTTTTATTTAAAAAACAATTGCACACGCACACATACGTATGTACTTGACTTTTTTATAAATTTATATAATATTATATTTATATTGTACATCAGCTTTTGATCCATTGGACTGATGTTTTAAATTATCGCAGAGCGTTTATATCTACAGAGTATTTGAATAAATGAAAATCCATGTTTGTATACATATTTATTTAATATTATTGCTGAAAAGCATTATTGTTCGACGTCTAGATGTACAGTAATATAGCAGATCATCTATACGCGAGTATCTATACATCTATATCTATATACTTAAGTTAAAGTAACTTTATTATTCTATTTTGTTTACCAGTCCGAAAGGTAGATATTACTCACAACTTGAAATTATGTTACGTATGGAATTTTATAATAAAATTATATGGTGCACATGATTCTACTTACATGCGATCCCTACTGCCAACAGATATAAGGCAATGATGAATCGATGCAGATTAAAGCGTAAAATCCTGTCAAGAAATCTCGTGGTTTTGGCTTTCTCGATTTCCGGTATCCATTGGCTGGTCAGTTGGGCCGTGCTGGATGAACTGTCCTTCAAGTGCACTCCGCTAATCGTCGACAACGATCTTCGTCGCTCTTCCATGTTAGGAAAATAATATGGCCAAATTGGTACAAGGATGTTATATATAATCTGCTGATCACCGCGATGCCACATAAAAACTGCTCATTAGGAGCACTTCATTTTCGTTCCACACGGCAGCGTCAAACCGGAAGTGGAACTGAAATTTGTTCTTGTGTGTAACACACCTATATTGTACGCGTACAAGGAAAATGTGGTTAGAAGAGAAATGAATGACAGTGCAAAATGTACACGGTATACCGAGAGCTTCTGTAAATATTTGCTCTACCTTGACGCTTCTCCGAGTTTCTTTAAATTACCGCACCGTACGCAAGATCGATCGAGTACTTGCGTTGGTACTAAAAAGAACAGGTAGTACCGCGTAACCGCGTTCTGTGTCCAATGCTGTTGGATGCATTACTGCCGGGTTCAATATGTATAATATGCCGGGAACGTTACCGCCCGATTATGTCAGGTGAAAAATGCAAAATGACTTCGCAATGTTCGGTGACTAATGCCGTTAGGGGATTTAGCATCGATTGTATCGACCATTCCGAACGAGTAATGCCGGGTGCGGAACAAAAGTCTGGTGCGAAAAAAAACTGGTTCAGCATATGTTATTATTGCGCTTATACTTATTGTAACATCCTTTGATCGGAAGGCAGAAAAGAATGCTAGATCAAGAGCAATTTTTGGTCACACTGTAAGGAAATACAAGTACCATGCCGGCTATAACACGATGCAAAGTATCTGATGCCGTGCATGCCCGTTTAACGTGAATTTAAACAAGATCAGTTTTACTATCATATGTAAATACTAATTCTTACAGCTACGTAGATATTCAATGCATATTAGATTATTAAAAGTAAGTACCTACTTGTACAATACTTCATATTTATTACCCACAGTTACAAAACTGCCATTAAGGATCCATTTGCGTGGTCTTCTTTATTTCGAGTTTTTGATGCAAATAAGCACTTACATGAATAGCTCCACATCATCCACTAAACTCTCTGAAGTATCAATAATTTTGCAAGCTGAAGATTTTTCTATTAATATATCAGCGTAGTTATGTACAAAACAAAAACTACACATAAAAAGATTTTGATTTGTGCAAGTACATGCGTGCATGATGTTCCAGACCTCCAGTTGTAAATATTTTTTGAATCTGCGTTACGGTTGCCTGCAACTACCGGTAACTGCTATGCACACCGCACGTAATATTTTGTTTGAAGCAGCAAAAAATAGAAATGCATAATTTATTCAGCATATTCAAGTTGTAAATATCTGACTAGAGCAAAAATTAATTTAAAATTTAAACCGAGAAAAAGACAACCGCATTTGTACACATATCACATAAAACTGTCAAAATATTGTTCAGGCATCTACGCTTGAAAGGCAAAACACCACATGTGTATACAAATTACTCACAGTTATACAGGCACGCATTTTGCTTTCACTTTAAAAATACTCGTTACAATCACAGAATCAATCATCTTTGAACAACTGCACACTGACAGGTTTCCGGTTTTCCCCGAAAAAAATTTCCAGTGGATAGAATTTTGGTGGTAAAGCTTTGAGGAGCAGCAGCAGCGAGAGACTGCCATGGATGCCGGTGAGCATGGCCACCACAGCGCAGAATAACAGCAGCGAATACAGCACCACCAGTGTGTATCCGATTGTCGCGTCCCCTTCCTCCCGCAGGATCTGCATGACATCCACGAACAGCAGCGATGTGATCACCGTGAAGGCGAAACTACCCAGAAAGGAGATAGATGTCGCCACGATGGCGATGGTGCGCCGAAAGGGCGGCAACTTAAATCCCGGAAAGGCGGTGAGTTTGGTGGCCGGGTCGTTTTGGCCCTGGTGGAATTTCTCGGCGGCCTCGATTGTTCCGCTGGTGATCTTACGCACCCGGTTCCAGAAGATTAACACCAGCAGACCGTAGAGGAAGCCCATGACGGTTTTGGTTAAGGGGAACTGCTGGCGGAGATTGTCGCTGGCGTTAATGTGGAACACGGATGTAACTGCAATATTGATATTCTGTTTAATGCACGCCATTTACACCTAGAAATTTATGAACCAAATCTGCAATTTCCAGATAACGCTTTTATCGATACACAATAATAATAATGCGCACCGGCTATAATCTCGCGGGTTGCGCGAATATGATTTGACCGGCTTTTTTGTACTGGAACAAGCTGTTATCATAGCGCTGCGTATCTCTTTTAGCCATAACCTTGCTCAACTATTCTGCACAAGTTCTGCGTCGGAAAAACCGTAAAAAAATTTGATTGTATGCTAACACTTCACAAACCCAACACGATGCAGAAAATTATCGTTAAATAAATGCAAACTAAGATTTTGTGAAAATGTTGTTCGATGCACGATATTAAAACGTAACTACCGTAATTTATCATAACAAATAGTTTCGATGCATAATAAACTAAATAACCGGAATCACAAATTCTATGTCCTGTTACGGTAATTTACTATTCTTAAAATTTAGAAAATTTATTCCGTAGCATTGTAGCACTACCCGTTGGCGTTGCTCAATGGTAACATTACTGTCATTACAAATTTGTAAAAACTTAATTACCGGATTTTGGACAAACAGATAGTAATACTGTACGTAACTAATGTCTAACATCCGTATTCACTCTAATGGAACTTTTTTTCGGAGCAGTAATTAATTCTGGAAAAGCTGAACAAAAAACTGTTAATTAAAATTAATTTGAACGTTTACCAAATAGATTGCTTGGTTGTTGTAAAGTGATTAATTAAGTACATGTACTTCCAAATTCCCGCCAATCTATAAACAATTTCCTCAGTTTGTCTGCTCAGCTGTTATGACATTGTTATTTACGTATTCGCAGTTTTGCGTGCACAAAACGTCTATTCTTTTTGCAACACCGCCGTCGCTAGCTACTCCTGCATTAAATATCAGCAAAATTTTAATTATGGATGATCCACACGCAGCAGCACTAAAGTACCCTTCTGTGTGGATATCACCACTTGACAAATAGGATATCCTGCTTCTATACAGACACATAGTGAAATGAAACAGAGGAACCCCTTACTGGCGCTCTCCAGGGCGAAAATGCACAATGCCAATGCCAGCCGACCCCAGTTGATGGCCAACATCCGCGGCATATTGATGCGGGTCCGGTAACGATCAGCTCCGCCGTCCGGACGATCCCTTGACACTGTGTTCATATTGTGCAGGGCATGGGAGAAGGATACACCCTGGTTCGTGTTGTAGCGCGCTTCAGCTGCCATAATATTACTGTGCATGGCTTTGTCGCACCTTGATGATCCCCCGACGTATGATATCACACACAACAGGACGGCGGTTTAATCAATTTGAATACTGTGTAAATTTGCACTGTACTCATAAATACATAATCCACATGGTTCCTTCAGCGATGATAAACAAAATTTTTGTGGAGATCGCAAAATATCAATTGTGTGGCACGCTGACTGACCAGCGAGCGAGTGCGGGGTGAAAATTCAACAAGGCGCGCTGCGTGTGCGGATGGTACGCGCGGCCCATGTTGTCATTTTGCACGATACTGTACTGCTTTTCATCCGATCATTGTATTTCATCGTCCCGGCGTGCGCTGATTAGCGATTAGACAGTTTACACGTAATTACAGTTTGTTTCCAAACCCTGGGTGGTGTGTTAAAAAGGAACATAATTATCTATAATTATTATTGTATAGTGACGAAGGTTCGGTGTACTACATATACGCTGATAACACAGCATGATAAACGTCTGTATAATAACCGGTTGATTAGTGTATCGGGTGTTGAATCTTGTGTATTGGTTTGCGGTGTCGAATGATTTGATGGAAAATCGAGCGAGTTTCTACCGAAGCAGTATACAAAATGGTAAGTTGGAAAGAACATTTTTCCGCCTTCACTATTGGTGTGAATAGCTTTCTCGGGTCACGTACTGTACCACGGAAAAGTTACTGAATCGTCAGTAAACTGCAATCCATGCATTCCAAGTTGGAAAGGTGGGCGAATATTCCTGGGCAAAAATTATGACTGTTACTGCTATGAATATCCGGTGCATAAAGATACGTATACGTGCTTTCATGCACTAGCCATACGAAATTAATTTTAATGCATACAGAGTACTACAGTATCTTCTCGGCATTCTGGCATATACAGCACATCCAGTGTATGCAGTTATGACCTTTCTTTGCTGCATACTACATATAACTGCGGCGCTGTTCGCATTGTGAAAAAACTAGATCTAGTTTTTTCACAATGCGAACAGCGCCGCAGTTAATGTAGTATGCAGGTTGCGCTAGAGCATGTTGCTCTAGAGCAACAGTTTACTTTGTATTTAAAATTAGTGTAGCCAAATATGTATATATATGTATACGGAAACATCGTATATCAGATTAATTAGACACTTTTCGGCGTATCTCAATCCGGGCTTTAGTTTTTTTATTTTCTGCAAGTCTCAAACTCACAGCTGACCAAAAGAACCATACCTCCCGGAACTTTGAAGCAGACTGAATACTTCCGAGTTCAGATGAAATATAAAGTGATATCGGGAAATAAATCTGTGTTTGCACATTTGTTTTACCAACAGAAGAAATAAAAAAGCACAAAAACGCTAGCTGGAGTTCCAGTGACAATATAAAAAGGTGGTCAAGAATCAGCTTTGACGCAGTGACGCGCATTTTAGCAAGTCGGGCTGCCACGGATTGCTACACTTATCTGGTTCCCGTTGCTGTCCACACACCAGCTGAATCCAGTGCTTCCCCAACCTTGAACTTTTGAAAAGGCTCCATTGTCATCGCACTGGGGGACATAATTGCCTACCACTGCAGAAATACCATAATATTATTGTCAAATAGTGACATTAAAGTCTGAAGGTTTTAAAGCTAATCGTTTTAATCTTTTTGTTATTTATTATACGGCAGCTGCTAATTAAGCAGGGTCTACAACGTTAAATGTTGCGTTCTGTGCCGGTGATCGTTCAGTACGGACTGCCGAGGCCGACAGATTCTTCCCAAGTATTTAACCAATTGTTGAGATAAAAATTAAGATACTGTTGCTTAATTAAACCGTTCAAATTGTTACAAGCCTTATATGTTAAAAATTTGGTATAATATTTTATATGAAGAACTTGCGTCTTTGTAAAAAACATTTACCGAGAAAGGTCCACCCTCTTCTATGTATAACAGCTCAATAGTGACCTTACCCATGGGAATATTAGCAATATTCTTTGCCACCGTGCATGTGCAGCCATTGTCATTCGCCCATCCGGTAATAACACCCCCATTATTCGGAAGGGTTATGTTCCGCTGGCAGAAACACTGTCCGCTGGGCGCCTGTAGCGTTGGTTTAAGGAGGAAAGCCGCAAAAACAAAAGAAAGTGTGGTTAATACTGTCAGGATTGTTCCGCGCGACATCTTGCAAATGTACTGTGAAGTCTGGAAAAACTCTCTCGAAAAGCCGATAAAGTCAAATTACCGGTATTAGTAATTTGGATGGAAGTAATTTAATCCCAAACAGCGATAATTTGCTACATTTATATATATCGGAAAATCCCCCGGAGTGCAGAGCAATCGGCGTTGTTTCATATACGAATAAGATTCAGTACATTACAGCATCACTTTACGTGCATAAAAAATTGTGTTACATAGGTGCGTTATAATTATATACAACAAGTAATTAATCATTGCCTAAACGAGAGAATATACGTCAACTGGATAACTAGGATCAAATTGCTGTACTGGAGCGACGATAAGTTAAGAACACAGTCGAATGCCGACAGAAAGTTTTGTAATATTACGGCTAATTAGCACTTGAAGCCGCAGTTGCATCAGATCATAAAAGAAGTCGTATTGGCACTCGTAAATACATTATGACCGTAGCTCGAAAAACCCGGTAGTTTTTTTCCTTCATGAATTATACATGAGCTAGTTGCAGAGATACGTCAAACTGTTGTTTGCTCCGTTTACCGGTGAAAAGTGTTATTACAAACTATGCAGTTACGCATCATTTTAATTACTCTGTACGTCAAAACGGAAGCAAGCACGTATCCATGACCTTGTCATATAAAAACCGAAAAGTTTAGTTATGTGTTTTTGTGAAAAGTTGACATTTACATAACAAATATTATTCCGAAAGAAAAGTTTAAAAATTTTTCATTTTACATATGTTACTCATACTGTGAAATTTTAGTCACGAATGGACAAAATTTTTTTGTTGCTAATTTGAATACTGCAGTTGTCCTTTTGCTGGATTTTAACACGTATTGTCAGATTCACACAAGTTTTCGAGCAGTGGAAAACGGATTCCGTTAAATAAACACTGCATGCGTGTAAGTCTTATATAATATTAGTTTGACGTTTTGTATCGGTGGATGCAGGCGGAAAAACGCAGCCCGATGTTTATTTACCGGCGATCTGTGCCACATGTTCAGTGCGCTGAAGATGATGGCAAAGCTCTGGTCTCTGCATTCCCGTCATCAATCGAAACAAAAACGTTTGTGCGCCGGGGATAAAAATACTTGTCAAGATCAAAGTCATGAAGTGGCTCGTGATATATAACACGCATTTTTTTCCGCCATGCCGAGCTGCTCCGGCTACCGCCGACTGTACGGAAAAAATAGGTATATTTTATCCCGGCGATTATATACACGGGATATGCCGGCGTCAGCACATCAGCACAGTTATATCGATTGCTCGACTTGGTAGCGCAAATATATAGAGACCGATTATACACATAACACACTTGTGCGCCATAATATTACACAGTTCCAGAATCATCGCCGATCTCTCTCCTTTCAACTGCTGTTCATAGAGAAGAAGCTGTAAAACACACAGACCGTTATGTTAGAAAATTATTAGTACCCATCCCCGAATTTGTATGAATAGTCTATCACAGTGGTGTAAGGCACGTACAGGAACATGTGAACGATTCCATACTGCACACGCTGTACTTTTGTCATTAAGCTATCCACGTTTAATACACATGATTGCCTTCCATTCTGCATATATGTGCGTGGGGGGATGACTTGGCCTGTCCCCGGGAACATTTTTCACATAAACAACGTTCGGTTGCATGTTTGACTGGGTGGTAAATATCTGAATTATAACACCGATTGGAGACATTTATATTTTACGGCGTCCGCCTATATATGCCATATATACGAGTATTTTACATATGTCGATCCATATTCAATGAAGTATTATACCATTGATTATACTCACAGGTGTGGCATTTCGCTTTTGTGCAGTAAATAATCAACAGTGGGATGTGTATTTATATTCCGCGACATTTATATTGACGTGAAATACGATGCGCGTGGCTGCTGTATATAATGAGTAAATAAATGCGTCTTTTATATGACAGGATTTCCTTACAAGTCAGTATCGGAGAGCATGCAATCAGCTGTACAGGTACGTCATGCATTGTGTATATTGTGTGTAATTATAATATGCTGGACATTTTTCATCCGCCCTCTCCCCGCATTTATCCTGATCCCGTCAGGCGAATAGGGATCTGCATATGTAAAGGTGATGATAATGCGCTTCCGGTGGATATATGCGTGTGCTTGTGCGGGTACGGCCGTGCGCGCAGACTGAATGATATTCCGCTGAAATTAATTTTCATAAGCTAAATGGAATGCTGGAGCCGCTGAGCGTTATGCATACGCGATGGCCGCGAAATATGCCACGCTCGTGTTTTACGGCCATTAAGAAACACAATCCCCTTCAGATCAATCAACCCCGCTTCCCAGATTCGGTTTATTATTCATCGCCGGACTGGGAAAAGGACAAAAGGTTTATGTTCATTAAATGTAATGAACGCACTATAGAAACCGCCTGTTGTACATGTCGCACACATTGATGTGTGATTCCCTTTAATTGAATACGTATATATATACCTAATACAAAGTAATAGTAAATAAGAATATAAGATTATAATAACTCCCGACGTGCTCATGTTCAATGTTTTACATTATTTTTACATACATAAACGAGCATGTATAAAACTTTACCTCTCTTCACCGAGAGATGATGCACTTCGAGCGTCTAACAATCGTGATCTTCTACGTAACGTTAGCATAAACTACCATAAACGAAGAAATGCTCTTAGAAAGTTTGACAGATACTACATAATTTTTAAAGTGTTTTGCGCTAAATTTTGCTTTGCATATGTTATGCACGGTGACTGAGTAATCAGACTTATTTTACACGATTAGTCTGACGTCCGGGGCTGTACATAGAAACCACTGATAACAAATTTAACAAGTTTCCGAGAACCCATTGATGGTTTAATTATTTTTATCGGCATGGCAGAAACGGTCATGAATGGCAAAAATCGTTTAATCAAGCAATCAACGACGATTGACCGGGAAGATTAGTTTAAACAAGCGCTGCAAACAGCTAAGTGCAATATGCTCCACGGGAAGACGCGCCGGCGATGGGGGAATATATACATACATCTATATGCGAATATGTTGGATCGATGGAGCAATATCTACGTACATGCAGTGTCGGCGCGCGGTGCGGTTGTAACTTGTCAAAAACTTTTTACTTGTTAAGTCAGTTCATCGTCGTCGGGGTTAGCCGCTTGTTATGTCATTTCTCCCGGTTGAGAAAGAGCCGGCTTTATTATCAAACTTCCGGTACGTGCTGCAGTCGGCAATGGGTGCATCGGCGGGCTATCTTTAGATGTTCTTTCCGCTCTTCCTGTTGGCGTCGAAAGCGGTATAACCGGGCTAGCCGAGACACTTTAATACATTTTCGGTGGCTCTATCGACGTGCACGTTATGCGTACGCGCATGTATAACAATTTTACAATCCCGTTTTACATGGATTTGTCATACCCGCATGGTTTTGTTCTACATACTGCCGCAGTCAGGTGTTTGTACGGTATTGTGCCGGTAAAAAAAAGTCGGGAAGAATACTGTACAAACAGAAGACAACTTTGATCGATAGTGTACTATGTTGTTGACAGGGCAGGTTCAATTGCACAACAACTTCTTCAAGCATTCACAGGGAATCAAATCACTACTATGAAATACGCCGGCAGCACACCCCGGCCGTCACAAGTGCCTACTTGAGTTGTTATATATTACGTCATGACAAGAAAAAGGCATTTATGCTTTATGGTGTAAATCATGTAGTTCGGATGGTTAGGTTGTCTTGTTTTAAAGGTACGAGTTTTGACATCGATGGTTGATTTCATATATTTATGTACAATACGTACACAGTTTTGCATATATGATCTGAAAAATTTAACGTTAACCAGGATGGTATTGCAGAATTATTTTTCACACTGCTTCTTGAGTCTGTTACGATTATGAAAAATAATTAATATCCATCATCAACTCTCACTAGTACAATTTCTACGATTTTAAAGCTAATTAGCACACAAAAGCATATTCCTCCTGTTATAGTATGTGCCAATTATGGCAAAAGGTAACTGGTAAGAAATTTGTTTGAATCGTCATTTTTGGAGATACTCGTTACTGTGCATACAATCAAAATTTTGTTATATTAAAATCAGTGCGAAGTGGAATCTTGCGTACAAAATCAAAAATGTGTGCATAAATTGTAGATATGCAGTTCAAGATTTATTTACCCTCATGCGAAGATGAATTCAGCCATGAAATTATGAAATGTAGTAAGCAACTGTATAAAACCACAGAATGAAAATTTTTTAACTGTATAAATAATTCAGTTCATATTCAAACGATGGTGCTTTTGGGACATGACGTAGCAAACTAAGTAATAGTGCAGATGATAAGCGGGTAAGAATTCCATGTGTTGCATAATATACAATATTGGAATTATTCTGTATAATGCATCCGAAAATGCTCAAATGAATGACTAATTCATGCATCGTTTTACGTAATTAGTGTACATGTACAACGTTAACAGTTGTTCCCGCGATAGCGCTTCACATTAACCAGACAATCACTTATTGCAATATTTATCGAGCAATTCTACTTATTCTTAAACGCAGTCTCGGCATACGAGTACCGAAAGATAAGGATATTATTGTTTGTTGTGTAATATCTATCGTTAATTCGATTACAGTATTTGATTTTCAAAATGCGACTACATCATAGTGTTTCCTAAAGTGATAAAAATCCGATAAGCTTAAACTTCTGTTCGGAACTCACGTCGTTTCGCTTTACAGCTTCATAAGTACAACTTATACAACATAGGTATACGATATTGCCGCTTCGAATAAAAGATCAAAATGACGCTACAGTTGCACAACAAGTGATTAAAAAACTGAAAATCACTGAAGCACATTTCTGCCTGGTTTTACATGTATATGTATTGTATGCAGAATACAAAACCTGTCGTGAGAATAGAGAAAACACAAATGTTTGAAATTATTACGATCTTCGTCATGATTCTCCTACGCACGTAGTTTTATCCACGTAGTATCCACTGCGCCTTTTGTTAGCGTAAAAATTAACTGCAAAAGTTTTCAAAATAAAATATATTATTCTTTTGTTTTAATGTATATATGTGTGGAACACACCTGATAAAATTATGGGAGTATTCTATTTGTATATGTACAGAGTTATAAACCACACATTAATAACCGCATTTAATTATTGCCGCAAGGCAACTGTAGCACTTTATTAGTAGTAGGTATTTTCAGCGCTTTTCTTTTGTTGCCACTTGTTTGATACATTAGGTGGTACCTGCCTACGAAACGAGATTAGCTCGCATGCACCGGCAAGTAAATGTGCGTTCGATAGACCGCCGCAACTTCAATTTCCGGTCTCACGTTGATTAGAGTGCTTAATAGTTTATGCATGAAAGTTATCCCACAGTACTTAAGTACAGTACTTAGGTATATGACTGTTCGCAATGTTTAAAATCCACCAGAATTTGAACGATAAATCTCTTCACTGACCACTGTTTTGAATAAAAATAATTTACTAATTTTGTAATTCTTGAAATGAAGTTTATAATGCACAAACTAATGCAGGGATAATCCCGAATTTTTGGGGAAGCGGAAACCGTTCAGTATGCACGTGCGCGCTGAGCGCGCATTGGATAACCGGCAGCCGCCCCATATCGCACCGATAGTGCGCTCATACAAGTGCCTTTCCGGTCCGCACTGCCGAACTTCATGATCGAACTGCACTCACCAGTCAGTAGTACGTGATTGTACGACTTCGTGTATAGCCACAGTGAAAGGGAAGAGAGAGAGAGACTGAGGCAAAGAGCGAGAGAGAGAAATCGCGCACGCATATCTGAATGCGGAATTTATTTTATTCCAGCGCGCCCGAAAAACGCTGGCTACCAGAAAAGGCAGACCTTGGATGTGGAGTTTCTCATTGCAAACTAGGATGCTGTGTATATGTGTATTGATTCAGTGAGGCCTGTGTAGCGTTCCTGTTACCACACACACTCACTCTCTCTCCCACACTCGGCGCGCTCTCACCGTGAATATAATATCCTTTTTGCGAAAAACTGCCAACTGTGTTAATTACGCTCCTTGATGATATGGCCGGGGCAGTGTGTGTTGCGCGCGCAACCCGTTAATGTTTGATGGCTGTGTACCCCGCGCGTTGGACGCTGCCAGCGATACGTCCATATTAGCCATCATTCCCTCTTTGCATTGCGCTGCCGCATTTCGATCCGCATCCATCGGCAATCGCAATTTTATTGGCGAGCGTATATAGTGCAGCGACGTACTGCAGCAGGATTTGACTGAGCCGTGTGTTCGACTCTTCCCCGTTTGATTTCCCCTTCCTCCATCAGTGTGTGACGAGTAGGCTTTGCTGTGTAGAGTTGTGTGTCTGTGTGTATATACACTTTTACCTGCTGGATGCTGTTGATCAGACGGCAGTGGGGAGAAGACGAGTATGATATTGTCCCTTCGTTGCAGGAACTCGATCGCTGTGTGAAAAAACTCATGATGGCACTTCCCAATAATAACCTCCAGAATCATACCACCAAATTCACCGATAATTATGAGCTCAAGGAGGAACTCGGCAAGTAAGTATCGTCTCCGAATTTTTGACATTTTCCCTTCTTTTTCTTACGGAAATTTTGCGTTTGTGGAATTGTTTCGCTATCTTTGATTTTTGCTTGGTTTGTGACTTGGTATTTTCAGAAATATCCCCTGCGCAATGGTTTTGAAAAATGGTGTAGTTATGTAATTCAATATAGTAATATACGTGAGAGACGATGGAATTCTTTGGCGTTCCGCGCGTTTCTGCTTTACTTCGCTGATAATTTGCATTAAATCAAGTTGGGAATTTTTTCTTTTGCTTTGGAAAAAAAATTCACAGCTGAGAAGTTAATATGGTTTAAATTAATTTTTGCTAATACAATTTTTTTCTTTTCTACAAGCTGTGTTTTTTGTCTATTTTATCGTATGTTAACATCATATCGTTTTTCGTTTTTTTGGGCTTACAATTGTTAGCGCTTTTATCATAATGGAAATTGGTTTTAAACGCTGCACATTGTGCCTTGTGCGCAGAATCAGGAGTATTTTGTCTCTGATTCGCGGTGTTTGGCATTTGACATCTGAGTGTGATGGTGGATATGTGTATTTTCAGTCAGGCGGTTGTGGCAATTAATAGGCTAAGAAAAATGCTGGCACAGCCAAAAAAAGCATCAAGTGTGTTACTTGTTATTTTTCCTCCCGGTGTATTTCTCCCATGTACGACGAGAGGCATGCAGTAACTGAATATCGGTGCTAATTTGAGAAGTGCTCTCCCCTCATTTGCAGGAAGTTTCCGTTTTTGTATGATATCTTTGCGCTTTTTGGTTGAGAGGTTTCTCAAAAATTATTTAATCGGTTGTGTCATTAGACACAATTTCGGAAACTGATAACGAAAACAAGGTATCACTTATCGGTCTTTCTGCGTGTCGGATCGCTTTTATCCATTTATCGTATTACAAAATTTTCGATAACATAACTTCGGATTGTATAATAGAGTTTTTTTGTTTGATGCACAGTACTACTTTTTTGAAAATTCATAAGTTGGTGAAATAGTTGCGCAAATATTTTATCAATCGTTTTGCTTTGTCCTTTAATAAGCGCCTGTATATCCTGCAAGGGCCATATGTGGCAATTAATTATTAAGTGACTAGTGAGTAGAGAAAAGAAAGTAGATCGGTTTTCTGGATGAGTTGGCATGTGACGTGCAGCGGGACAAGATGAGCGGAAGTTGGCTAAATTTTCCTCCATCCAACTGTGCCGCTTGGATGTAGCAGTACACAGACAAAGGACCGACTATCATCATATCACACCCGCAGCCACAGAAATATCGGTCTCCCGGATTTACTATGTTTTATCCCCGTGATAATATAAATATTTGAAAACCGGCTTTTTTCTTAATACGCCGCATTGAGCACGACATAATGGGGAGCGTGTTGGAAATCCGCCCGACTTCCTGCTTGGTTTAGCCGAGAGATTTTGTGTGTCGCGGTGGTCGTCGAGAGAAAAAAAGCGCCACCATATGCTGCATCCAGGGTAATGCCTTTCCCTGACAGCATTATGCACGCACGTACACCGTATATTACACCAGACGTGTATGCGCCGATCCGACAGAACAAAATCAACCTGAATTGATGCGGGTGTAATAACAATTGACGGCCGAATGAAACTTATCCCCGTCCACCGGTGCATGGATGAGTTGCGAGAGAGTGGTTGGGTATAAACTGGGAATGCGGTGCGGGGTACAATACATTTGTCATGCACACAAGTCAGCAAATACGGCCACTCCAGTGGCGCGCGGGCCCGTGTGTGCAGCTGGCAGCATTTGCAACATTGGTAGGATTCCCTGTCGATCATCGATGCCGTTGCAGGAACGCGTGCATGTGCCGGTGTGATTGGGGATGGGGGAAATGGATAATGCCAGTGGGATGTGGCGGTGTCCTTGCTGTGCTGTGTTTTCTGACAAGAGGGTCGTAGTTTGCCGGCTGTTGCCGCGGTGTATTGGGTTTACAGGTTAAGCGGCACCGCTGCATTGAGTTTCTTCTCCTTTACAGTGTTTGCGTTGTTGCATATCAGAAAAGCACAGCAATTGCAGCACAAAAAAATCTGAAATTTGTTGCACAGCGAGTGTCATTCAAAAAGAGGTTTTTTTCAAAATTGTATTGGAATGATATAATTTAAAATATGAATCCGGAGCATGGAATTGCAATAAATTGAGTTTGTTCTGGCATATCTTACAGTTCTCGTAATATGAACGGTTATCCATAACACGTGATAGTGAAAGCGAATGTTTTTAGTCTTACCGAGTAATTAACGGTGCCTTACCTTCTCCCCGTAGGATATCGGAGCTACGTAGCTTTATTTTTGTTCGTTGTTCCCAGCTTCATCTACGTGCACGAGTACCATCAATAAGGATGAATCAAATCGAAGGTATTTTCAGCCATTCGCAGTACCTTTATTATGGCTAGTAAATTCTTTATTCGAGTGTGGAAACATTTCTGATGCCATGCATCTGTTTCACCATTACGATTTCACCATTACGAGTGCATGATTTATCCTGTCAGGTTAGGATATCCGGTATCCCATGGGTGAATAACACCGGCACGGTGTACATCTATTCCGTCGATGACAGATACTGCGATAGGGGAATCCCGTTTTTGTTCGCAGCTGGATGTAATCGGATGTTATCATTAATTATCCACAGAGGAAACGCGTAGTATTACATATTGACAGCCCATTTCAGGTTAATGATAGTGCGCGAGGGGATGTTTTTGTGTGAGTGGGAACGGCGTGGATTCTCGGTAGCACACTGCCTCGCACCGCCATATGGTGGTTCATAATTGATACCGGTAATAGTTTTAATATAATTTTTTCCCCACATTTCTTTGAAATTTGTAATAATCCCGGCAATCGATACCGAGCATTTTGCCTGGTAGGCGCTCTCGCTGATGGAGATTATTAGCTGGTTTTGCCTGGCAGAAAATGATGGTGGTATTTAGTCAGAATCGGATTGCTGGGGTAGAAATTTGTCCGACTTTGTGCATGGGTTGCAACGATAATGGGCATTACAAGGCGGAAAGTGGGCATTGGATTTCAATTTTTAATCCGGTTGTTTATGAGTTACAGGCGCACACGGCGGGTTTTCATTATATAGCCGACGTGGCTTGTTTTTCGCGTACACCACGGGGAATTACATAACCATGGTTGGTGGGGTCGTTGTGGCTGCGTGTGTCTGTTTGATTATGCAGCATAACGCAGATTGTCAACCGAGCGTAATGATGATGTTGACCGGAGAGTAGTGTGTGCGTATGAATTCTGCAAAGGGAAGAGAAAACTGACAATGATCCACTGCTTTGGGTATATGCATGAGCGGTACAGAGAAAAGGCCGAGAAAAATATTTAATATGAATTATCCAACGATAATTTCCCCCTTAAATATTTTGCATGTGATTGTAAGCAGGGGTTGTGTGCATACAGCGGAGAATCATTTGTTGGGGATAAAATGGGGCTTTGAAGAGTGAGATTTAAATTACGATGGTAAAAGGGCCGCTTATAGATGGAGAAAGTAGATTGTTCCCGGTATTGTTTCGTCATGGAGTCAATCCTGTCTGTCAAAACGCTCGATCATCCTCTTGGGCTCATTTCAGTGGATGTTCCTGCCACGCCTCCCTGCCCGGGATAGCAAAAAAATGCACCGCACACACACGCACAGTGCATTACAAAGTATATTGCCCAGCACTCGATTTCTCCTTTCTTGCACACGAATTGCAGGGAAAAATGCCGTGCGTGCGCTCTTGCCGGTTTTTTTGCTCGATGCAAATGAGAGGGCGCTGACGGTGAAATAATTACATTACGTTGCGTAATAACACATGTGGTTGATTTGCAAGAAGTTCCTGAAAAGTGATACGCTGCAGCCTCTTAGTAATGGCTTACGATTTATGCTATGCTGTTGAATCTTGACTTTTTAAAAATTTAGTCTACTCTAGGGGGAATATCATTAGCACAAGATCACGAAGCAATGTAAATTATTGTGAAAGGGAACTGAAATTTGCTGTGGCAGTGTGTGTGACCAGGGATATTTGATCGGCTTTCGGCAGCACTAGTTTTCCACCTGTGGGTTTTGATATACTCTTAACACGCTGTATTTTAAAATTTGCAAATTTTATACTGCGTTCGAATATTTTTTCATCATGTTATTCAAAGATAGTTATGCATTACTATCCAATTTGCATTTTGAATTGTGACTGATATGGTCATTTGTGTATGGCTGTATGCAGTATGCACTGTGCATTGTTTCGTGTGCCATGCATGCTGCGATAAGTTCATCCTTATGTCATTCAGTTCGTTCCTTTTGTAAAAGAGAACCTGATTGTATGCTAATCATAAACGACAATATTGATATGGGATAATCTGATAATTGTAACTTTTGTTTGTTGACAGAGGCGCCTTCTCCATTGTACGAAAATGTGTACACAAAATCACCGGAATGGAATTTGCGGCCAAAATCATCAACACCAAAAAGCTTTCACAAAGAGGCAGGTTTTCAGATTTTTATACTGACGTAATTTCTGGAAAGGTTTCTGTCAGAAAGTCATATCCACCTTTGACCAAAAGTACCTTTATTAAACTGCTTTATAATCATTTTTTACAAAATGTAATTTACTTGATATGTTGCGGTACGACGGCAAGTTAGCAACATTAATAAGTGAAATTTTCGTACGGTTCGATGGACAGCTTTCCCGCATCGGGAAAGCGCAGACGAAGTCGGCGATAATGTGGGGATTAAGGCAATTGGCGTGAGCATGTGGTATTGGGTGTTTGGTTAATTATTTGTATTTTTGTTCTGGCAAATTGGCGTAATGGCCTATAATGGAGTCCGCAGAGGAGGAAAGACGGGGAGCGAGCGATCGGGCAAGGGATGCGGATGATAGCATGTCGCATTCATTGGGCTGATGGGGGGGATTGAGAGAGAGAGAGACAGGGGAGGAGATCAAGGGATACGGAGGCCTTCGCCAGATTGTCTGTGAAGCATGAATATTTGCGCAAGCGATTTTGATCGAATTTCTCCTGTATATATGTAATATGTATGTATGTCCTTTCGTACGCCGCGGCTGGAGTCGGCGCGTCGTGGTATATTGTACTGGGAATTGGCAAACGTCAAATGTGCAAGTGCGTTAGTCCGTAACGCCTGTAGGCCTGCTGGTTCGCACGCTCGACGCCTATCGATTTGATAATGCATTCCCCATGCTAAGCAGTGGATCGGCGCGCGCAACGCGGGTCGCCACTGACGATCTCCGTCGCCGTATCGAATGTACGCGAGCAGCGTGTTGAAAATATGTTGTCTTCATCGGTGACATGAGGGCGGACATGTTTGCATTTGTACGCTTCTCGTATGCGTATCGGCAATGAGATGAATTAAATATTAGTTCCAGAAGCAGGAAAGAAACTTGAAAAGAGAACCTTGATAACCTTTCTGTTTTTGTGTTTTTTTCGTAATAATAATGATTACCATAACGATTGTTTTTGGAAAGTTAGAAAGGAAAAAGGAATTACGGAAACCGTAAGAAAAACGAGCATTTTGGCATAATTTGCAGAGAGTGGAAGTGAGTTATCGAGTAGTTTTATTGAGTCATTTGTCAGCTTCTCTAACGGCAGATTTCCACTGAGGTTGTTTCTAATGAACAGGATGATGTTTTTTTGTCACATTGGTTGGGTGCGGCCTATCCGACATATTCATGATCAGAAAGCATTGCCCGCTCCATGTACTGATCGATTATCGAATGATGGAAACTGCGCTTTTGGCATTAAAAAATCATTGCAAATTAAATCGCGGGCGATGCCGGGATATGTACGTGTTGAAGGGGTGGCTGTGGCAAAAATCCCGCCGCCATCCATTTGGTCAATGTCGTGTTGGCTTTGTGAGCGGGTTTATATGTGAACCCGGCAGCCATCAATCAATTAGGCCCGACACAAAAGATTCCTCGGGACGGGAATAATCATTTTGTCAAATTGCGCTAAAGCGTAATAGGCCAGTATGTATTGGCCTCGCGTGTAGATGAGGGACTACGATTGAGAGAAAACAAGAAAAAAGAGGGGAAAAATGCAGTTCATCAAGGCCGGGCGCGTGGTGAAAATTTTGGGGAATTTTTTGTGTTGCCTTTCATCCGGAAGTGGTGGGATGTGTAGCGCACTTGTATGTGCAGTGTGGTGTGCGGGCGCGGCTGGTTGGACTGTGAACCGGCACCATATGGTGCCCGGAAGACACGTTACTTGCATTGACGCATTGATTTGTCCTGGTAGATGGCCGGGTAAGCGGATTAGCCGGGGCCGGATGAAAATAAAGCACTTAGGATTTTTGGGCAAATGTGCCTCCGATGGCATCCACACACACACGTAGATATATACTGGCGCAACAGAACAGCGGCGGACAGTTGGTGCCCTCGGCTAATTGATAGGATAGAGCTGGGTTTCCTGTTTACGGATATGCGCCACTGAGGTGGAGAAGAGGGAGATGTGAGCGTTAGGTTTCTCTGTATTGCCGGTGTAATGTGTGGGGTCCGAGTAGCGGTTGATTTATGGCGGTGGGATGTTTGACGCGGATGAAAGTAATTGTCAGGTCTTTGAATCGAAGCCGGAAACCGGCGGAGTTGGACTGGCAGGATTTTTCGTGCGTAAAAAAGCATGGGTTACGGATGGTTAGGAGGCCCGGAAGTGTAGTCAGCCATGCGTATTGATTATGTGAGTTTTGTTCTTGCCACTCAATTGCTGTCTGCAGTTCTTCAGGCTTCGATTTGTTGGCGGGGTTTAATCAGGTTCCTTTCAACTAAACATTTTTTCCAGGAACTGCATTCGCTCGATAAAGTTTTTCCATTAGTATTTATTAAAGAGTTTATACTGCACAAACAAACTAGACTATAATTAGGTTCGGATTTTGTGACTGTATGCTGAAAACATAGAATAATGCGCTTTATGATTTGCAGATTTTCAGAAACTTGAACGCGAAGCCAAAATTTGCAGACGGCTGAATCATTCTAATATTGGTGAGTCTTCTCCAGCATAAACGTGACCTACTCGTAGGATGAATATCAGTCAACTGCAGATCTGATAGCTATAACGACTGTGTTTTTTTTGGATTTCAGTGCGTCTTCATGACAGTATTCAAGAGGAAAATTTCCATTACCTTGTCTTTGATCTGTAAGCCGGAAAATATGTACTTTCAATAAATTTGGTTTGGGAAAGTTTATTTTTCCATGCCTCAAGGTGAAGAATTTTATTTTGATTGTTTCAAGTGTTTTCTGTTATTATTAGGGTAACGGGTGGAGAACTGTTTGAAGACATTGTGGCGCGGGAATTCTACAGTGAACATGAAGCCAGTAAATGTATACAGCAGATCCTCGAGAGTGTTAACCATTGCCACACGAATGGCGTCGTCCATCGTGACCTTAAGGTGACTTGTTTGTGAAGGAAATGTGCCGCTTGGTGTAAGTGTGCGTCTTCTTTTACAGCCAGAGAACCTTTTATTGTCCAGTAAATCGAAAAATGCCGTGGTGAAATTGGCCGATTTCGGCTTAGCCATTGAAGTGAACGGTGATCAGCAGAGCTGGTATGGATTTGCCGGCACGCCCGGCTACTTGTCACCGGAAGTCCTCAAGAAGGAACCCTATGGCAAACCGGTGGACATTTGGGCTTGCGGTACGTTCGCTAAAATTCCTTAAATAAGTTTACGCTTATGAACTTGCTTTAATAGCTACTCTAGTAAATAAATAATTTTTTTGTATTTTGATTTATTTTATGGTAAACTAGGTATGCGGTCTTTTTGTGTGTTTACTATTGTGGAAACAAATGTTCTTGTCATCGAAATAAAATAGGTCATTCACCAGATTTTTAAATTAAAGGGCTTTTACCTTTTCTTACGTTGCATGGCCTTTCGTTCCTGATCTTGCGCGCATTGCCTTCTCTACGCCTGAATTAACTGATTTGTGGTTCGATTATTTTCGGAAATGTCATTTATAATGGTTCACCGCTGTACTGCTGTATTGTTTTAATACTTTGAATGGGTCTCTCATGTTGTGGAATGTCTGTCGCATTATTCTGCTTTGTTGTAGGCGTTATCCTGTACATTTTACTGGTGGGCTATCCTCCCTTCTGGGATGAAGACCAGCACCGGCTGTACGCACAGATCAAGAGCGGCCACTTTGAGTATCCGTCCCCCGAGTGGGATACGGTGACCAGGGAGGCCAAGGACCTCATCAATCGCATGCTGACCACCGACCCCAAAAAGCGCATCACCTCCGCGGAGGCCCTCAAACACATGTGGATCCTCAAACGGGACGACATCGCCTCCAAGATGCACCGCCAACAGACGGTGGAATGCCTGCGCCGCTTCAATGCTAGACGGAAGCTGAAGGTACGCAGTGTGGAATTATTGTATGTAAGAGTAAAGGGCTTTTTTCCGGCCTTTTTTGATATGGGTCTATGTTTTACTGGGTCATGCAAAGAGTTCGTTGGAGAGTTCAGCAACTTAATACGTTTTGAACTACCTGGTACTCTTTTAATCAGTTGCTTTGAAGCGTACATGTATCGAAGCGCTTACTTATTTGACTGAAATACTCATGTTATTTATGGTATTTAACAGTTTCATTTTCCTTTAATGCAAGCAAAATCGTTTTTACTGAGTATTGTTTGGGCAAGATCTGAAAATTATTAGTAGTGAGTGACCTTTGTATTGCGCATTTCGACGGCAAAGCGAGTTTACGTTAACGTTAACTTGAACGATTTACTGAAGAGCCTTTCTCGGTATGGCAGGAAAATTGCATTTTTAGTTTCCTTATGTCTAGAGTTAGTAATTTTTTGGCTTGGAATCAGAAAATCGCAGATCTGCTCTACGATTCTGATGTTCATTGATAGTGACGGTGTCGTTCCCACAGTTTGGGCCTGCGATTTCCGGCGTTAGCCGCTCTTGAACAACCATTTGGTACATCTTTGATTTGTTAAATAATTTTGTACTACAAGTGCCGAGTGGATGGGTTAACTAACTTCTGGGGAAGGCAACCAAGCAGGAAGCCGAATATCGTTACCTACTCTAGTCTATTTTGGGAAATATGGCTGTGACGACCAAAACCGTATGGTATGAAAATGTGCGCGTATGAATCGTGCGCTTGTTGTTTTTTACTCGACGGCACACGCTGATGGCACTTGAGCTATGGCAGAAATGCAGTTTGTTTACCATATCATACGGAATTAGAAGCTCGGCCATTCTGCAGTGGTAGGCGCGTTTATCTTTCCTTTCACCGAAAATTCATAAGACCGGATGTGATACATGTTGCAGTTTTGGCAGTTTGCGGAATTTCAGAGTCGTTGCGCCGTTGTCGTCGGCGGCCGGATAGTTAATTGTGTTATCGCTTAATATTTTCTGGTCATTTCCATGTCAGTTCAGATTTCTTCGTCGGCGCATATTCCCAGTTGCATAACATCCCAAAGTGGGGTGGATGCGATGATGAACTAGTTGGCAGTATGTGAGCAGCTTCAACCGCGGAAAAAAATCGCAACCATCTCGCGCTCTCATTTGCCACTGCGAAAATAGCTGCAGCTGCCCGTTCAGCTTTCAACGTACACATTTACGCGCCTGCCGACGATCGGTGCGCATAAATTTTCTCCTTGCGGACTTGAGTGTGGTGGTGTGTGTGTGCATTTGGAATTTTTGATCGGATATATCGTGGTGCATGGTCATGGAATGGGGTCGGCTGTTTAAGTCGTCTTCAGCGGAGAATAAGCGTAAAACCAGCAGCTCTGATATCAATAAGATCCAGCCGGTGACCAGCACCCCGTCCTCCCCATCCCCGGTCAAAGGGAATGATCACGCGCCCGCCAGTGTGGATGGTGGGAACAGTGTTAGTGGTAGCAGCCACAGCAAGCCCTTTCCCATCTCCCCGGTGCTCCCGCAGCGCACCAAAACCCAGATTGTCCAGCTGACTAAGGAGGTGGAAGTGCGCTCCTCCCCGGTAGCCAATGCCGCCAAGGCTGTGATCGATCGGAGTCTTGTGGAGGTGCTTGATCACTACTCTCTCGTGCTGGCAAAAACATGCATTTATTAGACGAATGTGTATTCTTGGTTATTGTTAGTTGTGCGGCGCTGTTGATCGGTATAGTAGATAGTGGGCGTAAACGTGATAAATATGCACCAGCGCCCGGTCAAGGCGATGCGACGGTCGATGTCGCAACGTCGGTTTTTGAGGAGTTTGTCCAATTGGTCCAGAGTTGTGTGGATTATCTGTGGGCGGTGTCGGGATATGTTCTATTGCTTATTGCGGTAAATGGGTGTGTTAGTGTTCTGCTTTCTTACTGCACCGTGAAAGTTTTAGAAAATTGCTATATGCTTGACATTTTGATACGGTTTATTTCGGGTTGGGATTGTTTACTAGGCGAGTGGTTTGCGGTATTTTGGAGGTTAGAATGTCAAGTGAATTTCAGGATTAGCGAGGCTAAAATTCAAGGAGCAACTGCTTGGTGTTATATGTTTAGTGCACATGAATATGGTGCACGTGAAGATGTTGCTTTGATTTGATTTGCGGATTTTTTTTTCAATCGATAAATTTTAGGATGCAGTTGATCTTTCATGTTTTTGTGTAACATCTCTCGCCTTATTTGATATCGCTAAGGAGACGACGCGGGCTGCCTGGATGAACAATTGATTGACGATCTTTGTAATCGGAGAAGCACTTTGCTCCGATCTCAGCCAATCCTGGCGTAAAGTCGAGGAGAGGTTAATGAGAAACGGCAGCCCGACTGCTTTTTTGTCTTGGGCTTTTAGAGGACAGCTTCTGTTGAAAATGACACGAGAAGGATGTGCTGGTAATACGTCTTTTGTAACGCTGAATGTGTATGTAATCTGATTGGCCAGTGAATAGACAGAGCGGATTTCTGTTCTCAGCACAGTGCTGATTGATGCGAAATACTGTAGATCTACTGCCTGTGTGTGTACTTGTCAGGGCAGTATGAATAAATAGAATCTGATTGGTTTAAGTGAGCCGTAATGTTGTACTATATGTACGCAGGGCGCCATTCTGACGACGATGCTGGCCACCCGCACCAGCTTCGCCGCGCCCAAATACGACGCCAACAGTCGGAGTCTGACGGCCAAGAAGGTGGATGTTGTCGCCAAGGAGAATGCGGATGAGAATTCCGCCGCCACACCGGCCAGTACCAGTGATACGATTGTGGAGGAGGATGGTTTTGAGACACCGAAAACACCCCACGGACCCACCGTCATCAACAGTGTGGCCGGTTTGATGGACAATCATCGCGGCGGTGCGGATTCTGCGCCCGTCAGTCCCAGTGTCCTGACGGCGAAAAAGCTGGAGATTATCCGCATCACGCAGGCCCTACTGGATTTCATTAGTGCGGGAGATTTTGATGCATATTCGTAAGTTGTCATAACTCAACTTTAGTAAATATGCAGTATACAGGATTGTGATTTCATTTCGACTGTGGGGTAGTGTCTCTTGGGTTTTATCGGCTCGATCGCGTTGTGAACTTTGGGTTTGTCAACTGCGTAGGCGGGTGTCGTGCGCGCTGTGTCGAAAAAGCCGAGATAATCCATTTAGCCTACTTGTCCGTAGTCGGAGACGGCGAGACGCTGCACACAAACGCCAATCAGTTCGCGCAGAATTTGGCTACATTTTGCCAGTTATTTACAAGCTTGTTGAGTACCCCTATTAAACAGTAAATACGAAATACAAGAATCGCTGCACATTGATTATCAAATGGTTTCCTTTCGCGCCGTATGACGCATCCATTTTGTTTGCATGGTAATGAAATCAGTAAATTTTAATTATTTTGTCTAGTACACCCTGTTATAAAAACTTTATACGTGATATCTTGATTTAGACTGAAAAATGTTAATGAAATTTTATGCATTTTGTTCAGAAGTGTTAAACTAATTCCACGTAAATTTGGCTTCTGGTTTGGATATGTAGGTGTTATGTAATGAATGCAAAAGTTAATTTAAATGCACATGAAAAACTTGGGGCATTCGAATGATTCAGTCTTGAAAAGTTGACAAAGTAAGTAATTCAGACAGTATTACTCGTAAATCAATTTTTCGTTCGGCTTTGAGATACATACACAACATTGTAATACATTCTCGTTTCTTTTGCAGAAAATTCTGTGATCCTTCCCTTACCGCCTTTGAGCCAGAATCACTGGGAAATCTCGTAACCGGGATGGATTTCCATAAATTCTACTTCGATAACAGTAAGCTGCGTTATCTGTTAATGCTGATATGTAATTTTGTGAAACGTTGCATGTCATTCGAGAAAAAACGGGCATTTATGATGCTTGCAGATTCGCATCGTGGATCAAAGTCCGTGCGATCGACCATGCTGAATCCGCAGATTCACCTCATGGGCGACGATGCCGCCTCCATCGCCTACATCCGTCTGGTCCAGTGTGTTGACAAGTGAGAAAATTATCGCAAACAATTGCTCATATTAAGATAATCATGGTGCAATGATAATTTGGCATGTGATGATTTTTTGTAGATCTGGTGTTGTGTCGTCACAGTCATTTGAAGAAAGCCGTGTATGGCATAAGCGCGAGGGACGATGGCAGTTGGTCCATTTTCATCGCTCAGGCGGTCGTCTCTCCACCAAAATCCCCGCATAAAATGTGGAGAAAGGCAGAGACAAAAAATCTCCGTGGATCCGGCTTCGTTTTTTCTACTTACAATCCCCCGTTTTAAATCCTGAAATAAATTGTGATGGTTCAGAAACGCTGAGCAGTGGATTTCCGTCAAAAGAGAAACCCCATTTTAATCCAACCAGCGCGGAACGTTTACCATTTTACTTCAGTCTGCTTTTCGGTCTCGTTTAAAGATTATTTCTTTCTGAAAATACTAGTTCCTGTTGCGATGTTCGTCGGTGTTTCGCGCGCACCATTGCGCGACGCGGAAACGGTACTGGATACTTTTATCGGGTGCCAATCAAACCAAAATTCCAGTTTGTTTGTTTGTCCTTGGCCTGTGTGTCCGGGTAAAAAAGGACAGTGTGACATCCATTCTGGACAACCTGGCAAGCTAGTGGTAGTGATGATGATTTTATTTTGTTTTTGACAAAAAAATGTTAGCGCGTCTGGCATAGTTTTACAAAGTTTTAAACGGCACGGTGTATGTTGATGGTGGTTGAGAATTTTTCCTCCTTTTTGTGGTTTGGATTAAGTATATCTTTTATTGTTTTAGCCGGTTGCTCTGCTGTCCTCTTTCTCCTACAGGTTTACTTTAAATATCGGCTAAATTATTTAATGAATTGGAAACGTTACTTAGTTCCGGTATTGTGAATAAACGAGAAAATCGGTTCGGAAGGGATGGGTTTATTTTGTTAGATGATAAACATTTTTAACATCACAATCATGAAACTAAGTAGCACTTGTAGACACTAGATCATCACGACTGATCGAATCCTGCTGGAGGGTTGGGATGCGTGTTATTTATGCAATTCGGTTCATTTAACGCAGCGTCTTGTTCAGTGACGGCGTTCACACATCCACTCTAACATGCAATCCATTGGAAGTGTCGCTGTTCAGAGTTTAAGCGTAAGCATGAATATGAAAATAAAGCGAAAACTTTCGTTTTGTTCTTCGACAGCTAAAAGGGTTTGTGATAGTTTAGTTTGTTGTTGTCAGGCATAGTTTTAGATTAGTTGATGCTCAGGTACGTTTTAACTTTGATGCTGTAATGGTGAGAAACTGATGCTTGTAGCGGCAGCATATTTGCTAATCTACAGCTCAGCAGTTAAAATTTTACTATTTCTAGGAATGAAACTTGTGAAACTTTTAATAAGTATCGCAATTAAAAAACAAACGAAGTATCAAAACAAAAAAAGACTACTATTTTTGAATATTTATTTTACAAGGAGCGTGCACTAACTCTGCAATAAAATAAAATTTCGTACAGTGCGAACGGAATAAAATTTCGTACAGTGCGGACGAAATAAAATTTCGTACAGTGCGAACAGTGCAGTGCGTGCGAACGATCCGCACAAAAGGCAGCGCCCACAACTACAGTAGAAAAGCCGCTTGAAAATTTAGCTGTAAATTACAGCCTTCACACAAGTAAATTTTTGACGACACTTGCATAAGCACTCAGGTTTAGACTTTGATTAGAACTAACCAGCACTCGGGTTAAGACTCTGATCAGAACTAGCATCAGTACTCAGGTTTACACTCAGGTGAGCACTAGCAATAGCATTCTGGTTTAGAAACTTGAAACTAAAGACCACATAGGCATAGCCATGATAGTTACAATTAACCACCGTTGCGTTTGACCCCCCAAAGATTCAGGTCCATGAACAGATTCTAAATTTGTTCCGAATTATTCCATTCTAACAAGCTATTTGAACCTAGCCTGAACCGGCTACCGATCACTTCGGCCGTTTTTCCTATTGGCCGCAATTTACTTCGGCCAGAGTACATTTTGGCTGCCAAAACTGAACCGTGTAATCTAAGTCCTTGTTATATGCCAAATTTTGATCTGTTTCAATTTCATTTCGGACGCACAATCTGTCTGAGCACAGTGTGTATGATTACAGTGTTACTGTAACCACCATGTCTAAATCTCGATGACACGAAGTCACCGTCACGAGAGAGTACTAAAAGCCTAACCGTATGACACATAGGGACACAGAAAATGAAAAAATCTTCATATCGTAAAACAAATAATAATAACCAAAGAATATCTATGAAATCACAGAAAGCTTAAGAAAAAATAACAAATCATTAGAAAACCTAAAAAAAATTAAAAACCTGAGAAACCATAACAAATTTAAGAAACCTAAGAAAACCAAAGAAACTAAGAAATCTAATAAACTAAAAAACCTAAGAAAACTAAGAAACCTAAAAAAGCCATAAGAAAGTTAAGAAAACCTAAGAAACCCAGGGAAACTAAGTAAACTAAGAAACCATAACAAATTTTGGAAAACCTAAGAAATCCTAAGTACATTAAGAAACTTAAGAAACCTAAAAAGCCTAAGAAGCCATAATAAACCTAAAAAACCTTAACACAACCTAGAAAACGTAGGAAACCCAAGAAACTTATGGTAGCTGAAACGTTCAGTTGCCGAAGTGAGGTTGGCCGAATTGAGTGTTGGCCGAAGTGAACCTATGCAGCCAAAATTTAACGCCGCCGAAGTGATCGAACGCGATTTGAACCATAACTAATACTTCAGCTATGCATTTTTTACGCACCTTATTTCTTTAAAGGCATCAGTATCGGTTGCAGAAATAGAAATACATTTACTGGTTAAAAAAGAATTTTTTGTTGTTGTTCAACCATCGTCTTGTTCAGGCCTAAAGAATGAAATTTAAACAGTTGCTTTTTCAAAAGGAAAAACACTTGCTTCAATTTTTTGGATGATAGTAACTGGTCAGCAAATGGCTAGCTTGACTTCTTTTTGAATGCTTTTTTCGTTCAGACCTGAAACGTAAAATTTAAACAGTTGTTTTTGCAAAAGGAAAAGTTTGCTTTGAGCTCAATTAAAGACGCATAAACCTTTATTTAACAGAATTTTAGAAACATTTAGATTTTGTTACTTTCCTCAACTTGCACTTTTCAACAACACCAATATGAGCACTCGGGTTAAGACTCTGATTAGGACTAACATCAGCACATGGGTTAACACTCTAGAAAGCACTGACAACAGTACTCTGGTTAAGGCCGGATTCACGCTGACTTCTATCTATCGGTTTTTCTATTGAGACACGGCCCAAAACGGCCGGTTTCTTAGCAGTATGCGTGAACGCGGCACCCTCTTCTAAATAGATACCTAAATAGGGAGCAGAATTGCGTTCACACAGGCACCTTTGAATAGGTGCAATAAAAGTTGTTGTTTAGGCGCTTGCGATAGTCAGCGGGGTCTGTGTGAACACAAGCCACCTATCTAGATCTGTATACCTATCTGTAGTTAAATGAATTACTGTACTGAATTATAATCGAATAAAATCGCAAAATTGTATTTATTTTACTGTTTATGAAGATCGATTGCCAAGTATTATAAATTACTAGGAAAGTGCACTCGCTTTTTGCGGGCACTGCATGACCGAAGCGTAGCGTGCTCGCATCACGGTTTTTTTCCGGAATGAACCATTTAAAGCTGCCTTCTTCAAAGTTAATAATTTGTCAAAGAATTAATAATCGCGCAGTTTTCACAAAAAACGAAGAGTGCATTTCCTGATATGGTCAAAGAACCGCCTCTTGTATTTCGACACAGGTATTTATTGTGATCAATTCCCAAAATCAATTTCTTAATTTATCTGGTGTGTAGATTCTACCTTCTTCGTTTCAAAACCGGAACGGGCTGACCCTCCTTGTTGCGATTTGTCCCATGAACATATTACGCAGCATGTCAGTACAAAACTTGAATCGAACAACGTTGTATCTGTGCACGAGCCTAATTTTTTTACTTGCTCCCTATTGAAGTTAATAACTTTCCCGGCATAATATGAAAATTTTATTGTCGCAACTCGGGCTGGTGGTAAAATATGGTTTTGGAAATACTTGCAGGTTAGAATAATGACTACTGTAGCCACCCCATGAAGTTGCTGTCAGGTAAGGACGCAGATACCCATGCCGGTATTGCGCTTGTCACATCGAGCAGCTGTGACTTTTTCCGTACTTTCGGGCAACGCAATATAATCTTATCTGCTAGATCGTAAGATTGAGATCGTGACGCGAAATGCCAAAATTGAGGTACCAAAGAAACATATCCCTGAAAATTTAATTAAGCAGCGCAGCACTTGTATATGGTACCGTACCATTGGACATTTTATCAAAAGAGATGGTGACCAATAAAGACAAATTTAGATGCGGCCTGGACATGTTCGGACAGCGCGCATCTCTGTATGTATCTGACAATAGGGGGACCATGTATGTGTGCCTTATGTGGTGGTGACCGACGGACACCATAGTTTGCTTGCGGCTTGAGTATATACGGCCAGCGCGCATATGTGCGTTTGATAGTGAACCCGCGCATATGTGCATTAGGTGGCGGTGACCGACGGACACCATAGTTTGCTTGCGTCTTGAGTATATACGGCCAGCGCGCATATGTGCGTTTGATAGTGAACCCGCGCATATGTGCATTAGGTGGCGGTGACCGACGGACACCATAGTTTGCTTGCGGCTTGAGTATATACGGCCAGCGCGCATATGTGCGTTTGATAGTGAACCCGCGCATATGTGCATTAGGTGGCGGTGACCGACGGACACCATAGTTTGCTTGCGGCTTGAGTATATACGGCCAGCGCGCATATGTGCGTTTGATAGTGAACCCGCGCATATGTGCATTAGGTGGCGGTGACCGACGGACACCATAGTTTGCTTGCGGCTTGAGTATATACGGCCAGCGCGCATATGTGCGTTTGATAGTGAACCCGCGCATATGTGCATTAGGTGGCGGTAACCGACGGACACCATAGTTTGCTTGCGGCTTGAGTATATACGGCCAGCGCGCATATGTGCGTTTGATAGTGAACCCGCGCATATGTGTATTAGGTGGCGGTAACCGACGGACACCATAGTTTGCTTGCGGCTTGAGTATATACGGCCAGCGCGCATATGTGCGTTTGATAGTGAACCCGCGCATATGTGCATTAGGTGGCGGTGACCGACGGACACCATAGTTTGCTTGCGGCTTGAGTATATACGGCCAGCGCGCATATGTGCGTTTGATAGTGAACCCGCGCATATGTGCATTAGGTGGCGGTGACCGACGGACACCATAGTTTGCTTGCGGCTTGAGTATATACGGCCAGCGCGCATATGTGCGTTTGATAGTGAACCCGCGCATATGTGCATTAGGTGGCGGTGACCGACGGACACCATAGTTTGCTTGCGGCTTGAGTATATACGGCCAGCGCGCATATGTGCGTTTGATAGTGAACCCGCGCATATGTGCATTAGGTGGCGGTGACCGACGGACACCATAGTTTGCTTGCGGCTTGAGTATATACGGCCAGCGCGCATATGTGCGTTTGATAGTGAACCCGCGCATATGTGCATTAGGTGGCGGTGACCGACGGACACCATAGTTTGCTTGCGGCTTGAGTATATACGGCCAGCGCGCATATGTGCGTTTGATAGTGAACCCGCGCATATGTGCATTAGGTGGCGGTGACCGACGGAAACCATAGTTTGCTTGCGGCTTGAGTATATACGGCCAGCGCGCATATGTGCGTTTGATAGTGAACCCGCGCATATGTGCATTAGGTGGCGGTGACCGACGGACACCATAGTTTGCTTGCGGCTTGAGTATATACGGCCAGCGCGCATATGTGCGTTTGATAGTGAACCCGCGCATATGTGCATTAGGTGGCGGTGACCGACGGACACCATAGTTTGCTTGCGGCTTGAGTATATACGGCCAGCGCGCATATGTGCGTTTGATAGTGAACCCGCGCATATGTGCATTAGGTGGCGGTGACCGACGGACACCATAGTTTGCTTGCGGCTTGAGTATATACGGCCAGCGCGCATATGTGCGTTTGATAGTGAACCCGCGCATATGTGCATTAGGTGGCGGTGACCGACGGACACCATAGTTTGCTTGCGGCTTGAGTATATACGGCCAGCGCGCATATGTGCGTTTGATAGTGAACCCGCGCATATGTGCATTAGGTGGCGGTGACCGACGGACACCATAGTTTGCTTGCGGCTTGAGTATATACGGCCAGCGCGCATATGTGCGTTTGATAGTGAACCCGCGCATATGTGCATTAGGTGGCGGTGACCGACGGACACCATAGTTTGCTTGCGGCTTGAGTATATACGGCCAGCGCGCATATGTGCGTTTGATAGTGAACCCGCGCATATGTGCATTAGGTGGCGGTGACCGACGGAAACCATAGTTTGCTTGTGGCTTGAGTATATACGGCCAGCGCGGATATGTGCGTTTGATAGTGAACCCGCGCATATGTGCATTAGGTGGCGGTGACCGACGGACACCACTTTTTTCATAAACGCTGAACATAGAGGACCTCCGCTACGCTTCGGTCGATTAATATGTGTAAATTCAACAATTTAACAGTTCTGTATGCTTCACATACTTGTGACTGCATATAAATAATATTCCTCCCTTACGCTACTTCAGTATTTCAGTTTTTTTTCTACTATTGTTGGCCACCAGGCTTGCAGTTAATTATTACAATTAATGTATTTTCAGTTCAGTGCTTCAATAGTGAGCAAAAGTCAAAATCAGTTTTGCAGGCTCACATTTAATATTAGTATTTATTACAGTACTCGTCTATCCAGTTGGTTCATTAAATGCTCGGCATGCCATGCGCCTAATATCGGCTCACCATAATGCAGCGCTCAACCGCCCCGGCGACTACTGGCTACCGTCACAGCGGGCGGATGCGTATATCGCTGCCTGCTGCTACCGTGGGCGGTTGCCAGTTGCCGATACAACGGGCGGTTGCCCCGGTGCTCCGTCTGCAGCACAGTGTTTATAGGTACATAACTATTATACAGATATAGATATTGTTATTATCGTACAATACATTGTACATTAATTGTACATTGCATTGTTATTGTACATTGCAACCTACAATACATGGTACATTAATTATACATTTCAATATTGCATAACAGTTACTGCAATTTACAGTAATACTGACAGACATCAACCGCACATCACGGTAATTTTTCAAAGCATCCGGTAATGGTTCAATATAAATTACTATTACAGCATATAACTTTTATTTAATTTTCAGCTGTCGTCATCGCTCAGCGTTGGTCATAATCGATAGTTTATTAAATGCAAAGTGCAACCACAGATTTAATATTTATCAGTACTGACGGTATTTTTTGCGTATAATAAAATCCTCTTCCAGTTAGGTAAAAGTTTACACATTTTGTTTGTGTTTATTTTAACAATTAAAACGATACCGTGCAACTGCTGCAGCCACAGGTTTGCTTCTGCAGCAAGCGCACGTTGTCGTTTAAAATGTTAATCTAACAGTGAAACATTGTGAATGTTAAAGTAGTTGATGTCTGAAATGGTAATTAATCGTAAGAAGTCGTATCCTGAATCAAAACACTTTCCAGGTCGTCACAATGTCATAATCATTGCGAATTTCATAATGTGAATTGTTAATGCATTTCAATCAGAAATGCATGTATATCCGGACAAATAGGAACCTCAAGTGGTTCCTATTTGCCTTAACCACTGTGTCTACGGAGTAGAGGAAAAGGTACCTTTGGATAGCAAAGCACTGTTCATGCCGCACATTGCTATCTACCAATTAAGAGCTAGGTAATTAACGTTAGCATAGGTGTGCTGCGTGAACGCGATTTTGGGATCTAATGCAATTAGGTGGTTGTCCCCGGTTGAACTCAAATCCCGCTAAGCAATTAAGCTAGATAGGTGTATGCGTGAACTCGGCCTAAGACTCCTGTAGAAACTAGCAAGCACAGCCTTCAATCGCTACAATGTACTCTCATAAGTCTAGCTGTTATGCAACTGGGCCGAATATTGAAGGCAAATGCACAATGAATGTTGAAGTTTTTTTGCAGTTTCCTTTGAACCTAATCCAATATCTACATTTCAGCAATTAAACCGAAATCCTCAAACAAAAAGAAAGACATAACTCGAAAATTTGAAGCTCTCTGTGTAACTAAAACAATGCATAACCAAATTATTGATAACAGTTGAAACTGTCTGTTAAGGTGATTTCGCTACCTTGACCGAGGCCCTAGTGGAGTGGGTTCAAGACCTCGACACTGACGAAAACAATTCTGTCTTTTGAACTTGAAAACGCTGAACTGGAATATTTTTGTTGGAATCTTTTTCCTAATTGATAGTTCGGTAGAATTTAGAAAAAAATAGATTCTGTTTATAGCCCTGAACTTTCCGGTGTCAAACGCAACGGTGGTTAATTGCAACTGTCATGATTGTGTGGTTCTCAGTTTCAAATGTCTTAACCAGAGTGCTACTGCTAGTGCTCAGCTGAATGTAAAGCCGAGTACTGATGTTAGTTTTGATCAGAGTCTTAACCCGAGTGCTGATGTTAGTTCTAATCAAAGTCTTAACCTGAGTGCTTATGTAAGCTTCGTCAAAAATTTATTTGTGTGAAGGCTGTGATTTACAGCTGAGTTTTCAAACGGCTTTTCTACTGTAGTTTTTGGCGCTGTAGTTTGTGCGGATGCAATGTTTATTTAATTTATTAAGAAAAAAAGACCAAAAGGTAAAAGTGTTAGTATATGGTTACTGTGCGTTTACTTAGCGTACTTGCGATTGCATTGCACGAAGTTTGTTTTATAGCACAGAGTTAATGCACACTCCTTGAAAATAAATGTAAGAATAGTAGGTTTTCATTCGTTTGTTTCTTATTTTGCATTTTTATTGCGTTACTTATTAAAGGTTTCATTCCTAGAAATAGTAAAATTTTGACTGCGGAGCTGTAGATTAGCAAATATATTGCCGCTGCAAGCATTAGGTTCTCACCATTACAGCATCAAAGTTAAAACGCACGTGAGCATCAACTAATCTGAAAATATGCCTGACAACAACAAACTAAAAATTTACAATCAAAGAATTTTTCAATATTGTTTCTATCACATACCCTATCAGCTGTCGAAGAACAAAACGGAAGTTTTCGCCTTATTTGCGTATTCATGCTTACTCTTAAACTCTGAACAGCGACACTTCCAATGGATTTCATGTTAGAGTGGATGTGTGAACGCCGTCACTGAACAAGACGCTAAGTGCGTTAAATGAACCGAATTGCGTGAATAACACGCATCCCAACCCTCTAGCAGGATTCGATCAGTCGTGATGATCTCGTCAGTACTGTAACACTACAACTTAGTCTACAAGACGAAGTTGTAAGTTGTAGTGTTACAGTACTGTATGCCAAGAGCACTTTGTGAGAAGTTAAAATGGCTCAATAGGTGCTATAAAACCAGTTGCAGCGATGCACAGCCACGATTTGTATAGTAGTACACTACTTACATGTAAAAAACACGAATGCATACTACGTTCACAACAATCTTTCTTAACTATCAGACAAGTCACTTTTTGACTAAAGGCAACAACAATATGTACGCAAAAAGCTAGACAAGCTGTAGCACTAACCAACTCTGATCGTAGAAGTTCAAACAAAATATGTACGTGATTTCTCAATCATCACAAAATCATCTGAATCCGATCATTCTTGCACAACAACAGCTGCTTTTTACACTTACTAATTGGAAGAGCGCTCGAAATCGTTGAATCGTTTATTAAGTTTTTCAAACTCAGTGTGCAAGTTGGCATTTCCCGTTTTCAGGCTCTTGACCTCCTTTTCAAGCTCCCCGACTTTCTTGTTCAGCTGGTTACTCTGCTGCTTTGCCTGGGTCAGTTCTCGGCGAATTCCACTCCACGCAACTTTCGTTTGAGCATCCAAGTTTTTGATCTAACCGTTGTCGATGTTAAAATAAATGGTATTGTGATCACAAATGCCTCTACACGCAGCACATTAATTAAATGTCTAGGCGTAGATGAGGTAAATTACAGCCGTGTCACGGGTTATTAAATGGTGCTCTGGCATGGCATGTATTACTTACATAACCATAGGTCGTAGCCTCATCACCGTCTGCATCAGATCCGCTAGCCTCTTCACTACTTTCGGAATCTTGACTCACAGCACGTACTGGAGGCGGAGGCTGTGAGCAACCTCGACCGCCAGAAATAGGGGTAGCTGCACACTATTTAAATGTCAAGGCGAAGGATGAAGTACCTTACAGCCGTGTCACGGTAAAAGAGGGGCGCGCTTGATTACTTACATTGTCGGTCGAAGTCGTAGCTGTCTCAGCCGATCCACCTGATTTATCGTCGGCCGCGTCTGATGGGTAAACCGGTAACTCCGATCTCGGCGGTACTGGAGTCGGAGGCAGGGGACTGTCTCGACGGGAGCGCGATGCTGAAGGCTCACTCGGACCGCCAGGAATAGGGGTAGTTGTTTCCCGCCTTTGTCGGGCTGGTGTACTCGCAGCACACTAGGATGAAGTAACTTACAGCCGTGTCACGGTAAAAAAGTGGTGCTCTGGAACGGCATTGATTACTTACATCAACACTTTCGCTCGTAGCCCCGGTAGCTGCAACCGTTTCAGTAGCGCGCACATCGTTATCCGATCCGCATCTCCTCCTTACCTCCTGGTGCTCAATCGCTTGCACATCATTTGCTAAATTCATCGATTCACGGACAATAAGCGGTAAATCGAGTGTGGGTGACTCAGTCTCGGATTGCCGGTGGCCATGAGGTGCAATATCCTGCAACCAAAGGCATCATACTACCGTTTCACGGTGTTAATGAGTTCACTGTAATACTTACCGCATCACATGTAACGCCAGCCCTATCTTCTTCATCATGGCTACCATCATCAAAAACAGAGTCCTACACGCAGCACACTAATTAAATGTCTAGGCGTAGATGAGGTAAATTACAGCCGTGTCACGGGTTAACAAATGGTGCTCTGGTAAGGCATTTATTACTTACAAAACCATTCGAAACATACTTAACATCTGCATCAGATCCACTAGTCTCATCACAACTTTCGGAATCTTGACTATCAGGACTTCCACGACGCGAGCTCCATGGGGAAGGCTCAGTCGGACCCTCAGGATTAGGGGTAGATGCTTCTGCAGCTGGCAGGGACGGCATCACGGGCTGAATTACAGCTCCTTCCGAGCCCAATATGACTTCATGGGCAACAGGCGGTAAGTTCCACTGCGCAAAATCGGGTGCTCGATCATCGATGTATCCATCGCCGCCAGTTCTGCTGGTCTGCTGCCCGAACGGGTTGACATCATTGAGGCAGGAAGCTGGTGCCATATCGAAAGCAGAACTAAATATACCGATGAAGCGGGCAGGTGCCGGCGAAGTTGCCCTTTGGGAACGCGCTGGAGACGAGCCTTCCCCATGCGAAGTCCGAGTTTCAGCACTCACATCACTGATGACGGTGCCTTCTGCCATTGTAGCAGCCAAGCAGCTTGATTCGCACTCGTCTGCTTCAATAACAGTGTCCAATTCTCGTGGATCAGCTTGAGTAGCACCCACATCTCCATCAGTGATGCCAGTTCCGCGAATCCGCTGCCGTTTGCGCTTTTGGCCAGATGTTCTTTCGGATGGTGCGAGAGATGAATGTCCTCTTCGTTGGGTAAAGACACTCCCCTGGTGAGACAACACAGCACGCCCTGGCCCGTTCCGCGAATGTCTAAGCATAAACTGGAACTCCCGGTCGATAGTGTGACCTGCCAAGGCAATTTTTTCTGCGTCGCGAGCCCTTCCGACGTACCGGGCGTTACTGAGAGAGTCCTGCAATACCAAACTTACAACTCAAGTGTTGCCGCGAAAAGTAATCTAGGTACGATTAAGCCTAACGGCTAAGCCGGTGCACAGTATAACCGCGTTACGGCAAATATGCTTCAGTTCAATGTGCAGCTTTGAAGTTGATTAAAATAAGTTTCACACTAACCTTAAACATCAAAAGCTTGTTCTCAACGAAATACGCAAACATCGGGAATCTTGCTTGGGGGAATCGGCACATTCCCAGGTGCCAGGCCTTGCCCATGAGCATAACTGCCCGGAAGTCTTTTGGAATTTCATAAGACCAGTAGCGAGAGTCCAACTAGTTACACAGACACCGTAAGCGAGATTAGTGACTTTAAGCGTCACTGCAACGTACCTTTGCGAAAACTGCGGGCAATTGTACGGTATGTTCTTTTTCCAAATCTGTCACTGGCTTAGTATTGTCCGGACCGTACAAAAATTGGGGACGCTTTTTCGTTCTATAAGCTAATAACAGCTCTTCCGGAACGGTTTCTAAGACGAAATTAACCGTACGGACATTCTTTTCTGCCGCAAATTCAAGCATAAGTGCACTGGCAAGGGGAAGGCACTCGTTCTCCTTCTGCTGTTGCACATAAAACTGGGTGATTTTAAGACAACTTTTTTTAGGCAGGCCTGTCAATGCTGCAAAAATTCTATAAAGTTCTTCAGGTGGAGGTTTGTTCATGGTATCCCAGTAATAATAACGCTGGTTTCCTTCAATGCTTCGAATTCTTGCAAAGGTTACAACATGCAAGCCAACAACCAGGAGTTGGATGCCACGATCACCTTTCATAAATAGGTTGGCGTCGATGTTGCACATAAGTTTAAGCATGGCATCGCATCCGCCCAGCTTGGGATACCACTTCCGCGCAAGTATACACACGAGGCTCACAAACGGTACCATATTCCCCATGGAACCCTCTTCCCGAAACTTCTCAGCATGTTCACGCGTAATGTGGAGCTCGGGTATCGCCCAGGGGGAATCAAGGTAGGCTGTAGTTGGCTGCAGCAAGTTGTCCTGATCGAAGTATAGCTCATATCCGCCGTCGAATTGGACGAAACTGGTTGGGTACGTATGCTCTCCGAAATGCTGGTAAATATCGCCTAATTTCGCCCGGACTTGGTCCGTGATCTTCTGCTGCTTCGTCGAATCAGTGACTTTAATATATGACTGAAAAATATATTAACTAAGTTAGAACAAGCGGAGAGATCAACTAACCGTGGCACGGTAACCATTAGGCACTGCAAGTTTAAACCCCGAGGAAAGGCAAGCGCCATAACGACCACTCATACCCATCTACGTAAATCTGATTTAACCAATTAAGATTACGTACACCATATGCAAATATGGCTTTGACTAGTGCCAAACTTACTTCAACCCGCACGGATAGGAAATCAGCAGAAAGCAAATTGTTGAATTCCTGAAACCAAGCACACATACAGCAATGGATTACAACACTCAAGCTTTCTTGGAACTTACGGAATCGAAAGGAGACGCCTTGTTAATGATTTTGTTCCACTCGTAAATATCGGAAACCGGTGTATCATGTGTGGCCATCAAGGACAGACTTCTAGAGGCACTCTGGACTTCGTCCAAAACCACACATCCGGCTTGCTTTAGCTCTTCACCAATTCTTCCCACATCGCCAGAACAAAGTAGTTTGTCAATATGACGAACAACAGTCGGCAGGGTCTCGCCCATCGATGCGCATGGATTTTCAGGCTTGCGCGAAAGGTCCTCTAAGAAAACCTTATCTGCGTAGCGAGCACTCCATTCAAAACAAATTGTCGACACATCAGGATCGTCGTCACCAGGTTCGAGATCCATTTCGCATTGGGGGTTCGGACGTTCGTCGATATTACGTCGCAGAAGTGCGGGACGGAACTTGACTACGAGTAATGTCCCAATTAATTACTCATCACAGGATTTAGAATTTACTCATCACAACTTACGGTTTAATAAGCGCGGTATTTCCCCTCGAATCCAGGGAATTAGAAGGTGAATACTAAATCCATCATGATGTTCTTTCCGCGTCAGATGGTATTTTTCTGAAAAAGTTTAAGCATAAATGAATTCACAAATGACCGTGCGCCGGGTTGAAAATGCTGTATACCGTAACACGGTTACCGTTAATCGGCCACTATGACACCGTACATATCGCTCTAACTTGTTTGCTGGCAAATGATCGGAACAATAAAAAACTGGTTCTTAACAGAAAATTGTACAACGTGAGTGAAGTGCAATGTTTGCCTTACTTTTGGCACGACTGACGCGGCGGCGCTTTTATATACGCCAAGGAAAAAACCGAAGTGTTGTAGAGCATTCCGGTAGGACGTCAACTTTTTCATTATTCTTAACTGAAGTTGGACAGGTAAGGAGTTTAGGCACTGGAAAGCTTCATATGGAATCGGCCAAACTGTTTCCGTGGCCAAACTTTCAGCTAAGTCTTGGCGACGTGATTTCTTCTTTTTCTGTTCTAGGTTATGGGAGCGCTTCTCAAACAGTGCCAAGAAATTCACAACAATTTTCAAGTGTTCGGAATTGCGGAGCTCGAAGATGGTCTTAATAAAGCAGTTCCAAGTAACATCAGTCATCATTCTCACGAAGTTTCCAGTCAAAATTTTGTCAATAGTCGCAGGCGACTTCTCGTTACGTATCGTACTGCGCCGAATTTTGAAATACGTGTTTGCGAGATGAAGCATAACCATATCCTCAGTAATCTCGTCTTCCTCTTCCTTGTTGTCACTTTTCGCGATGACCATATAGATTGCAGTAAAGACGTAATCAACTGCTGTAGCGGGGAACTGGTCGAAATTTAACTCAGGGTCGGCTATCTGGTAGCCATAGCGATCCAAATTGTTTGTCAGCGGCGAGTCGATGACGTTGACCTAGCAACAAAGTTTATCAATTATTTCCTGATAACTTCCAGGTATACAGTGCTCTATAACCGTGCCACGGTTGGCAAAAATGTCACATTTTAACCATTCCACGATTTTATAACCGTACCACGGCTAAGAATCGACAAACTTGCTTTTAAACCAGTACGCGATACCGATACGCGAAACTTACGCGAATCTACTGTAGTTGTATAGTCGTGTAATGGCTTTATGTTTATGTACAACTGTTGTACTCATTAACCGTGCAGTTACGCAAACTTGCACCAAGGTGTACAGTGCTCTATGACCGTGCCACGGTTGGCAAAAATGTCGCATTTTAACCATTCCACGGTTTTATAACCGTACCTCGGCTAAGAATCGACAAAATTGCTTTTAACCGATACGTGATACCGATACGCGAAACTTACGCGAATCTACTGCAGTTGTGCAGCCGTGCAATGGCTTTATGTACAACTGTTCTACTCATTAACCGTCTACGGGGTGGCAAAAATGTCGTAATTTAGTCATTTACCACTTCTAAGAATCTACAAAGTGAAACTCTAGCTTTAAACTGATACACGGGCGCAACTTACGCGAATAATCATCGGACCCTTTCTTTTTTTTCCGTCTTCTAAGTTCCGCTCCATTTTCTTTCTTTTAACGTCCAAAGAACGAAGTATCTGGAGTCCAACCATACGGTTTAAAGGGCGAAGCTTTACGCCTTCTAGGAAGGGAACAGTTTCTCGGTTTGATAGGCGCTTGCGAGCTTTTTCGTAGGCTTTGGGATCTACTGGCTCTACATCCACGACGGAAGCTCCAAATGCGATAACCTTGGCCGACTCAAACTCAGCAGTTAGACGGGATTTGTACCTGTGGTATTCCCGCGCCTTTTTATTGACGAAACGGAAAGGTTTCGCCATGACAAGATCACTGAGGAAGACCTCGAAGGTCTCAAACGGCTGCAAACAAACCATATGGCTCACAAACACACACACAACCACACGCACACAAACACAAACGGCAATTTTACCTTTCTGTTGAACTGATACAATTCTTGCTTGGATTTCTTGAAGTCTTCATTGTCCTCTGCGTCCGGATAGCTAGGATCAGCTTCAATGTCGTCCTCATCGGATTCAGCAATATACTTGCGCTTCGAAGCTTTTTTCGTGTGCGTACCAGTGGTCCCCCGCTTCTTAGTGACTTTGTGCAGGCTCGTTGATGGTTTCTCAGAATCCTTTCCCTTCCCCGCTTTGCTGGCTGCCTTTGCCTTTTCCAGCAGTTTCGTCCTGCTCGCACGATCGCGGTTCGTCGCCTTCGGTTTCATTGGAGCTTTACCCATTGCGCCAAACGATCATCAGACATCGTAGTCAAAGGAATCTCAAAACTGAAATTCTGACAATTTTCAATAACACTTTAAGTGAGACGAGCTTGAAACTGTACTGTGCAACGGCTGGACAGATCGGTGTTAAGCAGATCCGTGTCACGATAGCGAGCGTGTCAAAGCATGCCTGTACTACTGTGGTGCCAAGTAGAAAAAGCACCCGCCCGTACAGTGAGTTACATGCTAAACGGATACGACTCATAGTACTTCCTGCACCCGCACTACTGCGCTGCACATTGTGCGCCCTGAAAATGAGAACTTTCAGTTGGCATGTTTCAAGTCTGTGCATGTGGAGCCTAAGCAGTTCATAAGAAGCCATTTTTTTGCGCTCACTGGTAGTTTGTTCTGCTAGATTTTCAACCGTGTAGACATGTCTGGCCAACAAGAACCGCCTCGTCCCTGCCCTGGAAGAATGATTAAAAAAATGAAACAGGAGATGCTGAAGCGGGGAGAGCTCACCGAGGAGACATATGCCTATTGGGTAGGGCCCAGACCTGGGCAGTTATGAGATTTCGACTCATAGTTAGAATTAAGAGTTAATCGCAGCTCGCGAGTTACGCTACGAGTTAAGTTAGCCGCAATAACTAGAGTTAACTGGAGTTAACTTCTAATAAAAGAAATCATGATTTTATTAATCAACTTCAAGTAGTCTTTTATGCATACCGATATCACTTTTACCAGATTTGAGACACAGACCAATTATTAATTTTTTTCTTAAAACTGATTTTTAAAATTCATGCTTTTTCTAATGTTCCTTTTTCATGTTTTTCCTGAGGGAGAGAGCGAGAGACACATTTTTCTTGAGGGAGGAAGATAAAATATAAATGAAACATAAGAAAGAATAAGAATGAAACAAAAGAATGAAACATATAAAGAAAACATGCTTGTGTTTTTTGTGTTTTGTTCTTATTGTGTTTCCTGCCTGTTTTCTCTCACCCTCAAGAAAAAATCAAACATAAGAAGTTCTTATCTGACAAAATTCCTCCCTCTTTTTAACCACATAAAAATTCCTGCCTCTCAAAATTCCTCCCTCTTTTTGACCCTGGCTTTTGGGGCCGAGCGCCGGCAACGCTGAACTTTTTACTAATATTTCGCTTCACATGGCTACCGAAGTTAGTGTAGCTGTTTGACAGCGTTGACCGCATTATTACGCTTCTTTAATGGGCAGGTAGCGAACAATTACAGGTAGCAGGTAGCAGGTAGCAGGTAGCGCACAGACGATCAGTTCCCGTGTGATTTTTGTGCGGAACATGATTTGTCCTCTCGTTGACAAAATTTTGCTCCGCAAAAAATTACGTTCTCTGCACGCTGTTAATTGAGCTCAAATTGAACGACCACACTCACCGTCAGCATGGACTCTCCGATGCATATTCATCGACCGAAGCGTAGCGAAGGCAGATTAATACATACTTTCGTTGATTTGTGTCCGTTACGAAAGGTCGTTACGAAAGGTTGTCACGAAAGCCATTTCCAACGAGTAACTGGAAGTCTATGCTTATGTTCCTAAGTCGTTTTGCAAAATAATATAAAATTTCATTATTCAACATATACAAATAGTATTAAAATACTTAAATAGTTTGTAATATAAAATGTAGTATACTGTACTCAAAGGAAATGCTGCGCTCAGGGCTTTCAAATGCACATTTTCTTAGTCTAGTCAATGCCTTGGACGGTGGTAGTGTACGTCTGCTCGAGAAATTTTGTACACACATACTTTTGTAATTATGGCAATTTATGCGATCCACGGTTAAAATAACATTTTTTCTGATATTTTCTATTTTTTAATTTCATTTTTGCTTTCAACTGAAACCCCCAGAGTTACGTTAAACTCGAGTTGCGCTATATTATTTTTGAGTTGCGCTAGAGTTAAGTTTTCGTCCCGGCGAGTTAAGCTTCAAAGTTAAGTTATAAATCGTTAACTCGAAAAAAACTCGCGTTAAGTTAAATAGTTAAAATTAACTGCCCAGGTCTGGTAGGGCCGATGAAAACGAAAGCGGAACGAATGCTTTATGTTCCGCCTGAGGAGTACGTTCCGGATACTTCCTCGGAAGATACTTCCTCGGAAGGAACGACTTCCCCGGGACGCGAGCAAGGTGTGCTTCGGGTTTGTTGTGGTGTTTGGGGTGCCCCTGGCAGGGGCAGGCAGCCACGTGTTCTAATAACGTGTACTGTGTTCTAACGTTGAAAGTGTAAATGTTGTCTTCTAACGTTAGTCTTCTGCACATTAATTACTTATATTTACTTCTTTTTTTTAGGTGCCGGTGTCATCAAGAAAAAGAGTGAGTATTTAAATTACTGATTGTAGCATATGAGGCCGCATTCGAGCCGTGCAGTTTTGAATTTGGTTTGGCTGTTATCTAACGCTTGATTCTCTGTATAGCTGTCGGTACTGGTAAGCGCGGCCGTCCTCCCGGAAGCGGCAAGAAATCAGTGAAGTCACTGTCATCTGGACGCGGTCGTGGACGTCCTCCGGGAAGCGGGAAGACTACACATGGTATGGAGCGCTTTTGCAGCTGCAGAAACTTGTATACAGTAGTGGTGTTTATTTTGTAGAAAAACGTGGACGTTCCGAGAACAACGCTGCTCCGCAAGAAGGAACTGGGTGAAGATTACCTACATCAGCACGGGCATATTTTGTGTTGTATTCAGAAGAACGGTATGATGCTTTTCTTTTTTTTAAATCGAATTCCCATGTTTATAAGCGGTCGTGATGATGTTTTTGAGTTTTTAAACAAACGACTTCGTCAGCTGCACTGTCAGTGATGTGTTAAAATGATAAACTGCGTAATTTTGGTTTTAACCTATGTTAATTGCGAATCACTCAATTAAAGCGAGCTGATCCAGAAGCATTAAGTACTGCGATATAATGAGTCTATAAGAGATAAAATTCTAAAAGACACAAGTGTAGATCTCCGACAAAACTGTAGGTTTTACATAATTCGTCACGGTCAGAAACCACCGTCTCACGGTTATAAGTTGAGCTGGCGACTTCTGTCGCGATCCCTGTCGTCTGTCAGCAGTTGACGTGATAATATTAACCTAGCAAAATGGTTTATCAATGATTTCCTGCGTCATTGCATTGGGTTACGACTGTTTACCGTAGTACCGTAGCGCCGTAGCACGACTGTTAACCGTAACACCGCAGCACGGTTTTTTACCGTAGCACGCTAAAATATAGTAAGCTCGCTCCGGATAGGTCGGGTGAGCTTGGTAAACCAGTTCAAGTTTGCAAGAGTGAGTATTAGCAATCGCTCTTGGTCCGTGTACGTCTTTTAATAATTTCTATCCAATTTCTTAGCAGTAATTAGTAAACTGTTAAAAATCGGGTCACAGTCAATGCATCAGCAAAAACCGGGTCACGGCCAGCCTTCCTGCTAACCGCGACACGGTGGTTTGTTTGTTTGATGCAAATAGAACACCAGGCCAGCATATTGAAATGTTGTGGTCTAATGTAAAGTGCATAAAATTCACTTTGTATATGTTGAAGCCGAGACACCACACGCGGCTAACAATGTCATAAGTGCGTACGAGCCCCATCGAGACGAGTACGCGCACAGCGCATCCACTTTTCTCTGAGAACTTTAATCGCATTATGTACCATGGCGAGCTTCGCTCAATAAAAATCACTCAAATAAAGAAGTTGTCTTGATTAAAAAATTGCAAATAGATTACTCTTTGGGCTGGTTCGATACAGCATATCCCGATATTAACCGTGTCACGGCAAAATTTAAACTGACCGGGCCACGGTTAGTTGCTTTGTACCGAAATAGTGCATACTTGACCGCATCTTTTGTGCTGTTACCCTGGCAGTAGATATAGACGAGACATATATCCAAAGGCGTGAAGACATTGTTTTGGGCTTGATACCAAGGATTTTTGTGATTAGTGACGGAATTTGGGCGAGCATCCGTAACCTTGGCCAGAATCCTACGCATCCGCACGTACGATCCGGGTTGATTGAAGCACAATGCACGCCAGGACAATGCAAGGATGCACTGAGAAGACACTTTATTTAGACAAAGTCATCGAACACTACAGTCATACATCATCTGTAAACACTAAAACAAGGAGCTAGAACATTAAAAACATAAGATACCTGACACAAACAAATTTGATATGCGGTCATCCTAGATACCGAAAACCAATACTGCTAAGACGAACAACAGCAGTATCTGCACAGGTTTGTCAAATCCGCTTTTTCTTCGAAGAATTTGGAACTGCTTTAACGAGACGGATTCGCGGGTCTGTTAGGCGGCTTTGTATTCGGCTTTGCAGGCGTAAAGCAAGCCGGCGATCGTTGAGCCAATTCTGCCAACGATTTCCGCTGCTTTGTTGGAGCTGGCATCGATAAACAGGGAACACGCATTCTTTCTTCTGAACTAACGTTATCCTGATCGCCGTACGATTTGTCTTCCCTATCCGACTCGTCAAGAGCACCCAATATTGATCGCTTCTGTATATCAGAAATTCAACTTAAAGGATCTCCAAGTACGTAAACGTACCTGTACCTTAAAGTTACGCGCGGAAATAGCCGGAGCAGCGGCAACACCACCAGAAGGCCGAAGCGCCAGCTGAGAGCTTCCGGTTTTCTGCATTAAAGAGAGAAAACCCACCAATATTAACACTACATTAAATTAGCTGAGACCGTGGCATGGTCATATCAGCTTATGTGTACCTTAACATCCGATTTTGCTGGGCCTCCGGCTACCTTGGCATTGGTTGACTGCACAATGTCATTGCCATTGCGGTCTCTAAAATGACATGTAAACTCAGCAGTGAACAAAGATGAAACTTGCAAAACTTAGTACTACGGTAACAGAAAATGAAAATCAGAATTCATCAATTCAAACGGCCCACTTGCCAACACGAAAGCAGACACTATATCAACCGTTTAAACCACACACAAGGTTGAGCAAAAGGCTTAAATACAACGGACTCACTTAAGCGGTTCCTGAGCCCATGTGCGCGCTGCTTCTAAGTTCTCTGGTTTCAGTACTAATTGGCAAAGATAACAACATGGTCGCCGATGACCAGGATTTGGATGCCCGATACGCCTTCCATAAATTTGTTCTTGCGGATATCGCTCTTAAGCGTAATTAAGGCATCACAACCACCCAGCAAAGGATACCACTTGCGTGCAAGCTTGCTAATAAGGTTAACAAATGGACTAATATTCGGCCCGCTCCCTCCTGTTTAAACTTCTGGCCCATTTCATGCGTAATCTGGAGCTCCGGTATCGACAGCGCTGGGTGAAGAAGAGCTGTAGTTGGCAGCAGCAAGGTCTCATGATCATAATACAGCTCGAATCCGTCAACTGGACAAAACTCGTTGGAAACGTCTCTTTTTCGTAGAGCTGATAGATATGCTTTGAATCAACGGTTTGACTTACGGTTTAAATGGAATAAGTTTTAAGAAGCAGACATATCTCACCGTGGCATGGTGACCACTGAACGTTCGGCACGGTAGCTGGATACAGTGACACTTAATTACGAAAACATGTGCACTGTAGGTACAATAATACTATTTATATATTATCGCCTTAGATGGTGACAAACTTACTTCAACCAGCACAGATTCGAAAGCAGTAGACAACCCTTTGTTAAATTCCTGCAAACGAATCAACCATCCAGCAATTTCGTAAAACAGTTTCCAATTCCTCTACCTACTGTATCAAAAGGGCACGTCTTGTTCGTAACTTTGTCCCATGCGTAGTCCTCAGAAACGGGAATCGCATTTTGTTGCAGCATGGATAGACTTCCGATTGAATTCTGCGCACTTTTCACCATTCGTGACCCTGGCGGTTTTAGTTTGTGATTGATTTTGGCCATATCGTTGCAGTTAAGCAGATTATCGATATGCTGTATAGTAGTCCCCAGAATGTCGTTCAAATCCCAATCAGTGTCCTTAAGAATAAAAATTACTTCAGCACATATGCATTACGGTACGTTTCTGAGAAGAAATTTTGTCAATTAGACAGAATTACGTCAATGGGCATTACGTTCACTCGCGTTCGATTAGACAGATCTTCCTCAATGGGCATAATTTGCTCTGGCGCGACAGGGAGAGCGTGCCGGAATATTTTTGCTGCGTGGCGAGGCGCTATCTCAACATGAATATTGGACACATCAGGATCATCGTCGCCCAGCCCGAGTTTCATTGCGCTATCGGGATTGCACACCTCGTCAATCTCAGGTCGAAGAAGAGCGCGATAAGGACACTCAACGTTATCCCAATCAATCACTAGAAAATGGGAGGATGCCTTCACAGGATAATTCGAAAGAAGCAACGCTGAACTTACATTTATGCAAGCGTGGCATACACTTTCGAATCCATTTGACAAAATCACGAATACTGAAACCGTTAAAACGTTCCTTCTCAGTCAGATGGTACTCCTCTGAAAACGTTTCAACAACTGATTGTGTAATTAACCGTGGCCCGGTCACGAGTACTAACATACTAGAAACTACCCAAATTTAGTGAAGTTAAGTAACTAAAATCACCTAAATATTTGCTGCTGCTCATAATGATAAGCTCGCACTCAATAAGTAATACTTTTGCTTACCAGTAGCCGAAGAAGGGAGGTTATCTTCGTCCAAATCTATGTGGTACGCAACAAAAAATTCGCCAAAAAAAATCCGAAGTGCTGAAGAGAATGCCGGTACGATGTAACTTTGAGCATGATAACCAGCTAAAGTCTGACTGGCAAGCCGGCAAGACAATGGAAAACGATTGTATCCTTTTCTTTAGTTTTCATGTCAAAACTTCGTCTGGCAACCAGCTTTAGAAAATTCACAATTATATCCATGTGTGTGGTACCGCGAACGTCAAAGATGGTTTTAAGAAATTCGCTCCAGATGCGACCAACCATTTCTGCATCAAGTTTGCCGATGAAAATTTTGTTGATCGTAGCTGGACTTCTCTTTTCGTTTATTATACCGCGCCTAATATCGAAATATGTATTGCCGAGATGACACATGATCGCCTCCTCAGATATTTTCTCATCCTTTTCTAGCATTGCAATAGCGGTAAGAAAAGGATCGACCACCGAAGCGGGGTATTCTTGAAATTCGCCGTCGTTAATCTGGTATCCGTACCGATCATTTTCGTGTTTTAGCGGCTCTAGGATGACATTGACCTAACAAAATAATTTATCAATGATTTTCAAAAAATAAATCCAAAGACTGCACAACGGTACATTGTAAAGAGCTTTTTAGAAGTGCAAACGTACGCGAATTTTCAAAGGCGTTTTCACTGCTGCAGGCAAATGTTCCTCTCTTTTCAGCTTCTGCTGTTCCAGGTCTTTTGCTATCAAAACTCCAACGATACGGTCTAAAGGTCGCAGCTTCACGCCCTCCAGGAAGGGTGGATCTGGCTTTCGCGCTTCAAATTCAACAGATTCTGGCTGCAGATGCTCGAGCGCCTGAGCGAATGCTTTGGAATCAATTGGTTCCGCATTGACAGCAAAAAATCGATCTTTTGGTCGGAAGAGGATAATTCTTGCGTTTTCAATCAACGTAGAGACATATTCTTTGTAATTACTGTATGCTCCCGCAGATTTATTCACGAAACGGAATGGCTCAGTGGTGTCAAGATCGCTCAACAGGACGTTGAAGGTCCTATAAGCCTGGTAATGCAAAACAATTTGGCAACATATAACGTACAGTAAGACGGCTTTTTACCTTTGGTTCAAAGTGGTAGAAGTCTTGCGAGGACGGATGAAATTCTCCAGCCTCAACAGCTGAATCACCGAGCTCATCCTTAGCCTTTCCAGACCAAGGCTTCATCCTTGTCTTGGACGTATCGCCCTTCCCCGGTGCCTTCACTGTACTAGCCCTAATCCCGCGCTTGTTCGCACTATCGGCCTTTTTTTGAAGTTGCGTCCCGTGCTTTGAAGCGCAGTTCGTCACCGCAGGTTTCGTTGGCGCAGCCTTCCCCAAAGTATCTTAAAACGTACTACCAGAAAATGCGCTTTCAAGCTAAAAATTCCTAGTACTACCAAGTTTAAAAATCAATAATTTTTAAATTATGTATGGATCGTCAATTACAATTCTAAGGCGGCATCCATAAATTACGAATGCAAAAAAAGTTCGACATTTTAATACCCCCCTTCCCCTGTGTCACCAGTGCTACGAAACTCAGATTCCCTCCCCTGAGCGCCAGAATCCCCCCAGTTTTAAGACTCTCCCTTCGTAAGGGGCCATCCATAAATTACGTAACGCCAAAATTCACTGTTTTGAATACTCCCCTCCCCCCGTAAATTAATTGGAGACCGCCTACTACTATTCAGCGAGTGTATTATTAGCTTGTCTGTACTACGTGTTCAAGTACTGTACATACGTGTACACATTATTGGTTAGTTTGCGACCCACCATCCATTACACAAACTTAAAAATTAATCATCCAACGTAAAGGTTAATTGTAAAAATTAAATTAACGTGAAATTAAATTAACGTGAAAATTAAACGTGAAGACTTTGTTTTGGGCTTGCAGAGTCATGGTGAGGTTTTTGCGTAGAAATGAACCGTGTCGCGTCAATTGAATTCTTGGTCTTCGTTTTTTAGTAATAAGCCGCTAAGGGCTGTTCCGATAATGGGTAAAACCGCAATATAGGGATATGGCCAGTTTTGCAAAAAATGGGCTGATTATCGACGTATCCTACTCAGAATTTTTTTCTGAGTCGAATGGACCGGGACAACGATGGTTCCGAAGTCACGTGACCGAGCTATGGGCTAATTTGCATATGGGCGCCTTACCATAGTAAAGTAAGCAAATACCATACAAAAAGACGGTGCATTACTTGTTTTGTTCAGAAAAAATTCTGAGTCGAACAGTACCCATCTCAGGTGAATAATAAATCACGTGACCAAATTCTAAATTTTTTTAAATTTCGTCAATTTTCGGGCCTTTTTTAAACTAGTCATTCTCGTGCTATTTAACCACGGTGACGTACAAAATGGTAAAATGACCCACGAAAGCAGGACACGCTGATGACGTCATCGACTCCGTTCCTCTGAAATGAATCGTCGTGACCTTTGGAGTAAAGGTCATCTGAAGGTCACAAGCTAACATCTATTTTAGCGAATCACATTAAAAATAAAATCTAAGAAGTACAGGATATCGTAAAAAACAACGAAATATAAGAATTACAAGAAGCATAAGACAACACAAAAATTATAAGAAATCATAACAAATATAACGAGGAAACATAAGAAAGAGGTAACCTAAACTGCGAAACAGTGAACGAAACCAAATCAATTCTGGGGTGTCAGTTATTCATGTATCGTTTAGAGAAAGGAGTAGCGTTGCGTTTAGTTGTTCCTTCTTCTGCCTTCTTCTGCGCATAACATTGCTGTGAGTTGTTACTTTTCCTGTCTCGTTTAAAAAACGAGTAACATTGCTGTGGGGTGTTGTCACTTCTGTCTCGTTTAAAGAAAGAATTAACACTGCTTTGGGGTGTCACCAGTTCTTTCTCGTTTAAAGAAAGGAATAACATTGCTAATGGGTGTTATTAGTTCTGTCTCGTTTAAAGAAAGGAGTAACATTGCTGTGGGGTGTTACCACTTCTGTCTCGTTTGAAGAAAGGAGTAATACTGCTGTGAGGTGCTACTTCTTCACTTCTTCTGTTTTGCTTAAAGAAAGGAGTAACATTAGTTCGAAGTTCTACTTCCTGTCTCGTTTAAAGAAAGGAGTAACGCTGCTGGTAGCTGTAACCAGCCCATATGTCTCTTTTAAAGAAACGAGTCACCTAGCTGTGAAAACACAAATTGTCTGAGAAATTACGCGAAAATAAGTTGGCTAAATAATAGCATTACCGCTAAGCAACTATTATTTAATTGTAACTGTTTTCAGTATTTCAGTCAAGTGACCTTTGTGACCTAGTTTGACCTTTATGAGTGGAAAAAAATATGAGTCGAACGTGTCATTTATGACGTATATATGACGTCATCAGCAAGAAGGAGTATTAAACTCCTTAAATCCAGAAATGATTGAATAAATTCATAACTTGGTCATGCGATCTCTGATCGACGTGATTCACGTATCATTCGACTCAGAATTTTTTTCTGAGTCGAATTTTTTTGTTTTCATTCGACTCAAACTAGCTATAAAACGTGTGTTTATCACAGGTTTTACATAAAAAACTATGACGAAGCACCTAATATGCAAATTGACCCATAGCTCAGTCACGTGACTTCGGATCTGCTCCTGTCCCGGCACATTCGATTCAGAAAAAAATTCTGAGTAAGGAGCATCATCAATCTTGCCATTTGAACCTTTTTTGGCCGTATCCCTATCTTGCGGTATTGCCGATGAATTGACATACAAATTGAAGTACACTGACGACACCGTCCAGACCAATTATTCGGATTGGATGAAGGCTTCTTGGCCATTCGGGAGCGTATCGCGTTGGAAGTTGAGAGGGTCAGTGGGACACAGTTCGGCTGCAGCGATCGCAATCAAGACTTCGTGGTGGGAAAGGAAATGCGAGGCGGTATTAATCATTTCCACATGTATCCACTGCCGAAGAAGCGTATTATTTTCGAGCCGGAGAAGGTGCAGCCGGACTGCACGAATGATTCGGATATACAGTTGAACGAGGACACTGACAGTTGTCGCGGCAGTGGCACCAGCGAATGATCAGGTGAGTATCTTTGGTCACTGAATAGGATTTTCGTACTGGCGTTAGCGTTTTCCTTGGATCATTTCCTTGGATCACTTTACAGTTTACTTTGTTCAGTTTTGACAAGGTAACAGAACAACTCGACAGTATTAAATTATTTTTCGTTTTACTTTGATTTTCAGTCCGTACACAGCATCATCATTGTAATAATTTGGACTACTTGGATATTTGTAATAAAATCTTTTGCAGAAAATTCTGTGATCCTTCCCTTACCGCCTTTGAGCCAGAACCACTGGGAAATCTGGTAACCGGGATGGATTTCTATAATTCTGTTTCGATATTAACAGTAAGCTGAATTATTTGCTAATGCTGATAATTTTGGTTTTTGAAGAATATTGTGTGCCATTCGAGAAAAAATGAGCATTTGTGATGCTTGCAGATTCGCATCGTGGTTCGGAATTCTGTGCGAATCCATCCGCAGATTCGGAAATTAATAATTTGTATTCGCTACTGCTACTTAATATATATAGAATGTACTTATATACTGTATATAGAATGTCCACTTTTATATAGTATATAGAACTTCAGCTTATTCGCCATTTCTGCGATTTGGTCGACCGCCCTAGCTATGAACCACTTATTCTGCGTGTGACACTGTAATTATGATTTCTATAAACACAAACATTTTTCTGACTGATCATTTTTTTGACTTTGATTTTGTCAAAAATCAAAATAATTTTCATCTATAGATAAATTTTTTACACTGACCGTCGAAGTAATTGTGCAGCGCGACTTATATTCTTCTAGTTAAACCGTCAACACTTCATCCTTCATCTTCGATAGTTGGTGACTACTTGGATATTTGTAATTTGTACATCGTGCTATGTTCTTTATGGGCAAAGTTATCTGCGTCTGCATTGCCGTTTGGTATTTGGTTACATTTATACTGAGTATCGTTGAGCTGTTGTCGTTGGAAGCCAAAAATAACCACCTGTTGCGCTCGGAAACTGCTCGTTTACAGACTCTCCATCTGCAAACCAGTGATGATGAAGCGATAGCGAAACGACTGCAGCACAAGTACGAGAAAGTCAAAAATCTGAAGGACGGGATATGGTTGAAGCGCGGGACGAAAAAACCATCCGTTACCGTCTCGGATCAGTCGGGAATCAACAGCTCTCTGGTGGCGTTTATTCGCAGCGATGCGGACTCAGAGGAATTCGCCAAAAATAAGCTGCATGATTTCAACGTGTTTCTCAGTGATCGTATGCCACTGGATCGATCGCTGCCTGATGTCAGGTAAATTACATCCTAAAATTACTTTTACTACCATTGAAATTTCAGTTCAGGTCCTTCTTTATCGATGATTTATTCTCGAACTATTAGGATTTTTTCGTTTAATTAGACGTGAAAATACTAATAATAAATGTTAAACAATTAGAATAACCAAGAATAAACAATTACTTAATACCAATATTAATAAATACAGTAAAATAAAAAATGACAAAAAACATTAAATATATACCGTTAAGAAATTTCCTTATAATAAAGACTGTACAAATCAAAATTAAATAATTCAGCAAATCTACAGAACAATCTAGTTTTTATTAGTTTTATGTATTTACTACTATTATTTTGACTCGTTTTGGCCTTTGCCAGTAATAAAAATCTCCTTTTTACTAAGACACGCGACTGGTTAGAAACGTCAAAAAAAAATAAGGAATTTCGATTTTTTTAGAACGTTTTAATTATATTGTTCATCATTTTCGGTCTTTCCCTTTCTGCTACGCTTTTGTTGGTATTATGCGATTGTGTACGTATATTTTATATATAATTTTCCAGGTTTCTATATCTTATATATAATTTTCCAGGTCTGCCGGATGCAAGAATGTGGTGTATAGCGAATTATCCAAGACCGTCAGCGTGATTATTTGCTTTCACAATGAAGCACGCAGTGTTCTGTTGCGAACCGTCGCATCCGTCGTTAATCGGTCGCCCGGAAATTTACTAGTGGAAATTTTATTAATCGATGACTTTTCCGCGAAGGAGTTCATCGGTGGCGATTTGTTGGATGTTCTCCGCGCTGTTAGTGCTAAAATTCATTTAATTCGGCTGGAAAAACGCGAAGGATTAATTCGTGCACGAGTGGCTGGCGCGCGACAGGCTAATGGCGATGTTTTATTTTTTATGGGTACGTTACTGATTTATATGCAAATTAGTACTGCTTTTTATCATGCAAGCTAGAAGCGCGATGCGGAAATGTTTGTTTTTCCTTCTTTTTCTTTGTTAATTTGAAAAGAGGTGGTACTGGTACAGAAAATGATTTTAATTCTGTCGTGACGTATGTTGAAGGTGTGGCCACATATCTCGCAACTGCTTGGTGGCATTATTTTACTCATTTATGATGATTTACTTTACTTTGACCAGATTCACATTGTGAAGTAAATGAAGGCTGGATGGAGCCACTTGTTGCTGCGATCCAGGATAATCATTCTACAGTGATCTGTCCAACCATTGACATTATCCATTCGGATTCCTTTGAGTATGCACCGTCGCCGCATGTAAGAGGAGGTTAGTCGGTAAATTTACATTGAATGTGTTGACGATGTTTTTCGTTTCGCGCAACAGTTTTCGTAGTCCCTGTTGACATCTTTGATCATATCGACAATTTCTTGGTAATTATTTGCGTGTAGTTTTTTCGCTCCATAAATTCTTTCGTGCATACCAGATACCGCCAATACCGGCGTTGTTTCAGTATTACGACCTTAAAAATTATTTTGATACATCGTCTCTGCGTATCCTAAACAGTTCATGGTACTCTTTCATTTTGTGTTGCTTTTGTACTTTTCGTGATATCCCAACGTACGTGCTTTGCTGGCAGGTTTCAACTGGGGCTTACATTTTCGATGGGAATCACTTCCGAATGCCAATTCTGAGGGCGAAATTATTCACCCATTTCGCAGTGCCGCAATGGCCGGAGGATTATTTGCAATACATCGACACTATTTTCGTCAGATCGGTTAGTTTGTGGCGCAGTATACAAATCTGCGTTAATATTACTTGGCTTGCTTTTTCTTTTGTCATTGTTGTTGAACTGGCTGTATTAGGTTTATATGAAAATATGAATGTTTTTTGCCTTAAAGGGTCTCATGTTTGCATTTATTTTTACTGTTCAGCCATGTTGGATCTGAATAATGTTTTAGTACATTTAAACATTAGTACATTAGAACAGTTTTTAAAATTTTAATACATTAAATTTTATTTCCTTTTTAGTTTTTTGTCGTGTGCGTTTGGTGCATTATATCTCTTTTAATAGACAGTATTTGGATTCAGTGTATAAGTATGTTGATTGATGTTTGTATACAGGCGAATACGATACCGGCATGGATATCTGGGGCGGCGAGAACATTGAATTATCCCTGCGCATCTGGCTGTGTGGCGGGACGCTGCTCATCTCCCCTTGTTCGCGGGTCGGCCACATTTTCCGCCACCGGCGTCCTTACGGCAACGACGGCAAGGGCGACACCCAGCTGACCAATAGCTTGCGGTTGGCCCGCGTCTGGCTGGGCGACTACATTGACAAATTCTACGACGCCCGTCCGGAAGCGCGCCAGCTGGACGCCGGCGATATTTCCTCCCGGGTTCAACTAAAATCTGATCTACACTGCCGGTCATTTCAGTGGTTTGTCGACAACATTTATCCGGAGGCCCTGTCTCCATCCGGGGCGGTGATTGAGAAGCCGCAGCTCAGTTTCACAGGAAAATTCCAACTGCGTCATGTTCACACAGGTATGGTTGAAAAACAATTGTAAATTCTAGACTTCAGGTTAAAATCATTTCAAAATTAAAGGGGTCTTCGCGCGTTTGAAATTTGACTGATTTTGAATTGAAAGAACAAATTAGAAAGGATTGAGTCTGATAAAGATAATTTTAAGTGAACAAGAAGATTTGGTATCACTAAAGCAACTGGTAAAATGAAATAAAAATAATGTTTTAACTACGAGTCTAACCGTTTTGGCGCGTAAACCAAGGAGTTATCGAAGAAAAACCAGGAGTAAATAGTTTAAATAATTTCACATTTCATTTCAAATCAGATTACATTTTCTCATCTTTGCAAAAGGCGAATGAATTGTAATCCTGTACTTTACACAGGGAAGTGTATCGGCACGGAGTCTCTGGTGCGAGATGATCCGGCAGCGTTGGTGGACTGTGATAAGGACGGGAAACGGGCGCTGATATACGAAGAAAAACAATCGCGCGCCCTGGTGTTGGGCCGGAAGTTGTGTCTGGAAGCGGCGGATGTGCCGCGGTTGGGCAAGTGCCACTACAGTGGCCAGGAGCAGGCGTGGGTGTATTCGAAGAACCAGAGGCATACGTCCATTATGAGCGTGGTGAAGGCACTGTGTTTGGGCGTGCGGAATGATCGGCTAGAGTTTATTCGGTGTAATGATGAATCTCAGCTGCTCTTGTGGCAGATTGTTCAGTGATAAGGTAATTGTTGTACTCGAAGTTATAATGAGATCTCAGCAAAATTTAGTGTTATTCGTCCTGGGATTTGAAAGGATGCTTTTTCGCCCACTGTTAAAAACAGAATTTTTAAAAAAACTTTGTTTCGGTCATAAATGCACATTTTACATAAAGACATTAAAAGGTATGCTGATTATTCGAATAAACGAGCAAAACGGGTGCATCGTATGTTTCGTTTCGTACTCTATTTGATTGTGCATCTGTTGTATTGCCTTGTGTATCTGGCATCGATCACCCTTAAAGGCCATTTCACTACAATGTCATGCGTTTACTACGTTGTCATAAATTTTCGCAATGTACATCTCGTAAATTCGGTGAAAACATTTGTAGTTTCGCTTTCGCATTATCACATATATAATATAGATATTCATTATCGACCATCAATCATCATCATGCTACAGCGGAATCGCAGACTTCAACAATAAGTACCAACAATACTTCGACAAAACTTTCTACCAAATTGAATTTGGAAAATAAGCTTTGCCAAAAGTGCTTCAAGGAAAAACCCTAGAATTTTCTTTTGTCAGTCGAATGGAAAGGGAAAAATGCTTATTATAAAGCAATATAAACTGCCTTTCCCAAATCTGTCTCTTGATTTCGTTAACCTTTCAGGGCTCGCTCAACTTTTAAGCAGTTCTCTAACTGACAGCTCAGTGTCGTATCTTTCATCTTCGTTCTTTCGATCCGTATTCACAAATCCCCGGTCAGTTAAAATAATCCCATAATTTAGCTAATAATTTTCCATCATACAACTAAGAACAAAAAAATGATAAATCAGCGAACAACAATATAGAAACTCCCCCATCACAACTTATGCACCATCCCACCGGCCCAGCCAGATTCCCCGGCACTTTTCAATCGGGATTCTCCATGTTCTGATTCCCCGCCACATTCCTCTGCCGCACACCGCTGGAATCCGCCGACCCGGTGGATGATGACGAGGAGGAGGCCTGCGAGGAGTGCGTCTCGGACGAGGATGACGAGGAGGGCCGCGCATCACCGTGGGCGTTGGCGGATTGCTGTTGCGCCCGCTGGACATTCTGCCGGTGCGTGTCAACGGTGGCACGACGGCGTTCATTGCGCTGCCGAGCTAATTCCTGCGTGACACGCTGCATAATGATCAGCACACTGATCAGGATGCAGGCTAAGCCGGCGGCCAGATAGAGATCCCAGTATTCCACGGCGGAATGCAATATGGCACCACTTATGGAGTCCGGCATCTGCAGCGCACAACATCAATTGTAACAAAAAACCCACAAATGTTCGATAATAATATGCTGTAACGTATGACTGCTGTAGGCGGTATTCTCATGGAATAAAGGGCAGCTATTTTTGTTGGAAATTGTTACAACGATAGTAAAGTACTGAATGTCGCTAATTTATATTTAACAGAACTACACAGTACTGTACATACAAAATGCAAACAATAATATTAAAACCAGTTAGTCACGCGATCCGACATATTTACAGTAATGAGCTTGGTAGTGTAGTGGCTAAAGGCTCTGTCCCCAATACGGGGTGTTGAAATACAAAGACCGATATTTTAAAAAAGAAAGCTTTGATTTAAATTCAGATACTTTTTTGGCATAGATCCAAAAGTTCAAAACCGTTACAGCAAATATTCAGAAGCACAAAACTCGCACGCCCACGTGAAAGATCAACCTCGATTATTGCAGAATATGAAAACAGACTTTTGTACACTAATAAAATAAAAGAGTACATTAGTGCATAAAAAAAGGAGCAACATCGTTGTTAAGGTTATATTACTGCCAAGGTTATCATGCAAAGGCATAACACAGCTTCGTGTCATAGAGAGACAATAAAAGGAACACCTTACCGAGAAATTGTACACGGAGCTGAAAATCTGATTCCACACGAACAGCGCACCGAGACTCATCAATGCCAGCGTCACCGGCGCATGGGCATCCACACTAGTTTCCGCCGCGCGGTCGTAATATCGTTTTGCCAAATGCAGATCCTACCATAACAGAATAAACTTTTACAGAATCCGTGACTGAAAAAATCAACAACTTGCTCGCAGCATTATTCCACAGAAAAAAACCAAAGAATACTCACCACATCGTGCCGTTGAAATTTAAAGAATAGCTTCTGTTTTTCAAATTTATAATTGTCATCACCGAAAATATTTCGCACCTGTTTCACGCCCAACCCCGCCTGGTACATGTAGCCCAAATTGAACAGCGCCTGTGCATTGTTACTCTGCTCAATCTGGCGGTAATTGGCCATGGCTTCCTCGTAGTCGACCTCCGTGCCCAGACCGTAATAATGATAGTCACCCAGCTTGATGCGGGCCATATTGTAGCCCTGGGCGGCCGCCCGTTCCCAGTAGATGATGGCGCGTCCGAAGGATTCATTCTGTGGGAAACCCAGCGCCAGTGGTTCATCTGCAAATAGAAATTAATCTGATTAAAGTGAAATCGACACAGTACAAAGCAAATTAAGAAAAGAAATTCACGATCAAATACTCATACATCTGGAAATAGTCATACTATTACAGCTTAACGACACTCTCCGCGGAAATGCGGATGATGGGCTTACTTTTATCCAGCAGGAACGCGGTATTGCTCTGCGCCACTTCGTAGCCCATATCGGCCAGAAACATGTACTTGACCAGAGCACGATTGAGATCGCCCTTTTTGTAGTCGTTAAACGCATCCATAAACATGGTCGACCAGCGACCGCGTTCGGCAACACTTTTATACAACTGCAATGCGAAAAGCAACCAGTGGCAAAGTGTTGCAGTGCACCTTCTAACAACACAAGTTTCAATACAACTGGAAATTCACCACCCACTGAACATATTTCCCTACTCAAACGGAAAATAACCTACGACTTTGCGTTTCCTTCAAGTGCTTAATTCCATGACTTACTGCGATATTTCATATTCTTTCAAACATATGAACTAGCCACATTACCACAAACATGTGGCGAAGTTATTAATGATTTCTTAATATAACAAGACATTTAAATGCCACACATTACCACACAATGCTTCCAGTGTATTTATGTAACACAAATTTTGGGAACCTGAATTTCAGTTCTATCAACATGTACGCCTGACAATGATATCGTGATCTTTGTACTGTAATAGCCAAGCGCCAGTGTTTAGTGTGCAGATGTTGTTCATGACGCACAAAATATGAGTTATGTACTCGTATAATTGTTTTTAGCTGGTTCGAATTATCTGCACTTACAAGACTGCAAACCATACCTCGACTGCGGTTTTGCACATTCGTGCCACGCCAAAGCCGAACGCATTGATTTCAGCCAAATAGAAAACGGACATGATGCTGCCACTTTGTGACGCCTGGTTGAAGAGTTTAATGGCTTTCCCCAGATCCCGCTCCACACCCAATCCATCTAAAAAAAGGAAGATTCATAAAATCCAGCTTTATTCAAAAACGCTACAAACGTCTTCCGCCATCGTTGCCAAACAAAGAAAGCTACAAGTCATCAACTTACGGAAATACATCACCGCCATCATGGCTTGTCCATCGACGTAACTCTGATCGGCTGACAATTTGAAGTAGTGCGCCGCTAATTTGTAATCCTGTCCATAACAAAAGAGCTATAAACATTCCCGTCTGCAGGGAGGAAGAAGTCTGGGCTTATTCCCGAAACAAATTCGGGAATTACGATCAGAATGCAAAAATCATAGAAGTACTGTAAGTTAACTTCAAACGCACCACATCGACACCGCGTCCATACAGGTATACCAGCCCCAATCCACTCTGTCCCATGGCATTCCCGCGTTCCGCGGCCTGTCTGAAGTAATGCAATGCCGTCGCATTATCCTGCGGCACCTCCGCGGATCCCTCCAAATACATCCGACCCAAGAATGCTCCGGCATTAACACTTTCCCCTTCGTAGGCTTTCTCGAAATACCGGAGGGCCATCAAACGATCTTGCGGCACACCGCGACCGCCTTGTAAGTACAACTGGCCCAGAATAACCTGTTAACACAATTCATCAGGTTATGAAATCCGCTGTCTCTTGACCACCATTTGACGCACAATTCTAGTGCGCTCAACTGATTCCAGATTTGTAATTTTCAGTTGTTCTGCATATTCGAGGGACATAATAAGACTATATATAATAAGCTAGCATCACTCACTAAAATTACCTGAGCCGACGTGTCCCCTTTATTGGCGATAAACGTATAATACTGCATCAAATCATCGTCCATATTATTATTCACGCCTGGATTTTCCCATTCTTCATACAGACGAATTTTCTGAATGGATGGTCCACCTGGAAAATGGTAAACACGCAAATTAACAACAATATGAGCTTACTGTACATGTATGCTGTTAAATTTTTCTGCAAAATATGATAAGCAAAATGCAACATTTTCAGAGGGATCAAAGTGGGATCAGCATACATTCGTCAGAACACTCACACAGTTTGTAATTCCTTGCAAAATTAACACAGTTAAAACGTGCATAAAAACAAACATCTTACCAGTAATAGGAACATGATCAACAACTTTGGAGGCGGCTTTCCGGTAGAAATGCAAGGCCTGCTCACATTTACTCTCCACATTACTACCGTACAGGTAACGATATCCTAGTGCCATCTGTGCAAATGTGTTTCCGCCCAGCGCCGCAAACATGTAATGGAGCAGGGCCAGGGCCTGACTCGGCGTGTCACCACCGATTCCGGTGCTGTGCAAGAAAGCAGCGCCCTACAGAGACAGCACAGTAAATCAATGTAGTCCATGAATGATCAATAGAAACCGAATCAGAAACACAATGAAAGGCTAACAAGAACGCCTTGCCAACAGCAAGCGGCGCAATTGAGTGCATATTTGATATATTTGAACATACCCATGCGGTGAGGTTCAAAAAGTGCAATTCAACAATACAAGATAATTTCGATAAAAGAGAAAAAACACTGCCCAAAATGATCCATCTTCATTTTGAAACAAGAGCCTAATCGATGTGGCAAAAAAAACAATGTATTTTGTAGTCTGTAAAGTTTAAGCGGTTATATATGTTTAGAGCCTCCTATGTGATGAAAGATCAACAGAAATTAATAGTAAAGATAGATAACAGAGGAGTACATTGCCACTAAACCACGCCATCATACCCATAACAAATGTATATTTATTCTTACCATTTGCCCCAATGGATGAGCTTTCTCTTTCAAATTTTCGAAGAATTCCCATGCTCCGGAGATGTTGAGAGCCAGTCCATTTCCGAGTAGATACTCCATCGCGACGTACTCTTGTGCTTCCACATGGCCCAACCATGCTGCATTTTCGAAGCTTTTCCACATTCTGCACAAAAAGAGCGAATCAGAATTCTGTTCACCAAATACATACTAAAATGGTCAAATTCCAAAAACATTCAATCTATCACCAGAAACCATGGTGGTATTGCGTTGTAAACTTGTAATTTTCATCAAATTCGGACTACTGAAATTTACAAGACCAGAACTAAAGAGTGTATCAGTTTCTCTCGCAACAGAAATTAACCAATGCACACAAACGCAAAGTAAAAGAAACTGTTACTGTAATACTGCAGATAAAAAATTTTTAAAAACAGTCAAACATACGCTAAAACTATGAAATGATATTTCATAAATTTAGTTGCACTCACTGGTATTTTCCATTAACATCCAGTTTTGTCCGCAGTTTATAGCTCATTGCCGCGGCGAAAGCTGTATCACCTGCACAAGCAATGCAAACAAACAGTACTTACAAACAGTACTTACAAAATGGTTGCAAAAACTGCGCTGGAGAGCTTAGCTCAGCGAACGCACCTGCCGTGGTACTTTCATCGTCCGCTTCGGAATCCACCTCAAAATACTTCCTCTCCTCCTCTTCCCGTGCATTACGACTCGTGATATGTTCATAACTGCCCGCTAACGGCAGCAATCCAATCTCGCTGATAACACCCTGATAATCCGCGTTCAACACGGTAATGGCAATCTGGCGATCCTCCTGGAAAAGCTGATCCAGTCCGGAGACCTCCTTGATGTCGGCGCTGCGCTCATTCGTCGCAGCGCCATCATTATAGGCGAAGAAAGAAATCACGGATATATAGGCGAGAATAACACATCGGGATGGGATGATCATGGTGGATGAGATCGAAGATGAGCCAACACAAAGAATCGTCGGATATACTCAGCTGCGAGCTAATCCACTCAAATCATGATTTTAGAAGCCAGTTATGCGCTTCATGAACAGCATATCACAGCAGCACACTTCAGGGAAACGCAACAGGATTAAATTGTTGTACTGCAAAATACTGCTAGTGTGGTTCTGGAAATATATTTGACTATTCGGTATTTGGATCATGAAAACCATCTGTCACTTTCCTATCTGACTTTCCAGGTGAACTGTGTTCAAAAATCAGATTAAAGCAACCACCGAACCACGTGTGCGCAGTACGATCGCTGTATTGGTCCACATCATTCATTTCCGCTAGGTAGGTGCACGTTACTGGCGCCCAGGGCGGCTGCAGCAATCTGTCAACTGGGTTTTAGCGACCGCAACTGGATAGCCTATTGGTAAACCGCTATGAGCCAATGAGCGCACCTGTTTGAATCTTATCAGAATCAGCAACCTACACATATCGCACACAGGTATAAGGATCAGCGATTCAGTAGCATAGTGCACACAGGTAAGACACAGTCTGTCGCCGGCACTTTATTAGGTCTATCAACGACTGGATTTGCATTATTATGAAGTTGTGAACCATCTTCGTTATTGCAGGTGCAGATTATGGTACTGTCAAGTCAAATACCTTTACAGTGAAGTTAAGTACTTCAATGCAGCATTAATAATAAATTACTGTAATATTTGTAACTCATAATTTTTAGAGTTTGCTTCACCCACAGTGCTTACATTGCCGAAGCGTATTGCTTACTTGTTAATTGTACTGAAATTAAGCATAAGGTAATAATTAAGTACGCGTACGTATACAACAAATTATCACTGATTACAAGTGTGGTATACAATACAGCATCCTGCAGATGATATCATGGCCGTAAGATTTGACTCAAGTTGATTGTATAAACTTTAATCTCAATTTACTCGTATATTATCGAAATTCGAAACTGATAAATTTCGATGCGCTACTCGAGAAGTATTGTACCTCATGCAGCATTGTAAGAAGTAATAAACATAACATTAATTATTGTACGACAGTACGAGTACAATACAGTACTCTGTATAAAGGTACATATAATGCAGAGATTTATGTTTTAAGTAATAGCGTGAAAAATGTGGAAAGAGCAGTGAAAACAACCTGTTTACAAAATCCAAAAAAAACAGCCAGCCGGAATGAAAGGAATTAATGAAAAGTAAAAAATCAAAAGAGAAAAGAGCAGAAGGTCAAGTGATGTACTGAATGTGAGAACGCAGCGCAAATCTGTTGAGAATATTCGCTTGAAAAAAACTCATTACTGTGTTCAGTTAGGCTTTTGCCGTGGCGACTCCATCCTCCGCAACACATGCTCCAAACACCGCATTTGTGCACTGATATGCTCCCAATACGCGATCCAGGAATTTGTCTGTCAGCGTTTTTTCTTCGGCAGCACAAGAACTTTGCATAGACGGAGTGATGCAAGTTTTATACTGTTTGATGGTGCTGCAAAAAAGAATGCAAATTCGCGTTATTCTGCGCCTCCACCTACTGTAAGTCTGTAGCTGTTTTTTACTTGTATCTGTCCAGCCTTTACTTAAGACTGCTTCCATAAAATTTCTAAAGCAGAATAATTTGTAAAGTATGTACTGTATTTCATAATATGATATAATGCATGCACTTCAGTATTTAATTGTAAGTACTTATGTCGGATAGCTTATGCTTGTCAATTCTGCTTAAGGTTAACATATCAGTTTATTTAAGATTGTTTACTCTAATACAAAAAGCCAACAATAAAAATGTTTCCCACTAACAGATATATACAATTATTAGTAAATCACGCAAGCAAAAAACTTGTGGCAGGACAACAGGCTAATGCGTGTAGTTGTAGGCTTGTAGCATTTTGTATTGCCTCAATGTACTTAACACGTTGTCGTTGTGCAAGAATGTCCAATACAAACTGCTAACAAGTACTGTAAGGTTAAAAAACGAAAAACAATTCCCAGTAATATATAATTAGTGGTGCTTTCTTCACTTCTTCACTTCACTCTCACCGGTGTTATTACATAATTCAAACGAAAAAAACCCATAAGCAGCAACTCATGCACCTTTAATCGGCTTTCGCACAACTCTTCGAATTCTGGCATGCCAAGTCATAATTTGTTGGAGTTTGAACCCGGCACGCGCTAGTCAGCGGCAAACCTCAAACGCACCCGCCGAGTTCAACGTTTCAGTGGTTTTCAAAATAACCAATTTCCATAATAATTATAGTACACACAGTACAGTACTAATCAGATTTATGTTCAAGTTGAGCAACACTTGCGAAAAACAACTATCAATTTAACGCAAAACTGCCGATTACAGGTGCCGACTTACCAACACACATGTCGTTGGAGATTCTCAATTTGAAATATTTCCTTGGGATTTCTAGGATTGATATTTTTGTGGGCTTCCGGCAAGTTGGTTCGCATACTCTCACCGCACGCCTTGTGAGTGTTGTTTATCTTCTCGGCACACGTCGTCATCTTGGTGAACTTGCTGAAACTGTCCGTTTCATTGCACACTGATAGGATCTTGACTGTGCCCTTTGAGACGATGTGCAGATCGGTCTCGTTGGCTGGCATACATCTGCCGATCCATCCGTCGATGCAGGAAATGGTCGACTGAGCAAGCCTACAATATTACATTAAATCACAAAAAAAAAGAAAAAATGGTTTACTCAATACAAAATTAATCACCCAAATCCCGTGCACCAGTGTTACCGCAAATTTTATACGAGTACTTATGAATATTTAGTCTTTTCTTGGTGCAATATTACAATAATGCCAATAATACAGATACCTATAACGCTGTTGTTGCAAACTGCAGAACATAATTATTAAATACACCATTCTCGTGTACAAATTGTTTAATCTCCATAATTTTCGTCTGACCAAAAATAAACCATAAAATGTAATACATACTGTATATCGACGAACGTTTTCAACAGATAGCGCAGACAGATTTCTCTTACCGGCAGACTTTCGTGAAATCATTTTCCTTTAGCAAACCGCTTTTCCTGATTTTACCAATCCGCTGCCCGTCAGCCGTCATAACAAAAGTTATAATCGGGCGAGCACACTGAAACAATCCCATATCTCGGCATTCAGGGCCGCTGCTCGGTGATATGCCGGCAGATATAACAGACAAGCACACCGACAAATTGTACACAAAAATCCATCTCCAAAACATGATAGCCGATGCACAATGCTTCGCAGTAAGCTAATCCCAACGAAGCCCGAGCTAAAGAATGCTGCCCGTTGTTTTTGCGTTAATCCTAATTTCCTAAACTGAATGAATCACCCGTCCACAAATCAGGAGTGAGTGTAAGAGCAATCTATACACGCGAAATTTATATGACTTGTTTGGTTCCTTCAGGCCGGACCAGTATATAAAAGTGACTACTATAAATTGCGTACTGTATACTTTATAAAAGTTCGTCGCACGGCGATAATACCACTAGTGACTAGCTATACTCCGCTGGGTAAATGCAGTGCAAGATTGCCGCTGATAAGAGAACGAATGATAAGCTGCAACCTATAGAAAACAGCGATTTCGTACAGAATACTTGCGCTAAACATCAACGAGTTATAATTTACACGATTAAGACATGGAAGTGTATGCATTAAGTGACTTTGAGTCGTATAGATCTGTTGTGTACTGTAGGGTAGGGTTTAGCAGGACGCCTAATGTACGGCAATTTACTGACGGAGGCAAATTATGTCCACTTCCTTTCATCACAATTCGGCTTCCGAAATAAAAAGTTTGTAGTTCCAAAACCTGGCTGTCGGTTGACCTTTCAGTAAATCGGTAAATAACTATACTTCTAAAGTGCAGCTGTGCTGCCTGTGCACAAGCATGCCCTTGATTTTTGCGCAGACTGCCGCAACGTATTTTGTTTAAAATTAACACTACTTCAAGTACTGACAGTAAAAGTTCAGACTTGAGCAGGCGTCGCATATTGGTAAACCCGCACAACACACGCTCATAAAGCTATTGGATTTAAAAAGTCACCGGCGTTGTCAATGTGTAAATACGAATCTACAGTATATCAGTGCGGTTCTCACTTCTCACTATTTTCTACCGTAATTGTTAACGGCTACAATCAGATAGACTCGCATTCAAAATCTCTGGAAGGGATTCTTTAACTTGCGAAGGCGTTTCTAGGTCAACTGGGAGGCGCGACGCTGACGAGTCTCAGGCTTCCAGTCTTGTTTTTCGTTTTCGGATTTCCTGCGAACTGGCCGCAGCACTTTCGAATGCGCCTCCCACAAGCCAGCCCACTTAACTGCGTTGTCGCGGCTGTAAAATTCGCTTTTGATACTCGTATACAACACCACGCCCCACAATCGCTGATTCAGGCTCATCATTCAGTATTGTGTAAGTTCATGTCGGTTTCGACGGTTAACAGTCAGATTATTTCAGGTAAATTGAGTATTCAAAGATCACCACTGATCTCCGTCGCTTTACTTTGAACGGTAATTTTAACTTTCAATGTCTTTTGCCATTAGCATTTTAACTCACTTATTCGCAACGGACAAAGCTATTCAAGTGCTGTTTTGCGGTTAGTCTATCTCGCGTCGGTACTTAAGTCGTCAGTATCTCTTTATGCACTGCAGAATAATTGTCCTGTGACGAACTTTCGAAGAACCTTCGACGCCGGTATTCCCCACGCAGAGACAAATCGGTAAGCAACAGTAGTGACCTTGGTGCTTAATTGACGTTTAACTTATCGTGCTGCGTTTCGCGCTTCGGATATTATTAGAAACTATGTACTTGAATTTCCCAGGTTGGTCGGAACGTGATAAGAACAGTAAAAAACTAAGAAATTACTACAGGGAACTATCAAAAACCGAGCACTTAGCAGTTAATAGTATGCCATGAATCACTGATGTAGCGTTAGTATTCATGACTGTGATGTCATTCAGTGCTAAAGCGGTATCGCAGCAGGGTTTTCTGTCTCGTACTGTTTACTAACCACAGATCCCGAGGTGCTTCTTATAGTTCCCAGGTTTCGGGCCTCAGCTTCTGGTTGTTAAAATTGTCTGTCATTCAAATGTGACGTAGTTTAGATTACGTATAAGTTGCGTTCAGCTATACTGTATAGAGTGTCTTAGTTTTTCGTGATTTCGTCAGCCGGCAGCATAACTCAGGAGGAACCCGGCTGTGGCTTTCATAATCACTGAAAGGTAGCAGACCAATGTCTGACTGACTCTTTGTATTGACAGTCGATCCCAAACTGACTACACTATATGTTGCGTTGGGAATTGGGGAGACTTGATAAGGGTTTTGGCCGCCAAAGTATGTCGCCATTACAGGCCGCAGCAGACTATTGGGAGCTACAGGCAGCACGGAAACTGTAGGGACAGTGACGTTAACTCATTACACTGCACTTTTTTACGCGTGCGCAGCGCCCCCTCAAGTCTTAGGCGATGGTCTACAGTGCCTGTAGATCATCGTCTAAGACTTCAGAGGGCGCTGCGCGCACTTGCCGAAGGCAGGCAATCTGGTCGAACAACGGCACAGCCGTACGTTCTGCGACGCAATTTTCCGAAATCTTGATTGTGCTCCTGCTCGTATTGCCTGTCACTTCTTCGTTAATTAGAGTTCTCATTTAATTCCCCGTGTTCTAGTGTACTCGGATAAAATTTTGTTTTCGCTTTTCGGAAGACATATTTTTAGCCTTTTACATAATGGTTTGGTGTGTAGATTACAGAATGACTGGCAGTCCGCAAAATAGCCCGGCAAACGGCGGTCGCATTCGCCGTCTTCGACGTAGTTTGGGAGCGTTCGCACAACGAGTCCGGGCATCTTACCGGGACTTCAGACAAATGTCCACACCGGAGGCTTTTTCGCGCCAGGATCGGGTTGCGCGAAGCCCAATGGACATCTACGGCTACCAGGTCAGAAAATGTGATGCATTACGACGTTTATACAACATATACTGCCTACGGGTATGCTTGGATGCATGTACAAGAAGATGACTGCTTTTAGGATGACCGCCCCGCCGCTGATTCGAGCGAGCCTCGGGCCTTGAATGAGGATTTTGGGGAAGTTGTCGCGGAAGGTTTTGATAATCTGATAAATGAGGTAAGGCGATCACTAACACATATTATATGCTTCAGCTTTTATCATGCTGGTTATCATTTGTTCCTTGTTGAACGTTAATTTTACCGTTCACCAAGCTAGGAATGTTGAATTGCTTTCCGTTCTTTATACCAATTTAGCCAGAATGTCGTACGACCAATTACTAGTAAACTGCAAGAGTATATTCTAGATAAGCTGATAAACTGACTTTAGTTGCACTATCTTGTTGTTTTGCAGAATACGGATCTGAAGTCGCATGTGCAGCTTCTGCAAGGACGAGTGGGCGATTTGGAGAGCATGGTACTGTACATTACAAATTACATTACATTACATTGATTACAATATGCATATTTGGTGCTCTTGAATACTTGGCTAATACGCAATATAAATTTGGCTTAAATTTTCTGATTGAACAGTTGAACAATGAGGTGTATTTTTTTAATTATTGTTTTACGGGGCGGCTTGAAGTTAAATTAATTTGACAACAGTGAAAAATCGTTATCGCACATTCTACAAATGAAATGTAAGTACGTACAGTAACTCATTTTGCATCATGTTCTAAGAAATCGGAGTGCGCTTCGTATTTGTTATGTATCTGTAGGGTGCAGTAAGGAAGCGCACTTCAATTACTTAACTAACAAAAGCTTAAAGTACTTACTGCTTTCTGGTACACAATTCGAGTAAAAGAAGTGCATAAACAATACCTTGTAAGTACTTGTAGTCGTAGATAATTCAATTGTACAATTGCATACAAGTTTTAATTTTTTTCTTTAGTATGCAATTAATGTTGACCCTGTCTTGCATAGCGGGCATTTGCAAATTGCAGAATACATTTGCGTTAATTTACTTTGAATTTTTTTTCAGAATGTGAAGTCGAAGGAAGAGGTAGGTGTCAGCAAACGAATCCACAAATTAACCAGTCGTACTTAGTATATTGGCGTCGGTAACGTAATCCGTTTTCTTTAGAGTGGCATGCAGCTAATTTTAGCATTCTGTTGTATTGGCGTTTTGCAAACTCGTACATTTGCGTTAATTTTGAATTATTTTTTTAGATTGTGGGGTTAAAGGAAGAGGTAGGTGTCTGCACCGGTAACATTAACATACCAATAACATAACCAGTTGGCTTTTTGCAAATAGCAAAATACATTTGCATTAATTTACTTTGAATTATTTTTTCAGAATGTGAAGATGAAGGAAGAGGTAAGTTGCGGAAAACAAATCCATAGACTGCGTTAATTTACTTTGAATTATTATGTTTCAGATTGTGGCGTTGAAGGAAGAGGTAGGTGCCTGCACCGGTAACCTTACATACCAATAACATAACCAGTTGGCTTTTTGCAAATACCAAAAAACATTTGCATTAATTTACTTTGAATTATTTTTTCAGAATGTGAAGATGAAGGAAGAGGTAGGTTTCGGAAAATAAATCCACAAACTGCTCACTCGTGCTTGTCGTAACTAGTATCTTGAGTAGCATTATTAACATTACGGCATTTGCTACATGTGCTGATGATAACGCTCTTGTATCAGTGAGTTTTAAAAATATAGTACAGTGGCGGCAGTTAACGCAACTTTTTTCTTTAGCATACAGTTAATGTTGACATTTTGTTCTTTAATTGGGGTTTTGCAAATTACAAAACATATTTTCGTAAATTTACTTTGAATTATTTTTTCAGAACGTGAAGTTGAAGGAAGAGGTGGGTGTCGGAAAATGAATCCACAAACTGCCCTTTCGTGCTTGTTGTAATCGGTGGTATTTTGGCATAGAAGTATAGTAAATGTTGATGTGCTTTAGAAGATCTGTGGCATTTTCAGAATACTTGCTTTAGAAGATCTGTGGCAGTTCACAAGTTACATCAACTATCAAGATTCCATGTAAATCCTTAACCTTTAAGTTTTGTTTCACTTACAGAATAAATTGCTCGGAGTGCGCGTGACCACCATCGAAGAGCAGCTCAGCAAGGTTATGCAGCATAACCCGTATCTGGTGAAGCTGGCCCACTTGCCAGCGGACACTACGCACAACGAGTTAAATGTATGAATTTTCTGAAGCCGATATTTTACATTCAGTAATCATTCGGTGTCTGTAGGATACGTTCGGAGCGTATCCCAGTTTTATCTCGGCGGAGCTCCAAAATGGAGGGTATGCGGTGATCCGTTTCTCGCAGTTGGATTGCGCCGTGTCTGCCGCCAAGGAAATCAACGGTTATTTAATTGACGGTATGTCTGTGTTACGTAATTATAATTTGAATAGGGAAGCGCTTTACACCTTTTAGCAACAATAAAAACTCGTATTGTGCTTTCATGAATAACCATAAACAAACTAAATAAAAGCATGAAATTCATGAATTCAGTACATGGTGATTTATATTAGCATATCTGCTATAATTGTTTCAGTTTACACTTGTTGTTTACACTTGTTAGGCTAATGGGCTTGCTTATCGTTTAATCTGACCGTTCATTTCACCGAATTTTGCAGATCGCGAAATTAAGGCCACGGTTGAGTCCATTCCCAAGGCTGGATTAATTGCGCGTCGCCGTCGTTCGGTATCCGGCTGCAGCGCTGAAAAGTGACGCGGTTTTCAGTTACCTTGTTGTTTCTGGGCCATTTATTTGTTTTGTTCGTATCGCCCAGTTGTTTTGGCTAAAATCTCTTGTATATTTTGCTATTCTTGAATAACACACTGTGGAGCAGAGTAGAAGTTGCTTTTTTCTTGTGGGCGTTAGCTTTTTCGGTTGTATACATACAAAACTCCGGTTGTTTCGATAAACTACTTAAATAAAAATTGCTGGCTTTGTCAAAGCAAACAGTTTCTTACCGCTTGTGTAAAACTTGGACTTAACGCACGGTGAAACAGCGCAAGCAATGCTGAAACGAAATTGATATTGCTGTCATTTACTAAATATCGGTTGAGCACCTTCATTCATCACTGCTAGAGTTCGTTTCAGGCATAAGAGTGAAAAACTAAAAGGCGATACAGATGTGCTGTACAATATTACTTACTGCAAAAATCATGACGCAGAAAGCAGGCTGCAGACACAATACATTTCTGCTTTCTGACAATCTGGGAGCATCTTTGTTCATGATCATTACCGAAAACCAAGTTTCCTCATGCATGAGCCCATATAAGAATTTGACAATTTGTCTAACTTCAATTCTTAGCGGAGTCATAATTCTGCAAAGACTGCAGTAGTACGAGGACCATTGGGTGCTGTGAACATACCCTGCACGATTAGGCTGCGATGAACAGCCGTAGCTCGCAACGCCACTGATATCACAGTCTGAATGCAAACGGCTTAACTTTAGCCGGCTGTTCATCGTAGCCTAATCGTGCAGGGTATGTTCACAGCACCCAATGGTCCTCGTACAATACCTAGTATTTGCTAGCAAGAGCTGAACGGTGAAGCTACTGCATGTTAAAAAACATAAGATATTGCTACGATTTCGATTAAGTCTATACCTGGTATTATGTGTTCTCAAGAAAATGAAGAAATGGAACCTCTTCTACCGTCTCTTATTCTGTAATCCTTTCGCATTCCGTTTATGTGTCGAACTTCTTACCTACTTCCTTTCTTGCGGCGCTTACTTGCCGCACTTCACGGATTATGCGTTAATATGCAACAATGTTACAACGATATCCTCGATGTTTGCATTTCCATGTTATAATAATATTCTCTGGCGAGAGGAAGTGCACGAGACAGCGGCAAAGGTGCGAAACGCAATGTTTTTTACCCATAAAACAATAAAACAAACGGTTTTCAAGCCAACTTTAACCGGAAAAGTCAACCAAAAAATCGCATAAGGCTGCATTCCTGCCAATGCAGCGTCTAAAACTCGCAGAAACGCTTCAGAGACCGTGTAGTGCACAGAAACGAAACATGGTAATAAAACTATATTGACAAACTCCGCAATCTGCGGAGCATCATCACTGTTTAAATTCTCTTCAGGCACGGGAGTGCTCACCGATCGCACTTCGGATTCCAGAGGTTCAAGCAGACACTGCAAAATAGGGGTACAAAGGTTACGTACGCTCATGACTTATGGGGTATAGCAAAATCGTATCAAACCGTATTATATCATTTTGGCATGAAAATGTATATACCAATCTCATCGCTTTTAATGCAATAATTACCTTATGGAGATGTAAATCCAAAACCAGCTCTTGTACCCTGCGGCGAATGCATGGACAATTTGAGACAAACAAGGATCAAGAAACGAAATCAGCCGAGCTGGTTTTTCAATCTGTCGAACGGTTTTACCAATGGTAATTTCTCAAATTGGTCGAAATAATGATGATTGTAATATGTAAGCTGTAAACAGACAAATCAGAATAACTTACTGTAACGTTAACAGTCCTTGTTCCGCCGCCTTGTGTCCGAGCGGCGTCGCCAAGGCGCTGATGAATCGCAAAACTTCCTTTCGCTTGACAACCACCGGACGTTTCGCTGTTTCTGCGCTCGACCGATCCACGGCCAACATTGAGCACATACAGTTGGACACATACAGTTGGACACAGAGTATAGCTCCAAACCGTTTCTGAGATCCACTTGATGGCTCAGCTTCCGTGACACAAGATTTCCCACAACGTATTCATCTTTATGGGCAGATTTACGAACTGGCTGCTTTCGCCACATATTCCGTCTTAATGGCACACAGATCTCGATGTATTTTTCTTCCTTGGCAGAGGACTCTCCAGGTACAATGGAAGAAGATGTTGAACTCGGTGCACTGGGATGAGGAGGACTGGCACGGTGCACGGAACTCTTCCGATGCAGAAAGGTGCTGTGCACCTTCATGGTGTGAACCAGCGAGCGAAAGGAATGCCGCGCTTCATTAAGCCGGTGCCGCACTTCGTTAAATGATGTATCGCGATGGGATTTCATCCGTAGCAAAGTGCGACGGGATCGTTCCACGGCGGAGCTGCCATGGCTTTCCGGAGAGCGCTGAAAACAGGACTGCAGAGTAGGCGAGCCATCTAAAAATTTCAATTTGCACTAAATAATGCAGTGAAAAAAAACAATAAAAATGAAGGTTCATTTAGTCAGCTTATCTACTGATTTATCAAACTAATGTGCTACGCGCGAAATTTCCTGGTGCATAGATCATAGAATTGACGACAAGGGACAAACAATATACCCTTGTACAATAACGTTGACTCTGCATTTGCAATGGTCTTTTCAAGCCGAAGTGTACGCAATTTACTTCGCTAAAACTGTGCACTCTAATTGACTTACCAATCAAGTCATCCGGCGATCCAAAGCTGCTAAGCTATCCGTATCCGTCCTTTTGGCGCTGGCACTGCGATCCATTCTGTGATCCTTCACAATGCCATCTGGCGCTGAATCCAGACCATCGGACGACTCAAACCCGGATTCGCCGCGACTAGTTTTGTGGGGTAAAGGCCCATCCAAATAGCATCCATCTTTCGTGAAGAAGACATTGGCTTCTTTCTCGGCAAACAACGGCGAGGGCACTCGCAAATCATGCGCAGGCGCCGTGGTGAAGGAGATTAAGCGCTGCGGCCGAGGCGACGCATTGAAACTGGGCAGGGCAGCGGTGATGCATTCGGACGCATTGTCCCACGTGTAAGTACTGCACCCGCTGATCGACCAGTGGCCACACACAGTTCATGGCGATTGTGCCGGATGGCCAACCAATCGCGTGATTTCAGGAGATCAGCGCCACGTTCCGTTGTTGACCATAATCCCAGAACGAAATACGCAGTCCTGGAACAACGACAACGGGGTTTGAGTCATTATTAAATTAAATGCCATATGATGTGCTTGTAAAGCACGCAAACATTACAATATCTACCGGTATCGCGCTTTCAATGTGAATGATGTAGTACAGTAATTATGTAAAGCGTAAATTTAACAAACGAAATCGGATCAGTCGCTAACGACAAGCTGACGGCATCCTTCAGGAAAACGATCGAAATCGATGATACAGGAGTAGTTAACAAATTGGCATAGCTTAAAAAGTGAAGTATAGAAATGCACACAAAAAAACACTACTGCATGATTACTGTATACTGTACGGTCGCTAGGTTTTTATACATACCGTTATCTATTTTTAAACCGATACTGACTTCATCGTAATAAACATCACTTTAGCAATGCTAAAATAATGTTAATGCCCTTAATTAAACAAATTATCGCTATATAATTTGATCTACCTATGAATTCGCATTTGCACATACCCACGGACGGATAAATTCGGATGTTCCGCCGCAATGTTAACGACCATATCCAGCACATCGTACTCGTTCAGCATCCACATTCCATCGACAGTTCGGCCGATGTGACCAAGAGTCCACAGCGCCCATTTGGACTGATGGTTAATGGCTCAGTGGACGTTGCCCGGATAACTTTAACGCTCACCAAATGGGGCATTTCCTCGCGAATTACATCGATGGTTTCCACGGCTGTCTGAGCGACAGTGATGTTCGCATCCTGCCATCCGTCCAATTAACAACTTCATTCCCCATTCAGATAATCACGGCAGACGAGCGTAAAAGCGTCCGCAAATGCAGCGTCGCGTAACGCCGGAGAGCCTGTAAAAATAATTACGCCGCTTAAGTCAAAATGCAATCTATTAACAAATGAAAATCGATAATCACTACAGAACTTGAGCTTTCGATTTTTAAACATAAATAACTACCTATTACGTTGCCCACTAACGTCATCAGTGTCCCGCTCAACGGTGAACAAAGGTTCAAGGCTCTGCGTAGTAATCCTCTTGATAACACATCATCCCGGTAATCTAGCATCGTGATAATTAGTTTGATGTACGATTCATGGATGTCCTCTATGAAAACCAGACGCCCAAACGTAATATTATCAACAACGCCGGTTTTCCGTAGCATTTTCTCTCCCTCCGGATAGCATGATACTTTTCCCACAAAAAAAAGAAAACAACCCTAAGAGCAGGATGATAACAGTTTCAACGGGTTGAAAGCACATCAGCGCCGGGATCTTCGTGGGACGTTTTCAAATACCCGGTGAAATCTGTCAGCAGCTCTTCTGCAGTTCCTGCCTGAGGTGCCAGGTATGCTACAGCAGAACTTCTGCTGTAAGTTCTGCTGTAGTATATCTGGCACTTCAGGCAGCAATGTTTCCACAAAATAACTAGTACAAAGTGGCTTCAAACGGCCGAGATCTTGCTTTTTTGGTATCGCGGAGAATAGTTTATTCGGGGGATTTTAGAAGATGAGCAAGTTATACGAGGATGCACGCAGTCAAACCGACAGTAAATTTTTTCAGCGAGACCAACCGACAACCGTGCATATAGTACAAGCGACTGCCAACCATTCACGGATGGCTGTCACCTGTTCCACGCATACAGTGCAAACGATACCTCCCTTTCACGGGTGGCTGTTATGTGGAAAAATAATTTGCCTGTGTGCGTGGTTGTCGGTTGGTCTCGCTGAAAAAATTCACTGTCGGTTTGACTGCGTGCATCCTCGTACATAAAAATCTAAAAGAACAAACAAGGATGCAGTTGTACTACTGTTACTAAATTCTTGTGGTATAGCAGACAGCCAATACTTTAACTATAACAGTCAAAATGTCAGATACGTATGTAAAAGGTAAAGCATACAAATGACAATGCCACAGACATATCAACATTTTACGTTGCGTGTGTAACGCGAGAAAACTTCTTACGAAGAGAGTCGTTTTATTACATACTTTCTCAGAGGCGTACTCGTATAATGTTTTTGACCATTTATTACCATAAACAAGACAACAATTTAGGGTTTGGAAAAAGAATACTGCTTATATACGTAATTTCGTGTACGTACACACTTTAACTTTCATGTGTAAACGTAATTTTCTGTTTGTCATGATTGATAAAGTTTATTAGAGCGCGTTAAATACCGTCTGCAACAAAACGTGTATCTAAATTAAACCAACCTGTAGCCACCAGCATCACTAGCACGGATGGCATCGGCGTTCAATAATGCCGCGACAAGCTGCCATTTCCAGCTTGTATGCGTAATGTCAATGAGGACAAGTGAATCCAGGTCCTTCCAACCAGCAAAACAAATTCCGAGAAAAATCAGCCAGTTTGTCTTCTCCACAACATGCATGAATGGAGAAATGCGATATGAAACGGCAGACAGACATACCCTTAGCGAACCATCGAAATACTTCCGTTCACGATTTCGCCGGCACATCTCCAATACACGTTCCAGATGCAGACTCATATTTGGCGGCATTTCCGGTTGGATGGAGCGCTCATGGTAGAGCCGAAACAGATCGGCAACGGCTTCCGCGCCTTGGACGCGGCTGTTGTACTTGTTGATAGCCGTGGCCAGCGAGACCAGCGCCGGTAAACTCTGCTATAGCGTGGTGAGTTCCGCGGGAACATAAGCATTCGCTACAACAAAAAGTCAGGTTATAAGTAAAATTATTCTTGTCGCAATTTCTGTGCTTATCAAATTCAACAGGTCATCCACCTAATATCTGAGAAGAACTACTCGCACAAAAATTAACAACTATAAAGGCGTAAAGTCGCAATAAGATAAACAAAGTAAAACAAATCAAAGTAAATAAAGCGCATAAATAACTGAACTAACATTCATAATAATACTGGAAAAATATGATAAAAATCACTTACCATCTAATGATAAAAAACTGCTCAATAAATACAATGTTGCCGGTGCACATCCGAATCGGCGGTTATCACAGATTCCAAACCCACAACCAATCGGGTTTGTTGGAAGCTAGAGAAACAATAGCACGGTAATAACACCGGCAGTGGCAAAACAAACTGGCATGTGTCCGACCGATGTGCGGCAATAAGGCACACGCTTCGCCGGCCACAAAGTCCTCTTGTTACTCCAGGATTCTGCAGGATCATTAGCATTTATGCAATTGCAAAGCCGATAAGCTGTAATGCACTTACCGCGCAAGGGACAAGGGAGGATTCGAAATCCTTGGGGATAAAAGTAACTGAGATACAATATGGAACACAGCTTCCTGAAAAAAGCAGCACAATTTAGACAATGAAGTAGAGCACTGCGGTAATACGATAATGGGAGTGATGCAGCACAAAAGGCTAAAGCATTTGTATTTGTAATGTATTTGTATTGCCTCAACATAACAAGTGTCAGGAACTTACTATAGCTAGAAGGACTAGGAACGGACTGCGCAACGGTCGACTACGTCATCACTGTCGCATACAGAAAGCATTGCTGTGCTAATGCTTACCATAGTCCCGCAGACTTTGTTGTCCCTTTTAATAGATATTCTGAAGTTTCTTTCTCATCAAAAGCTTTCTGATATTTTTAAAAGATCATATTGAATATTGAACCTTTTATTTCGAGGGCTAAAAATAGAAGAGAAGAGAAATCGTCTGAGAAAACTGACAAAAACCGTGAAAAACGCGCATCTGTCACCATGGCAACCGCCTTCCCTTGTATGCGAGAGTGATGACGTCAAACGGTTGGTTACCAGTCCTCCTCACACTATAGTAAGTACTTGCAAGTGTACAAGAATGTCCAATACAAACTGCTAACCATTAAGGTTAAAAAATTAAAGCAATTCCGAGTAAATAGTAAATCAACTATGAAATCAGTAGTGCTTTCTTCACTTGATCGCCTGTCACCGGTTTTATTCAATTATTCAAGAGAAAATAACTCATAAACAGCAACTCATGCAGCTTTTATCTTGCGTGCGGCTTCGCAGTTCGCACTCTTCGAATCCCGGCATAAGCAGCAATTTTTGGAATTTGAACCCGGCATGCGCTAGTCAGCGGCTAACCTCAAACCCGCCGAGTTCAACGTTCCAGAAATATTCAAAACAACTGTCCTCCATGAGAAGTGCTATACATACTAATCGAATTATTTTCAAAGTTGACCCACATCGGCGATAACCACTTGCAACTGAGTTGCAAGTATTGTACACACAACGAAGAAACTGTTATCTTGACGCACCGGTATCTTTCACTGCTGCAACAAAACCAATTTAGCCGTTCATGCTTATTTAATGATTTTTAGTCGTTAAAATATTTCTACTAGTTAATTTTTGATAAATGTATTGGATAATCGTTCAGTACAGCGCTTCGCGTTATAACGTGGCACGCTAAATTAATTAAAGGCGAAATTGCCGATTACAGTTGACTTACCAGCAGCACATGGCACCCTATCATTTCGGAAACCATTCATTTCGGAAATCATTCATTTCGGAAATCATTCATTTCGGAAAACATTCATTTCGGAAATCGTTCATTTCGGAAACCATGCATTTCAACACTTTTCCTTTACAGTTAGTGACAGAAGACGTTATTTCGGCCAGAAACAGAACAATACAGAAACAGAACAGAATGATGTACAGAACAGTGTACAGAAACAATTATACAATTATTGTACAGAAACAATTATACAATTGTGAATTGTCAACGAAAAAGCATTTCAGGGATCTTTTTCATAAACTTTCATTTACTGTACTAACTGACAACTGCCATGTCGACGGTTCGATTTGCTTGTGTTGGGGGTTACAATGAGAGCACAAGAATTAACTGCATCATAATCGAGCGCCAATGTATTGCCCGCATTTAGCGTGTATTAGTGCGCACGATCGAACACGGCTGCAGATAAGCGGCGTCATAACCAAAACAATAGCCTATTTCAGATTGCATACGGTAGAGGCTCCGTACATAGAATCGCACGGCGTCAGATAAGCTGTACGTTGGCAGGATGAAAACTGCTTCAGATCTTTGTGCGGTTACACTTTGGTCACGTACAGCAACGAAAAAATTAATCGAGTCGAGTGCGCGCGAGGACGTGACCACCCTGCTAACGGTCGGCGGTCTGAGTGCTCAAAAAAGATCCACGGGTAGGATACGCTGGCCCTGCACATTCACTTATGTCTGAGCCGTTGCATGCATCCGCGTAAGGCAGATAGTTTTACGCGTCACCGCACGACGCTAGGTTACAGCTGCTAACGTCGTGAACGGACGTAAACAACCCACAACTGAAGGTTCCATATGGAACCGAGCCGAATGGAGCATGTCCGTGCAATCTGAAATAGGCCAATAATCTCTGACACACGAAAAAACCACAGCAGTTGCGCGTAGGTATGTCATAAACCGTGCCCATAAACCATACATTTACATGTTGCAGCCTAACGTGAGACGTGCCGATAAAACAATATGTTGCGTTGATGTTGCGCTGAAATGAAGATTGTACAGAATTTGTACAAGGAATACTGTTATTTCGGGAACCCGTTTAATTGTACAGATACAAAGTACACAGACTGTACAATGGCTACTAAACATACTAGTACCAGTTATAATAATTAAACTACTGTTATAATAGTATAATAATATTAAACTACTGTGATAACGTATGGTTTCCGAAATGAATGGTTTCCGAAATGAACGGTTTCCGAAATGAATGGTTTCCGAAATGAATGGACACCCAGCACATATGTCGCTGGAGATTCTGAATTTGAAAAATTCCTTGGGATTCCTAGGATGGATGGTTTTGTTGGCTTCCGGCAAGTTGGTTCGCTTACCAGATACTGTAACCGCACGCCTTGTGAGTGTTGTTTATCTTCTCGGCACACGTCGTCATCTTTAGTGAATTAGTCTGGTACATATCTGCCGATCCATCCGTCGATGCAGGAAATGGTCGACTGAGCAAGCCTACAACAATTATAAAAAGAACGAAAATGACTTGCTCAATACAAATTAAATGTTGAACCACGTAAAAAAATATGACCCAACGTCCACGCATTAGCACCGAAAATTTGGGACGAGAAAGTACTTAAGTCTACTTGCAGTACTTGTACAGTACTTTATTTTCTTGGCGCAGGAAATCGCATGACAATCACGATAATTTACATCAAGTACACCAAACATTTTGCAACTAGCTAGAGCTGCAGCTAGTTGCAAAATGCGAAGCACAATAATTAATTATGTATTATGATTTATGAAGCACTCTGTACGACAAAATATTCTCGCGTACAAATTGATAACTGAGTAACTTACAAAAACAGCTACATAACTATAGTACAGATAGTCTCACCCAGTGTAATTAGTAACTGTGGTAAGTATGCAACCAAGTACAGCTTCTTCCTCAGACGAGATGGTTTTCACAATAGAATTCTTACCGACAGACTTTCGTAAAGTCATATCCCTTTAGCAAACCGCCTTTTCGGATTCTGCCGATCCGCTGCCCGCCAGCCATCACAACAAGAGTCATAAGTCATAACTGGACGGGCACAGTCAGCACACTGAAATAATCCCATATCTCGGCATTCAGGATCGCCACTCGGTGATATACCGGCGGATACAACAAACTGCAAATAAAACGACACAAAAGGTACACGAAAATTCGTCTCCAAAACATGATAGTAGATCTACGATGCTTCTCAATCAGCAAAATCCCAATGACTTTCCAGTTCCGGTCTACTGAACACAGCCCTGTTGTTTTTGTGGAGATTTTAACTGACTAGAATCACTAGATCACAACGAGGTCACAAGAATAACGGTAATACGCAGTACGACTTGGATTGTCCAGACAAAATCAATTGCAATTATTATGTAAGTAAAAGTAATCGCTGCACGACGCTAAAGTCTAAGTCACCAGTCACATCATTGGGTAAAAGCGCACTACAGAGCCGCTGATAAAAGAACGAACGATAAACTGCAGCCTATTTTGGAAGCAGCGATTCTGTACAGTATTCTACCCATAGTTTACGCTCAACTAGTTGGGAGTTTACTACAAATTTAACATGGCCACTTGGGAGTGTATGCATCAAATTGTACGATATGTCCCTTTAACTGTATATGACAGATAGGTAGGAAAACGTTTTTGTCGGAAGCCAAATGTACGTTTTGAAGACAAACGACATCGGCAACGGCTTCGGCGCCTTGGACGCGACTGTTGTAAACTAGTAAGTATTTGTTGATAGCCGTGGCCAACGAGACCAGCACCGGTAAACTCTGCATCTGCATCGTGAACTTTGCGGGAAGATAAACATTTGCTACAAAAAAAGTCAGATTAGAAGTAATGTTATTCTTGCCAACGATTCTACATTATCATTACACTCGTCTGCATAAGTCAGCAAAATGAACAAGCTGTAATGGACGACCTGCCACAAGGGACAAGGAGGATTCATAATCCCTGGGGAATAAATAGTACCTGAAATACAAAATATCGAATACAGCTAAATTACAGCTTCCTAAAAAAGAGCATCACAATAGGCAGTCAAACAGAATTATGAAATCCCAAAGCTGAGTTTAGGCCACTGGGCGGTATTAAAACCAGCGACTAATCACAATGCAGATCAGTTTCGGAATCACCTCCCTCCGCTCTGCTCCGTCCTCACTTCTCGTGGCTGCGAAATTTCTTGCCTACAGTACGAGTATATAAAGAGAAACGCATCAGAACTGCGCAACAGTTCGGGAGTTCATTTGAGTTCTTTTATTATTTTATCAGCAAATTTCTCCGCGTTTCAGTCCTCTCAGTGTTGAATTACAGTTAACCGGTAAGCCGATTTCATCACTGATTAGTAATTCGCACCTACTTTTTGAAGTTTAGTAAATTGTGCTTATATGCTAGGTTTGTCCTTTCAGCAACGCTTATCAGTAGGTTCTACAAAACTGCACTCGTTCTACATTTCTTGTGCTTTGCAGAAGATCCCACAGTGAAAATCTTGACAGTCCTCAGTTCTGTCACCTGTGTCGAAGTCCTTAATAGTTAACGGTACGTGAACCATGTAAAGTCCTTCTTCCTGCCGGAGTTACCGATTGCCGTACATTCTCAATTGACAAAACCCAGAAGTAATGCAGTACTTTACGGGAAACTTCTTCGTATTAGTCAATCCTCAGAATTGCACACTGCATCACAGAGTCTGGTTTAATAATGATATAACCCATATTATATAATTTATTACCAGTCTCTCTGACTACAGTTAAACAGGCATAATTTCGCTGTCTGCGTAGTACGCACACGATTGCTGTCTTCTCATGCTGTTTATTAGGCTAACGTTCAGAACCGACATTTTGCCGCGGAGCAGAGCCGTCTCCGTCAGGAAATCGATAAACTGAAAGCCAACGAAACCAGGATGAACACAAAATTGGATAAGCAAGCCCGGCAATGGGAGCTGGATGCCGTGAACACCCCTTTTAGGTGGGCCGTGGAGATGTTCCGATACCTGGAAACTCGGGATGAGCGGCTGGAGAAACATCTTGATTCAAAGATGAGTGGCCACACGGCGGAGGTCAAGACTATGATGAAAGATATGAACGCCAAACTTGACAAACTGTTGTCTTACAATAAGTGACACTGTTGTTCTGTATTAATGTTGAAGTACTCTGACATATGTGGACTGTCCAATTCAATGTACGGTATGATCTAAAAAGAATGTCTCCACCGGCATTTCTCACATTGCGATCGTATACCGTATAACACTATCTGTCAGTCAAGCATATACAGTGACAATTCGCAAAAAGCTTCCTTCAGAAGGCAATAAGACAATAATAATCGTAGATAGCAGACACATTCCACTTTAATGTTCCGAATGTCTGAAAGCATCTTATGGTGCATTATCAAGGTTTCTCCAGCATAAGCCCACTATCCGAACATAAACTTCGATCTGATTTCGATTCGTTAACCAGAGCCGTATTTCTGCGACTTATAATATCAGGATGAACATTTTATTAGCGATTTGTGCTGGGAAAAGTAATACAAGAGCACCATTTTACAAAAAATTATAACATCATTTCCGTTCAGCCAAATGAAAGGCAAAGTACACATCTTCCTTCTCTACCATGTCGGTAAATGTACCGAGAACAGAAACTGCATTTCCTCTATGAATCTCGATACTAGTGATGTGCTACTAAATAAAACTAAATAAATGCTATTTAATTAGTAAAAGCTTCCCTAAAATTAAATGTATAGTAAACAGTAAAGTTTTACAGGCAAGATTAGTAAAAGTAAGTAAATATTCAGCTACAATAGTAAACAGTAAGTAAATAGTAAGATTTGGCTTTCGCTAAAAAAAGTTATTTACTAATTCATTTACTAATCGAATTTTTTCGAATAACCAGAAGACTCATTGCTGTACTAGGGCAGGTTCATCATTAACGGTGATGCATAGTCTAAAGTTGGTGCCTTAACAGATGGTGGTATTGCTGTTCACGTAAACGCAATGTACCGCCGACCCGAAACTGCGGTTACGTAACGTACTTATAATTATAGGATTTGAAACACTGCAATGCAGCAGCAGCCTGGCAAGCAGATTGTGCAGCATAGTTGTTCTGTTAGATACTGCCTTTACACCATAGATTCGCATAAAATACAGTATATTTTGATTCCTTCATGAAATGCACAAGCGTCCCAAAAATGATAATAACATTAAATTATTAATTAAATTAAATTTATTTAGTATAATTAGTAAGTAATTGGTTGGGAAAAATGTGGATAGTAAGTAATAGTAAGTATTTCAAAAATTTTTGGGTTAATAGTAAGTAATAGTAAGTAAAAGTTTTGGAAGATTAGTAAACAGTAAGTAAGGTAGCATGAAGCTGTAGTAGCACATCACTACTCGATACCAATTCTTTGGCGTAATCCTGAGCGGGGGTTGCCTGTACTGTCGAAAATCTTTCATCTGCTATTAGAAGACTGTTGTTAATAAGTTGTTAATAATATCTGCTATTAGCAGACTGTTAACAAATTTAACAAGAGCAGAACGATGGGCTAATAATTTAAGTTAGCAAACAGTCTAAACAGATATAAGATTTTCCTGCGATTAAAAAAAAGCAGGTACGCACCGCGGTATTATCGGTTCCCAAGAAACGGAAGCTTTTCCGCCGTCTCATATTCTGCAAACATTGGGCACTCCGCTTTTGTGTCGAAATACTTACGTACTTGCTGTCTTGCGGCGCATAGATGCCGCGTTTCACTAATCAAGTGTTAATATGCAACAATCATCTCCTTTGCTGCTTCGTTTTACTGTTTTGTTTAGTGGCGAGAGGACATCCGCGGGACAAAGCGGCAAAAAGCGCGAATCGCGCACAATATTTTTATTATTCTTAGACATTGGCTTCTTTCTCGGCAAACAACGGCGAGGGCACTCGCAAACATGCGCAGGCGCCGTGGTGAAGGAGATCAAGCGCTGCGGCCGAGGCGACGCATTGAAACTGGGCAGGGCAGCGGTGATGCATTCGGACGCATTGTCCCACGTGTACTGCACCCGCTGATCGACCAGTGGCCACAGTTCATGGCGATTGTGCCGGATGGCCAACCAATCGCGTGATTTCAGGAGATCAGCGCCACGTTCCGTTGTTGACCATAATCCCAGAACAAATACGCAGTCCTGGAACAACGACAACGGGGTTTGAGTCATTATTAAATTAAATGCCATATGATGTGCTTGTAAAGCACGAAACATTACAATATATTACCGGTATCGCGCTTTCAATGTGAATGATGTAGTAATTATGTAAAGCGTAAATTTAACAAACGAAATCGGATCAGTCGCTAACGACAAGCTGACGGCATCCTTCAGGAAAACGATCGAAATCGATGATACAGGAGTAGTTAACAAATTGGCATAGCTTAAAAAAGTGAAGTATAGAAATGCACACAAAAAAACACTACTGCATGATTACTGTATACTGTACGGTCACTAGGTTTTTATACATACCGTTATCTATTTTTAAACCGATACTGACTTCATCGTAATAAACATCACTTTAGCAATGCTAAAATAATGTTAATGCCCTTAATTAAACAAATTATCATATATAATTTGATCTACCTATGAATTCGCATTTGCACATACCCACGGACGGATAAATTCGGATGTTCCGCCGCAATGTTAACGACCATATCCAGCACATCGTACTCGTTTCAGCATCCACATTCCATCGACAGTTCGGCCGATGTGACCAAGAGTCCACAGCGCCCATTTGGACTGATGGTTAATGGCTCAGTGGACGTTGCCCGGATAACTTTAACGCTCACCAAATGGGGCATTTCCTCGCGAATTACATCGATGGTTTCCACGGCTGTCTGAGCGACAGTGATGTTCGCATCCTGCCATCCGTCCAATTAACAACTTCATTCCCCATTCAGATAATCACGGCAGACGAGCGTAAAAGCGTCCGCAAATGCAGCGTCGCGTAACGCCGGAGAGCCTGCAAAAATAATTCGCAGCATACGTCAGAATGCGACCTGTTACCAAATAAAAAACGACAACTATTAGACCTTCAGCTCCCAATTTCTAAACATAAACAACTATTCCATTGTCTACGAACGTCATAACGTCATCAGTGTTTCGTTAACCGGAGAAACAAAGGTTTAAGGCTTTGAGTAATAATCCCCTCGAGAGCCCATCGTTCTGGTTATCCAGCATCGTGATAATTAGTCTGATGCACGATTCACGAGAATCAGACGCGGAAATATATCAAAAACGCCGGTTTTCTGTAGCATTTTCTCTCCCTCGGGATAACATGATATTTTTCCGACGAAAATAAAAAATCCAAAGAGCAAGATTATAACAGTTTCAGGCTTTCAGCGGATCGAAGATCACATCAGCACCGGGATCTTGGTGGGACTTTTTCGAATATCCGGTGAAATCCGTCAGCAGCTCTTCTGCTGTCGCATGTCTGGTACTTCACGCAGCAACATTTCCACAAAATGATTAATAATTTAATACCAACCACCGAGTGCCTTCAAACCGTCGCGATTCTGCTTTTTTGGTATCGCGGAGAATAATTTATTCGGGGGTTTGTAGAAGATGATCAATTATTCAGAAATCTAAAAAACAAACAAGCGGATGTAATTCACAGTGTATTGTTACTAACGTAAATTCTTGTGTACCAGATAGCCAAAACTTTTGCCATAACAGTCGAAATGTCAGAGACGCATGTAAAAGCATAAAAAGGACAATGCCACAGACATATCAACATTTTACGTTGCGTGTCCAACGCCTCAAAACTTCTTACGAAGATAATCGTTTTATTACTTAATTTCTCAGAAGCGTAATACAATGTTTTTGACCATTTATGATCATAAACGAGACAATAACTTAATGTTCAGGAAAGAATACTGTTTATGTACGTAATTTCATGTACACACACGTGCGTGTTTTCAATATGTGTCATGACTCGACAAAGTTTATTAGAGCGCGTTAAATACCGTCTGCTACCAGTTTATTAAATTAAATACCAGTTTATTAGAGCGCGTTAAACAAAACTTGGTATCCAAATTCGACCAACCTGTAGCCGCTAGCATCACTAGCACAGATGGCATCGGTCTTCAATAATGACGGGATAAGCCGTCATTTCCACCCTGTAACCGTAGGCCCGTATTGTCAAAGAGGACAAGTGAATCTCATCATACTGTCGTCCAGGTGACCAGGTCCTGCCAACCAGCAAACAAGTTCCGAGAAAATATTAGCCAGTTTGAAACGTTTTTAAGAAGACACATTTGTCGTCTCCAGACTCTCCACAGTGTTCACAACATGCATGAATAGAGAAATGCAATATGGAACGGCAGACATACCCTTAGCGAACCATCGAAACACTTCAGTTCACGATTTCGCCGGCATATTTCCAGTACATGCTCCAGACACAGACTGAGACACGGTGGCATTTCCGGCTGGATGGAACGCTCATGGTTGAGGCGGCAGAGATCGGCAACGGCTTCCGCGTCTTGGACGCGGCTTTTGTATTTGTTGATTGACGTGGCTAGCGAGACCAAAGTCAGCATCTGTGTGGTGAATTCTGCGGGAAGATAAACATTCGCCACAAAAGTCAGGGTATAAGTAAAATTATTCTTGCTGCTTATCAAACTGAACAAACAATAAAGTAATTACTAATTACTGAGAAGAATTACTACTCGCGCAACAATCATAAAGGCATAAATCGCAACTAGATTAAAAAGAAAGGAAAAGAATCAAAATAAATAAAGAGTATAAACTATAAATAAGTGAATTAACATTCATAAGACTACTGGAAAAATACGATAAAAATCATTTACCAGTAGTGATAAAAAACCTATTCAATAAATATAATGCTCGCCGGAGCAAATCCGGATCGGCGGTTATCAAATCCTCAATCAATCGGGTGTGCTGGAAGAGAAACAACAACATACTAAAACTGGTCCACAAATTGACATGTGTCCGACCGAAGTACGGCAACAAGGCACGCGCTTCGCCGACCACAAAGTCCTCTTATATACTCGTACTCCAGGATTCTGCAGGATCAGTAGCATTTATTTTCAAATATTTGCAGTTGCAGTGCCGATAGTGGTATAGTGCACTTACAGCAAGGGACAAGGGAGGATTCAAAATCCTATGGAATAAGAAGTAACTGAGATACAATGGTGGAATACAGCTTCCCGAAAGAGCAGACAATTTAGGCAACGAAGTCTAGCATGCACTGCGATATTATGCAATAATGGGAGTGCTGCACCCCTGCAGCACAGAAGGCTAAAGCATTCGTATTAATTTTGTATTGTAATGTACTCGTAGTCGTATTTGTATTGCCTCAACATAATCAGTTGTACAAGAATGTCCAATACAAAAGTGCTAACAAGTAAGGTTAAAAAATGAAGACAATTCCCAGTAAATAGCAACAATACAACTATTAAAATTTGTTGTGCTTTCTTCTCTTGATCGCCTCTCACCGGTGTTATTAAATTACTTAAGGGGAAAAAACTCATAAAAAGTAACTCATGCAACTTTATCATGCGGCTTCGCTTCGCACTCTTCGAATCCCGGCATGAGCAGTATTTTTTGGAATTTGAACCCGGAACGCGCTAGTCAGCGGCAAACCTTAAACACACCCGCCGAGTTCAACGTTCCAGAAATATTCAAAACAACTGTCTTCCATGATAAGTGCTGTACATATGCTCTTCCTCATTACATATGCTGTGCTGTTCCATGATAAGCGCTGTACATACTAATCGAATTATTTTCAAAGTTGCCCACACTGGCGAAAAACACTTGCAAATACATGCAACGAAGAACCTGTTATCTCGACGCACCGGTATCTTTCACTGCTGCAATAAAACCAATTTAGCCGCTCATGCGCAGGAAATCGCATGATAATCGCGATATAAACACGAGTATTAAGTACACCAAACATTTTGCAACTATAAATATCTACAACTGTAACTAGTTGCAAAATGCGAAGCATAATAGTTAATTATGTACAATATTATGAAGTACTCCGTACGACAGAAAATTTTCGCGTACAAACTGATAAGTGTGTAACTTACAAAAACAATTATAGCTATACTCACACAATGTAAGTAACTATAGTTGTTTCAAAAGGAAGCAAAAACTGTGGTAAATATGCAGTCAAGTACAACTTCTTCATCAGACTAAAGAGATGGTTTTCACGATCAAATTTCTTACCGACAGACTTTCGTAAAGTCATATATATTCCTTTAACCAACCCCGTTTTCGGATTCTGCCGATCCGCTGCCCGCCAGCCGTCACAATAACAGTCATAATCGGACGAATCGGACGAGCACACTGAAATAATCCCATATCTCGGCATTCAGGACCGCCACTCGGTGATACTGATACAACAGACTGCAAATAAACCGACAAAAGATACACAAAATTCGTCTCCAAAACATGATAGTAGATATACGATGCTTCTCAATCAGCAAAATCCCAATGACTTTCCAGTTCCGGCCTACTGAACACAGCCCTGTTGTTTTTGTGGAGATTTTAACTGACTGGAATCACTACTCTAGATCACTACGATGTCACAAGAATAAGTCGTACTGCGTATTACTTTAAGTAATACGCAGTACGACTTGGATTGTCATGTAAAAGTACGTAATATCACCGCTGCACGACGCTAAAGTCTAGCCACCAGTCACATCACTGGGTAAAAGCGCACTACAGAGCCGCTGATAAAACAACGAACAATATTAAAACTGCAGCCCATTGGAAGCAGCGATTCTGTACAGTATTCTACCCATAGTTTTACGCTCAACTAGTTGCGAGTCTACTACAGAATACAGATTTCATGGTCTGTATATATAATAGTCCGAATTCCTGTATGAAATTACTAAAATCCCAGCGTGACGAAAATTTAAGCGGTGGTGCGGGTTTTTAATACACACTCTGCTGTACTGGCAGAATGAACACACACTCTGCTGCAATGACGCAGCGCCTCATGACGTTTTTCAATTTGATTGCGTCGTACTAGTACTTCAGTTTGATTGCGTCGTACTAGTACTCTCCAGTCTTTCCGATCCGGTAGATGTTATCTTTGATTCCCAACATTCTGATCTTCGTTTGTGTTTAAACTTTTCATTGAGCGATAACAGTGATTGTTTAAAAGGTTAACCTGAATAATAGTACTTAATAGTAAGCAGTATTCAGCAGTTCAGTGAAGTGTTCATTGTTCATTGTTCATCGTCACCTCTGTACTTACAAACACTCCTATCGACAACACAACAGCATTGTCTCTGCAGACCCGAGCATCTGTGGCAGCGATTATCACCAGCAATCAGGCCCGCGCTGGGGTTTTTTTTTGGTGGGGGGGGGGGCGTTTTGCTTCAAATCCGCCGGGGTGGCGGCCGAAAATGGTGGGGGCGGAGGTTGCGGAAGGGGGGGGCGCCATACTTTAAATTCGCCCCCCGGCGGTCAAAAACCGAAAAATCGCCGCCCCCCGGCGGCCAAAAATCGGAAAAGGGGGGCGGCTGCTGCCGCCCCTTCAACGCAGGCCTGCAATATAATGAACTGACGAATTTTCTGAACACTGGACACATATTCCATCATTAATACATGTTTACTAGCTTCTGACGTTCCAAGCGCCAAACATCATTCTTTGACATACAGCTATCAAAACAGTGCAGTGCTAATTTTGCGCGAAAATTTCTAATAAACAGGTCTTACGTGATACGGAGACTTGCGATGCTCGCTACGTTGCATAAGTTTGTCATTGCAAATTGTGTATTCACGTGTAATCGTCCCAATACACCGCGCAACAACTAGTCACACTGAGTTTAGCGATTTCGAACAGAATTCGGACTATTATACACGGACCATGCAGATTTAGACATGAGTGTGTATGGATCAAATTGTACGATTTGTCGCTTACAGTGTATGACAGGTAGGTAGGAAAACCATTTCGTCGGAAGCCAAATGTACGTTTGAAGACAAAAGACAACGGCAACGGCTTCGGCGCCTTGCACGCGACTGTTGTAAGTATTTGTTGATAGCCGTGGCCAGCGAGACCAGCATCAGTACCGGTAAACTCTGCATCTGTGTCGCGAAGTCTGCGGGAAAATAAACATTTGCCACAAAAAAGTCAGATTAGAAAATGTTATTCTTGCCGATGATTTTGCATTATATAATTACACTCGTTTGCAAATGTCACCAAAACGAACAAGCTGTAATGGAGAACCTACCACAAGGGACAAGGGAGGATTTACGTTCCACGGGAATAAAAAGTACCTGAGATACGATACCCAATACAGCTTCCTAAGAAAACACCACAATACATGCTATGAAACAGAGCACAGCGATAAATGAAATTATGAAATACTTACTGTACAATCATTCCTGCCTAAAAGTCGGGTTTAGGTCACTGGGCGGTGTTAAAACCAGCGACTAATCACAATCCAGACCAGTTTCGGAATACCTGTGGATTGGCTACGTGGACTTCGAACACCTCCCTCCGGTCTACTCTGTCCTCACTCCTCCTGGCTGCGAAATTTCTTGCCTATATAAAGAGAAATGCATCAGAACTGCGCAACAGTTCGGGAGTTCATTTGAGTTCTTGATTTTATCAGCAAACTTCTCCGCGAGTTCAGTCCTCTCAGTGTTAAATTTCATTTTACAGGTGAGCCGGTTTCATCACTAATTCCTACCTACTGTGAATTTTAGTAAATTGTGCTTGTAAATTTATAAATTAGTAAATTATAGTAAATTAGTAAATTTATTAGTAAATATATTTATTTATTAGTAGCTTATTTAGTAAATTTTAGTAAATTGTTTGGTTTGTCAATCTTTCAGCAACGCCTATCAGTAGTTCTACCTTTCATAAATTTCTTGTGCTTTGCAGAAGATCTCGCAGTGAAATCTGAACAGTCCTGTCACCTGTGTCAAATTCCTTAACGGTAAGTACACTGTACACCTGTGAAGTAGTTCGGAATTATCGATTGCAGTACATGTTCAGTTGACAAAATGCAGAAGTAATGAAATACTTTATGGGAAACTTCTTCGTACTATTCGAGTATTTGTAGTCAATCCTGAGAATCATGAAAATAGCATGAATACCGTATCTGTAACCGGTCTTCGGTTCGGCGTCTTATGGGTCATTTTGTCTGGAAATCTACTGTAGGTTCTCGAAGCATTATTGTTGGTCAGCATATCGTTGTGTAAAACGCGTTGCATTTAGTTTTTTTGGCTGGATCTGGTAGGGTACGTAGCTAGTTCCAGGTACACCGGCGGCGGTTGGAGTACCATCGGTTCGACGCTATCAAGGCGCGGTGACATCATCGAAGTAGTATAGGTTATGGCCTTTAGTGTGGCATAGAAGCGATACCCGTACTATGAGGGCGGATGCCGTCCGACCTACGACAAAGTACAGTTCTACTGCAATCGCATTCTAAAAAATAATACACTGATAAACAGAAGAACTTGGTAGTTTTGTATCGCTTTGTCATAGGCTTTGTCTTCGCTTGACTGACTCTGACAGTTCCACCGTGGATTTTCAAATAGATACTTACCTAAAAAATTCGTTTACTTTACTTGAATCATTGGTGATTGGTTCAAGAATTTGCCGCAATGGTAATTGTGCACTCAGCTTTACTACACGCCGTGACATGGTATGTGACAACTGACAGGTGTAGTTGTTGCCAGTTGTAGTGTGGCATTGAGAATTTATTTTTCGAATGCACTCCGTATCGTAGCAATGGTATACTCGTACAGTCGTACTCGCATGTTGAAGTTCTAACCATTATAAAGTATGCTTACGCTATCTGCACAGTGCTTGATTTGCTGGTGACGTAATTTCGTGTTGTTAGGCCAACGTTCAAGATCAGAACCGTAATTTTGCTGCGGAGCAGCGCCGCCTTCGTCAAGAAATCGACCGACTGCGAGACACTGAAGCCACAATGAAGGAGCATCTGGAGAACCAGGCCCAGCAGTGGGAACTGGATGCCGTGAACGTCCCGTTTCAGTGGGCCGTGGATATGTTCCTCTTCCTGGAGACGCGGGACGAGCGACTGGAGAAAGGGCTCGAGCTGCTGGAGTCGAAAGTGAGCGGACAATTGGTGGACGTCAACGCCAGACTGGGTGGTATCGAAGCCCGACAGCTGGAGCTAATGACTATTGTGAAGGATATTAATGGCAAACTGGACAAATTGTTGTCTAATAACTAATAAGTAATATCAGTACAAAGGTGTTTGTTTGCTGATTTTGAAATAGTCTACTGTCTGTAGTTTGTCCAGCTTCAGTTCGAATGTGATGACCTAAAAAAATCCAACCGGCTTTGCTCGCATAGTGATTGTTTACTGATTAGCTGTATAATCACTTGAAATTAGAAAGCAAACACATTCCACTTGAACTTTCTGAAATTTTGCGATTGCGTTACAGTAAGTACTTCCATCTTTCAGCTCTTGTTAGCAGTACTGGACGTTGCAAAATTACGAACCTGTTTAAAGAATCGAAATCCAGGGCCCAAGACTACCTAATAAAGTGTTTATTCGTGTATGAACCTATGCCTGAGGAAACTTGGTAATTAACCAAGGTACGTCAGAAATTTAGAAAACATGAGATTTTACCACGATTTCGATAAAATAGATGCAGTAATGTGCCGTCACTGTCGTGGTATTATCGGTTCCCAAGAAATGGAAGCTTTTCTAACGCCTTTGATTTTGCAAACCTTTCGCATTCCGTTTTTTGTGCCAAAATGTTTACGTACACTTACAGAGTCCAGACAGTACTTTCTGTCTTGCGGCGATTACTTGCCGCTTTCCACTTATAATATAATATATTATAATATACAGTAATATACAACACTGACATCCTCGCTACTTTGTTTTGTGTTTACTGACGCGAGGAAGTACGCGAGACACAGCGACAAAAGTTGCGAAACGCGCTCAATATTTTTACCCATAAAACAATAAAACAAACGGTTTTCAAACCAACTTTAACCGGAAAGTCAACCGCAAAAATCGCATAAAGCTGCTTTCCTGCCAATGCAGCGTAAAACTTGGAAAACGCTTGTAAGACCGTGTAGTACACAGAAACGAAACATGGTAATAAAACTATATTGCCAATTCCGCAATCTGGGGAGCATCATCACTGCTCAAATTCTCTTCAGGCACAGGAGTGCTCACAGATCGCACTTCGGACTCTAAGGGTTCAAGCAGACACTGCAGTATACGGTACAAAGGTCAAGACTTGCGCAAGGCAGAGCAAATTCGTATCAACCGTAGTACATTACGTTCAAATTGATACAAATATTATCGAGCTAAAATGCAATAATTACCTTTTGAAGGGGCAAATCCAAAAACAACTCTTGTATCATGCGGCGAATGGACAATTTGAAAGTATACGCTGAGAGAATGTGGCATACTTCCGAGTATAGACAAGGATCAAGAAACGAATCAGCCAGCTGGTTCTTCAACCTGCGAATGGCAAAACCAGTCAGACCGGTCGGAAAGTGTCCGATGTTGCTTTGAATATGGAAAGTCGTAAACAGAAAACCGGGAAAACTTACTGTAACAGTCCTTGTTCCGCCGCCTTGTGTCCGAGCGGCGTCGCCAAGGCGCTAATGAATCGCAAAACTTCCCCTTCGCTTGAGAACCACCGGGCTTTCTGCTGTTTCCGCCCTTGACCGATCCATGGCCAACACTGAGCACATGATACAGTTGGACACCGAGTGCAGCTCCAAACCGTTTCTGGGATCAACCTGATGGCTCAGCTTCCGTGTCACAAGATTTCCCACGATATATTCATCTTTATGGACAGATTTGCGAACTGGCTGCTTTCGCCACATATTTCGTCTTAATGGCACACAGATCCCGATGTATTTTTCTTCTTTGGCTGACGACCGATGCCGTACTTCGTCAAATGAATATGTATCGCGATGTGATTTCATCCGCAGAAGCGTGCGACGGGAACGCTCGACTGCCGAACTAGCATGGCTTTCCGGAGAGCGCTGAAAATGCGACTGCCGAGTAGGCGAGCCATCTGAAAATTTCAATTTGCATTAGATAAGGCAGTGAATAAAAAAACTTAATATCTACACCAAAAGCGGCCATAAAAAATGAAAATTTCACTTAGTCAGCTTATCTACTGATTTATCAAACGAATGCGCTACGACCCAGGAAATTTCCTGGTGCATAGAATTCAATTACTGACAAGGGATCGACAAACAATATACCCTTGTACAATAACGTTGACTTTGCATTAGCAATGGTCTTTTCAAGCCGAAGTGTACGCAATTTACTTCACTACAGCTGTGCACTCTAGTTGACTTACCAGTTAAGTCATCCGGTGATCCGAAGCTGCTAAGCGCCGTATCCGTCGTTTTGGCGCTGGCACTGCGATCCATTCTGTGATCCTTCACAATGCCATCTGGCACCGAATCCAGACCATCGGACGACTCAAACCCGGATTCGCCGCGACTAGTTTTGTGTGGTAACGGTCCATCCAAATAGCATCCATCTTTCGTGAAGAAGACATTGGCTTCTTTCTCGGCAAACAACGGCGCAGGCGCCGTGGTGAAGGAGATCAAGCGCTGCGGCCGAGGCGACGCATTGAAACTAGGCAGGGCAGCGGTGATGGATTCGGATGCGTTGTCCCACGTGTACTGCACCCGCTGATCGACCAGTGGCCACAGTTCATGGCGATTGTGCCGAATGGCCAACCAATCGCGTGATTTTAGGAGATCAGCGCCACGTTTCGTTGTTGACCATAATCCCAGAACGAAATACGCAGTCCTGGAACAACGACAACGGGGTTTGAGTCATTATTAAATGCCATATGATGTGCTCGTAAAGCAAGAAAGATTTACAATATCGTATAAAGCGGCATCGCGCTGTCAACTTGAATGATGTAGTAATTACTTACGTAAAGCGCAAATCTAATAAAGAAATCGGATAATCGTTAACAAATCGGACAAGCTAATGGCACCATTCACGAAAACGATCGAAATCAATGGTAGTAGCCAACAAATTGGCACAGTTTAAACAACAAAGCATAGAAATGCAAAGTGAGAAAAGACGCTCCTGCATGATTATACTGCACAGTGCACGGTCGCTAGTTTTTCATACATATCGTCATTTATTCCTTAAAACCGATACTGACTTTATCGTCAGTCAACCCAGCTTCAGCAATACCAAAACACTGTTAATGCCCTAACAATAAGTTAAACAAATTATCGTTATATAACTCAATCAACCTGTGCATTCGCATTTACACTCACCCACGGACGGATAAATTCGGATGCTCTGCCGCTGTACTAACGACCATATCCAGCACATCGTATTCGTTTAGCATCGCCATTCCATCGACAGTTCGGCCAATGTGACCCAGAGCCCATAGCGCCGATTTGGTATTGATGGTTGGCTCACTGGACGTTGCGCGGATAACGTTCACCAAATGGGGCATTTCCTCGCGAATTAGTAGCGATCCTTCGGAATGCTGCACTAGCTGACCGTAAAGATGTTCTGGTAGAAAAATCTCCGGCATGCAGACACTGTAATGATAAAACCGTTTGCTAGTGAACCAATCGCAACAGAAACACTTACAATCAAAACTGCTAATAAATGCAAATAACATGCATCCGAATAAAAATTATTATAGTAAATATGTGTTCGTTATTCTACATTTCAGTTAATCCATAATGACATTAACGTCCACAATAATTTATGCACTATACCATTGCGAAGTTTGCCGGTACATGGACCGTTCGGAATCGCCGCACATCAGTTTAGCGCTGAGCAGATGTTCGACGATATCAACATAGCGCCTGTTGAAGCCATCCTTCCATTTCAGTATCTCCATGTACACCATTTCTTTCATCATCTCAAATCCGCCTTTCGTACCCAAAACGCGTGCGGTCAAGAAATCCGTCATGGGATGGAGATGCTCCATTCGTGGTTTCTCCCGGCCGACAAAGTCATCCAGATTGGCCTTCTCATCGCACGCTTCATCGATGATTTCCACGGCAGTCTGAGCGACAATGATGTTCGCATCCTGCAAGCGTCCAATTAACATGGAACGCTCATGGTTGAGTCGGAAGAGATTGGCAACGGCTTCCCGTCTTGGACGCGGCTTTGTTTGTTGATACGTACTTACCAGCAAGACCAGGGCCGGTAAAGTCAGCATCTGTGTAGTGAATTCTGCGGGAAGATAAACATTCGCCACAAAAATCAGGGTATAAGTAAAATTATTCTTGCTGCAATTTCCATGCTTATCAAACTGAACAAACATCTTAGTAATTACTAATTACTGAGAAATTCCTCACAACGAATCATGAAAACGCAATCTAGCTTAGATTAAAAGAAAGGAAAGGAATCAAAATAAATAAAGAGTATAAACTATAAATAAGTGAATTAACTTTCATAAGACTACTGGAAAAATACGATAAAAATCATTTACCAGTAGTGATAAAAAACCTATCTAATAAATATAATGCTCGCCGGAGCAAATCCGGATCGGCGGTTATCAAATCCTCAATCAGGTGTGAAAAGGATGGGTCGTACGCAATAACACGCCAGCCACAAAATCCTCTATATACTCGTACTCCAGGATTCTGCAGGATCAGTAGCATTTATTTTCAAATATTTGCAGCTGCAATGCCGATTAGTTGTATAATGCACTTACCGCAAGGGACAAGGGAGGATTCGAAATCCCATGGAATAAGAAATAACTGAGATATAATGGTGGAATATAGCTTCCCGAAAGAGCAGACAATTTAGGCAACGAAGTCTATCATGCACTGCGATATTATGCAATAATGGGAGTGCAGCACAGAAGGCTAAAGCATTCGTATTAATTTTGTATTTGTGATGTACTCGTAGTCGTATTTGTATTGCCTTAACATAATCAGTTGTACAAGAATGTCCAATACAAACTGCTAACAAGTAAGGTTAAAAAATGAAGACCATTCCCAGTAAATAGCGCAGCAATACAACTATAAAATTGTTGTGCTTTCTGCTCTTGATCGCCTCTCACCGGTGTTATTAAATCACTTAAGGGGAAAAAAACTCATAAAAAGCAACTCATGCAACTTTATCGTGCGGCTTCGCACTCGTCGAATCCCGGCATGAGCAGTATTTTTTGGAATTTGAACCCGGAACGATTATGCTGTGATGTGTTGTTCCATGATAAGCGCTGTACATACTAATCGAATTATTTTCAAAGTTGCCCAACACTGGCGAAAAACACTTACAAATACATGCAACGAAGAACCTGTTATCTCGAGGCACCGGTATCTTTCACTGCTGCAATAAAACCAATTTAGCCGCTCATGCTTATTTAATATTTTTTAGTCGTTAAAATGTATGGATAAGTTTTTGGTAAATGTATGGATAATCGTTCAGCATAGCGCTCACCATCAGCTTTACAACGTTACTCGCTAAATTAAAAACGCTTCGCTCGCTTCGCTCGCTCGCTTGATTAATTAAAGACGGAATTGCCGATTTCAGTTGACTTACCAGCAGCAAATATGTCGCGCTGGAGATTCTGAATCTGAAAAATTCCTTGGGATTCCTAGGCTTGATGGTTTTGTGGGCTTCCGGCAAGTTTGTGGGTTGGTTAGCATCAGTCAACTTAGCAACTTAGCATACTGTAACCGCACAGCTTGTGATCTGCTGTTTATCTTCTCTGCACACGTCGTCATCTTTAGTGAATTAGTCTGGTACATATCTGCCGATCCATCCGTCGATGCAGGAAATGGTCGACTGAGCAAGCCTACAACAATTATAAAAAGAAGAAAATGACTTGCTCAATACAATTAAAATGTTGAATCACATAAAAAACTATGACCCAACGTTCCACGCATTAGCACCGAGAACCTCTGACGAGAAAGCAATTAATTCTGCTTGCAGTACTTGTACTTCATTTTCTTGGCACAGAGGAAATCGCATGATAATCGCGATATAAACACGACGAGTATTATGTACACCAAACATTTGCAACTATCTACAACTGTATTACTGTAACTAGTTGCAAAATGCGAAGCATAATAATTAATTATTATTATGAAGTACTCCGTACGACAGAAAATTCTGGCGTACAAATTGATAATTGTGTAACTTACAAAAACAATTATAGCTACTTACACAGTGTAAGTAACCATTGTTGTTTTAAAAGGAAGCAAAAACTGTGAAAATATGCAGTCATAATCGGACGAGCACAATAGCAGTCATAATCGGACGAGCACACTGAAATAAAATCCCATATCTCGGCATTCAGGACCGCCACTCGGTGATACTGTTACAACAGACTGCAGATAAACCGACAAAAGGCACAAATTTCGTCTCCAAAACATGATAGTACGTAGATATACGATGCTTCTCAATCAGCAAAATCCCAATGACTTTCTAGTTCCGGTCTACTGAACACAGCCCTGTTGTTTTTGTGGAGATTTTAACTGACTAGAATCACTACTCTAGATCACTACGATGTCACAAGAATAAAAGTAATACGCCGTACGACTTGGATTGTCATGTAAAAGTAAGTAATCGCTACACGACGCTAAAGTCTAAGCCACCAGTCACATCACTGGGTAAATTTTAGCGCACTACAGAGCCGCTGATAAAAGAACGAACGATAAACTGCAGCCTATTGGAAGCAGCGATTCCGTGCAGTATTCTACCCATAGTTTACGCTCACTAGTTGGGAGTTTACTACAAATTTAAACATGGCCACATGATAGTATGGCGTACCAAACGGGCCACAGTTTTTACGGACAAATGCTAATGACAAATGCTTTTTAGTTTTCAATCAAATGTTACTGACAAATGTTTTTTGCTACCAGACAAATGTTTTTTTTTAAATTTTACAGACAAATGTTTCTGACAAATGTTTTTTACTCTCAGACTAATGTTTTTAAAAAAAATTTTACAGTCAAATGTTTCTGACAAATGTCAGAAACTTTCTGACAAATGCTTCTGACAAATGTCAGAAACTTTCTGACAAATGCTTCTCACAAATGTCAGAAGCATTTGACTAGTGATCTCCAATAATTTCCCTGTACTGGAAGAGTGGAATTGAAATTCTACTAAAAAATGAAAATTTTCGAAGTCCCCACTCAGATTTGCGATGGTAGCTAATTCTGACATTTGTCAGTAACATTTGTCTGAAAGTTTCTGACATTTGTCAAAAACATTTCTCTGTAAAATTTTTTTAAAAAACATTAGTCTGAGAGTAAAAACATTTGTCAGAAACATTTGTCAGCAAATTTTTTGAAAAAACATTTGTCTGGGAGCAAAAAACATTTGTCAGTAACATTTGATTGAAAACTAAAAAGCATTTGTCATTAGCATTTGTTGGCCCGTTTGGTACGCCATACATGAGAGTGTATGCATCAAATTGTACGATTGGTCGCATAGTAGCCTGTGTATGACAGATTGGTAGGAAAACGTTTTTGTCGGAAGCCAAATATACGTTTGAAGACAAAAGACATCGGCAACGGCTTCGGCGCCTTGGACGCGACTGGTGTAAGTATTTGTTGACAACCGTGGCCAACGAGACCAGCACCGGTAAACTCTGCATCTGCATCGTGAACTCTGCGGGAAGATAAACATTTGCTACAAAAAAAATCAGATTAGAATTACAGTAATGTTATTCTTGCCAACGATTCTACGTTATCATTACACTCGTTCTGCATAAGTCAGCAAAATGAACAAGCTGTAATGGACGACCTGCCACAAGGCACAAGGGAGGATTCATAATCCTTGGGAATAAAAAGTACTGTACTCGTACCTGAAATGCAATATCGAATACAGCTACAGCTTCCTAAAAAAGAGCATCACAATACGTATAGCCTATACGATATATGCATGCATTATAGGCATTTATAGGCAGTCAAACAGAGCACTGCGATAATGAAATTATGAAATCCTAAAGCTGGGTTTAGGTCACCGGGCGGTGTTAAAGCCAGCGACTAATCACAATGCAGATCAGTTTCGGAATCACCTCCCTCCGCTCTACTCCGACCTCACTTCTCCCGGCTGCGAAATTTCTTGTCTATATAAAGAGAAACGCATCAGAACTGCGCAACAGTTCGCGAGTTCATTTGAGTTCTTTGATTTTATCAGCAAATTTCTCCGCGATTTCAGTCCTCTCAGTGCTGAATTACAGTTTACCGGTAAGCCGATTTCATCACTAATTAAGTAGTAATTCGCACCTACTTTTTGAAGTTTAGTAAATTGTGCTTATGTGCTTGGTTTGTCAGTCTTTCAGCAACGCTTATCAGTACAAAACTGCACTCGTTTTACCATTCTTGTGCTTTGCAGAAGATCCCACAGTGAAAACCTTGACAGTCCTCACTCCTCAGTTCTGTCACCTGTGTCGAAGTCCTTAATAGTTAACGGTACGTGAACCATGTACATAAAGTCCTTCTCCCTGCCGGAGTTACCGATTGCCGTACATTCTGATTTGACAAAACCCAGAAGTAATGAAGTACTTTACGGGAAACTTCTTCGTATTAGTCAATCCTCAGAATTGCACACTGCATCACAGAGTCTGGTTTAATAACGATATAACCCATATTAAGTACGTAATTACCAGTCTCTCTGACTGCATGTTAAACAGCTAGGCATAATTTCGCTGTCTGCGTAGTACACACACGATTCGCTGATGCTGTGTTCTCGTGTTGTTTTTTAGGCTAACGTTCAGAACCGACATTTTGCCGCGGAGCAGAGCAGAGCGTCTCCGTCAGGAAATCGATAAACTGAAAGCCGACGAAACCAGGATGAAGACGAAATTGGATAAGCAAGCCAAGCAATGGGAACTGGACGCCGTGAACACCCCTTTTAGATGGGCCGTGGAGATGTTCCGATTCCTGGAAACTCGGGATGAGCGGCTGGAAAAACATCTTGAACTTCTTGATTCAATGATGAGCGGCCACACGGCGGAGGTCATGACTATGATGAAAGATATTAACGGCAAACTTGACAAACTGTTGTCTTACATTAAGTGATACTGTTGTATGTTGAAGTACTCTGACATATGTTAGACTGTCCAGTTCAATGTACGGTATGATCTAAAAAAATGTCTCCACCGGCATTACTCGCATCGCGATCGTATACCGTATAACACTGCATATACAGTGACAATTCGCAAAAAAACTTCCTTCAAAAGGCAGTAAGACATAATAATAATCGTAGATAGCAAACACGTTCTACTTTATTGTTGCGAATTTTTGAAAGCATCTTATGATGCATTATCAAGGTTTCTCAAGCATAAGCCCAACATCCGAACATGAATTTAATAAGTCTGATTTCGATTCTTTAACCAAAGCCGTATTTCTGCGACGTATATGTAGTATCAGGATGAACACTTTGTTAGCGATTCGTGTTGGGAAATGTAATACCATTTCACAAAAAATCAAATCAAGAGTAACAATTCCACAAAAAATTGTTACAGTACATCATTTCCGTTAAGCTAAATGTACCGAGAACAGAAACTGCATTTCCTCTATGAATATCGGTACCAATTCTTTGGCGTAAAACTCTCCTGAGCGGGGGTTGCCTGTACTGTCGATAATCTTTCATCTGCTATTAGCATACTGTTAACAACAGCATACTGTTAACAACTTTAACAAGAGCAGAATGATAATCTGATTTACGTTAGCAACCGTCTAAACGGATATAAAATTTTGCTGCGATTAGAAAAAAGCAGGTATGTACCGCGGTATTATCGGTTTTTAAGAAACGGAAGCTTTTCCACAGTCTCTTATTCTGCAAACATTGGGCACTCTGCTTTTGTGTCGAAATATTTACGTACTTACTTGTTGTCTTGCGGCGCATAGATGCCGCGTTTCATTAATCAAGTGTTAATATGCAACAATCATCTCCTTTGCTGCTTCGTTTTACTGTTTTGTTTAGTGGCGAGAGGACATCCGCGGGACAAAGCGGCAAAAAGCGCGAATCGCGCACAATATTTTTATTATTCTTACCCATAAAACGATAAAACAACCGGTTTTCAAACCAATTTTAACCGGAAAAGTCCACCAAAAAACCGCATAAAGCTGCTTTCCTGCCAATGCAGCGTAAAAACTCGGAAAAACGCTTCAAAGACCGTTGTTGTCCAAAGAAACGAAACATGGTAACAAAACTATATTGCTAATTCGCCAATCTGGGGAGCATCATCACTGCTCAAATTCTCTTCAGGCACAGGAGTGCTAACAGATCGCACTTCGGACTCCAGAGGTTCGAGCAGACACTGCAATATACCGTACGAAGGTCACGCTTTTGTGCAACGCATAGCAAACTCGTATCAGACCGTAATTCATAAATTGTTCATAAGAAACCAAATACAAATATCGAGCTAAAATGCAATAATTACCTTCTGAAGGGGTAAATCCAAAAACAACTCTTGTATCATGCGGCGAATGGACAATTTGAAAGTATACGCTGAGAGAATGTGGCTTACTTCCGAGTACAAACAAGGATCAAGAAACGAATCAGCCAGCTGGTTCTTCAATCTGCGAATGGCAACACCAGTCAGATCGGTCGGAAAATGTCCCATGTTGGTTTTACTATGGAAAGTTGTGAACAGAAAACCGTAGAAACATACTGTAGCAGTCCTTGTTCCGCCGCCTTGTGTCCGAGCGGTGTAGCCAAGGCGCTGATGAATCGCAACACTTCCTTTCGCTTGAGAACCACCGGGCTTTCTGTTGTTTCAGCCCTAGACCGATCCACGGCCAACATTGAGCACATGATACAGTTAGACACCGAGTGCAACTCCAAACCGTTTCTGGGATCAACCTGATGGCTAAGCTTCCGTGTCACAAGGTTTCCCACAAAAAAATCATCCTTATGGACGGATTTGCGAACAGGCTGCTTTCGCCACATATTCCGTCTCAAAGGGACACATATTCCGATGTATTTTTCTTCTTTGGCTGACGACTCTCCAGGTACAATGGAAGAAGATGTTGAACTCGGTGCACTCGGATGAGGAGGACTAGCACTGTGCACGGAACTCTTCCGATGCAGAAAGGTGCTGTGCACTTTCATGGTGTGAACCAGCGAGCGAAAGGAATGCCGCGCTTCACTGCGCCGATGCCGTACTTCGTCAAATGAATATGTATCGCGATGCGATTTCATCCGCAGAAGCGTGCGACGGGAACGCTCGACTGCCGAACTAGCATGACTTTCCGGAGAGCGCTGAAAATGCGACAGCCGAGTAGGCGAGCCATCTGAAAATTTCAATTTGCATTAGATAATGCAGTGAATAAAAAAACTTAAAACCTATACATACCAAAAGCGGCGATAAAAATGAAAATTTCACTTAGTCAGCTTATCTACTGATTTATCAAAGGATTGCGGCGATGCGCTACGCGCCACGAAATTTCCTGGTGCATAGAATTAATGAGCAGGGACAAACAATTTACCCTTGTACAATAACGTTGGCTCTGCATTAGCAATGGTCTTTTCAAGCCGAAGTGTACGCAATTTACTTCACTACAGCTGTGCACTCTAATTGACATACCAGTCAAGTCATCCGGTGATCCAAAGCTGCTAAGCGCCGTATCCGTCGTTTTGGCGCTGGCACTGCGATCCATTCTGTGATCCTTCGCAATGCCATCTGGCACTGAATCCAGACCATCAGACGACTCAAACCCGGATTCGCCGCGACTAGTTTTGTGTGGTAACGGTCCATCCAAATAGCATCCATCTTTCGTGAAGAAGACATTGGCTTCTTTCTCAGCAAACAACGGCGAGGGCACTCGCAAATCATGCGCAGGCGCCGTGGTGAAGGAGATCAAGCGCTGCGGCCGAGGCGACGCATTGAAACTAGGCAGGGCAGCGGTGATGGATTCGGATGCGTTGTCCCACGTGTACTGCACCCGCTGATCGACCAGTGGCCACAGTTCATGGCGATTGTGCCGAATGGCCAACCAATCGCGTGATTTTAGGAGATCAGCGCCACGTTCCGTTGTTGACCATAATCCCAGAACGAAATACGCCGTCCTGGAACAACGACAACGGGGTTTGAGTCATTATTAAAATTATCAAATGCCATATGATGTGCTCGTAAAGCAAGAAAGATTATACAATATACAACGGCATCGCGCTTTCAACGTCAATGATGTAGTAATTATGTAAAGCGCAAATCTGATAAAAGAAATCGGGACAATCGCTAACGACAAGCTAATGGCACCATTCACCATTCACGAAAACGATCGAAATCAATGGTAGTAGCCAACAAATTGGCACAGCTTAAACAACAAAGCATAGAAATGCAAAGTGAGAAAAGACACTCCTGCATGATTATACTGCACGGTCGCTAGTTTTTTATACATATCGTCATCTGTTATGTACGTAGTTAAAACCGCTACTGACTTTATCGTCAGTTAACCCAGCTTCAGCAACACCAAAACACTGCTAATACCCTAACAATAAGTCAAACAAATTATTGTTATATAATTCAATCAACCTGAGCATTCGCATTTACATACACTTACCCACGGACGGATAAATTCGGATGCTCTGCCGCTGTACTAACGACCATATCCAGCACATCGTATTCGTTTAGCATCGCCATTCCATCGACAGTTCGGCCAATGTGACCCAGAGCCCATAGCGCCGATTTGGTATTGATGGTTGGCTCACTGGACGTTGCGCGGATAACGTTCACCAAATGGGGCATTTCCTCGCGAATTAGTAGCGATCCTTCGGAATGCTGCACTAGCTGACCGTAAAGATGTTCTGGTAGAAAAATCTCCGGCATGCAGACACTGTAATGATAAAACCGTTTGCTAGTGAACCAATCGCAACAGAAACACTTACAATCAAAACTGCTAATAAATGCAAATAACATGCATCCGAATAAAAATTATTATAGTAAATATGTGTTCGTTATTCTACATTTCAGTTAATCCATAATGACATTAACGTCCACAATAATTTATGCACTATACCATTGCGAAGTTTGCCGGTACATGGACCGTTCGGAATCGCCGCACATCAGTTTAGCGCTGAGCAGATGTTCGACGATATCAACATAGCGCCTGTTGAAGCCATCCTTCCATTTCAGTATCTCCATGTACACCATTTCTTTCATCATCTCAAATCCGCCTTTCGTACCCAAAACGCGTGCGGTCAAGAAATCCGTCATGGGATGGAGATGCTCCATTCGTGGTTTCTCCCGGCCGACAAAGTCATCCAGATTGGCCTTCTCATCGCACGCTTCATCGATGATTTCCACGGCAGTCTGAGCGACAATGATGTTCGCATCCTGCAAGCGTCCAATTAACAACTCCATTCCCCATTCAGAAAATCCCGGTAGACGAGCGCGTAAAAGCGTCCGCAAATGCAGCGTCGCATAACGCCGGAGAGCCTGCAAAAATAATTACGCAGCAAACGTCAAAATGGAACCTGTTACCAAATAAAATCGACTACAATTAGAGAGTTTGAGTTTTCAGTTTTAAACATAAACAGGCTAAAACAGCTATTCCATTGTCCACGAATGTCATAACGTCATCAGTGTCCCGCTTACCGGTGAGCAAAGGTTCAAGGCTTTCCGTAATAATCCCCTCGACAGCCCATCATTCCGGTAATCCAGCATCGTGATAATTAGTTTGATGTACGATTCATGGATGTCCTCCATAAAAATCAGACGCTCAAACGTATCAAAAACGCCGGTTTTCTGTAGCATTTTTTCTCCCTCTGGATGGCATGAGATTTTTCCCACGAACATAAAATAATCCGAAGAGCAGGACGATAACAGTTTCAACGGATTGAATATCACATCAGCACCGGGATCTTCGTGGGACATTTTCAAATACCGGGTGAAATCAGTTAGGAGCTCCTCCAGCATATCTGGCACTTCACGCAATAATATCTCCACAAAATAACTCCCACAACGGGCCTTCAAACGGCCGAGATCTTGCTTTTTTGGTATTACGGAGAATAATTTATTCGAAGGTTTGTAGAAGATGAGCAATTTATACAGAAATCTAAAAAAGCAAATCAAAACAAGAATGTTCAAATACTTTCATCAAGTTATTGTGTACTTAAAACAATACTGTATACAGCTAACTATTTAACTTTCGCTGTAATTAACGGAAGACACATTCGCAGCGATTCTTATGATTTATCATGAGAAGCGCGTGTAAAAGCATCAAGAATTAGGTGGAACAAACATAATGGCGTTACATATCCAACTCCGGTAATTATTTTCTTGAAAAAGATTCGATCTTTAATTATGTACAAAGCGTTTTCAAGGCAATCATTGTAAAAAGACCGGTTCATGACCGTAAACAAGGTTATAAATTAATGTTTTGGACAGAATATTACCTAATTATGTATTCAGTACGCAAACATTCCATGCCTATGGCGAAAGCGTTTTATGTTAACAATTTTAATTCATACTCTTCAATTTGAAAACACTGTTTTCGATAAAACCCGCCATCCAAATTCAACCAACCTGTAGCCGCTAGCATCACTAGCACGGATGGCATCGGCCTTCAATAATGACGCGATAAGCTGCCATTTCCAGCTTGTATGCGTATTGTCAATGAGGACAAGAGAATCTCTTATCATACTGTTATCCAGGTCCTGCCAACCAGCAAAACAAGTTCCGAGTAAAGTCAGTCAATTTGAAACGTTTTCCAGAAAACATATTTGTCTACTCTACAACGTGCGCGACGGACAATGCAATACGAAACAGCAGGCATACCCTTAGTGAACCATCGAAATACTTCCGTTCACGATTTCGCCGGCACATCTCCAATACATGCTCCAGATAAAGGCTCATATTCGGCGGCATTTCCGGTTGGATGGAGCGCTCATGGTTGAGCCGAAAGAGATCGGCAACGGCTTCCGCGCCCTGGACGCGACTGTTGTACTTGTTGATAGCCGTGGCCAGGGAGACCAGCGCCGGTAAGCTCTGCATCTGCGTGGTGAACTCCGCGGGAAGATAAACATTTGCTATGGAAAACATCAGATTATAAGTAAAGGTATTTGCCGATACTTCCATACTTATCAAACTCAAACAGATCATCTGCGCAACATCCGAAAAAAATTAACCCATACAAAATTTAACTATCAAAGGCGTAAAACCAAAGCCAAGATAAGAAGGCAAAGGAAATCATACTAAATAAAGCGCACCAAATAAAAACGACACATACTACGAGTATACAACTACTGCAAAACTGAACATTCATAATATGATTGGAAAAATTCCGATAAAATGCACTTACCCAGTGATAAAAAACTGTTCAATAAATACAATGCTCGCCGGTGCAAATCCGGATCAGCGGTTATCACAGATACCAAACCCTCAATCAATCGGGTTTGTTGGAAGAGAAACAATAACAAGGTAATAACATTGGCACACAAATTGACACGTGTCCGACCGATGTGCGGCAATAAGGCACGCGCTTCGCCGGCCACAAAGTCCTCTTGTATACTCCAGGATTCTGCAGGATCATCAACATTTACTTCCAAACATTTGCAATGCTAAGAAGCTTTAATGCACAACCTACCACAAGGGACAAGGGAGGATTCATAATCCTTGGGAATAAAAAGTAACTGAGATACAATATCGAATACAGCTTCCTGAAAAATCATCAAAATTTAGGCAACGAAGTACAGCACTGCGGTAATGAAATGGGATTGCTGCTTACGTGAGCAGCCGGGTTGTGCAGAGATAAAACGCCAACAAGCGATTCCACACCGGTAACCACGGAATATGTTAATAAATACAGTCCCTCCCAGCTGCGCAATGCAGATACAATGGCATTCTTGGCTGCCTGAACCATCACGGCTTTGGCATCTTTGGCTTCTTTCCTACACACAAGCATAAATAAAATAATTGTACAGTAAATAAATTATTAGAAACGAAAAAATAACAAATTTACAGTATGCCAAAACTAACAAACAACTCTTCATACTCGTAGTTAAAGTTGCGCATAGTCATCTGCATTAATATTATGTTTACAATTTAAGCAGACTTTATGACCTTATAAGTCTTCACTGCAAACATGTCGTTTACAGTAATTATTAACGGAACGCACACAAGCGTTCATTTTTTCGTTAAGTACACTTGTATGTTTCATCCAGGAATTACGTGCGAACTGCGAAGTACTGTAGCTATCAAGGCAATAACCAAAGCAAGGTTATCTTTTTACCGCGTCAAATCGCCTGACAAGTGGCACGTCAGGGTAAATTGCCCAGTTAAAAGCTTTAATAATGCTACTCTGTACTTAGGGGCGACATGACACTGATTGGGACGTTTATCGAACGACAAGCGCTTATCGAACCCACAGTTATGCGCTGACAAGTAGGGAAAACTAATGGAAAAAAGGCTGCTCTTATCTGCCAAGGTCTGCGATAGCTGACATTGCAAAAGAAAAGGAAAATTTCCATAAACGATAGCAGCGGAACTGCCAGCAAGTAACTGACCTGATATCATCGCTAAATCCTTCCAGCGTTGTGATAGGCGAAAGAATTTGCTGAAATGAAAAATTATGTTTTTCCACTAGTATCTGCTGGCGAAAAGCGCTGGTGTCATTAAGCGGTGCATCACTGCAAAGTGCAGCTACATGATGCATAATTAAGACCGTCGGAAAAATAAAGAATCTCAGCACAACGTACTGTAATATCACACTGACTGGCCATAACCGCCGTTTGATGCTTGCCGGCATAATGAGCAATGGCCGCCACGACCGCACTGGTCAGAGGCAGGGAACTGGAGGTCAGCAGGAAGTCCATCAGAACCCGCAGTATGCGAACGATGTAGGGGTGATCCGGGCACAGGATCACTAGAGAAATATTCCCGAAAGATTAGCAGAAAATCGGATTACACTGTAGTAAATTTAGTGTACTACAAAGACATACAGATTTCGCATAAGGTTTCTAGGCAGATTTTAGTCATCCTCTCGGATTCCTCGCCGCCTTCCGATGCCAGGCCGATCATGGCGTTAACAATGGAATTCGGCACATCACCCAGTTGGACCATTTTACGAGCCAGAAGGATGGCTTGTATTCGCTCAACTTCATTGTCCAGCGATACATCCAGCGCCCTGTGAATTTTGTAAAAATTAATTTTAAAAACCGTCTTCTACAGCATAAAATTAACAGCAGAAGAGAGACTGAAGATCAATAATTTTAAGTGAATTCCAATCGTGCAACACTGCAAATACATTCTACTAGCACTGCGTTCGTTAGAAACTGAAATTGTTTCCCCAATACAGAATAATGACGATCTTAACTCAAACTAATTGCATTAAACGTGTGTGCAGAAATTCAGAAAAGTCACAAGAAAATATTACAGATATTGCTAAATTTCTGGATTCTCAGATTTCTGTACTGTAAGCAGTAAGTTTCACAAACAACTTCAGAAAAAGCCAGCACAACACTTCACACAGTTTAATAATGTTTACTTTGTACATGCAATAATTATGTGTGCGAAGTAGAGCACGTTATTTTGGTAACACCATGTAAATATGGATTACACGGGTCACCTTCGACGACAGCACACGGAGATTACACCGCTAACAAGTGAAGCAGATCACAATAACAAGTTTATAATGGTGGCGTTTATAAATATCAAAATCTCCGACTACAGCTCCCGGAGCGCAAACATATCGATTTTTTTAACGACCGGCTGTAGCCTGTAGGTACCTGTTGGCTGTTAACGAAAATTTCTTGGTATCTACAATTTATTTTTCGACCCAGACAGATGAGACGCTGAGAAAACTGCTTGCTAACCGCGATAAATATTTTCTACAAAAGTATTTGCACAACTTTCCTTATGTTCGGTCGCTTCCGTTTTATCGTTTGAGCTCAATGTCCGTAAAAAACATCACGTTTCCTGTGTAATATACACATCATCAAGAGCAGGGTGTTAATGTGTCCGGAAAATTATTTGACGATGGATCGATTACTTTGCGGTCGTGTAAAACGCATCAAATTTCCCGACATGTTACATAATGCCATCGGATACTGTAAATATTTTCCACCACAGCTTATCGGCATTATTTCGCTGTTCTCATAAAAATTCTTGCTTCAGCGCCAAATTTTCGGTATTACACGGCACTATTAGTGTTTATCATTTAAATATTCAAGAGATAAGTTGTGCTGCAACACTTCATAACATTTTTTAACCACTCTGCCGAAATGGTCGACAGAAAAAGATTGATAACTAGCGTTATAATCTTATTTCTCCAACACTGCAAGAACATTAATTATTATTTTGACATCCGGAAATTTTGATGCAAATCAGGAATGCACACTTATGATGAGGTCAAATTTTAAAGGAAAAATATGCCGCAGAACATTAGAAATTGTGAAGTTACATAGTTCTATCATGGAAAATTATCAAAAATATACCAGTTACGAAATCCAGCGCGATACCAGTATGATTGTATAAACATTATTGCAATCGATTAAAAACTGCAAAAATCCACAGATAATACCGCCTGCATTATTAATTCAATTTAAAATAAAGAAAACAATTAAGACTAATATTGTATTGATTTGCGTGAAAATCCACCGATTATTAAAAACCCGCCTGCATTATAAATTTAATTTGAAGCAAATAATAGACGATTAATTTTGTTTTAATTTACAGTAATCAGAGCATTGTGGATAAAATGATTATAACCAAAAAGTATTTCACACGCTCAAGAAAACTATGTATCACAAAATTACTGGGTTTTTACAATTTTACTGCAGCTTTTTATTAATTTATTTTTCTTACCGGGCGACATAAAAATCCACATGCGCTGTCCGCAGCGCCTCGCAATGATGGCGTGCGGTAGTAAAATGTCGCAAGACCCGGAAGGAAGCGGCCCGGATCTCCTTACAGGGATCACAGAGGGAAATCAGCAGACTGCAAAAATGACGGAAAAAATCCAACACCTGTCAATCGCGCGGCTGACTGCGCAGTATTTCGCTTACTAATGCACCGCACTACCGAAGGCAATCCCGCATTCCTCAATATCACCGAAACTCTTCCGACAGCGCACCAGAAAATTCAGTTGCAGCAGACGCCGTACGGTGCTGTTCTTCAGATTAATACTGTCCGATAGACCCGTCCGATAGTTCTCTTTCGGATCTGTAATAATACACCGATATTGATGGAAAATTCGGAAATAGTGACGCGAATCGCGCACCTTTACTGCTGACGTCGCTGATGCTGAGGGGTGTTTCATCCAGCAGCGCTCTTTGTTCTGCAAAAATTAGTCCTGATAATTATCTTGTTGAGGAAGACAGCGATGAGGCAAGAGCGTGCTTGCTCGTACCGCTGGAACGACGCGGACGACTCGAGCGGATTCGTGATGCCATTTTTCCACATGGAGCAGATGAAGGACAGGATGAACAGCTGCGCACGACATCCACACACTACACCGTCCAAACCGATTATGCCACCGCGATCAGGCGTTAATATGGTGGCATAATTGTCAGAAGACCGATTACGGTCAAAGGTATGCAATTCAGTAATTATGATCCGATACCAACCACCATACACACTGGATCAAAATACAGCTCGTGCCAACATTAAACAACCGTAAATAAACTCATCAAAAGCATTTTGAATGAACTCTAATCCGCACGCCTCTGTAGTCTGTACGCACAGGTGTATGCGGATATTGCAGTATACACGGCAGCCACTCGTGTGGTGGGCGGTATCTGTCTGCACTTTGACCGCGGCACGAACGCTGTGGTGGACGAGCGGATGTCGCGCGTTTACGCAATCGCTTCAGCTTTGTGTGTTTTTTATGAATGAGTTTTTCGGGCTTGGCCGAATACCGACTGAACCGGTGATCCATTTAGATTGAAGTTTCCTGATAAAAATTTCTCCACATTCCAGACCGTGACAAATACAGTTGGTGCATTCGACATTCGTATTCACTATTTTATTAATAACTTTACTGTATAAATTTATTTTTCTTATTAAATGTTTTTTTAAGGAATTTCCACCAATCCCTCGGTTTTTCCTAATAATCACTATTCCGTATAGAAAAAACCAAAGTGCGATAAATTTTATTTAAACTGCAATTTTTTTACACCATTAAGTACTGCAATCCATCATTTTTTAATACAAACATTACTATCATCGTAAGATGCCATCTGCCATCATTACAAACCAAAATTCAGAAAATGGAATAAATGTCGAACTTTGTACGTCACAGAGAGTGGTCACTGGTCAGTCACCACTCAACAGGATTTTTAATTTATTTCTTAATATTCACTCCTGGACAACCAACAATAAATACGTCACACTTCACACGATACAAATATTTCTGGCTGCGGGAACCGATTAGGCACGTTGTTAGCTTAACAAGCGTTGTATATACAAAGATTTTACAAAAAAAGCGGTTCAAAATTAATCAAATAACAATAAAAATGTAGAAATATACTTTTTCTAAGGGAGATACTGAACACACAAAATTAGTTTAAACCACCAAAAAATGCGTAACAATGACCACTTGCACTATTCTAGTGCGAAAAATATTATCGCGGAAGCATTAAAAACTGTGTAAAAACCGGACCTCTTTCGCATACAGTGGAAAAGAGTCCTCAGTGTGCACGTTATATTGCTGCAAAAACAGATTTTTTAGCTTAGAGAAGGCTTCGGACCCAGGCGAGACATGGCGCCGTGGCTGGCGGCGCTGGGTGCGGTATCTAGCTGGATCACCATTGTGCGGCCTGTAAAGAAACAAAAATTATGGACACCTTTCAAATTTTATTGTAATTTAACGCAATCGATGAATAGAGAACAGCTTTGTAATGTGCGGAAAATTATTTTCGGGTGGTTGTAGATGCAAATAATAATGATAAAGTGTTTGCTTCAGTCCCTGACCAGTAGTCATACTCATTCAAACTGCGTGGACTTCCAAATACAAATTCAGCTTACGGTTAAAGTTTACCATTAATTTTTCCAACTTATTAAGTGTGCAAAACAAACGACCAGGTTTTAATTAAGTAGTTGCACATACGAGTCAGTATTTAAAAAAGAAACCGGCAGCCGAGCATTTGCAGAGAATTTTATATGCTTCAGTCGTGCGCTAACTGCCATTTTGATTGTACCGGCCATAAACATCCGTTGCACTTGCACTACGCTAAATCTCTTATGTTGCACTAAGTTACCTACTACCAAATGCGCAAACAATTCACATTATGCAGCGACGACAATATTATAGTGGTCTCACCACGATTAGACTGTAAGGGCAACTTATGATAAAATTAAATAGGCTCTGTAAAAGAAAAATAACCAGTTGCAAGCTTGATGGGAAATAAATAACAACGAACGAACGAAAATAAACTAAACCGCGTTGTGATAGATTGTAATTTGTAGATGCGGTGTTTTAGCGACAATCAACGCAATAAGGTCGCATCACGGGTCGGTTTTGTGCAAATAGAAAGTACTTACCATCCAGCTCGCGATTGTTGTACTCCTCCATGGCCACTTCGGCGGCATCCCGCTTGGCAAAACGCACCACCGCGATGCCTCCGGCCTCGAAATCAGCACTGACATAGCTTGGGTAGGTGCTGAAGAGATCCTATAGGGAAAGCCACAGTAACATTCCATGGCGTCCCATAAGAAAGAAGAATACAGCAACACTGACGTTTAAATCGCTGACGGTGACCGTCTGTGCCAGATTCGCCACGCGCAGCGCACACGGACCATTTCCGGTGTTGCCGGGAGTACGAACGGATGTGACTGTTGTTGTGCTTCCGCGACTCAGTAAGGGAGCAATGACGGGAGCCATTGCTGCACGCTAAAACATTCAAATCAACGTGGATGACAATCAGTTCTTGCATAATTAGTGTTGATTAAAATAAAGAATCAAAAAAGTTTTTCTTTTTAAGAAAAACAATTTTGCAAACAAGATCAACATATCACTGCGCAAAGTTCAACGGAATACCCACGAAACTTCCACCGTACTACAAACGCCACAAAATATATATTACTTTTGCAAATGCTCAAGTTGGTAGCGCCAGCGTCTAACATCGCTTTCCGGGATTTGTTAAAATGTGAAATCAGATTTACTTACCACGGCCTGGCTGAACACATTCCGCTCGGATGTGGTGGTTAAGCTCAAACTGTTCAGCACGGCGGCAACGGCAGAAGGGCGTGAAATCCGGGAACGACTTGGAGTCTGCAAGACAAACAATCAAAAAGCACCAATAATTAATAACATTTTATTATCTGACTGCCAGACAACCGTATTTAGATAGGCACCCCCCCCCCCAATTATAAGCAATGATTCTAACCATCTTCAACTTCTGCACGCCGCATTTAATCAAAAACTTTGCATGAAAGCTAGAATACGGGCTACAGCCAACAAAAGTAACAAAACCACGAATTTTAAAAAATTTTCAATATTCAGCAGTAGTGCTTTTTGAAAATTCGAATCGCAGCAATCCTTTCAGTTTTGTTTTGCAGGGGCATGTACGTAAACTTTCTGGACAGTAATATTTCAAAATCAACTGTGACGAAAAGTGGCAAAACACCATGAATTGTAATTGTACCGTACTTACCCCGCGACCGCTGCGACCACCACCGCCGCGCGCTGCTTGCTGCGAATCCAGAATCTGTCGGGCATCGCTGATCCGTCCACCCAGCCGCGATCGGACACCCATCCCCCGTCCGCGTCGGCCGCCCCTACCGCATCAACGAAAACTGCAGATTCTGGCCGAACTGGCAAAGTTATGCCAGGGTGCAACGCAGGATCCATGGAGCACGGCAAAAATACGAACCTCGCTTGACGCTGGTTGATGTTGGCGCGGGCATCGATCACCGCTGCACGGCCCTTGCCACGCGCACCACCCCGTCCGCCGCCTCTTCCCCGTCCCCGCGATGTCTGGACACCAGCTATTCCTAGTGGATTGAGGCGCTTGGAACGCCTGCAAGGAAAGACAGATCCCGTAAACCAAAGCCTTGCTCAAAACAGCCAGTAATCCGCGATAAATTATACAGAAAAATTCTCTACCTTGGATTCACCATGATTAAAATTTAAAGATCAGATTCCGGAAGATATAAATACACTAATATAGGGTTTTCCGGAATAGACAAATGCAGGGACGGGTTGTTAAAACAATTAAATTACAAAAAAATGTTTCGGTTTATGAGGTCGACTAAATCCCAGATTCTGATCACTGTCGGTTTCGTTTGATTGCCAGTTGCCAACAGCCGACAGGCAACGATTTCCGCATGTCCCATTGATTCAATGCATTCTAATTGGAAATGCTGGCGCGTGGCGGAATGTATTTCGGCAATGGAAATGGAATACCGTGCCCAGCGGAAATGGAAATACCATCACATAAGTATTCCGTGACACAACAAAATTCTGAAATTCACTTTTCACAGTCAGTTTTGAGTTTGAGTGTTTGACAGTTTATTTGCAAAAAAATACTTTCAGTTTGCGTTTGGTCTTTTTATTTGATCAAACATTTGGATTGTCTACTGATTTTTGCTTTATCATTTTCTGAACGGTTATAATGGGTGACTTCAATCCTTATGATGACAATGGAGGGTAAGAGCTGGTCGACTGGAACACTTTGACTGCGCACTGGGAGAGATCGCAAATTTGAAAGCAGAAAGCTGAAAGCAACAAATTTTTCCTTGTAGTACCGTGGCAGCCATTGCTGGACAGGATTATGTTCTCGTTGCGTGCGACAGCCGATTGAGCACAGGATCCACAATTTTGTCTCGCGTAACACCGAAAATCTATCCGCTGTGCGTTGGTTACAAATACAACTTTCACTTCTCCGGGAAGGAATTACAGCGTTCTTTTTTTGCAGCTCGAAGCAAACTGTCTTCGCCTGCGCAGGGTTCCATGCTGATGTCTTGACGTTGGTGAAAAATCTCGAAGTTCGCATGAAAGTATGTTTACGGTACGGAATTGGTTAATGGTTGCACGGTGAAACATACGATGTTTTGTAGTTGTTTGTCCATGAGCATGGCGAGGAGATGTCGACGAAAGCCATGATGGCGCTGATGCTGCCCACTTTGTACGGACGCAGATTCTTCCCGTTCTATGTTCGACCGATCGTTGCTGGTTTGGATCGCGATGGTAAGTAGCGACCGTTCTGGTCTTTCGAAAATCCCTGATTGGATAGTATTATCCGTTCGCATCGTCATTCTCCACTAACATTTATGAATTTAATCATTTTTTCTGTTCACATCGTTGTTTAAATTTTTATGATGTCAACTTAACATGTTGTATTAACTTTAACATGTTGTACAATGTATTAACTTACATGGTGGTTTTAAGTCACTGTTTAATTATAGTTGGTACTACTACCAATGATGAATTTAATGATTCTGCACTTACTCCTTAAAAGCTGAAACATTATACTCGAAAAACCATACGAAGTGGTTTTGTAGCGATAAACAGCTACCAAAAGGGTGTTTTTATTGTCGTTAATCATGTTTAATATTACGTTATAAGATCTGTATTTGTTAATCATATTTAATATGACGTTATAAGATGTTGTATTTAATAGGACGCGGTCTCGTCGCCTCTTATGATCCTGTTGGTACACCGGAATTTTTCGACTACGTTATTCAAGGCAGCGCGGAAAATCTTGTGCATCCTTTCCTACATAATCAGGTACGCGTCGTAATGGTGTACTTATCTCTCTTGAATGGCTTTCTGTTAAAAGCATTAGCAATCTGTCGTATGAATTTACTTTATGTGATAAAGTTAATTTTGTGTATCTGGAACCGCTGCATTTATACTCGTATGCTGCTAACAGCAATAGGACCGATAAGCATTATGTACACGAATTTGAGATCGTTTTTGCGGTTTGGGAATATCCAGCAACTGTTTACCCTGATTCTGCTGTTGGTCCTATTAATAATTAGCACTTGTATTTTACACAATTTGATTTTTATATTTGTCGGGTTACTGAAATTTCGTACACGCAAAGATGATACTGTAAAGTAGATAAATCGCTAATGCTGTGAAACCGAATGAGCAGGATGTTAGAAAAATTACTTTTTTGCAGATCGGAATGAAGAGGACGCTGAGTGATGTGCCGATTCAGGCTCCGCCTGAACTGACGATGGAAAAGGCCATCAAACTGATTAAAGATTCATACCTGGCGGCGGCGGAACGGGATGTCTATACGGGCGATACGGTTACGATCATGGCACTGACCAAGGATGGCACCAATTTCATCGATTATCAGTTGCGCCGTGATTGATGCTACTTGTTTCTCATGATTTGTTTTCTATTAATTTTGATAATGTGCAACAATAGCGGAAAGAGTGCCGTTTATGGCGTTTCATCGGTACCATGCATTCATTCATTAATTATTACTAGTTCCAATATTTTGTCGAAGTTAATAAAAGTCTACTGCATGCAGTACGAGTATTTCTTTCTTTACAAAACGATGGTCAAAACTTGTGCAGTTGCGTTGAGCAGCATTTATACCGAAAACATAAGCCACTGTAGATTTAAGGATAGCTGCTCGTTTGACTGTCAGCAAATCGGTTCGTAAAGATTTTGTAAGTGCATGCTGTGCATATGTACTCTATACACAAGTCCGATATGAGTACTGTAATGAAAAATTTTTGAATGTACGATTAAGTAAGGACAGCACTTGTTAAAAGTGAAACATTTTAATTTTCATACGAAGTATAAGCGGGTCACGACCGGTACACAGATAGGTACAAATAAAATAGTGCAACCAATCCAAACCAAAATAACCAAACCAGAGTAACCAAAATAGTGTAGGGTAGTAGTTCTCTATGCTGTAACTGCAAAATTTACCAGTGAAACCACTGTCAAGTTGTCAACCGACCGGCATAATATTTAAAATAATAAGTTGGTATAAATGAAGCGGCATATTGATGCGAATGCGAAAACTCAGGGCGTGCTGCTGGCGATAAATGTTTTTGATGCTGCCGGCGGAAATTAAAAATTCATGACGTCACTGAACGATTGTGATTGGCTAGCCTTTTTCGTCCCGTTTGGAATCATGTCTTGCTCGGCAGCATGGCTCTGGCAAGCAGCTTGTGATGTTGCCAAAAACTTAAAATTTTGGCAACATCGTTCTGGGGTGTGGGGGGACGCTGGGGGTTGTTGCCGAACATGTCCGAAATTCAGATTGTGTTTGTGTCATTGCTCACCTACTACCGTCTTGCAATTACGAATATCGCCGTTTGAATTTACAACTTTACCGTGCAGGTTCCTTTGGATTTTCTCATACCAGTCATACGCACAGGGTTTTTTTAAGTAGAATTGCCTGCTTCTACAAAATTGAAGCTGCTTTGAAAAAGCTGGGCGTATACTGAATTAACGCTGCAACTTGAAATTTGCACTCAAACGGCAGCTTGTTTTCGCATTCCCGTCATTATCTAGTATGTTGAATTTTACTACTTAGTTATTTTATTTGCAAGTAAGTTTAAACTGTCTGTAGATAAGCACGCAAACATTCAAAATTAAACATGCGAACGAATACAGTTCTTGTTCAGTAAGTACAGTACCGTTACTAGCACATTTGTGTATCGGACTGGCACTTTACACAGTCTGGATCATATGCAATAGGCAGTGCTGTAAATTACTAAATGTGAGAGAAGCTCAGAAGCACAAACTGTGACAAACAGTTTTGCTGCACATTTTAATTTGTATAATAATTATGATCTGAGATTTTACGATTTCCTGTTCACGGAATTCATTTAAACACCTTGATCCTGATCGTATTATTCAGTTTTCATGGTACATCAGTCCATCTGCGTTCCTGTTTTGCATGAAAACAGCACTGTTACCCACGGACTGAACTTGTAATCTGTGCGTGATCGGGCTCGGCCACTTTCCACGTGGAGGAGCACTCACGCAGTATCCCCTCATCAAACAGGTTGCTGTTTCCTTCGAGTCCTTTATCCCCGTGTTCTTCCTCCCATTCCTTAAGATGCCTGCATCTGCCATTTATATCCTGGATGTTAAGGGAAAAGTACGCAGTATACTGCCTCAAATTATCAAGCCTTTACTCCGCGGATTGAGCAGTTTATTGTTTGTGAATCTAGGTAATGGTATCGCGCAACTATCGTGGCGATATCGATATGGCCATCATTGAGCGCTTTCTTCCCCTGCTGATGGAGAAGGAGGAAGAGGGCAATGTGACGCCGTTATTGTCGACACTGGGAGTGACGTTTGCCTACATAAAATTCAGCAATCTTTATCGTAAGTAAAGGGGGAAGATATGGCACTAAAGATTGGAGAGTTCTTCAGCGTTCAGCGGAGAACTTTTTTTTCCTTGATCCTGTCGCGGCCTGTGAATTGAGTATCCTGTGTGTGTTTTACAGTTGTTGCCACGACCAAAAAGAACGCCAACATCACACAGATATTTGCCTTTCTCCATAAAATTGTTGAGGTATGGATCGCGCTGGTACCGTAATTGCCGTGTGATTAAATAGTATGCTGCAGTGTTCCCAGATTTTCAGGTTTAAGAAATTTCTGATGCCATTGCTTAAATGATAATTAATAACTAAAAAATGCATTTTTGAAATTGTACAGCAGCGATTGATTTTGCAGTCACTTTGACTTTTTTCCGGATAATTACAAGATTACTGTACTCAGTAGTGACAATAGTCACAATACTCGTAGATTTTTTTTATCGTATATTTTGCCAATTTTTACGGTTGCGCTGTGTAAATATTGTTATCTCTGAATTTTTTAACAGGTGTTCAATTGCAGGTGTTTCGTGAATACTTTAAAGAGCTGGAAGAAGAGAGCATCCGCGACAATTTTGTGATAATATATGAACTGTTGGATGAACTGATGGATTTTGGATATCCACAGACAACGGACAGTAAAATATTGCAGGAGTAAGTGCTGGCCAACCTCCTTTGCACACAGTCCACGGTACGTTATCGGGTATGTGTTCTCTAGATACATCACACAGGAAGGTCAGAAACTGGAGATTGCTCCTCGTCCTCCGATGGCCGTGACGAATGCGGTCTCCTGGAGATCGGAAGGACTGAAGTACCGGAAGAACGAAGTGTTTTTAGATGTTATTGAATCTGTCAATCTTCTGGTGAGTGTCTGTCCAGACTTGGAATACCATTTAGATTTAGTGATGGTAATTCTACGATCAGTATCCATCCTCTATCATAAAAATAATGAGTCTCATAAACAGTTAAGAACTACTAGTACTTATGAATACAAGTTGAATGCATGAAATATAAGTACTTTTATATATAGATATAACCTTTTCGATATGGTTGCGTATTGTCTGTGTATATAAGAATCATGTTAGTGAATAGTAATACTGTTTGTTGCCTTGCTTTACTTTGTGTGCTAATAGTTTCGGTGCTAGTAGTCTGTAAAACGGCTGTGTAGATTTTTAATTTTGTTGCGCCATTTTTTGTTGATGCGTTATCTAGTGAATGTTTTTTGATGTTGAACTTTAAATATTCATGTCGTACCGAATTGCAGATGGTTCCCTATTATTCCTACCATTGCAACTGATTTTACTGGTAGCGGGTTAAAATTATTCTTGGCGAAGCCGGAGCGAAGATGAAAATAATTTCTTATTTTTGGAATAGACGTGAAATTATCAACGAGTGCAAGTTGCAGCCGCACATACATTTTTAAAAGTGATTGAAATGTTTTATGTGATTGATATGGCTGGTTGTAGGTCAATGTCAACGGGACAGTTCTGCGCAGTGAAATCTGCGGTGTAATCAAAATGCGAGTGTTTTTATCGGGTATGCCGGAATTGCGGTTGGGATTGAACGATAAGGTGCTATTTGAATCTACCGGACGTGCTGGTGGTAAGCATCTGTTTGCCAGTAAATTATTGAAGATGGTAACTTTAATGATCGTTTGATGTATTATTAAAGCGGCGGGATCCAAAACCAAATCCGTCGAACTGGAGGATGTCAAGTTCCATCAGTGCGTGCGACTGTCGCGCTTTGAAAACGACCGCACCATTTCCTTCATTCCACCGGATGGCGAATTTGAGCTGATGTCCTACAGGCTAAGCACGCAGGTTAGCTTCCGTTTTTCTGTAATGTGTACAGTATGTTCGTATTGCACAAAATTCATTAAGAATTCATATCTGCATAAGCATGGCCGGTAATTCTGAAATCTTTTTATTCCTGCTCCGGAAGTAGGGTGTTACTTGGTAAGAACTTGATTTTTTCGTGAGTACAATGTTTGTTTTTTCTTCAGGTGAAACCGCTAATTTGGATAGAATCTGTCATTGAAAGGTTTTCCCATAGTCGAGTGGAATACATGGTCAAGGTACGGTTGTGTTTCAAATTGTCAGAATTTCAAAGTGTCAGAATCATAGTGTTATGTGTGTAAATTGGAAATTTGTAATTCCTGTAATACGAGGATATTGTTTGTTTGTTTGTGTATTGTTTGCTGAAAATTACTGGGCTTTTTGCGTGAATTTTTGCGTTTTGCGTGAATGATCGCTGGTGAAGTTATTCTGATCTTACCTAATTTCTTATTGCGTTTCTTGCGCGCATTCTTCATCCAAATGAACATTGTTTTATTTGTGGAGTTTAAAGCTTTTGGATTGATACGCAGTCTTGGATATCAGTAGGAGCGTAAGCTTATGTGGTCCACTCCACTTTATACCATTTCGCTTATTATTACAGGCTAAAAGTCAGTTTAAGAGGCGGTCAACAGCCAACAATGTGGAAATTATTATCCCGGTGCCTAACGATGCGGATACACCGAAATTCAAGGCCACGGTCGGACACGTGCGCTATGTTCCGGAGGAATCGGCAGCTATTTGGACCGTGCGATCGTTTCCGGTTGGTGTCCTCGTGATATCATCCGCTGCTGGAACCTTGATAATATCTAGCATTGTTTGTGGTAGGGAGGAAAGGAATTCATCATGAAAGCTCATTTCAATTTGCCCAGTGTGGAATCCGAGGAGCAGGAAGGCAAACCGCCGATACGCGTCAGATTTGAAATCCCTTATTTTACTACATCAGGCATTCAGGTAACACATTGTACAGTGCTATCTCGGATCTTCCTGTATTGCGTTATCTGTATTCTGTACGTACGTTCGAGTAAATACGTGAAATCAATCTGATTTTGAAAATTACTAAATTTGCGCTTGATAAATGGAAGAGTTGTTTTTACGCACTGGATCACTGGAAGTGGATATGCAGTTTGCTCTTTGGATTCGACTGTAAATGTTTATGTTGTTTGTGTCGTTTTGTTAAATTGGATATTCTATTAACCATGTTTTTGCTTTATGGATTGTCTGTTCATGGTTTTTGTATTTTCTACAGGTGCGGTATTTGAAAATTATTGAGAAGAGTGGATACCAAGCCCTTCCGTGGGTGCGTTACATAACACAGAACGGTGATTATGAAATCCGAACGAACTAAACCGGCAGCTGTAATGTTGTTAATTTTTTGTCATTTTATCCGTCGATTTCACTAAGTTTTATGATATATTTATAACAAAGTTTGTGACGTTACTGTGGAGTAGCTACGCGGTGTTATCGTGAATCCGTGATTGCTGTTGGTGGATTGGGATTAATTTTGTCGTTGCGCATGGTGTTTTTGTGGAAGTTTTATCGAAATATAGAGCTGACTTCAGTAAAAATGAAACCCGAGTTTCCTGTCGGCGTTAAATGGTTAATCTCCCGAAATTTAATAACTGCCCTAGTAGCCAAACACTACCTACTGTTTTTAATTTCTCCATCACATTCTCAGGAACCAGCTGCTAAAAAACGACGCAACGCAAATCATCCAGATTCAACACGCAGCGAAACAATTCGAACCAGCGAATAGCGATAACAATTCAACAGCCAACCAAAACAAAAAATTGCGACGATAAAGAGTATATTGTGTCGAGCAGATAACAAATCCAGCTGCGGAAAAAAGTATATGATACAAATCACAGCTGACGTTTGTCAAAAGAAAAACAACAGCGGCGCTTTCAAGCGCATTCGTTAACCGACTGTAAACTGGGCAGCGACAGCAAGCCCCCAACTTTCTGGTGATCAATCACCACGTCGTGATTATGATCCAGAGCCTTGTCAGAATCTGCCGCAGACACTGACAACTGCGAAACAGAATCATCCGGGCTGATCCCATCGTCCAGAAAACTCAACAGGTAATCCGCGGTCTGCACGGCGCAGCTGCGGCTGGTCGATGAATGGGACAGGGCGGGAGCTTTGATGGCTGGCTGTGCCGCCGGGCGCGCGATAACGGCCGACAACCAGCAACCACAGGATGCCGCCAGCAGCAGCGGCAGTAGATGCAACCCATATCGTAGTCCCGGTGATGGATTAACAAGCTGGCCGACAGTCAAGACTATATACCCGGACAAAATCACGGCGAACACGGAAGACACTACGCACAATTTCCGCAGCAGAACGCGCAGTTCGTGATCGTTGGCCACGGCTAGATGCTGCGCGATGGTGAGGCCGGCTCGGTAGCCGGCAATGCTGAGTCCCGTTCCGGTGAAGAGGCACATCACAAGCGGGAACGCTCTGACGATGATAACGGCCGTCTGCGCCGATGGTGGAAGAAGGGCAGCGTCAGCGACTTGGTTAGTGACAAACTCCAGGATGGACAAGCCCGCGGCGCTGGCCCAGACCGCAATGGGGCCGTGGTATAGCCCGAAAATACCGGAAAAGGCCTCCTGACTCCACATTCTGCTGGTGGACAGGAACCACCACATAGACAACAGTAGCCACCTGCGAAAGTAACTGTCATTTAAATTCCATTCAAAATGATTAAAAAATATTGATCACGGAACGAATTTTACAAAACCTGCAGCGCACATTCATACTCGTACTAAATATTATATAGATATACTGCGAATAATTTAACGCGTTTCATATGCTTTTAGGAAAAATCAAAAACCATTTTGAACTGCTATTCTATTTCATTTATAATTATTATACGTGCTACACATTAATGCCATACTTATTGACAACAATTGCCAGCTGCGAAAGGAACTGTCAGTTAAATTCCATTCGTAATGATTAAAAAATTTTCGTGTACAGAACTGAATTTAACAATACGTGCAGCGCAGATTCATACAAATGCAACACACTGCGAATATTTTAAAGCGTCTTATTACGTGTTACACAATAGTGCCATACATATATGGCATAAATTGACCAGTAATTAGTAATTACTACCAAGCTGATCAATACGAACGCAGATTAAATGCAAGGGCAGAACTGTCGCGGTACAAGCTCAACGTCGGAACTGGAAGGCGGAAGCACCTTGCGCTGCTTTGAAAATAATCAGTAAATTAACGAACTAACCATACCGTATTTTATCAAATAGTGACCCAGCGTTACTACTTCATCGTAAAGGTTTCGGATGGGGTCTTTATTTCGGGGAGGGCTTGTAATTCGTGAAGGGTTATTATTATTTATGCAAGCTAAATGGATTAGCGTTGAACATGTTTTATTCGATTTGTTATTGTTAAGAGAAAGATTTTATGTATTATTATTAATCCCAATAAAGCCCATAATAAGTAATTATGTTAAAAAACGTTCATTACCCAGTCTACGCGTCATTTATGAAACTAATTACAATGCCATTCACTAGATCACATTATTTTTACATGGAACTAGTGTAATTTTAACTGGTGCCGCTTTTGCTTTTACCACTTTTTACCAGCCCTGCTTATAAAGTTCGTAACGGTTGAGCATGGGGTTTGTATTTCGGGGAGGGCTTCTAAATCGGGGAGGGTCACTAATTGATAAAATACAGTAATTGCTTCGACAAAATTCAGGCAGCTCAACAGTCAACAAACCATTTTATTTGCTGCAGCGGTAAAATAAGGGACGAAATCAGTATACGGTAATTACAGAAAATACGATTAAATAATAGATATTAGATGTAATCTTAATAAATTAATATAATAAACTAATAATGGTATGATTAATTAGGACAAGAAGCTGCAAAAGGACTGAACAACACAGTTATTCAGTTATTTAAGAAAAATCAACGTGAACCATTGATTTCATCAGCGAAAAAACAAGGCTACAGTTCGAAGTCCGAACAAAACCCAGTAGTTTTCACATTCAAAAGGTCTGAATTAAGAAACGTTTCTAATCAAGAAAAATCTTCCACACACAATTACAACCTTCGTTTAAAGGTCAACGAGTCACTTACCACAGGCAAACCGAATGGAAAAGGAGACCGCAGACGGCATCCGCCACCTTGGATCCAACATCCGTCCCATTCACCGTCCAAAAGGGGTCACTGGCGTCGGCCGATCGGGTCTGGTTCGGCCGCTGGCCAGGCGTGACCGTCCACGGCGCAAACGCGGCCAGACACTGTGCTGCACTGAGGAGTATCAGGGATAACGCCATACACGGATACAACCGTTCGGGATAAAGTTTCCACCAGGATGACAGCCAGGCGCGGTACAGAACAGTACAGGCGGAAAATATTCCCACGAAACTGCAGGCCGTGATGGCGTCCATCGTAGTGCACTATAATCAATGCAGGACGATAGGAAAATAATCCTGGCAGTTCGGGGGAAAATGGCGCACGAAAACAGAATATAAACTACCAGTATTATCAGACGGCGGGAATGCAATGAGTCATTCCTTCATTGTGCCGTTAGGTTGGCACGAAGTCAAAATTAGCAGCGGACGAACGGAGATGAGTACGTTTTATTCGCTACAGGAACAGCAACAGGTCGGTATTGTTCGCGTGCGCACTGACGTCATTCTAACCGGGATCGGTTCTGAAACTCAAAAACTTCCACAATTTCACGTACCGGAGAAGAAAAACACAAATCTGAATATAACGGGAATACTGCTTTCGCTAATAATGTACAGGAAATGAAGACGTAGCGGGGAATTTTGCATCACATCGTTTCATTTCGTACCCGCCGCTTTCGGCCGCTGCTGGCGGCTGTCTCAGTGCTTGCGGTGCTCGTTGCGCCGCTGCGCGGTGTGCGCATCGTGCCCGCTGTAGCGGTATTCAAAAGACGTGTGCACGGTGCAAAATACGTGTAGCGTGTTGGCAATTTGGAATAAAATCAAAATTTCAAAGATAAACAGTTTTTTTGAATTTGATCGTTTGCAGATTTGCTTCTCTTCTTCGCATATTGTTGTTGCTCCTCTTTGAAATTGCGAATCCTTATGTTGAGTGAAATCTGTGAATGGTTGTTTGATGGAAGTTAACGGGATTGCAGCTCGCTGGATGGAGAATTCGTGACAGTCTGTGTGTCGCGGTTATTTATCAGGCGCGATTGAAACGGGAACCGAGTTGCCTGTTTGGCTTGTGATTTTTTTCGACTCTGATTCTCTGTTTTCTCGATTCCATCTCCTCTCGCCTGTTGGATCTTCTGCAGTGAAGATGGTGTCGATTAATACCCTAACGAACTGCGTGTCCGTCTTTGCCACGGTGACAACTATCGGGCAGTTTCTTTCCGGAATGTAAGTTGCATTGGATTCTCTGGTGGAAGAGCCTGCATTTTGTGGCCAGTTTTGTGTTGACGGAAACTGCGTCCGTATCCACGAGATTGCTTTCCTTCTTCGTCGCACATGTGGGTGAAAGCTTAAAATGCCTGCTGTGTTTATTTCAGACCGTCGTGCAGGAAAATCGTTCGCAATGGGACGACGGGGGAGCTTTCGGGGCTGCCGTTTGTTGCGTCAATGTTCAGGTAAAATTTGGAAAACTGAAGAACAGTTTACTTGTTAAATTGAAATACTCGCATTTTCCATAGTCGCCTGGACTTCTCCGATGAGGCGTAGTTTTTAATAAGTAATATTGTTTGAGTGGTAAAGATGTTTTTAGTTTTGTGATCATCTGCAAGATGTGAGTAAACATTGCAGTAAGTTGTTTAAATGCCTCATGTAAATAAAAGTAGTTCGCAGTGGAGTTTCTGCCTGTGAAAATTGGATTGTCTACATTAGCTTTTATGCAAAAATTATGGATAGCGCTTTATATCTTTTGTAATCTTATTTGTCTTGGACTTGTTTGTAAACAATAGATTTGTATTGGAATTTAACGTTGCGAAACAGTGAACGCGAGCCTTTACTGATGTTGTTAATTTAATTTTCAGTTGTGCCATGTGGACACATTATGGATTATTGAAAGGCGATACTCCCTTAATTCTTGTCAATTCTGTCGGATTGGCGATGCAGATTGTTTATATTATTGTTTTCTGGAGATATGCCGTATCGAAGGTACAGTGTAATTTTCACATATTATTTAATCTGCCGTGCATAACAGTGTATTTCAGCACACGAAGTTTAAATCCCTTTTTTATTACGGAATTCACTGGATGTTCAAAAAGATAACTGTATTGCGAAAATGTGTTTTATGTTTTGTAGACCAGTGTCAATCAGCAGATCGTCACGTCGGTGGGTTCGGTGTTGATTATTGTGGCATCCACGCGGCTTCTGACGGATAATTCCGAGGAAGCCGTCCTCTACCAGGGATTGATTTGCTGCCTGGCGACGTGCTTCTTCTGTGCAGCTCCTTTGGCCACCTTGGTAAGGCGTAAAATTTTGATGAAGACATATTTGTCCTAATTTGTTCAGTTTCCTGATTTCTTACAGTGCAGTTTCCAATTTTTATTGCCATTATGTGGACTGGTGTATGTTTTTCCTGTGTTTTCGTTTTTTCTTGTCCCTAAAATAGTTTACAGTTTACATCGATTTTCGACGCAATACATTCGGCGCTTGCAGTTAATTTTTCGCGTGGTTTGCAGTTTAGATGAGTCTAATATCATGTACATTTTACACTGATCCTGAGTGATTCGATCGAAACTCGATTATGTTTAAGGGAAATCGTAGTACAACGATTTTAGTAGGCGGCAGGTTATATAGTGTGAATCCTGTTGACTTTGTTACTGACTGTGAACTTTGAGCATAAAATTTTATTCATTTTTGCAATGTCTCGTTGGTGTTTTACAGGCGCATGTACTGCGTACCCGCAATACGGAATCTCTGCCGTTTATCTGGATTCTGATGACGTTCCTGGTGTGTTCAGAGTGGCTACTGTACGGTTATCTCATACAGGATGTGTTTGTGCAGGTGTGTAGATAATTTCCTTCATAATTACTGCACATTATTTGGGCAAGGTAATCCATGTTGTGCTTCTCGTTTTGCAGTTCCCTAACTTTGTGGGGATGCTACTATCGGGTATCCAGTTGAGCCTGTTCCTCTTCTTTCCTAGCCATGGATCGAAAATCGTCCCAACCGTGGCCATACCTTAGTTTATTTAGATCTTCCGTTGTTTTTTTTGAAACTTTATATCATTTTTTGCGTGTGGTTTGCCGAGTCATTGGTTTGTGTAAGTAGATGGAGTATTGATACGTCTATGAAACTTTTGAAACTTAATTTATTTGCATCTCTGTCTTTTACCCTTGTATCATCCGTTGTACGTACGTTGTTTCTAAAAGATATTTATTTTAATATTGGCTTTCTTGATAGAGTAGTTTGTAAGTACTTAATGCTTTCCAGTGTGCTGTGAAGTACGGTATTGATAAAAGAACATCCTCATATGCGACTGTGCACATTTGATATAAAAATGGCTTATTATTTCCGTGTATGTTTCATTCCGTCTTACGTTTGTTAGGCGAACGTGCACCAAGGTAATTTTATGCTTCTTATTTGCAGATTTTAAGTACTTATATATTTTCGGCTCATTGTCAGATCGTACCTCGTATTTTTGCGCATAAATATGGTATATAGAGACTGCTTTCGATTACATTGCGAACATGAAGCAGAAACAATCATAATATTGATACGCACACAGTTACTTAATACGTAACACATTCGTCCGATTTACATTTCTTTGTGTAAGCCGAAAAACGTAACGACGTAGGCTTGTGTCTTTATAAACTGGCGCATGGCCATCCGGTATACTGCGTTATCACCCGCAAAACGAGTAACACGCAAAAACATTTTTGCTGATTACTTTTTCGTTGTGGTGGTGGGCGTAGTGGTAGTAGGTGTGGTTGGTGGAGTCCCCGGATCTACGATTACAAACGTACAAAAAGGTCAAGCTGCGTTAATAAATTCTACGCTGCAGTCATCTATCTGATCGCTAAACGAAATATAATTATTGAGCCGCAGTAATGCTTGGTACAAATACATTTGCGCTTTGCAGCCGCAGTAAACAGCATTTTCTTCGCATATAAAAGTGTTACAGTACAAATTATTCAGTGTCCGGCATTAGCTGCACGAAAAGTTTCCCAAACCAAAAATTACAGTAACAGAATTAGACGTATGTAACCACAAGGCTGTTACAGTGCAGAGAAATGTATCTCATCTTCTGTTTTTTTCAAAGAGCATGCCATGTACACTTCGTCATAATTATGTCTGTGCTTTTCTCCAAAATAATATACGTACCAAGTAAGTTTCTCAAGAGCATCGCCGTCAGTAAAGGCTGGAAATTATAATAATTATTATATCCATAGCTGGGGTAGTACACTGTACGAAAATATCCGCCCTCTCCACTGTCACGTTTTACTCGGCTCAGCAGCTGGTTACCTGTTGATGACCACATTAATATAAAATACTTTATATAGTATTTGTTAAGTGTTCATGTTGCGCAGATTTTGCCTATAATAGTTGAAGTCAATTATGCATTATGCAAGCACATTCGCAGTTCTTTTGAAATGAACGGACAACTGAACCGAAAACAACACATTCTCGGAGCTTGTTGGTTAGACAGGTTATAAGAAAGACATTGTGCATTTAGAGTTACACAGAAAAAAAAATGCTGAAACGTAAAAATGTAATTACAGTAAGTAATATTGTTAAGCGTGCATGCATCGACCACTGATGTACTTTTACCGTTAGGGATGGCGGCCAAGTGGAAAGGCGACGCTGCTGCTCCACTCTGGGTGTTTCCAAAGGTCAAGCAGGACATTCCGCACAAGAGGGTGACCATAACCAGTGCGAACAAGGTGTATCGATAACCGCCAACCATTTTTGCGTGCCGGCTATGTAAAAAATTAGCGCAACACACTAAAAGCAGCTGGTTGACCTTTAGAATGCTCAACTGGCGTTCTTTGGCAGATGTCCTACTAGAACAACTGGCTGTCAATAGTGGCATCAGTTCCCTCAAGGGCGCAATTTTTTCGCAGAAAATGATCCACCTCGAAATTTGGTATGCGTATGCAAAATATCTGCTTAGCTTTGCATGCATCGTATGGTAAAATACGTTGGAATTTCGATGGATTGCACAGTTGCATATTGTCGGGCGCTGGTTGCGGCCTTTGCCGAATTTCCGATACGTCTTTAAGCAGAACGCTTTGGTGTTGTTAAATTACTGTTATGACAAACGATAAAATAAGTGTACGTAATACTAGCCCGTTCTTTGTGAGGCATGCATAAGTATTGTACACCTTTTGCTATAGTTATACTATTTTAACATAGCATCTGCATGTGGCAGCTTTTAAGTAATAACATATATAATGCATCATTTATATCAATCGCTTTAATGTATGTACGAAGAACGAAGGCTTTATATTACATAACTATTATTTACACTGTACAAAAATACTTTACACATCGACTGAATACATTTCCGTCATGTCAAAATAGAATTTAAGTTAACAATACTGAAATTCAGCACATATTCTGTATCTGACCATAATCATGCTGTAATTAGTATATGCCAGAAATGTGATCCCAGAATATCCTAATGGTAAGTATTTCTATAAGTATAAGGAACGGTATTTTCGTGCCAATTTTTCAAACGCCACCACTGCAACTGCAGATGTACAGGTGTATCGTTAAGAGCGCTGAAGTACTGCAGTATATTAGGCTGTAAAATCCAGGAGTATATTTTCATTTTGGGCAAGTCATCCTCCTGTTTGAAAATAAAGTATGAAGTCGTCATGATATCAATCATAATATCGTTGCAGGCGTAGTAATGAAGTTAAAAATAAAAAAAAGAGAAACTTGCCATAGAGTGCCCTTTGTAGTGCCATGCCGGCTAGAAGGCCTTGCGCTGAAGGACTTAACGTTGCCGAAGCATCACCTGTACGTAATTTGCACAATTCAGCAAATTAAAATAAGGAAATAATGGACACATTGGTTTCCATTGGGAATTTTACAGTATTTACCCGTTATTGCTCTTTGCAACGTCAACCCAGTTAGCAGACCTGCAGCATCGGAAGTCAGAGGTGCAGCGTAAGCGTATGGATTGTACAGTCCCGTTCCTCCGTATCCGTAATATCTCCAGTATTCTTTGGAATGATCACGTTTATGTCGCTCATGCCCTATTCAATACGTACACCCTATTTAATACACATGCTTGCAGTCTATTGTTTTCCGAACCTTTTAGTAATATGGTAGTGTAATAAATATCCTTTATTAAAAGTTATAAATCTTTCAGGAACTTAATTTAACTTTATCGTACCGTTTGGCTGGCCGGAAAGGTCATCGAATACAAAATCACCATCAGCGCTGGATAAAACCGGCATCGTGACACTGCGCGCTACCAGCAGCGATATCAATAGAGCAATTCCAAAGAGCGGTAACGAACACATTGTGCAGATGTTGTGACCGTGTCGCAGATAAAGAAAATCTCGGTATATAATTTATAAGAATCCAAAAATATTTTGAATACAGAACAATTAGTTAGGATCAGTTCAGAAGGTTTATGCAAAATGCTTCGCTAAAAACCGACGTGTTTACAATGTTTATATATTATACGCGTACCGGCGTACAGTACGTCGTCGATCGCTACAGTGAAGTTGTAACTGGACAGTTGTTTTGTTTACAAATTGTTCTAGAAAGTTTGTTACTGCAGTGGCTGTAATTTTTATCGCACGCAATCATAGAGTTTTCGTGGAGCTGAAGTGTTTTCAGACACTTAGCTGCTCTGTTTTTGGAAAAACTATCAGGGAATTTAATGAATGGAATTTTTCTGACTTTTACACACTACAACAATACTTACGATCTGCTGTGATGCTTGTACTTGTAGAAAAAATGTAAACAACTTAAATTGTTCCGTGACTTGGCGGCGAATCAAGTGTACAGAGTATAATTATGCTGATGACAGCAGCCAAATTCGGCTTAGCCGTCGCTGCTGATAATTTTTCCACAAAGCCATCATAATTCTCTTCTTCATTCAAATACTGTAACCCATAGGTATAACCTGAGCAGTTGTGTAGGAAAATTATCTCTGCCATGCTGATGAATAAATAATTACTGTCACAAAAAAACTACAGTCCGTTTAGTTGCAGTTCAGCAAGAAAGGGAATATGAATGCAAAACACCAGTATTTTTAAGCGAATATGGATGTTATTTATATTGTACTACAGAGCACTGTTGTATATCCATAAAGATATCCGTTATCCACTGGACGAAGATGAAGATGATGACGCTGAAATAACGAACCATGCATCATTATACAATCGCTTGTGTGGAATTGTCCATAATTATTAATTATGCAATGTCTATACCTATTCGTAAAGATCAAAGTTTGTACCTTTTTTTGTACTTACTCTGCAAAAGCTGGCTTAATATGTAACCCCATAGAAATCCCTGAACCTCTCTCCCTACACCCCAGGGAGATCTGACTCCTGTTGGGAAAAATTGCCGCTTTTTCCTCTCCAATAATTTATCTGCAAAAGTAGTGTAATTCGTAAGGTTCCTACTCGAAGCTTACGGTTGATGTATGTATGGAATAAAGAATGTTAAGTACTGCGTTAATTCTTGCGTTTTATGCAGGGAGAAAGCTGTAACAGGGTTCGTTGCCCGTCACAGTAATTACGAGGAGTTGCAGGTAAAATATGCCGGATAGTTACTCGCTTTTGGCATCGAAATGCATGAAAATGGTTAGGACATGTCATTGGCTTCTAACTAATCAAATCTAAAAAAACGATGTGTTTTCGCTTTAGGCAATAGTAAGAAATATTATTTTGCGAAAATACAGATATATTAACGTATGTCTTGGGTGTAACTGTGCACGGCTGTAAGCTATGACGTTTTGTCGGCAGAATGCGTATACAATATCGTATACACAAAAACATGACATGCATTGTAACATGCACGCACATACGTTGTACAAACTGAACTACAGATACGCAGACACTGTGACAATTTGTTCTTTAAAAAATCAGCGTCTAAACTTAAATTATTTTATTAAAATGTCTAAGATATGTAATACTACATCGATATTACGACGACATGAACGTCAACGTACACTGTTTTACGGCAATCCTGCAATATCGCAAATGGCAATGAATCGTCACTATATATCTGCTAGGTTATTGGACTAAAGCTTCTCTCTGTAACTCACCAACAGTCGAAAATCACTGGAGGCAAAATCAACTCACCGATCTGACAACAAATTTTCAAGTATTTAAGTTGTTTAAATAAATATATGAAGCTTCAGTTATCCGGCAATCTTTCTTCCTTTCTTCATATTTTACTTCGCGCCTCGATCAAGATCACCCGTGACCTTTATATTTACCATGGATATATACAGTCCCGGCACAGTATTCGCCAGATGGGTACTTTTTGTGCTTTACTTAATCAACGCCGGTAGCGGCGATCCGGCACCGGTGGCTCGTATCCGCTCATCCGGCTCATACCGCAGCCGACGTGACGCTCCACAAAGCCGGCAGTATTACGGATCGGATTACTATACGTGTTTTAATAACTGCGTCAACAGTGTGAACGGTTGCTATTATTACATTAACGGTCCCACTACCACAACTACCACAACCACCACGACACCGTGGTGGATAACAACCACCACGACACCGTGGTGGGTTAACCCCCCAACTACGACAACCAGTACTACTACTACCACCGATACTACCACCACCACGTCCACGACCACAACGACTACAACAACAACTGCACCGTCTGGTCGCAAAAAACGCGCCTACGACGGATGTCCAGATTACTTAGTTAACAACTGTGCATGGAATTGCCAGTATGCGAATGCACCGACCACCACTACCTGGTGGCCGACGACACCCGGCGCCGGCTGGGGTCCTCAGACCACCACGACGGCATACCACAACGGACAAGGATGGGGCGCGCCGGCCGAGTCAGAATCGGGATTTTCCCTGGATATCGTCAAGTTTATCCAGAGTTTAGGACAGAAGGGCTCCAAGTTGTACAATTTCTTCCGGTAGTTTGTATTCGGTTGGTGAAGAGATAGCTTGTCTATGCTCGTTAATCCTGTACTTAGAGTCGTGTAATTTGATCATAATACGCACATTGGATCATGTTTTTAGTAATACGTACAATACATATATCATAAAGCCTAAAAGCACTGTTTTCCGCATGAATGACATAGTAATGATAGCATATAATTATGATAATGGATAATTATTAGACTAACTGGGAGCCGAGTGCCTTGTATGTTATTTATATTTTACTGTGTATTGAGTCCGCGAATGTTCTTCTTTTAATATTTTAATCATAACAACCGACGGATGAAAAACTCAATATAAATGTTTAGGCGGCATTCAGAGAATTGCTGTTAATACTGTTCTTGCTAAAACATGTCGCTATCATTTAACGGTTCTTCATATCCGTATTAAGCTCATGTCGAATTTACAAAACTACTCACACTTACAAAAACAACAGCTGTTAACGATGCCTAGCACAAATAAAGGATATACATCTTAAAAATATGAATATTACACCGGTACACTGGTATTTAATATAAAAATTTCAGTACTGCAGTTCTGTAATTACCGAGTACGTACAGACTACAGAGTACTACAGATACAGTGTTAAATACATTCATTAAATACATTAATTAGTTATAGTGACGCACAGAGTTTACTGTCAGACCGGCGTGCACTTTTAGATTTAGACTTATTTGGAAAAAATTTGATGCCTTCGTTTACCTCGAGCAGCTGGCAGTGGAGGATCCTTCGAGACTGTTGCATTGATCTTTGGGATGGGCCCAGGCAGTTTCGTCTTATTAAACGATAACTCCCGGGCCTCCACGCCGCCGGATGCCGACATGAAATACAAATGATTCGGACAGCCAATAATGTACAACATTAAACAGGCATACACAGCCATTGTCGAAAAAGAAAACATGATGCAGATTTCAACAAAATAATGTATTCCAAGAAAAACGTGCTTAATGAGTCTGCAAGTATGCATAAAGTATTATAGCTGAATTAATCTGCCCAAATACATGCGCATGGGGTTTTTATACACCGTGCTTTTTCTTCAAAGTTCGATGAGAGATTTCTGCACATTAATTTGTATTTGTACATGTAACACTGTTACAACCAACTGATAGTTGTAATAGGGTTGACTACAATTTAAGGCATTATCTATAAGTCCATGTGCACATTAGTCTTAAACTACCACTGTTGATTTTTACATATGTAGTTAAGAAAGCCAAAAGATGAGGAAGTGTCTAAGTGTGTACGAGTAGCGCAGTTTACTGTTTAATCCAAAACACCACACAAGATTAAGTCAACTCCAACGAGCACATAATGCGTTTTATGAGGATTAAAAATAACGAAGAATAACTGTGGACAAATCCTCGCAGTGGTCGAACAAGTAAGTACTGGTAGCAGTAAAAATTAGGCACTAACAGTTATTAACGGAAAGATTAGTTCGTTTTTGCACCATTTCGTGTCTTTGCGGTGCGCCGCTTTCTTTAGAAAAAAGAGAAGGTTTCTCTAGAAAAAAGCGTAGCATTTTTCACATCCGTAGTGCCGCTTCACCCGAGTTTTATTCCTCCACGAAGAGCTCCAGAACCTGGTGAAAAGTAGGAAGCAAATTAATAAAGTAGGGTTCCAACGTAAACTCTGGAACATGTGTACCATATAAACGTACAGACCCCGAGAGCAGTAAATATAATCTGCCTAGCTGTATTAATGCAACTGTCACGAAATTTTGATTTTTTAAATGTTACGATAGTTTTGAACTTGTCTTAAGTAACCCGACATGTAAAATACGTAATGCAAAAAGTAAAAATTTAGGTTGCATATAATACAGAAGATTCAGAAGGCAGTAATTATTTTTTCTTGCCGAAATACTACCCTAGGTTTTCTACAAAGTCGAGCGAAGACAAGTAACCTACAATTGAGATCAGTATTGTTTATTTGGCAATATATACCGTGCAGTATCCACTGTTGATATTGTGGCCAATTTAAAAGCAGAATTTTATAATTACAGATACAAGGCATACAAGGCATCTTAATACTAAGTTCGTAATTCAAACGGCTGTCAGACAACTAAGAGTTCAGGCAATTAAGGCAGTCAGGATTCAGGAAAGAGCTTTCTTAATTATCCAAAAGGTTATTATGTATATCTATATATATTGTACACTAAACCATGTAGTACAGCAAAAATGTAGCCAGTCAGTTTGTGTGCTCAGACTCTACTGTTCGTTTTTTCTGACCACTCATTCATGGCTATTGTCGAGACACTCCTATTACTTGCTATTTAATGGACAACGAAATTTAATATTTAAAGATATACAATACTTGCTAGCTATACATGCTACATGCTATATATAGCTAGATATACATGCTAGCTTTTAATAATTCTCTTCAGTATTGTTTATCTGTTATAACAACGACCTACGGTCTACCTAATGCTTGATGAAGAATGTAGCCCCAAAGAAATCCCGTCACGTCCGCTCCGATGCCCCAGGGTCCACGGGTTCCGATAAATCTCTTGCTCCTTTCAGAAATTTTTCCTGAAAAACGGCCATCTGATAAGGGGTGTGAATTCAAAGGAAACGCGTTGCATTCTATGTAGATAAAACATATGGAAGTGGAAGTGTGGAACTGTCTACGGGTTAAGTACAGTATATGTTGCTAATTTGCTATAAGAAGAACGCACAAATGGCTAACGCCAGGTTTTACTTGCTCCTCTCAGAAAATATTCACAGTTTATGATAGCTAGTTTATGATAGCTGTAATGGCAGAAGTGCTGCTGCTATGCTAATGCAAAGGTCTTTTATATACACAAACCGGAAATTTTTGGGATACGATCCAGCGGAAGTGTATGAGCAGACGAATTCAGCATTATCATCCAGATAATGCAGCCAATCGCACAAGTGTTGAAGAAAGTAAACGTATGCATACTGAACTAATGTTCCAGTCAATTTATCAAAAGAAAAAATCCAAAAAATTAAGTCGCACGCAAATGTAATAAACAACGCAATTAGCGGCGGCGTGTAACCTTTGTCTAATAATCAGACGTCTGGTTTAACAAAATTAACACTGCTTTATGTGGCCTGCGTAGTGCGTACATCGATTGCAGTTTAACGATAATGGAAGCGGGCCTCACCGTTTCTGAAATATTATTAGCATGTGGGACAACAAAACCTAATACTGTGCCACATAATTCCAACTCGTGAAGATTATGATTACAGACAGATGCTTACGCAAAAGTTTGCTATTTAGTACACATTATGTTTTTAAATGGGTACTACTTAAAATTAGACAGTATCGCTATAACAGAAAGGAAGAAGTTCAGTGTGCAACGGAAATTGTACAGTACATTGAGCAAGTGGGCATTGTTGCCGGATTATTGTATTTCATATTCTATTGGTAACGGATAGCTTATACTTGAGTTGCCTATTGTGTCGAGGATATTAATTTTGGTAAAGACGCGATTACGTCATAACACAAGTGGCATCGAAAGATATTACTTATCGTTATATGGATATACATATTGTACGAGTACATATGTGTCAAAATTGGCAGTTCCGAATAATTCAGGAACAACAAATCCGTATACACGATACAGAAACGGAGTGACTCGGTATACACTATACAGCATTTTACACCGTACAAAAGCTTCTGAATAATGTTACTACATCTGGTTTAAGTTTTGCTTTCCGTTTTTGCAGCGTTTATATATGCCTTAATAATCTTCGTAATTTCTTTAGGCTTCCTAAACGTAAATCACGAATTTTGTACCCAAAACCCGAAAAATATATTTTTGTAAGCATAAGAAAGAAACACACCGGAGTTATTAAAGCACGATTCTACCCCAATATTTTTTACATTGTGTTGTAGATCAGAATTAACGATAAATTATGTGATATACCGGCAATTACGTAGTTGTGAGCCAATGAAGTGCAGCACTGCACTGCACACATATTGTTCACCCCCACTTGAAATAGCGTACAATACATTGTGGACTGCTTAAATTAATACTGTATTGCATATTTATACTATATTATTGTATTGTTCGTTCACGGTAGTTGTGTACTTGGATCAAAAGCCATAATCTTAGTTTCATTATAAGTTTCCTACATAAATTTATTTTCTTTTAGTTTTCGTGTATTGTCTATAAGCACTTTACTTGCATCAAGTTGTGTGTACGGACTAGTCAACTTTATATTGTAGAAGACAATTATACAGTACAGAACTGCAGACAAACTATCACAGTTAGAAACATAAAACCACATAGTGAGACAGGGACCAACTAGGATATTAGAGAAAAAGTAATCAAATACAATAACACATAGTTGATAACCATGGGTTCCGCTACATTGACCTTTAGAGAAGGCACCTGTAAATCATGCATCACAAACCGGAGCCGCCATTCATATGCACCGGGCACATCCACTAAAAAATATGTATCTGTACATAACAAGAAAAATAGGAGAGTAATTAATAATGTCTACAAATCATCCGATACACTTGTCTCCATATATAAACCGGTCCGTTGCGTTTTCAATCTTTAATCCATTCCCTGGAAATGATCGGCGGACGGTGAGGAGTAGGTGATGGTAAAGCTCAACTGGTGGGCCTCGTGCATCCGCTCCAGTTGGACGATCAGACGCTGACTGAGCGGATTCTTGCATAAGTTCACCTCCTGCAGACTACTACCGGCACTGCTCAGCGCTTCCGTGTCCATGTCTATCGGTAACCAAACAAAATAAATAATCATGTCAGATTAATAATATATGATTAATAACAGTAAATGAAAAACAAAATGAATAATTACTGATATTATGTTAATTTTATACGATTAATAATAATAAACAAATTAACTCTGATTTATGGATAAGCAGTAAACTTTAGAATAATTATACGTGCAATTATTCAACCTGTACCGGTATCCTGAGTAATAACAGTGCGGTAATATTGTTACCGCAATGGATGGATGTGGGATATTGTTACGAGTGATGTTGATTTGTTTAGCGTTAAATGTTGAATGTTTAGCGTCTGTACTAACCGGATATCTCGTTCTCCTCGGCAATGACCGTCTGCAGGTTGGGCATGGTCAGAATGATGGTGGGAAAGACGGTGAAACGGTTGTTACTGATGTCCAACACTTTGAGATCAGTCATGCGGATCACTTCGTTGGGGAGGGATGTCAGCCGGTTACTGCGCAGGTTCAACACTACAAAAAGAAAACAAAAAAATTATTTCGTTTACGAGAATTATTCTTATTAATGTTATTACAGATATTTCTTCCGACATGAATTTGTGAATCAGTCAAGTAGCAATAAACAACACCTCCGTAGTATCCTGTACAAATAGCTTTGGTTGCCTGTAAATACTGAACGTTAATCTAATCGGGGTTTTCCTAAGCATTTCTGTAGAAATGCCTCCACAAATATTCTTAAATAGCCAAATAAAAGTTTGTGGAAAGTTTTTATTTTTAATTAATTTTCATATAAGATGTGGAAGCTCCTCTTTCCAATATGATTAATAATTTAATAATGGTCATCCAGGCCATTCCAATCATCACGGAAATAAGAAATATCGATTTGCCGTTTTTCCCATTTTTTTGTATTCTACTGCTCCATCTGGGCGCATCCGCTTTAAGTCACCGGAAAATTAGCCCGCCAGGGAAATTTATTTTCTCCAGCTGGGAGAGAGGAAAAATTACGTAACACTCATCCTTCCTGTTTCCCTCCCTTTCACAATTTACCGTGATCGGCAACAAGAAACGACGCGTGCTGCCCATTTAGACCGAACCGGCAACCCACCCCGCAAAAAACAATCAGCCGCTCTCTTTTGCACCGGCAGGATCATCTGGACGGCCGCGTGTTGTGCGAGCGCAGCCGGCATTTAATTCGCTATCAAGTATTACATAATCGGCCGTCAAGCTGCCGCTGCCTTGCCCCGATCGATTACCAAGACACTTGCGCTCTTTCTCCGGCGAACAAAAACTGCCTGACCAGCACGTTCTAGCCCCAGACAAAGCCAAAAACATAACACTCATATTACACAAGGCGAAAAATGCTACTATCTAATGCAAGCAATATATTTCGCTGAATAGGCATATTTTTTGTAGTTGCTGTGTCTGTCTTGATTACGATAATTGTGTTCTAACACAAGGATGGAAATGAGATAAAGGCAAACTGCAAAGTTAGCATAACAATAATCATAAGCAAATTATTTATACGACGAAGGCAACAAAATCCTGCGAATAATAAAATACTGTAACGGAAGCGATTACATTAAGATAATTCATTTAAAAAACTGTTGGGCTAACGCAAAAAATTCATGCCCAAAACAAAACAAATATATAATAAAATGCCATGTAAATAATGGTTTTGGTAATTTTAATGTAAACAGGGGCCATTTTACTTATATACAAAACGACGAACATTAATCTAATGCACGTGCATGCGAAATATGTTTTATGTTGATTTTTATTTATAAATTTATTGCACAATTTTTTCTTCACGCATAAATGCAGTTCGCAACCACCACTTGTGCAACATGCATAACGTCGTTAATGAACCGCCAATAACAGACGTATGCACCGGCGAAAAAAAACGTGTATATACGGCTCAAGTTGAAATGTATACGTTCTTTGAACCGGTAAACGGATATTTTATCGGCATTTAATGCCCGGTGTAAACATACCGGACAGCACTTTCCCAAACAATCGCGGCACTGTGTGACCACACGATCAACCAGGTGAAATTATATTTTTAGCTATTTTTTTACGATGTTAAGGCGGAAGTTTAACGGCGATGCAAATGAGCTCACATGGGCCAGTTTTGCAGAGATAAAAAAGCCCACTCAATTATTAGTCAGCTGATGTCTCTCGGTGTGTGTTGTCAGTTTTGCCACCCTTGCGTTCGCAGCAGCGGCAACGGTGTGTGAGCAAATACACGCCATCGTTTCCTTAAACCCTACACAAAACACTTGACAAGACAGAAAAAAGCGGCTGCTGCCGAATGTGCTCATCCGGCGATGCGTAATCGACGGCGCCTGGTTATCAGATCGAGAAAAAAACAACAACACAAGGACAGAGTCGGCGAAGAGGATATTAAATAAATAAAACTTCAAAAACTGTTCAAACAGGATTTAATATAATTAATTAAGTTAGAATTTTTATACAAATCAACAGTGAATTTTACCAAAATTTTCAAAAATATAACTGCAACAAGTAAAACTAGAATTTTGCGAAATTATTATTCAGAAAATTATTTTACGGGGCCAAAATAATTTTTCCCATTTAAAAAGAAAAAAAACTAAAGTTGGGTAAAAACTAAAATCACTAAACTACCATACTGCCTAATCAAAATTAAAAATTCGCAATACTGTCACAAATTTATACAACAGATTGTGCTGTTCGCTTCCGTATTTAATTGAAAAGAAATTGCATAACAAAATTTTTTTTAAAATATCCACTACTGAAAATTGCAAAAAATTTCCATTAAAATGCGGAAACCACCGGCGTAAACACTTCTTCACGCGCTGCCACACGCTTTTTGGCTGATAGCGTAATCACCTATAACCTAGTTAGCGTAAGCATTTGGCACCGGATAACACAACCGTCCGCCAGGAAAAATTAGCCATGAGTAAATTTATTCATTTATCGCAGCCACTTTTATCACACCGCTGAGCAGTCTGAATGCCGGTAAACCAGTCAGCGTGGCATTGTTACCGTTTTTATCACCGAGCCAAGCAAGATTTAAATGACATCATGCGGCCTCGTAGGGAAAAGCAGAATTACCAATAATAGTATATTTGGCTCACCTGTCAACGCGTCGAAATTAAAGAAGAACTTCCCGGGAAGACGGGAGATCTGATTCTGCTCCAGCATACAGGACAGGAGGCGGGTGTTGCGCAGGAGAAAATACACAGCGTCCGGGAAGGATTTCAGCGTACAAGCCGATAAATCTAAAGCAGCCTTATGTTACAAAAAAATAAAAAAATAATTATCAAAATCTATACAAAATTAATTTCATAACAAATAACGAATAACCAGCGCACTAAATAATACAGGTAGAGAATAACTTAGCTTGTAATACACACAGCTAAAAAAATTTAATTAGACAAAAATGACAATTTACCGGATTACGCTTATGATGCAATAACCAATTAAGCAGTTTATAACAAATTAATCAGAGCGAATAAATTTATCTATAAACCATAAACAGTAGCACTGTAAATTTTAGATAATGCGCTATAAATTTGCCTGTTTTGTACAAATTTTACAATGAATTATCCTACCCAGAACTTGTGATCTTTGTCCTTCATGGCAGCGATGCACGACACGCGTCACAGCTTTTCCCGCCAGAGCCATATCGAATCAGCAGCAAATTTTCAAAAAATAACCGTATAAAATTTCCAAAAATGTCTAATCAAAAATGCTGTCGTCACTTGGTCCGAATTAACTTCTGATCAAAATTAATCACCAAGCCGTCACCCCAACACACCGCCAAGGTGCCAAGCGTATACGAGTGAATTCGCGTTAAAAAGTGGCACAACACAACCGGTCGTCCGGCGCGAACATCTTTGTGAGCAATCGGAGAAACCAAGGCAAAAAACACTGCCGCACTAACTACCGTGCGTCTCAAATAAAAACTTCTTTTCACTACCCGAAGAAAAATTAAAAATCCAGTTCGTTTACGAACACCAACAAAATGTCAGCTGCTTATATTACCGCGGCGATCGGCAACACACACTGCATCTCCCACGTGTGTGTGCTGCGTAAGTACAAAAACAGTTCCGCCTGTTGGCTGTTTTATGTGAGCGCCAATCGGAAGTCGGCGACTGATACACTTTATCATTAATTTACAACAGTCACCGAGAGTGATGCGAGATATATGCACACCCCGGATCGATCACATGCGCCACAGGAAGGCTCCGGCTGTTTATTTATCCTGCTCTCGCAGTGCTCAGCAAACAGTTACAACTGACGCCAGCGGAATCAGGGGAGCGCTGGATTTTCCGCATGGAAAGAATCACCTTGACGGAAATCTTGCCTTCACCGAAAAACAACGCTCCCCTGCAGTGTCAAGAAAACACGTAAAACCAGCAAAAATATCACGAACATCTCCGCCATTTTCAAATACTACTGTTTGTAATTCGAAAAATTCACTGATATAAAAAACGCAAAATAAACTATAACCGCAAAACATTTAAATAAAAATTTTTTCTTAAATCTTCTATAGCAGTTCACACCATAACGGGACAGAAACTGCCGTAAACAAGTAGGAAAAAAGTAACAATTTAACGACAAAAAGCATAGCTGTACAACATTTTTATTCTGTGAAATAATTTCCATGACATTCTACTTGCGCCTGTCTTTCACCCGATACACTGCACTACGATAGTTGACGAAAATTGGTTTCCTCTAATGTGAATCAGAAGTACTGTGCGTTATCGATAACGAGATGCTGTGTTTGTACAACATAACACAACAGTCGGCAAAAATAACTTAATAAATAATGAAGTTATACCAACGGAAAACGTAAAAGAATTTCCCTCAACACACCATACTGTTGCTAGTTAGCTCGATCAATGGTCATTCGGAATTCCAAATTTAAAAAAAAAACTGCTTGATTAGTACGCCAAAATTAACTGTTATCTTTGTAAGTTCACTAAACAATATGCAAAGTAAAAAATTTCACAATTCTGCCTACAGATGTTGTTTTGTCGATCAGCGGTTGCACATCTAGGCTAAGTAATAACCCAGCTGGACGATCATCCCCGTTAACCCCCACAATTCATCTAATGACAATCAGCAGATTGTGCCATATGACCAGCACCGCTCTCGGAAACCGGGCTATGACAACATACCGAAACAGCGCTCACAGTCCGAGTTCGTGTATTTTTAGCAGCGAATTCCCCCAAATTCCCCATATACGAATCACATGCATATCCCCTGCATTTCTAAGACACCACACGCAACACTCCGCACTGCTGGGCTTCACATTGCAACGACCCCGCTCATCGTTCTTGACATACAATCTTTAAAAATAAACCCTTTCTCCGTTTACTCGCCGCACCAATGTGATCATGTTGTCGTGCTATTTTTTGCAAATTATGCCGGCCAAGTTCAGATTCTGGGCCCAGCGCAAGCGCGCGCGTGATGCGTTGTGCTAACACAGCATACAATTAGGTACCTTTTTTTAGAACAAAGACAAATATCCTTCTGCTTTTCCTGCGCTGTCACTGCATTCTGTAACGGCAAAATCCAAACGAAAACGTGTCCGCAAAAAACACTCGACTCTGTTAAGACTCGCTGAATTTAAAAAGTTTAATTTTTAAAAATCATTTCCAGCCAAAAAAAACCCGAACCTGATTCTGTCAAATGAACACATAAATTTATTCCATTTATAATAGTACAATAAAAACAACAATAAAGCAGAAAAATTTAAAAAATCACAGAAAAAGGAAGAAAACTGCGTCAACTGACTCGTAAAAATTCACACTGGATGTATTTTAAGTCTCCATCAGATTCTGTATAATCCCGACAAGAGCAGATCACATACCAGCCCGACTCACGCGGTGAATCAGATCAACTCCATAGAAACGCTGCGCCTCATCGCACTTTCAGCAGCGTTCAAAGACCCGGTAGAGTTTCGGCAGATCAGCAACTTCCACAATAATCCTGTCCGTCCACATGGATTTGGGCGGGAGCAGCATGGAGCGAACGGCCGGCATGATGATGTGCTCAGCGGTCCATTTCCATGATGCAGCTGTATTGTCATTTTCCGCGTAGAAATCCCGACAGAATGCGTGGAAACTGGCGATTTCACGGGCGATGTCTTCGAAGCACTCCTAAGCAAGAACGACCAAAACATTTTTACGAAAACAAACAAAGTCTAATAAAAGGCAAAGGCTAAAACATGCAGTAAAACGATACGATAAACAAATATACAAGGCGAGAAAAAACCATACAGTTAAATTTCATTATTTTCCTTTTGTTTAATGTTTTGCATATTTAATTAACAGAATCAATGATAAATGAAATCTCAGTTATTAATGATCTCAGTTATTATCTCAGTTATTAGTTTTTAAGTAACTTCAGAACCAATGCAATACTCTCAAAAGTTGTAAAGTTTTTTTCTTTAAAATCTGAAGTGAAGTACCTTTTCCGATGTCCATCGTACTTCCGTCGCCAGTCGGCCAATAAATAACGGGAGTTCAGACAACGGTGGAACATAATTGGTCAACAATATCGGTAACGTTAACAGATTTCCTTGCTGTGAAATACGATTAAATGTCAGCTCGTGTTTTGCTCCAGTTCAGTCATTACGCACAAATCTAGCGAAGTTGTTAGAACGTACCGTGCTAAACTGTAGCGAGAAGTAATCAGCCAACATTTTTCCTTTGCCCTTCAAGAATTCCGTGGCTTTATCGGCGATATGTTCCCTTTCCGCCAAATCACTGACAGGCGTCGCACTATGCTCATCCATGGCCAAGTACAGCAGCTTGCGAAGCGGGAAGGGCTTTTCCAGTTTAAACACACCGAAGTTGCCGAAATCGAATAGCACCAGCTGATAAAACAATTCTTCACTGCAAATTTGAAACACAATCAGAGTCAGGAGAATTTCACGAGATAAGTCCATATATAAAAGCACAAGCCGATTCACACGGAAAATGCGTTCCAGGTATTTCCAGAAAACAAGGGCTCTGGAGAAACATCGTTTTTGAAAAATATACATGTTTTTTTCTACAAAACTGCTCAAGTATTAACTCTCATAAAGAAATGTTTAAAAATCTGTGTGCTGGTTATTCACGTGCATTCCGCATCTGGTCAGAATGCACAGTCATATTAAGTAAATGATTACAATCACATCAAATTACTCAAGTACTGTTCAGTACCAACTGACAAATGATTTACTCACATAGACAGCATCTGTGTGTATATATATTATTTATTAATTTATAAAGTACTTCGTTCTCAAAATCGGTTTATCTTGACGGCTTCACTCCCCCGCATACTAACGGCAAAAGTATTACTTCTAATACAAAATGACCAACCTCAGTCGTCTGATATTCACCGCGAACATTTTGGTCCCATGTTGTATCAGCACCGTGTTCTCCGACGCACACCCGACAAACTTATGCTCGGCGAACACCTTCCGCAGCTCCACATCCATACTGCCCTCCACGGTGGCCCGCAGCTCCAGCAGACTGGTATAATTAAACTCCCGGGCGCGCTCCTTGGTCGCCAGCACCGAACTGACCACCTCCGAGGCCGCGGTCTCCATACTGCGTAGTTCCTCATCCACATCGATGTCCAGGGCGCTGGACGGCCGGATGAATGCGTCCAGCGTCTGCAGGCGGCTGTCGGTGCGGACCGCCCGCGCGGGGGTGATGCGGTCGGGCAGGATGGTGCTGGCCTGACTGAGATACGGCAGTTCGTTGCTGTTGGAGCCGGTGGAGAGGGTGCGCGCCGGAGGGATGATAACAGAGTAGGTGCGCGACTGATCGCAGGTTAGAAGGCACTGCTGGACGGCGGTGTACAGGCTGGCGATGATTTCCTTCTCAAAGCGGAAATGCACCTCGGCTTTGGTGGGATGCACGTTGACGTCCACGAGAATGGGTGGCAAATCCAAACTACAATCATCAAAACGGTAGAAATATACCAAATGAAAAAATCTCAAAAAACGACACACAAAACAAATAGTACACACAGTATGAAAATTAATAAAAAAAAACAATAAAACCAGCATAATGGTAAAAACAGACCGAAAAATTTCAGCAAACGGAAATGAAAAAAAATTGTAAAAACCGACGTGTTGTACATATGTACAGGAAAATCAGTTACTAGTAACAGCACCAAAACCGACCATAAACAAAGCCATTTTAGCAAAATGAACTGCCAAACATACAGCAACAACGAAGCAAATTAGTGTAACAGAAAAAAATCTGGATAAACAGAAAACAAACAAATCAAAACGTGTTCAATTTTTATGCCCACCTCAAGTAAACGAAAGGAAAGCCCTGTTTTGGCAATATGGGAGCATACAGTAATTCCATACACTTTCGCAGTTCACCGCATTCCACCGCTCTTCCTGTAAATTCAACAAGTACATTCAACCATTTATTCCAACCAAAAGTAAGTTAATAAAAAGGCGCAAAGATGGCATGATGAAGCAATGCACGTGTATTGTGTATCTACCGTTTATGAAGAAAAGGAAGATGTACTTCTTGGTGGAGAAGTTGGGATTACTAACGTAACCGGTTAGTTTATACTGGAATTTGTCATTCGTATCCTCAACAGGCAGAAGTTCTCTAGAAAAGAAAATTAAACAATTTTATCCATCAAGACGATTAATCCAAATAGTATCACCGGACGAATTTTGCGCACACACCGCGAGATGGTATCTTTGAATAGAATTTTAGCGTTATCCAATGTCGTGGACTTGGCCGGGGTGCGCAGATCAGCAGCATGCTGGTCGAATTTTCTCAGAGAAAATCCTACATGCGGATAGCGCATCGCATACTTTGTCAGCACTTCCATAATCTTCCCGTATTCATCCGCAGCGCTGGACAGTACGGCGCGTCTGGTTGGATTATTATAGAAAAAATCTTCCACCTACAGAGAATCAAACACGTAGCAATATGGAGAAAGAAGAATTTGAAGAAACAAATCCACAAAAAGATAATTAAGGAACTGCCCGTTTACTGACAATTTTAATAAGACATTCCAGACAGAAGTCAGAAGTTCAAAGCTGCCAAAATTATCGACGGGTTTAACAAAAAAATAAGGTGAAGAAATTACGGCCTTGTTAAAAAGACAAAATATAAAATTATTTTCCGCATGTCACAACTCTCCGGATATTTGACGTAGGCAAAAAACACTGACGCACTACATCAGCCGGACAAAATGTCGCCACACTTACGGTAATCATGGTGCCAACATTTCCTGCCAGGGCTTTCGCGGCGGCCATGGGTAATCCCATGTTGTACTCCATCTGATAGGCGCACACCGCGTCCGCTGTCCGGCTGATGATGCGCACTTTGCCGATGAAGCTAATACTGGCTAACGCTTCCCCACGGAATCCGAAGCTAGTTAACCGGGTAATGTCGTCGAATTTCTCGATTTTACTCGTCGTGAACCGTTCGCATACGATGGAGAAATCCTCTTTCTAAGAAACCACGAAACCAGCATAAATACGTAATTATCCATCCCAAGTTTTTGAAATTTTATTGCATTGTTAATTACCACGTAAACGTTTTCTCGAAAATCTTAATAAGTAAGTAAGTATAAGCAGACGGGTATTATGCAATTTTGCGCTCTCTTTTTTGATTCAAAATTTTTTTTTATTTAACTTGCTCAGTCGCGAAAAGACCATTAAAAACCAATTTCAAAAAAGTCTGTTTATTTAAAACAGCACAAATTCATGTTGCAATGTACGGGTTTTCTAGTACATATAAAAGAGTGAATTTTAAATCTTACGATTAAAAAGTAAGAAATGAAATGATACACCTCGTGATTTCAGTGACTGACAAGTGATCATTTAAAAATTTTCAAATTAAATATACGGTTAACTGATTTTTTAACTCCAGCAACCCGCTCAAAATATGTTTAGCGAATTTGTGGGAAATTAAATCGAAAATTACTGTCTTCCCAACACCGAAACGCTATTGCCAACGCGCGTAATTCAGACAAAATGTGAAAATATTTTACCTTAATCCCACAGCCATTATCATGGATCTGCACCATACCAAGTCCGCCGTTTTTCACCACCACACTGATTTCGGTCGCGCCTGCATCCAGACTGCAAGCAACATTAGTCAGCGATAAACTGTAAAATTCTGCACACGCTACAGTACCCCAGTCTTCAGGAAAAAAACTACGAGAAGGATGCAAGAAACAACGGATCCAGCAGCAACTGGTCCGTGTTCCACAGTCTGCCAACCTGTTCTCCAGCATCTCCTTCACAGCATTAGCAGGACGCACGATGATTTCCCCCGCAGCGATGCGATTAACGACACTCTCGTCCAGCTTGTGAATCCGACCGGGGCCTGGTCGAGGGTTCGTCATTGTCCTTGGAGGATAATCTATTTCTATTGCAGGACTGCCAGTTCAAGCAGCCAAAGCACGATTAAGGCTGTTGGACTTTGATTATATCATCCGTAAACGGTAAAAGGATAGAAGTTCAGACGCAGCATTTTGCGAATCTGGTCACAATTCACAAATATGTATTTACGCCTGCGAAGCTAAGCCATATGCAGTGTCTAATTCATAATCGTACAGAGATAAAAATCACTGATAATTTATAATCAGCTAAATAAATTCAGGAAGTAAAACTTGATATAAACTGGAAAAAATTGACTGCAAGCAAGATGATAAAATTTCAGATTTATCAGGATGATACTGCTCGCCGAGCTAAACTGCCGGTGCTGACTTGACGCCCGGCCCAGGAAGGCGGCTTTGAAAGTAAGTCATAATTCGGCGGAAGCTTTATCCAAAACGGACTGACATCTCACAAGTCAGGTCTGCTAAAGTTTTTTACCTCACATATTTTACTAAACTTTTAAATTTGAACTTATGCAAGAATCAAGCGGTGTTATTTTATTTTCACACATCACTTATCAATCTGTATAAATATTCGTAACGAAACTGGTGAAGCATTTTATCTGAAATCATACTGTACTAAATTACTAATCATACGAATTCATAATACAAGTATTATTAGTTACTGTTAGTGACTTGTTACGATATTACTTTATGCATATCGGCTCAACTATTTTACCTCGAACACATTTCTATTTTATTTAAATTTGAACTTATTCAAGAATCAAGCGGAGTTTAGTCTTAAACTGTCTAACATCACTCATCTATCTGTACATATACAGTACTCGTACCAAAACTGATGAAGCAATTTATTAGAAATCATAATATACTCGCGAATTCATAGTTGCTACGATGTTACTTTATGCAGAAAACGAAGTCAAAATATCTCTCACATCCGTATACCATAATAAAGCCCAACAAGATACAAACTTCCCACTGTGCCGGAAACGATAAAATACAAAGGCCTGTACATAACAGTGAGAAGGATTAGAAAATCAACCCGCTCCACAAGTGCGATGCGTGACAAACTGAGAAGATCATATTCTCAAAGTTCCGACCCAGTAAAAGATTAACAAAAAGACTTCCTTCATAATTCATCTGCAATATAGCTTCTTCAATTTTAAAAAAAGCTGAAACCGTTAAGTATATAAAAAAAATTCATCCGATAAAACTTTATTTACACCGATGCAGCGATGCTCGTCCACGAAGAGTTATTGAATCGAAGCGATTTTCACTGCAGCGCCGCAAGACCGATGGTTAGTTATCGGAAGTTGGTGTATCCAATGCCAGTCTTATTCCCCAGTCGCGACTGGATATCGCGCTTTCCTTCCCGATCTCGGTCGCGCCCATAGGGGCTGAATTTCTCTTCATTAATCACACACAGCATCGGAATGCCTGAAAAATAAATAAGGCGCATTTTTTTTCGCAATTATCCACACGCATTTCCAGTTGATTACTTATAGCACCCCTAAATTAATAAACGCATACAAAATAAAAAAAACTAATATTCATACTATCCAAAGTGCGGCTATGGTACTCCTGCACGGCTTTCTCCGCTGCCACCCGGTCAATAAAATCGGCCACGCCGTATCCCGTTGGTGTCCCGTTACGATCGCGAATAATATGACAATTGTGGACATCACCATAGACACGGCACAATTCCTGCAAAAAAATCGAAAACTAAATTAGGTCATCAAAGTGATCAAACGACCAGTCAGCGGTTTCTGTGCACATAATTACGCGCTTCGCAAGCGTCCACAATATTCATAATAATAATTTTAGCGGTCTGCAATAAACTGTAGGATAAATGCATTAATAAATTGTTTTAAGGCGAGCGAATTTTGTATAATAAATATTTATATCAAAACTGACAAGAAAACTTATCCTGCATACTTCGATGTCCTCATCGACGATTTTGTCACTGAGTTTGCCGAATGTTACGGTTGTCTTTTGCTTCGTGTACGGCAAAATCTCAAAAGGAAACTCAATCTGCAAAAACAAATTTATAATGAAAAACCAATTACATACAGCGGCAAAAACACGATGCATCGAAGCATGCAATTGAATGCATCCAAAATTAAAATCAAGTGATTTATAAACACTTGTTTCTAATTAACGTCCAGTAAAAAAAGACTCACCGCCTGTTTCTGATTCGGAGTCGCGTCCTGCAGATCGTCATAGTGCGGCATCCGGAGATAATTTCCCTTGTCGCCATTTTGTCCTCTACCGCGCTTCCCGTACGCCCCACTGACACTGTTTTCCTGTTCGCTACGCCCGCCAAAAGCGTTCTCCATCTACCCAGGCAGAAAAACCAAACGAAATATTTCAGAGCATTGCAACGTAACACAATTACGAAATACCTAACTGCACGGAATGACACAAAAGCAACACACCACTATGGCCATTATCACAAGCAGCCATAAAACTGGGAAAGCGTCTAATTTTAGCAGCAAGCTTTTACGGTTTTACCAGTTTTATATCTTCAGCTTCTCTGTTACGAACAATCTTTGAAAAAATCCGGTTTTTCGTATCACAAAGCTGTTACCCAGCTTGACTTAACAAGGCTTCGTACAGAGAAATACCGTATGCGCAGTGTAGTAACAGAAATTAAAAAAGTCCAAAATACAATTCAAAAACTCACAGCAGGAAAACGGAGACACGAGCAAAAACGTCGGAAGTGCAATATTTACCGAAAAATTGTGGCGTCTGTGGTAGTTCTTGGTGGGGGATACGCGCCCATTCCCGCGTCCGCGTCCATTTCCGCGAGAGCCGCGATGATAAGGAGCCAAACTGTGACTATTGCCGCGCATGGCCGCCACGTCTTCCAGCGTCAGCCCTGCGACGGACATTCGCGATGTGGGAGCGCGCTGCTTTTCTTCGTCCTGTTTACTGTAAACCGCCACCAACGCGTCCAAATCTGGCAGGTTATCTTCATTAGCCATGTCCTCCTCCACTGCTTGGTGCGGTTGATCGTCCATATCGATTTTCTCCATTTCCTTGTCGTCCATCACACCGTCCATAATAATGGCCAACAGTGCAATATCAACAAGGACAGTAAGGACAAGGACCAATATCAACAAGGACAGTAAGTGATGGAACTTTGGAAGTGATAACAAATTTGTGGAGTAATCAAGGAAATTACTTTTGCAATAACTCTCAAGTCGCAATCAGTACGGATCAGTTACGGAACAACCGGATAACTATTGAAAGGACAGTTCAAACAACTTTGCTCACAAAGCCTCACATACAAATTAGTCACATACTGAACATACAGTACGCAGTCTCTGACATGAGAAATACGACGAATCCGATTTTGCTGCACGTGCACGCAGAATCAGATAAGACAGACAAAAGAGAGGCAGACACGTTCAGACGTGCAACACTGGAGAAGGGGGAACTCATGTAAAAAAACTGCCGCGGAACAAGATGCAAAAAATGACAAAACGGCAAATACGCATAGAACTTAGAAGTGCCTACATATTTCGCGGTATAAAAACCGACATTTCCTGTCACAACACAGTAATCAGTTCGAGGTCCGGCATGCCATAGAAATACTGCGCGGCCAGTGTCAAAACTTAAAAGGGAGCCGACAAAGGGTTGACGACAGTGGAATCTTTCATGTCATATTATATTGCGTGTCTGTATAAACACCTTAGTACGGCACGTACTGCATTACGTATTGTTATTGACTATAAATATCAGAGCCAAAGATGAGGCCGAAGTAAGTAACAAAATAAAATATACTTACTAAGAAAATAAGAAAAATCAATTACGAGTATGGTATTATCTACCTATTTATTAATTTATTATGTCGCAAGTAGACTGAACGAAGGCAGCAGAAGCAGAGTACAGAAAACGATTCAGTATACAAACCTCTCAAACAAAAACAAAACAGTAATAACACAATCACTAGCGAAATAAGTCATAATTATAAAAAGGCATAACGTGCAACCACATTGTACAATACATCATCAGATAAAGTGAAAGTTAACACAAATATTAAGCTTCGTTACTCTAATGCAGAAAATAGTTCTATCACACAGAAAATTTTCTCTTTTGTTCTATAAATAACACGATACATTCTACATGTGTCGTAATTTCAATAGTGATCAATCTGCTTGTAATTAATAGTAGTTATGTCACTCGCGAAACACGTTCCTACGCATATTTAGTACATACTAATGATAATGATAATTATGGAACTACGCAATACTATGTCACATGAATTAACTGATAAATGCATGCGGCTGAACAATTCAAGCAGATGTGATTAAAATAACATATGAACTGTGATCTTCTATTAAATTGAAATTAACCTTTACAGTATAGACATTTTATATGGATCTATTTTTTTTGTTACTGTATTAAACTTTAAGCTGCTTCGTATGGACACTCATTGGACAGTACTGTACCGGTACTCGTATCGCATGTTGTGGTTAATTAAAAAAACGTAGTCGTATCACATTGACGTCTAAATAATATTATGTTATGTTCTGGATAAAATGCATTAAAAGGTTAAGGATCAGCAACTTACTACTACTTACTGCTAATGCAATGTTCGTGTGATATACATAATTTTATTTGTTATTACAGAAAACTTTTGTGCTTTGGCATCATTGGACGAATAAAATATTTTTACAACGCTCGACCACGAATGGGAAATCTGGGGAACAAACTAACTTTGTGCTTCGTTATTCTTGTCCCGCTCTTAGCCGCTTGTTCAATGGCTGCCACCACCGCGGCCGGTATGTTGGAAGCCGGAGTTGGCGCCACCGAGCCGTATGATGATCCACCATTCATGGCTTCCACCTCATCCACGGTCTCCTGCACAGCGGGCGGCAGCCCTCCGGAACTGGCCGGCGGCTGGTAATATCCATCCGGCGTTAATCCACCATGATTGCCTTCCTCCTCCTCGATGACCTCAATGGGTGACGGCGTGGGGATAACCGAACCACCGGGACTGTAGTACGACGCAATCGCCCCGATTCCCACAGAAGACGGCACACCCCGGTCCCCGCCGCCACGTTGGCGATGGCTTGACCCGGCGGCACGCCCGCTGCCACCTCCGAGCCGATCTCCTCAGCGACACCGACCGGCACGCCTGACTCAATGGCCGCCTCCGTCTCCGCGTCCACGACATTGGCTGGCGGCACTCCTGCGGCCGGTGCCGACCCGGCTGTGTAGTAAGAATTCAGGCCAACGGACTGTGCGGCGATCGTCTGTCGGTTGCGTCCCCGCCGGCTGAACCGTCGTTTGACTTCGTTGGCCACGGCAAGGGCCATGCCGCGGGTGATGGTCTTAGGATAGCTGTATGCCGCAACGGACACCGCAGCCGGCGTCGGTGTGCCGGACACCGCGTTGGCCACCGCTTGGCCGGCCGGGACACCAGCAGCCACTTCCGTTCCGATCTGCGCCGCCACCGCGGGAGGAGCGCCGTTCGCGGCAGCCACACCGGCAATGGCTTCGGCCGGTGGTGCGCCGGAGGCGATAGCCGTGCCGATCTCCGATGCGACGGATGCCGGGACTCCGCTGTTAACAGCGGCTTGTTCTCCTGCAGCAATCTGCTGTGCTTGAGATCCCCCTTCCGCTGCTACCTGGGCGGCGGCTGCGGCCGAGGAGGTCATTGTGTTGGCCGGTGCGGCACTGCCTCCGTAATACCCGGTTGAACCGGACGCCAGCAGCGTCGCCTGGCGGTTGCCCTTTTTCTGCGTTCGACGACGACCGAAACGTGTTTTGACCGCATTCACTACTGACGTCAGCATGGCACGGGTTAGCGTCTTGGGATATGTATAAGACGCTACGGAAACTGCGGCGGGCGTCGGTGTGCCGGAAACTGCGTTGGCTACTGCTTGTCCGGCCGGAACGCCGGCTGCCACTTCCGTTCCGATCTGTGCTGCCACCGCGGGGGGTGCACCGTTGGCCGCGGCTACCCCAGCGATGGCCTCGGCGGGCGGGGCACCGGAAGCAATGGCGGTACCGATTTCCGAAGCGACCGAAGCCGGCACTCCGCTATTAACCGCTGCCTGTTCTCCGGCGGCGATCTGTTGTGCTTGCGATCCACCTTCCGCTGCTACCTGGGCGGCAGCTTCCGCTGATGACGTTTGCCCTGACGAGACGGGTGCGGCGGCGGCGCCATAGTACGACGAGGTACCGAGGATAGACTGCCGGTTACCAGTACGTTTCTTCTGTCGGCTACCACGGAATCGCGTTCGCACCGCGTTGACCACCGAGGTCAGCATACTGCGGGTCAGTGTCTTGGGATACGCGTAGGAGGCCACGGAAACGGCAGCCGGTGTCGGTGTACCGGCAACCGCGTTGGCAACCGCCTGCCCAGCCGGGACACCAGCGGCTACTTCTGTTCCGATCTGCGCCGCTACCGCGGGAGGTGCGCCGTTCGCTGCAGCCACGCCAGCAATGGCTTCGGCAGGTGGCGCTCCGGATGCAATGGCGGTGCCGATCTCCGATGCCACGGATGCCGGGACTCCACTGTTAACAGCCGCTTGCTCTCCGGCGGCGATTTGTTGTGCTTGAGATCCACCTCCCGCTGCTACCTGCTCCGCGGCTGCTGCCGATGAGGTGCCCGCGCCGGAAATCGCTGCCGGTGCGGAGCCGTAGTATGACGAGGAGGGGGAGGCTATCAGGGGTAGGTTACCTTTGCGCCGGGAACCGCGGAAACGTCTTTTGACTGCACTGGCAACAGAGGTCAACAGGGTCCGTGTTAAGGTTTTCGGATAGGTATAAGCCGCCACAGACACGGCAGCCGGTGTTGGCGTGCCGGATACCGCATTGGCCACGGCCTGTCCAGCTGGCACTCCTGCGGCAACTTCCGTTCCAATTTGAGCCGCCACCGAGGGCGGTGCCCCATTGGCCGCGGCTACTCCGGCGATCGCTTCGGCCGGTGGTGCACCGGATGCAATCGCTGTTCCGATTTCGGATGCAATGGACGCCGGCACTCCACTGTTAACCGCAGCTTGTTCTCCAGCAGCAATTTGCTGTGCTTCTGATCCACCTTCCGCTGCAACCTGCTCCGCGGCTGCGGCCGATGACGTGTCGCCCGAGATGGCGGCGGCCGGTGCAACGGAGCCGTAACCCGACGAATAACCTCCCGAATAATATCCTCCCGTCGATCCGATGGATGCGCTGGCCGGGGCGGTAGCCATAGCGGCAGCGAGTCCCGCCGGTCCGGCAACGTTTTCAATGGCTTGAGTGGGCGGAACACCCGCCGCCACTTCCGCTCCGATCTGCTCCGCCACTGCGGGTGGTGCGCCCTGGGCTTCGGCAACGTTGGCCACGGCCTGACCGGCAGGGACACCGGCGGAAATTTCGCTGCCTACCTCCGCAGCCACGGACGCCGGCACGCCGTTCTCGATGGCGGCGGCTTCTCCGGCAGCGACTTGCGATGCCGGTGGGGCACCGGCAGCTGCAGCCTGGGCGGCGGCTTCCGCTGGGGATATATTCGAACTGGCACCCGGAGCGGCGCCGGAAATGGGCTGCATGACCTCCGGGACGGTCATCCCATACCCGGGGAGGTACGGCGGACGGGGGACAATCACCGGCGGTTTATAGTAAGCGGCAATGGGCGGATACGGTTTGGGACTGTTGAGATACGAGGAAACGGCACTGTATGTACCCGGTCCATAATTGGGATTCGGGACGGGGACGAATGTACTGGGATCCTGTCCGACTTTCACCAAATAACCCACCAAGGTCTGCGGTCCAACACCGTAAAAGGAATAAGCATTATGGACATATACTAATATCAAAGACAGTGCGCAAAAGAGCGCCATTTTGAGAAATGTAAAAGTCAATGTCAGTCAATGCCGGAGATTATTATTATTCTGGGCGGTTGGCAGAGATTATATAAACTGACACATGGCTTGCAGCTCATAAAATTTGTGATCGGTTTCGGGTGGAAACGCTTTCATTTTAAACGACGCCCATTTTTCTACTGATTTAACAATTGGTGACTTTTTAGTACTACAGTGTGTTAAGTTTTGTGATTTATTAGATTATAGTCAAGTTTTAAAGCGATGTGGTATTATCGTTCGATTGTGTTTTGGCTGCTAATTAGCGAATAAAACGTCGATCGAGTGTATTGTCCTGCTTTTGGATATTATTGTTGTGATCTGGTCATTGCCATGTACAATTCTGACTAATACGGTGCGAATCGGAGGAAAAAATATAGTGCATAGTTAGTGCAAAGCACATTATTTGCCTTGTAGCCGCGGTCACAAAACAACCGCGCGCAATTACTAATTAACGCATCAGTTTACTAAGCGATACAAGTAGTACATATTGTACATGATAGCCTGATCTGACTTGTGCTACTGTATTGTCCGTAATCTGTCCGATACTTTTTTACAGCGCTATTATTTTCCAATAAACGGTTCGTTATCAGCGTGTAAGTGTATTATTTCATTCTAATTCGTATGAATAATGTTATTCGTACGTGATGCATGCGTTATCGGCGCCGGTTCCCCTACTAAAGAAGCTGTAATTAATTCAACTTACGTTAATACAGTGTAATACTGTATTACTTGGAGTTTAATTGCGAGGCATTGTTTTAGGCTAATGATGATCAAGCAGCCAGTCAAATGGACGCCGTTGTCTGAACAACGGACGACATATACACGCCCGAAGGCATCGACCACCAGCGTAGGAATGCCGGCGGTTACCTTTCGGCGTGTGTAGACCGTAGAGGTCACGTCGCAAGGCGTACACGGGTGTATCGCGTTATCCTGTCGTACAACCTGGCCGTTATGTCGGTCACCGATGACAGGGCACATTTAACAAAAATCAAATTTTTTAAAATTATTGTTACCGGTTTGTATATGCGCTGCTTATGCAACGACCAATGCAAACATCCTAAGTAAAGGTTTATAACATTAACTGCGCTTCTCTGCACGGTAGCCATAATATGGCAGTAGAGTGTGCATTTATTCTTGATATCGAAATTGGATCAAAAATTTTTATACATAAAATTTTATAATCTACAAAAGTTATTCGTTACAAAAATACGAGTTCGCGCACACACAAAGCAGAAAGACTGACATAATTATGTAAACCAGTTTATTTAACTTTACACTGTTAGTTATGAGCCCGTGTGTACATACTTGAAGTTTTTACCTTTTATGACCTTTTCTTAATTAAGAGGTTTCCCCATTAACATAGTCTAACTTCACGAATACCGTCTGGCGTCGATGTTGTCTAATTATCCTTACATAAAAGTCCCAAACAGCTGAGGGTGGGGTGTTAATTATATACTCGTATAATAAGGCTGTGCTGATATCAGCTCACTTAGCTTCATTGCAGGAAAGTTGCTTTCCCGATCTTTGCTTGCATTTGCGCTTGTAATTGTACACATTTTGTACAGGTTACCACGAAACTTATGTACAATACTTAATACCTCGTAGCACGGCTAAGTCAACATAAGCAAAGCCGGCGACGAAATTTAAAAATCAAGCCACATTTTCGGCGCACACCGAATATTTATTATTGCTGTAATTTCTTGCTTCCTGTTGTTTGATGTCGAACGTAAGTACGAGCGTATCACAGCCATAAGCGTATCACACAGCGGGATTATTGTCAATTTTTTTATATCTATATGTACGAATATCTTCCGATAATTAACAGCCGCTCCAGCCAAAAGAAAGTCATATCTGCTGATCTGCACAACTTTTCCAGTTCACACACTTGTTCCCACCGGCAGAAGGATGCGATGTCTTCTGTTTCAAGTAAATTTCAAGTATCCATGGAATTCCATTACAGGCTTACTGCTAACAACATTGTTAATCGCTGAGGCAACGGCAGCAGAGCTACCGGAAGCCGATCCCGACGTGCCATAATCGGCGGATCCCGGAACTATGCTTGAATTGTTGCTACTGCCTAACGAAGCTCCATATGAATTTCCACTGGACACTGATGCATAATTTGCTCCCCCCGAAAGGTCACCCGGGGAGGGGCTCGATGATGCATACCCGTTTTCACCCGACGGCGTTCCATAATTGCCAGAACCCGCAACGCCACCGGAAGTGCCAGCGGCAGCCGACGGAATGTACGTAATGGACCCGGGCCCTGATGACCCTGCACTGACACCGGATGGAGCGATATAAGCAGGAGCAGTGGGTGGAGCGTACGTCGCCACGACAGCTCCCAGTGGATTCATGTAGTCGATGACCGCGGATGTCGCCGGCGGATTGTTGTACGCCTGACCAGCAGACAAACCTGTGGGGGTGCCGTAATACAGTTCTGCCAGGGAGGTAGCGGAAAGAGGCGCCGCTGCGGATGGTATGTACGTTATGGATGTTCCCGGTGGGTTGGCGTTTCCAGTTGGTGATGTGTAGGATGTCGATGAACCAGTACCGTAACCGGATGTCGGCGAACTACCACTGCCGGCAGTATATCCATTTCCAACTGGTCCACCAGAAGTGGGAATATAATTTGTACCGCTTGGAGCGTTTACTGGAGAGTTGCTGGTACCATAAGCGGAAGACGATGACCCGGATGAATAGCCATTTGTCGAGCCTGCCGGTGGCGACGGAGAGGGAGTGTAAGGGTTTGCATTCGATCCCGGCGTCCCGTAAACCCCACCAGATGCTGAAGGGGTGCCAGTAGCAGCGGCCGATGGAATATATGTGATTGACCCCGATACTGTATTAGGGCTGCTCGATGACGGTGGTGGAGCATTAGAATAACCGCCTCCGGTGGATGTACCGGGAGATGACGTATAATTAGAAGCCGGTGAAATTGCACCGGGTGGAGCGTTGTACATGCCTGTGGCTCCAGTCCCCGGAGAGTTACCGTTGGAAGGAACCGCGTTGGATGGGATATATGTCACCGAACCGGAAATGGGTGGAGGATTTGATATCGGTCCAGTGTTAACCGGCGTCGAGGGATACGCTACCGGTGCCCCTGCGGTGGCGTAGTTATTTCCCGCCGGCGGTGCGTTAGCATAAACTGGTATCACAGCTCCCGGCGTCCCGACGGCCCCGGTTGGATTATTATACCCGTTTGCTGATGGAGTTCCACTGGATGCGGCATTAGACGGGATGTATGTGATCGAACCGGAGCCAGCCGGTTGAGTTACGGTCGCCGCCGGGTTGGAATAAACCGGAACAACCGGATTGGTTCCGGGAGCCGGTCCACTATAAACCGGAACTCCCGGCGTCCCAACGGGTCCAGTTGGGTTATTATACGCGTTTGCTGATGGAGTTCCGCTGACTGGAGCGTTGGACGGTATGTACGTAATCGATCCGGAGCCAGCCGGTTGGAGCACGCTCCCCACGGGGTTTCCATAAACCGGAACAACCGGGTTGGGTCCAACACTCGGTCCACCGTATACCGGGATACCCGGGTTAGATCCCGGTGGAATTGGATTATAGACCGGCACCGCCGGAGGTGCCACGACGGGTCCATTGGCGACCGGCGGTACGTAGGCGACCGATGAGGGGTTATAATAGGCACCCGGAAGCGGAACATACGGCCGACCGCCCGCAGGTAGGATGGGCGGGAGGTAAGGCGGGGGAATGGGCGCCATGGAATACGATGGTCCATAGTCTTGACTGAAAGGCGGGGCTTTGGTGTAGCGTTCCGGATGGAGCGTAGGGTTGTAGTAGGGAACGGGGGTCACGGTGTCCGAATAACCGGCTCCCCCGTTAAAATACGGAGCGATAACCGCTTGGTAGGGATTAGCATCATAGTTTCCGCCGGATAAGGGAATGAAGCGGCTGGGGGAGTTGCCGATTTGCAGCATGTAACCGACAAGGGTCTGGCGAGCGTTGGATCCAGGATAGAAAACCAGGAATTTCCATATTAATAAAAACCGGGATATCCTAGCTGAAGCCATTTCGACTTTTTTATGGGATAATCATTCTGGGTGATCAGGCCGCATTAGCGCCGCATTTTTAAAAAAAAATTAAATGGAAGATGATAAAATGCTTTTCTTTTACATCGACCGGTAAGCGAATCACTGCATCACAGCATAATATCGTACAGACTATATTTGCCGGCATTGCAGTGTAGTTGATATCAAACCGGCATAAATGCCATTTGCAGCATAGGCGGTGACCGCGATTAGGCGCATATGATAGTCTTCGAAGAGACCGTTTGAGGTTTGTTATAAATCCACTTAATTTAGTCGTTAATCTAATTCCGACAGAATGACTGCAAGATGCGGATTCTGTGCAAAGTCTGAAACGATATTGTCAAGTGCCTTCCGGTTATTGACTGGCATCAGTTAATAAAACATGACCACTAAATCTCATACATCTTCACCGTTCTGTTTTGAAGATGTCCTGCCTCCCGGCAGTGCGTGAAGTTATAGAGCAAAAAACAGCTGACCAGTGTAGTTATTGTTGTACAACGCGCGGCTGATCAGCGTGGCCGGAAATTCGTAATAATTTTTAGCGTCGATAAAACAAAGCGACCGCTGGCGATTTTACAAATACTCTAGATACCGCAGCTGACTGAGCGCAGTATACGTACGTTAGGAATTACAAATTGATAGACAATAATAGTACGGAATAATAATATAACGATGTAACCAATAGTATTTATCATCATTGCGAACTACATACTGTGTAATACACGCCTATATAATAAGTGTTTGTTTGTATATCGTCTTCCAAACAAATTTTTCATTATTCATTTCAAATTTATTTATCAATTTATTACCGTGTAAATGAAATAAAAAACAATGTCCACCGTCTGTACATTAGGTGTAGAGAGATATGAGTACACCATCACGAATCTGAACAGGTTTTTTAATAATGTTATCCGTTCTTATAATTAACAAACAATTTGAGCAAGATAACGTATGGTATGGGAAAACAGAATAGTTGTTATACCTAAAACAATCGATGTTTCGCGTACACATCCGACAAAAAATATGGAAAGCTATTAAAAACAATCGCAGGTTAACATTAAGCAGCCCGCGTAAAATGTAATCAAATCACCGTGGAAAGATCGCTTTCCATGTGCGCTTCCGCTGCGACACTACCGGTGTCTCGTTATCGGCATCCGCATCCGGTGGCGCGGACTTGAACAACTCTGGATCAGCCTCCGATGCCATGGGTACATTTTCTTCGTCCACATTATCATACTCCAGCATTGGTTCAGGTGTCGGGACAACCGGCATGGGCGTGGCAAAATTCAACGCCGCACCAATCACCGCAGATGCCGGGGCTTTGGTCGCCGTCGAGGTCACCGCCGCTGGTGGAGCGATTTTAATTTTTTTGGATGCCAGATTACCAAAAGCGGACGGCATGATTTTATTAGCATAACTGGGAGATGTGCGGAAGGACGCGGGATGCGAGCGAAGATAATGGGAGATGGCTTGGTACGCGCCCGGTTTTTGGTTGCTGTTGGCGATAGGAACAAAGGAACTGGGCGAATTACCGACCTGCACTAAATAGCCGACGAGGGTCTCCGGTCCATCGTCGATATTGGGGAAAGCGGCAGATATGACGGATACAACCGATAAAAGTGAAAGTACAACGCGACCGGCCATTGTTCAGCGATTTATGATGCGACAGTTTGTTGTATATACGCGATGTTAGAAAAATGCTGTATATATGTGCCTATTTTCTTCTTTATTGTTTCCTCGTTTCTCTAACCTCTTTATGATTTTGCTTGCCGGCAGATTTTCACACCAGATTGATGCGATTGCCGATCGCTATGGTGAATCATCGGGCGCGACTTATATCATGATTTATCGGATCTGTTTTAAATGCAGTCAGATTTGATCGGTAGATTTTGTACAGATTCTGTATATTTAGTGTTTTGTTAACTGACCAGCCGCAATGCGTTCGTTAGCGCGGTAATTGTTAAGGTGTATTGTCCCGCTTTTACCGCTAAGTAAGACAGTGATCATTCTTGTGTCGAGCATTTGTTTTAATAAATTTGATCATCTGGTATAATTACGACAGAAACGGACAAGCGGCAAGTGACATGCGCGCGCCGGTGCGGCGTACAAACGCCGGCTGACCTCGATGGAATACTTGGTGTGGTTTGCGTAAAGAACATGTTTGTGCTGATATCTGTACAGATATGTTCGTTAGGCGTACGTTATAGTCTATAGTCTGCACCACCCATTCGGTACAATTATATCGACAATCCGACCGGGAATTAAATACTTCGTATAATTAGAATTTATGCAAAAGGTCACGTACAAGCTTACAATGGCAAACGTTAACGGTTTACGCCCGTTATTTAAAAACAAATTAAGCATAAAATCTACACAATTATTGCTTGCAGTTGCGGGTTTTAAAATGCAGTGTGGCGTTTGCATTGCAGTGTTCGCATAAAAACATAATCACCGTCTTAAACTATTTTGACAGAAAACAGACCACGAAATCTGCAGGTGAATATTTAGTTTTACGAGGAAGTATAGACCAGAAGAACCCATTAACGCTGCATTGTAATTAAATTTTATTATCTTTAACGCATAGATATATAACTGCATATTCAACACATACTACAAATTTTGTTCGATGGGTTTGTTTTCTGTTAACTGGCAGGCGAACTTACAGTATACTTTAATTAATAAAGTTTACTATTCAGAAATCTGAAATCAGTACATTAACTTTCGCATTAACATGTTACTTTTTCGTTTAGTTGTAATATTTACAACGTTAATTTCTCGGATATTTGCACCGTATCCTAAAATCGACGCTGGACCGGATACATTACTTGGCTATCTGGTCCAATTCGGATCAGCGCCCAGCACATTCGTTCCATATTCTAATCCACATTTTAGAGGCAACCAGGCCGGCGCTTTCCAGGCTATATCCCAGTATTTCAACAGCCAATCAACGTACAATGCTTCTGGTTATTCTCCAGCAGCCTATGCAGCTCCTGCTCCCTATGTTAACATGACCCCTGGTGCTGATAACTATCCACCGCCACAGTATTATAATACTGCAGCGCCTCCAGCCTATCCTGCAACGCCTGCCCCGTATCCTACCACAACCCCAATTCCCGTGTATGCACCGCCGACACCAGCTCCATATTATTATCCCACTACCGGGTCGTATAATCCAGCGCCTCCAGCTTATGTAACAGATACAACAACGGCTGCACCGTACTACAACCCGACACTGCATTTGGAGCAGTACGCAAAGCCGCCTGCTCCGTCGTACAGCAGTGCGACCACTGGTCAGCCAGTATACGTACAGCCTGCACCAGCTCCTATTAATTACAGCTCTCCTGTGTCGTACAATCCAGTGCCTTCGGCTTACGCGTCAGATACGACAACTGTCGCACCTTACTATAAGCCGACGCTACATTTGGACCAATACGCACAGCCGCCGTCGTACAGCAGTGTGACCACTGGTCAGCCTGTTTATAACACACAACCTGTTCCGGATCAAGGATACGGCTATGCACCAGCCCCAACAATGTCCTACGGCGACCAGACAAAACCTGCATACAACGCTCAACCAGAATATGCGACCATTTCAGCTCCTTATAAGCCAGCTGGACAGGGAGATTACGCAGCAGCCCCATTGATGAATAACCAGACACTGGGGAATTATAGTTACTACCAACCACCGGCGCCGTATTACGCTATGACCTCGACACCAGCACCGTATTACGCCATGACCTCGACACCGGCGTCGTATTACGCCATGGCCTCGACACCAGCGCCGTATTCTACAACAATGCCGTCCGTTTATAATCCTTCTTATACGTCCACAGTTCCTTACTACAATCCCACGTTACATCTCGAGAAATACCCAAAAGCGCCAGAAACATACAACGACGCTTCATCGGTGCCGTTAGCGTCATACTATAATCTGATGACCCCGGCACCGTACGTTTCTCCCCCTTCATTATCCCGTGCGGTGCAGTATGTACCTGCACTGGAAGTATCATCGGGACTATATGGCACCGGTGATGTAGGTTATGCCGGCTACAATAAACCACCGGAAGTGGTGTATCCTGCCGATTCATCCGATGGTCCGAAGCAGTACTGGCCATCGATGTTGGTATACGCGTCAGCAGGATCTTTACTACCTGTGGAGTACAACTCCTATCCTCCCCAAGAAACCATCCAATATGACAATGGCAAATATTCGAGACGGAAGTCGACCGGACGTGCGGTGTTTCCTCGTTGAAGAAATGTGGCGTTTGCTTAGCTAGTTCTGTGCACTGTGCACAGTGGAACTACGCGTGTTATAGACATTTACATTTTAAAGGCCAAGCCGAAGCGCACCAATAAAGTTGGAGATCATCAGGGACCTAAAAGGTGTAGTGTAGACGAAGTTGTACAGTTTATATTTCCCGAAAATAGTGCTTGAATAACTCTTGTCAAACTATAATTGTTATGTCAAAGCGGGAGTAAAATTCCATGTATATAACAATGCTTAGTTGTATATATTTATATATAGATATTTTGTTTCGTTGGTCGCAAACAGTTAAGTATTAATAATACATTCGGTACTCGGAAGCAGCGCCAAAGAACCTCCATTTTTGCTGTATTAATTGAACTTTTGTTATCACTTCCCAATGGGAAGTTCCCATGGTCAAGGAAACTTAATTAAACACAGAGATAACACTATGTACTCTGTACAAGCCCTACTCGTAGCGTAATGAGGCCATATATGAGGTGTCATAAAATAATACAGTAACTGTTTAATTTAGATTCAGGCATAATTTGAAAGTTTAATTGGAAACGTGTCCGCAAACCGATTGATTTATGTACTTTGAACAGTGCCTTCAAGGTTTATGCTGTTAGACAGCTGGCAATGCCACACTCAAGCTTAGCGAAAGCTTGTAAAAGAATTTCGAAGCATCTATCTCATTGTCGACGTCGGATGTAAGAAGCACCAAACTCAATCAAAATCACCACAGAAACTGTATTGCTTAATCTCATCAACAGAACCCAGAAAACCGCTTTCTATAACAGGGTACAGTTTTTCTATCATCTATACTTCTATAATTCTGTTCGACAACATGCAATTTATAACGCATGCAGTATGCAATGCAGACGCCACACAGCTACCTTTTGTAAAAAAATGCATAGACTGTACAGCAGCAGAACGTATTTCCAGTTTATCCGAAACTCAAATTACCATATTTTATCTTGTTGTCCACATAACTCGTTACTCCATCGTCATAAGATTATCAGGATGCCACGGTGTCGCCAATCTTCTAACGGTATCAATCACACAAATTCATACAAGGCACTGACGGATGTTCATTCAGCGCATAAAGGGGGTAAAGTACAGAGAGTCCACTGAAGAACGAACGGTCCTTCTTACTCATCAATCATAATCGTTAATCAATCACCAGGAAAACGGCAATGGTTTGCGAGTGCGAACATGAGGCATACCATACGCACTAGTTTTCAGGAAGTGTCTGGATTCGATATAGTAGATGACGGAGTCAGCTTTCTCATCTACACTCAGTTCACCGTACGTCTCCTCCATCACCGACCGAACCTTGTAACATCCAGGCAGTAATGCACGCGTACCATCAGGATTGAAGAACACTTCATGTGCATCGTACAGCTGCTGCTCATATTCCACATCCAGGGCATTTTGGTTAACGTCCACACCATCGCCACCATCCGATTTCGCGCTTCGGGCCAGTCGTCGCTGACGGCAAATCTCCGGCGGTGTGCGCAAATAAATCATCGCATCCATTTCTTTGAGATAGCCAGTGCGTATACCGGCGTTATAATAATTCTGGATCATCTTCACATCATCAGCACTCGAGTACCCCATCTTCGAATTAACAACGGCGAAAATGCGTGCCGCCGACAAAGGCGATCTTTCATAGATGTGGATGCCACCGAAAGGCCCCTTGCCACACACCCCCGCATAGCTATCGATCAACCCTTTTTGTAGGTCACGAAAGGTTTTGCTGTCAAACTCGCCTTCATGAAACTGCGCAATTCGATCCGGTCCCCAGAATCCCCAGCGCTCACTGGGCACTTCATGGACGCACCAGAGAGGCCGCAATTCCTGTATTCGATGCAAGAGACTGGTTTTGCCAGCTCCGTTGCCGCCTTCCAGGGCAAAACGAAAATTCCCACCAAAGCTCGATTCCATTTCATAATGCAGCGACCTTTACATCTGCAAAAGTCATCGTCAACCACGCACCGTTCGAAACTTATGAAGCAGTCTGTTTTTTTCACCACTAATTAACTCTAACACACCCATAAAAACTGCTGGCTCATGTGCATTCCTTAAGAGTTAAGTACGTAGTTGCACAAAGTGAACTGAACCCGCACTAATAGCTGATGAGTGGCAACTTCCATCCTGACACAGTTGTGGAGCATGTCACCTGATAAACCGAAAAAAACACTAAGCCGTGGCACAACTGTCAACGCCCATAGGAAATTAAGCACAGTCCACTACTGATTAAGCACACTCCATGGTGAAACAAGTGCACTGCAACAAATGCTAGCAACCAGTTGCGGTAATTCGTTGTCCAGTACGAATAATGTATCAGTAAGTAGACAGGCATTAATGAATTAATCGCATGGCGCAAAAACTGGCAGACGCAGACGCGAGAAGATTGGACTGGCGCATGGGGCGCACCGAAATTTTCGAAGAAAATCGTAGAAAAGTGACCTAAAAAACGAACAAAATCATAGAAAAGTGGCTTTTTGGAGCCACTTTTCTACGATTTTCCTCAAATTTTCGGCCATTTTCCAAATGGCGCGAAGTCGTGCGCCACCCCCTTCCAAAAAGCTAAAGACGGGCCTGGGCATTATAATTAAGTTATTGTATTTCCTGGAATTTTTTCGGATGTGGTGTGCGGTTTGTGTTATGCTCTTGGTTTCCGTCGGAAAGTTCTGGAAGAGCATGTTGACAGTTAAAATAAGTATCGGTTTAATTAATTACAAATTATTAATAGCAGGTTTTTGGATTTAGAACTTGACCGACTAATGCGCATGGCCATGGTACTTAAAAAAATGGTCACTGTTCTACTAGCGCACCAAATAATACTTTGTATATGATCTCTTCTTGTCGTCCATTTACACAAAGAGCCAGAGTTATGAACAAAGTTTGCTAATTCAACATTATTAGTGCCAAAAGTGCGGGATTATTTGGGATTTATCGTAAACAAGATAAATTTATATATGCCCAGAAATATGGCGAGCGTTGTTAATCTTCATTAATGGTGCATCGTCCAAAGACACAACATTTTTTGCCACAATGTCCCGAAAAGTTTCGTTCAGTTGATCCAACCCACTGCCTTCCGCTACCCCTTCGTTATGCACAAAACTAGGGGTCACCGAATGGAAGCCGGTCGGCGATTTCTTCGGTAGATGAAATGTTTCCGAGCACAATCCACTCTTTGATAAAAAACAATTTTCATAACCCAGACTACATGTGTTGGAAAAATTTTGCTGATTGGGTTTGCCGAAGGGCAATGTGTATTCCGGTGTGGATTTAGCATAAACATCCGGTGACGGGTTTGTATTGGAAACATAAACGAAATCCGTCGGTGACGTCTGCGCGGATTTTAATCCGGCCACTTCAGTGCGCAGTGTGCCAACGGTTTCAAAAATAATGTTGACTTTTTTCAGTAAATCGTTGACATCTTTATGGAGGTGTATATTCTCGGTAGAATCCACGATCTGCAAATCTACCCGTGAATGGAACGAGTTTTCTAGTGAGGTGATTCTGGCGTCTTGCTCGTCGTTCTTAAGCTGCACTTCCGTTACCGTTTCCGATAAGCCGGGTAAAACGGCAGTCGTTTTCGACAGCTCTGACACTTTTGCTTCTTGTTCATACAACGCTTTCTGTAGACGTTTTACTTCATCGAACAGTAGTTGGAAATCTTCTTGGTGTTTTAAAAATTGCTCATTGTTTTGTACGTGATCATTGCGCTGTGAAGCATAGCCGATTTGACGATCCAGGTTAATTAAACCGTCTTGTAAACCGGCAATCTGATCATGGAACTCCATCTGCACATTGGCCAACTTTTGTCCTAATCCGTAGCAGTTATCCATGCAGTTCTTCTGATCCGCAGCGATACCATTCAGTGCCGTACTATGCATGCGAATTTCCGCATCAGCGTGCTCCAGTCGTTCTTGCACAGTCTTCACATCATTAGCCAGTCCATCGTGAATTTTGTGCAATTCTTTCGTGTTATCGCCTAACGCTTTTTTACCGTCATCGGTGACCTTTCGAATTTCATCGTGCACCCCATCTTGGTTATTCCGCAACGTATTGACGACAGAAGTAAAATTCGTCTGGACTTCCAGAACCGATGTCATCTTCTGGAAGAGCTGATCTTGCAACTGGGTGACCTTTTGGGCGAACAGATCTAAGCGATGCTCGATCGTGTCCAAGCGGTGTACACATTTGTCTTGAAAGGTAGTTTCGGTTTGCTGCTGTATTTCGGTGACGGCACGGTGGAATTCAGTATGTACTTGGGCGTTCCTGGTGGAGATTTCATCGCGTAACCCGAGAATTTCGGTTTGCAGTAAGGAGAACGATTTATCCACACTGCGGCACCAGTCCAATAAAGTAGTACTGAGCTTTTCCATCTCCGGCATGCATACGCTCAAACTACTCGTCATTTTGGTTAACTGGCCATACATCTGTAAGTAAAAATTAACCCTTGCAGTCTACGAGGACAGCTGTAGAAGTACAGATACGCTAAAACACCAAACTAGACAGTAGACATATGCTTGCCGTACAAGTGCCGCACGTTTAATAGGGCAGAGGAAATTTTGAAATTTAGAACTTTTTTTAATGAAGCGGCAAAACTTAGTTCGTTAAGCGATCAAATCATCGGTTTAAAATATTAGATATGCAGTTATACTATTGCAATTCAATTTTAATACATTTAAATCAAATTATTTAAAAAATGCAGTGCAAGGCAATATAATACTTTTGAAATTTACCATTCATACTTCGTATATCAAAGCAGTCATGTATACAACGTTTTTTCTTCTTAGATAACGATATTATATTTTTGAAACGATGTTGTAATGTTGCATTACAAGTTTCTGCCTAAATTTTGCAGATTGCATTCTCGCTTATTATTAAAAGCTTAAACATCTGATGCTTAAAAAACGTCAAAACAAGAAAGAAGGCTTTTCAGAACTTTTGTGGAATTGGCCTTTTACAGACGCTAGTGTCAAATATTTTATCGGTGCAGTGCATTTAGCAAAAATGTATAAGGAACGTACTGCGAGATTGGTTTGAAACTCATGTCTACTGATTTCTGACTGCGTATCAAAAATCCCCGCTGGCGACGGTTGATCGCGTGCAGTGGTGAAAGAACTGGTGGATGGGCGTCGCACATGGGAACCCATGGCCGTCACTGGGGATGACGCTCGATTGGTGTTTCCAGAATCCAAAGATCCAGTCGTAGCGCTTTGCATTATGCAGTAATTACTCGCTCGTATATTATGAGAATTAAGCTGGAATTCAACAAACTGAAGGGTTAAAGAAACCTTGCTATAATTACGCTGTAGAAATTTGATTTACAGATAGCTGCAACAAATGAACTAATCCAGCAGGCACTTGATAAGTAAGGTACGGTTTCGCATCTGATGCAATTATGTAAAATTTCAGTAAGATAAGAAATCATAAAAAAATGTCCTTATTAAGACTTATTTACTTGGACGCACCAAATGAAATTTATAAGCATAGTACATGCATTATTAAAAAAATCCTGCTGAGTAAAATCAACTTTCGATTAAGAGGTTGTATGCTTTTGGCGTCGTCGTGCGTCTGCTTTTGGCGTCGTCGTGCGTCGTAGTATGCTTTAAGCGTCGTCGTGAGTCTTTGAAAAATTGTAACGGCTAAATGCTAAATATTGCATGCCTAAAAGCCAAAAATGCTTACCATTAGTGCTACTGCTTACTCGTCGTCGTTACTTGCTTACTGTCGTCTGTCGTATAAAGTGATTGTTGCTGGTACATATTATTATGCAGGATACACCAGCTGACTACTTCGAGTAGCAAGACGGATCTGCAGCTACGTACGAGTACCTAGGGTACTTTAAGTAATATGCCATTATTAACCTGTATAGCGGCATTAACAATATTAATGTCACAGTACTGTAGTATTTTGATGTATTCGAGTCGAAGAATATAGGTACAGAGTATATTACAGTACTTACTTATAAAACCAATATAACCATATTAGTAAGTAGTGATATTATAAAAATGTCTTACTGTCTAACCAGTGTGGGTGACCTTGGCAACACTACAGCGTATGCATTTTTTTGTTGATCAAATTTATTATACGTGATCCCATTCTAAAATTTAAAATTTTTACTACTGTAGGAAAATGCACATTGGAAGTTTGGAACGCATTGGCCATGGCCGAAAACTGCAGCGAAGTAGCCCTTGTGTGCCGGTAGTCACTGTGGGCTGTAAATTACAAGGTTCTGCGTTGACAAACACCAGCAGCAGGACCACGTGGTCACGGTCGAATTTACGTATGTACTTTTGTAGAATACAGAATGACAGACTACAGAACAAGACCGCTTTGATCAAATTGAAAGCCAGTAAAACAAGCAAATCTTATATAGTGTAATTCGCCCAAGAAGTTCTCTGCCAAAAAGTTTACTTCAGTACTAGTGCTAGCCAACCAACCAAAAATTTAATTTGATAATCAAAAGTCCATTAAATCTTATGCGCTCCGATAGCTGTCTTTCGGCTGGTGTAAACGGATGCCGATTTCTCAAATTTTTTAGGTCTTCTGTACATGTCCATACTAGAGTAGGCTGAGTAGCTTGTTATGTTCGGCTGTCAATACAAACCACGCCCCGAGGACGGTGTTGAGCGACCAATGATTGGCGCTGATCTGAGCCTGTCATGCTGGGTTGGTGATCCTCTGGCGGCATTGTTGGGTGACGTGGTTTGAACTCAGAGAAAACCGTTCCCATTAGCATATTCATCATCTGTACAACGGTCGCGGATACGGTGGGCCGGACATCTGCATTCGAGGTAACTTTAACAGCCTGGACATCACTAATGTCACGCATATATAGTAGCAGGGGAACGGACACTGGCTATCAACGCTGCCGTAGCGACGTATCTGTGTCCGGTGCGGTCATACGCGCTGCTCCCACAACCGCGGGACATCCGTGATATCTTTGAAAAATTCATGGATATCACGCTGATGTATCCGCACCGGCAATTTTCCGCCACGTGCTAGCTTCAGTTTGAATGTTCACCGGATGTTGATTAGTACTTTATCTGGAAGTACAAGGGAGTGTTTCTATCGTTGCCGAGTCGTCATTTCCTGCATAAGCTTGACCGTTTAATTAACCATCCATTTATGCGCGTTTCCTTGCCATACTATCAAGGGGGACCCGCTGATCCACTGTACTGTGCCCAAACGATCACCGTTTTCTGGTCCGAGCCAAACTGGGGTGGACAAATCGTGTTGGGCGCGGTCGGACACGACCCAGGAGAAGTGGTTTACCCAACGCGGAACCGTGGCGTCTTAATGCGGAAGTTTTCGAGGCATAATCCTCCAAGAAAGTTTCAAATTTCAAACATTTAACGCTGTCACACTGTACGTTCAGCATTTTATTGAGTTATGGTTGTTGAAATTGTTATTTTGTTAGTATACTTAATTCAGTAATTTTTCTGGCATTTATTCTGCATTTTCTCTTTTTCTTCCGCTCTTGTTTTACTGGTTTCTCCTACAACGGCTTCGTATCGGCTTTCGAAATCGGGATAATTTGGTAACGACAAATGTTAGTCAATAATTTTGAACAGCACTAAAATTTTCAGTTAAAGTTAACAAAAACGAGAAAACCAGAGGAACCGTCCGGAACAGCATAAAAAGTACTTAACAAACTCACCACTATTAGGAAAAAACACATACGACTGCAATGTCCGTCAAAAACAATGGACCGATCCACTTCATTATATAAAAAAAGATCTTTTTCCAAGTCTCCACTCAGTCATCCCGCATTGACTCTTCCGTCGGACCGGAGATCTGCGGCCCGGCCGGCTTGTCCACATCGGAAGCTTTCTTGGCACCGCTGACAATGTCATCAATGCGCAGTAATAAAATCGCCGTCTAAAACAACAAAACACTGAAGCATTTAAGCAATCAACATTCTTATTTTCTCCAAAGAATTTACAGACATGTCAATTTTCCTGAGAAAATAACGTGCCACCAGCAAAACTTCATATCTACGAGTATTTAACTTATTAGTTACTGTATTACTAAAAGCGTGAATTTTATCGATAGTAATTCAATAAAGCAATAAAAAAATTCAGCAACACTATTGATGAATCAATGATCAATCAAGTCATCAGTCGTTCATTCATGACATAATTATTTGAATTTTTTTCATCTTCGCTGATAACTACCGGTAGATTATGTTCGTCATTAATACGAATTACGAACTGAACAATTCACAAACTCAGCAACTCGTAACTAAACGATTCACCATCATTAATTATTACACATAATTACTTCTTATAAACCGATATATAGAATTCTTATAGTTCAGCAATATACGCGCGGGGACATAACAACACATCACGTACCTCGACGGCTGTTTTGTAGGTCTGCATCTTGACAGCCAACGGCTCCCAGACACCGTACTCCTTCATATCGACGATCTCCCCGGTGGTCCCATTAACACCCCACGTTCCACCGGCGGTGCTGTGTTTAGCCTGTTTAACAGCGAAGGTATCGACATATAATTCGCTCCGAAAACAAGACAAGAAAACCATATCGAAAAACTTACCCGCAGTGCGGTCAGCGTCCGAATCGGACTAGCACCACAATTCTGCGCCAGCGTACGCGGAATAATCTCCAGCGCCGTTCCCACGGCGGCATAAGGTCCTTTGCGTACACCGCTCAGCTCCTCGGCTTTCTTGGCAATAGCCTACAATAAATATCATGCAAAGTAAGTCGCTGCCACAAACCAGTTTATCAACTGCTACTGTTGATTACATGATGAACACACTTCAGTATTTTGCAAAAAAGAATACTTCTACCGTACAGATATATGAGTAATATCAAACAAAAATAATGCAAACAGTTTTAACTGAATAATTACTCGTACTAATAAAGATGCTTCAAACAGTAATGTCGGTACTGAGAGCAGTACCACACAACAACAAAAATACACAGCCGAATTCGTTTCAACTTATGAAAACGGTTTAGTTCGTGCCAGTTATTCGTAGAGTTCCTGCGTAGTGATTTTACGCTCGTATTAACCATATAATTAAATCTGTTCAGTTGAACTATCCTGACAGCAAAACATATACTCGTAGGATCACACATTACATGTGACAAGTAAAAGGTGAGCAACGGAAATGTATACCTGAGACAGAAACATCTCCACGGCGCCGCCGCCAGGTACGATTCTCGGCTCCAGAATTACATTACGCGCCACGTTCATGGCATCATTCATATTGCGTTCCACCTCGTTAAGCATGTCCTTGCTGCCCCCGCGCAACAGGATAGTGCACGCCTTGGGCTGCTTGCACTCAGTGACGAAAATCCAGTACTCATCGCCAAGCTTCTCCACATTAAACAAACCGGCCTGTGTTCCCACATCCTCCTCTCGCAGCTCATCGGTCCGGTTGACAATGCGCGCGCCACAAGCTCTACACGATTAACAAAACTATATGACAGGATAAGCAAAAAGATTTGGCTTGAAGAAAAAATAGATATCAGAATTAGGAAAAAAATTCAAATAACCCTGTCCCAGCATTAAGACTGTAACTTGTACATGTATCTCGTCACTAATCACCGCACTGGATAGTCGAGAATGCGATGTTTTAATGCTACTACTAAACTACAATTAACACCATCTTCTTGCTAAACTATGACTATGCCAAACAGCCATCATAACCCTAATGACAAAAAGTCTAATTAAATTATTTTAAAATATTGTTTCTTTATTTCAGCAAAATACGCTAACCAAAATTAGCTAAAGATCAAATGTTCGAAAACATTCGAATTCCTTAAAAAAAGGACCAGTTCCCATTAATCAAAGTAATTACGAACCTGGCTAAGCGATTATTGTCGGTTTTGCGCAAGCGACGTATGGCCGTGATGCCGGCTTTCAGAAGAAAATGCTGCGCTAGATCGGAAACACCCTTCTCGGTGAAGACCACGTCCGGTTTGAACTGGATGATCTCGTCGCACATCTGTTTGATGTACTCTTCCTCCAGCTGTAGAATGCGCGTGAAGTCCGCTTCATTGCTGATTTCGATGTTCGTCTGGCTTTCACCTTTCTTGTACTCCAGGTTACAGTCAAGCAGAATGATTCGTGGATTCACAATCCTCCTGTTAACAATACCGTGTAAGTAACCTTACAGACAGAATAAGAGAATACATTTAGTATTTTGTACCATTAAAAATATGAGCGGTGTCTAAAAACAAAAAAAGTTTACGGTGAGCTTACCGTTTCATTTTCGGATGCGTAACGTCCTTGTTGATCATTACACCATCTAAAACACGTGAATCTTCCACAGCACCACCAGGAACCTTTTCAATTTTAGCATATCGTTTAATGTCCACCTCGCGGCGACCATTTTCTTCAATTGAAACCGTTTTTACTGCCTGGTACGCCAATTCGCACGCCAACTTATCCCTGCAAACGATAAACAAACAGTGTACACGCGTTGCAACTTTTCCAGAATTTTTAAATTTTCGACTGACCCATTCAGGCAATAACGTAAGACTCACATAAAACACCGCACGTGTTCAAGCAGACACACGCAAAGCAAATCACAAAGCATTTAAGCATCACAAGAACAAAAAATAAGAATTTTATCCACTATTGTAGAAAATTAAGAATTTTATCAATTTCCACAATCGATCCTATGAATTTCAGAAAAACATTTCGACATCACCGTAATCTTTTAACAGTTAAATTTTCAGTAACAACTACTTGAATTATTATTTAACAACTACCTGAATTATTATTCACCAATCAATAAATTATTAATTTTTTTACGATGCCGGAAAACGAAAAATTCCCGGAATTACTGCAAAAATTATCTCGTGATTCACATATAAAAATCGATCATTTTAAAACAATTACAATAATTCAGAAGTAAATAAAATGTAAATTTTCCTACCAGTTTCCGAGCATTTTCGTCCCCAGACATGTGCTGATGATTTTAATCATCTCCTCGCGATTATTGGGATCCAGAGAGACACTGATCTGGTCGGAGCGCAGCAGGACGATGATATCTTCCAGCGCTTGACGATAGGCGCTGATGATAACGGTGGGATGCAGCTGCTGCTGTAAAAACGGCTCCCCGGCCGTCAGCATTTCCCCCGCTACAAAACCATCCATATTGTGCACGCAATCACCGAAAAGATTCAATTAAAATCCTTAGTACCGAGAACGATAACCGACGTGGTTCCGTCGCCCACTTCTTCGTCCTGCGTCCGCGAGATTTCAATCATCGACTTAGCAGCCGGATGCTGGACGGTGATTTCGCGGAGAATACAGTTGCCGTCGTTTGTAATGACAATTCCCCCCGTGGGATCCATCAGCATCTGCAGTAAATAATTTTTGAACAATTCAGAAACCCGAAAATCGCAAGAAAATCATCCTTATTATGAAAATTTATTCCAGACTCACCTTCAGCATGGCGCGCGGACCCAGACATGTCCGGATTATATCAGCCACATTCTGGAATTATTTTTAAAAAAATGATTGGGCGAAAGTAGCTGGGATAAGGGTAAAGAACTGCGGCGAACCTTAGCAGCGGCGATGTTGCCTAACTGAACTTTCCGTCCTGATTCACGTTTCGTATTCTGATCTGTAACGGCACAACCCTGATTATCTGCGTTCAAAATGGACTGACGAGTTATAAATCCTCCTCAGTATGGAAAAAGCGACAGTTGTTTGGAGCTTATGACAGAAAACTCCGTCGTCCAAACGAAAGAGTCGGAGAGAACTTACTAAGAACCAAGATCGGACGGCTTCCGAGCATCATTTTTGGGATCAACTGGAGAGATTACGGATGTCACAACGATATGCGGAAACTCAGGAAAGGCTGGCAGTCACAGAGCTATTGTAACAGTAATATTGAAAGAAGACTGGAAGACCGGAAAACAGTAAAACGAAAATAGAATATAAAAATTCCTGATTCCTGATTCCATATAAAACGACTCCAAATGAGTGAGCAACTTTTGAGATTGCGAACGACCAGTGTTTGCTTGTACGTAACGCTCAGGCGAACGGTGGTCTTCATTGCGACTGCTGTTTGTATTTATTCTGACTGCTTAATTCTGTGGCTGACATAGCGACATTTTCAAATTTAGTTTCAGATGCTATGGTTGTCCACTTGTCCACGGATTCCACTGTGTTTAGTTTCGTGTATTTCGGACCTAATAAAAATGTATTATAAGTTTACAACGGTATCGTAAGAGTCTAAGACGTAATCATTAACACTTTGAACAGAAGGTAAATCAGATTGGGTAAGTAGGTAATAGGTATCTTAGGTGAGTTAGGGTATATAAACTATGGCGTATTAGCTGAAGTAAATGAACATAATTATTATATGCATGCACCGTGTGCCGGGCTTACCGGTATACAGTGTACCGTCTTATGGCCGGTCGATCATGGCATCTTACTAGTCTATGAAACATGGTTTAGTTGTGTTGATTGTTGAACACGTTTTGCAATCTATTAAATTGTTTACCGAGCTAATACTGGTCTGATTCGACAAATAAACGAAACCATTTGTCCAATACCAAGTTATCGACAGCATCAAAATTTATTTACATACATTGTTTCTTCATTAATTACGATTTCCGGTAAATACAGGGATGACTGCGTAGCCTTTTCCGATTACAAAAAGCAAGGTACAGAGCAACAACGAAAGAAGCTATAGAAAATACTGTAAAATGCGATTCGCTCTATCGCATTAACTTCCACATATTAATGTCGTTAATAATGAAATGTTTTACAGTTTCAAGGTGAAACTACGACGGCTATTGCCTTTATACAACGTTCAGCTCCAGCAGCGCTTAAAACACGAGTGCCTCTTTTTCACATCCTCCTGACTATCATCGGGCGAACGCCGGCCCACCCCGGTGGCGGCAGTCCCATTAATCTCCCGCTCCGCATGACTGCGACCGGTACTCTTCCCGGCGGCAGATGCGGCACGGTGCACGACGGAGCGTTTCTTACGATTTTTCACCCGACCGCCCGCTCCGCCGGGCTGCTGGCGTTTTTCGCTGACCATAATCAGATCAGCCTTAATGGACGGACGTCTGACGTTGGTGATGAGGGCGCTGTAGGCGTCGCTCAGCCGGCGACGGAGTGTTATGCCGTGTCGCATGGCTGGATTGTGATTTTTATTATAACTGCCATTTGCGCCGGCATTATAGTCATCCCCCCGTTGCCCGGCGCGTTGCAACGGCAGCCGGGATGCCGCCGACTGGTTGCCGGCTTTGCTCGTATTGTTATCGTTAATTAAAACATTCCCGCCATGTGTCAGGGAGATGCGTCGACCGGCATTAGGAATCATCTCGTCCGGGAAATCCGCCATGACAAACAGGGATTCAAAAAGCTCGGCGATGTTGGTGTTGTCTTTGGCGCTGCATTCGATGAAGGCCACGTTGTCCTTGAAACGGCCCAGCATATGCTCCACTTCCGCCGTACTGACCACACGCGACGCTTCCGCCTTGTCGCTTTTGTTGCCTATATATGTAACACATAAGAAAATGATTATTCTGCATAGCAAACGTGGCAGGAAAAAATTATTATACCAGTACTACGCAACTGAAAAATAGAACTACATATGTATTAAACTACATAACATAATCAATAATGTATTATTACATTTTGATTCTGCACAATATTTCTGCATAATGATAATTATTACTATTGTTTTATCAACATTAGAATAATATTATATTGCCATTAGACGACATCAACTGATCGACAGAATGATACAATGTAAAACAATGTATCATTCACGTCGGTAATAAGTACGTACTGCAACGCCGGTAACTTAAACTGACTTATAGCAAATTCGTTAGCCTGTTTAAAACTGAACAGCACTTGAATTAGCGTTTGAATATTATGCTATTTGCCCAAATGTAAAAAAAAATGTCCAACGGTCTCGTAAACTTACAACATTTGCTTTCATACCTCATCGGTTGGCTTACAGATAAGTACTACATCATTTTAATACTATAAAAGGCGAAAATTTTCTGATGAAAAAGTAAGTAAATATTTTTAGCACTCATGCGTTTTCATCAAAAACATTTTTTCCTTTTTTAGTTTTATAGATTTACAACTGAAATTTGGCATAATGTACACCAAAAGGATGCTGTCTACATTATCACCGAGCAGTTTTATACCAAAATTGCCATTGCTCTACGATGTTGTTAATTTTCCTTCTGATCCGTAGTTAAACTACATGTATTTGCCCTCTACATTAAAATGTGTCACCAAAGGTTAAAATTATATACTGCGATTTGTACTGTAATGAGTGTCAATTTGTATGAAACTGTTATTTATGCGTTACATTCTGAGTGTTCCATTCCGACATAAATAAACAGTGTAACCATAAACCATTAGATGAGTGTGAGGAAAACACTGCTATGGGCATCGTGAAACAAGCGCTTAATTATCTGTAATTCAAGTCTCGATTATTGATTCTTTTATGCGTTGTGAGTCTCATTTACAAAATTGCCGATATGTATGTAGTGGAAACCCATAATTAGACTGCATTATGATAACGTCATGTAATGATTCTTAATCATAGGCATACTAATAAAAAATTTGATCGTTCAGCTGTACACCATTAGCTACTTTGTATAATATATTGCACAATTAGCACGTATTACGTATTCTATAATAAGATACATAAAATCATCGATCGTACCATATTATTATGACGACTTTTATTTATAAACTGCTCTGCCGGCAAATTCCTGCGTTATACCTGCAATAATCATGGGCACCGTGGGAGCATTCTTATTGTGCGAGCGGCCTGATTTGCTCTTGTTTCCGGTGGCGGCCGAGCGTATCGATTCCAGTATTTGCTCCCGAAGGCGTAAGGCCTCTTCGTAAGATTCCCGGGAATCGATACTGTACACCAGGATGAAGGCATCACCTGCACCGTACACACGCATCAGGGAAAATCGCAATTCAATCTACTACTTAATTAAAACTCTGCGTAATCTGATCCCTATTTTTCTTATCCAAAATGTCAACATATTTTTGTTCATTACTCTTACTTATAACTTATAAGTGTAAATTGTATTTCCGACAAATAGGAAAAAATTATACGCTCCAGTAACACTAACTGTTTGTAATAATATAGTCAATTCAAAGCATGTCAAAAGTGTCAAAAGTATTCATGTCAAAAGCGTCTTCTCTTTCTGATAAAAATAATTATTAAGACTTATGTTGCAACATAAGTCTTAATAATTATTTTTATCAGAAAGAGAAGATGCTTTTGACTGGGATGTTAAGAGTTGCATAAGCGCTGTCTTAAGGATATTCAGTTGTATTTACCGATGTTGCACTGCACCGGAAATTAAAAATTGCACACTATATATGGATTTCGGTCAACAAGGCGGATTGCGTATAAATGTTATCAGAAATGCGTCTCCCGTACCAGTTAGAAATGATAAGCGGCGCATGGCCGGAAACGGATGAATGCCTGATGTGTCAACAATGTCCAGCTGATAGACGTCGTTGTGGATTTTGTAGATCTTCCGATGGAAATCTTCTATGGTGGGAATGTAGCATTCGGTGAAGTCATCAGACAGGAATCGCTTAACAATGGCTGTTTTTCCCACACGTCCTGATCCTAAACACAAACACGGACTATTTTTTATTTAAATTAAACAGAAGCAAAAGACACAACGCTAAGTTTGGATAAATAAAATTAAAATACTGTCAAAACATTGCCAAATAACGGGCAATCAAATAATTCACAAGTCCGTTCTACTAATCTTTAACACTGTATACTTGTACAGTCTGTACTGCACTTTTATAAAACGTATTTCGTAGCCTATGAGTGCTGAAACACCGGTATAATGTAGATATTTCGATAAGAAGACTACGTACTAAAATTAATATGGTTTTCAAAAGTTTCACAGAGTAGTAATATTTCCCAGCTTACATTTACGCTTTGTAAAAACAATATACAAAATGAAGCAACGATAATTGTAAGTGTACAGTCTAACACCAAACGTGATGCCACGGTTTTTCTGATTATAAAAAATCTGTAATAAGCAATCCTGCGGTCGTTTTTATAGACAAAACAACGGCTATAGGCAACGTACAGTATTAATCGTAAGTAATTTTATACACGGGCTAGTATTATGTTATTTTTGTACAAGTACCTATTACCAGTCTATGTCATACTACTGAAGACAGCGCACCGTTTTATGTACATGTTGTAGTTAAAATAATTCAATCTGTCAGAGTGGTCAAAATACATCTTTAAAAAACATCATATTAGGCAATTTCTAGAGCAATGAAAGTATTTAATCTAGAGCTATTAACAATGCACGGACAAAAATGGTTTAAATCTAAAAATGAAAACTTACCTAATATTATCAAACGGTAGCAGTTGCCCGCTGGTGGCTGCGTGCACTGCAACTCCGTCAGTAAATCATTCATCATGTAAAAATTCCTATCTACAATTATCAAAGCCAGGAAATATCACCGTGCACATTAAGCGTGCCAATCTGCAACACCATATAAATTCATCGCAGGGCATTAAGGACTGATATTAATGAATGAGGGGGTATAAATTATAGAAAAACCCTAAACGCGGATCACCGGAAGACCGGCATCAGCAAAAACGTGCCGGGATGAAATCAGTCGTGCACCGCCGCCGCGGCCAGCCTCTGTCTAACGTGTCGACAAATTACTCCCTTATAATCCGGCTTTTTCTTCCGGTAGATATAGTGTATGCCTCAATACATTAATCCCCACACGGGAGGGTTTGATTAATATATTACATGACACACATATATAACCAAGACGTTGGAGTATAATACATCAGCGCGGATTAACATGAGCATTGGGATAACAAGTGTTTTATATATACCGCGACACGTCGCTTGTAGAAGAATGATCGTCGCGTATAATAAAATGTGTAGTTGGTGAAATGGAATGCCGCTTGACGTGAATGCCTGACAGGGCTTCCTGGGGCCTATTGCGTGTCAAGGAGAAAAGTCTTCCCTGTGGATAAATGTGGGAGGCCGGCTCTGGCGCGCTCTGCCACTGCTGTGGATGGTCATAACTATTAAAGCGTGCTAAGTAATTTTAATTAACCGTCTTTGCCGGTTTGTGGTTTTTTCTTCTCTTGCCGTCGCTCTCTTGTCAGATTTCTGTATGATGGGCGAGGCTGTACACTGTCAACCAGACCGGCTGAATGAAGCCCACTCAGGGCCACTTCCGGTGAGCGGGGGATATTATCGCCCCTACTGTGCATCCATCCTGCAAACGTCGGTTATAAATGCCGGCCGGCGGCGTTGCTGTACGTATACTGCACAGCCAGCGGGCAGCGGTAATAAGGCTCCATTCACGACGGGGTGGAGGTAATGCGGCGTAAAAACACCGGAGCAGGAAATGCAGGTTCATTAATTTATACTGGTTGCATCAGATCTAGAGTACAAAGCGTATTACGTAGAGCGTGAGTATGATAAAGATTTTAAAATAAGCTTATGCAAAGAATTGTGAAATACATACGCATGTACGTGCTGTATCTGCACGCGTATAAATTAATACAGAGGGTTATTCAGCCAAGTGTGTTCACCTTCGAAAAAAAATTCTTAGAAATGGGCTTTTGGTTGGAGTGTCGCCATAAACATTTTACTAAAACGACAAAATAGTTTGACTGCTTTTTGCACATTTTGGTGAGAATCCAGCATCGAATGCATCTTTTATCGGCTGTTGACCAGAAGACTCCGACTTCAAATCCTTGACCAGTCGAAATTTCGCTTTTATTTGGCTGGTTTCAAAAGGCAAGTTTGTTTCTGTATGTACGGCTTTTACTGGAACTCAAACTTTACTGGAACAATGTGATTCCAGAGCTCTAAAATTTCAGATCTAGAGCGCTAAAGCCTTGTAGAGCGCAAAAAATTTGATTGTACATCGTAACTACGTAAATTACAGTAATACGCGTACTTCTATACATTCCTGCTCATTCTTCTAAGATACTGATGGATCTCGTTGAACATTCTGTATGACAGTATGCGAGCTTGACTGTTCACGACAGGAAATTATCAGCAATGCAATTTTTTTTGCACGTTTCAGCTAAGCTAAAAGGATAAACCTTACATGGATGTTATTTAGATCCACTGTCAAAAGTCATTTGTTTCGTAGCAGCAATTATGGTAGATTTAATTTCCTAATACTGTAGTACTCTGGTGTACTTTCACGAACTTTATACGGTTTGCACTACAGCATTATTTCTGGTCGCCTTATTACTTTGTATTTTAATTATAGCTTCTAAAATCACTTAGCCCAAAAAGGGAAGCGTATATCGCGCATTTATAATTTCAGTATAATTACAAGGTACTTCAAGTTTAATTCGTGCGTAGATATTTTGCTGCACTGCTCGAAGTGTGCAAAAAATCAAAAGTTTCGACAAGCTTAAGCATTTTCGTATACATAGTTCTTTCGTGGTAGGCGAAGTGGCTGCGCCTTTTTTAAAGTAAATTAATTACCTACACTGACTCAACAATAATGCAATATGCGCTTACAAGCGTGCGTATGTTGGATGTTCCATTTTTGCAATAAATTAAAATTCTTACCTGCACAGCACTGAAAATTTTGCAGCTACGGGCGTTCGAATAGAAGTTGCAATACAATCCTTACTGCATATATGCAAAATATGGGCTCTGTCAGTGAATGTGGCAAGCGGTGAGACCTTTACAGTAAAGGTCACATTCTGTATAGGCGCTGCTTTTAAGCCTTTGCCGATCGCACAGTGTTTGTAACTCCGTACCGAAAGTATACATACAGCTGGTTTCATGCATGCCTTGAAAAAATAGCGCTTATTATAATACCAAAACCCAGTAGACAAAATAATTATGGCGATTAGCTGGCCGGTTTTGTTAATGAATGCGTGTAGTTTGTAGCGTATTAACTGACCATCCATCCAAAAACACGAATCCTGCACATTTAATCCACTGAAAAAATCGTTTTCCATTCATTTCCTATGTTATATGTACCGCGTTCATTTGTTTCAACCTCGCAATTGGTACGAAGAGCCACACGTTAATACTAATAGAGCTCTTAAATTATCGATATTATCGAAAATAAGTTTACTGGAGATGTGCATTTTATTATTGCTTGACTTGCGTTAATAATCGGCAATCTGTATTCTGTATTCGTACATAAAGAACTTCTATGGATCTAACCGTTGTATAAAGCTGTGTTCGGAAAATCAGGCCCGAAAACATGGTCTGTGTATATAATACACAGACCATATATATTATATACACAGACCATGCCGAAAAGGACAACTTGCGTCCACCTACCGAGCGCTACGGCGTAACGTCTACGTGAACGCTTGCTCATTTCGCGCTCATTTCGGCCCACGCTTGATTTCGTCATGCTTTTCGGGTTTTTGAGTCTCGCAGTCAGTGTCAGTTACAGAGTACATTCATTACATTCCGTTTCTGACTTGTTCTTTCCGTTTTGCCATATGATTTTGTCTCAGATTTTGTCCGAACCTGCCCTTTATTAAGCTTTCTCAACATATTTACAGTGCTATAAAATCAAACTTAAAGCTGTCGACGAATTAAAACTAGTCATGTCCACCAGTGCAACTTTATCGGAGGCTCCGGCCGGGCGAAACCATGCGACGGCCATGCTAACAGGTCGCAATCGTCTGGCTGGCTTAGTGGAGCAGGCGTTCGCCAGCGGGGACCTCAGTGATGTCCGTTTCACTGTGGGACGTCCGTCTGGCGATGTGCGGGATTTCACCGCGCACAAGTAAGAAAGAATATACTGTATACAACTGTATCTTAAGGCAGGTTCGGACCAAACATGGAACTTTGGTAACCAAACCCAAACATGGAACTTTGGAACCACAACCAAACTTGGAACTTTCGTTTCGTGTCCCAGGCTGCTCATTATCTGCCTTTTGTGCCGTTTGTCAGTTAAACGTTGTTGTTCACTGCGCAGGTTCGTCTTGGGGATTCGCAGCCCGGTGTTCCGCATGATGTTCTACGGCAATGTGCCCGAAAACGGCCAGGACGCCGTAGATATCCCCGATATTCACCCGGATGCCTTTGCCAACATGTTAAGGTAAAAGTGAAACTAATATTACTAAAAAAAGTAATTAGACTGTTAGAGAAAAATATAGGATTATTATCGGATATTCTTATTAAATTTTACGATTCCTTTTTGATGTTAAACATTCTTGATTAGTATGCTGAATTAAATTAGATTCCTAAATCAAATTAATATAAATAGGCCATTTTAAAATCAAATTTTATAAAATCTTATTTTTAGTATTCTTAACAGTTTTAATTGTTTTGGCTTCTCTCTTCCGTGTTCCACTTATGGGTAAAACCACTTTTGCTCGATGTCGTAATTTTTTAAGGAAACCGGTTGTACACGAATAAGCCAAAGCGGCCCTTTGATTTAATTTGGTGTCTGTGAAAAAATAACGTAGCATTGTAACAAACTGCAAAAATTATGTGCACCGCTGTGGGTAGCCACTCATTTTGATTTTGTACCTTACGTTCCGAGCTTGTAGTTCCGTATGCTCGTGATGCGTTTTTTGCTCGCATTGTACTCTTTACTCGTATTTCTCCCCTGCCATGATTCCGTAATTTATTAATGTTCCAGTTTTGTGTACACCGATGGAGTTCCAGTGGATGATCTAAACGCCGGCAACGTTTTCGCCACGATGAGCTGCGCTAACAAGTACGGTTTACCGGAGCTGGTGCAGCTGTGCAGCAATTTCGTCGTCAGCCAATTGACTGCCGATAATTGTCTGGCCACTTTGAAACAGGTAGGGAAAATTATCATCCTATGCATTTAACAAAATTTAAAATTAAATGTATTTATTGAATAAGATTTAAGAACAGCGTACTGAGCGTAGTCATCAGGTCTTCTCTTTAACAGGCTGTGTTCTGGCATGCTGACAACATCGTGGACGAGTGTCTGGCGTTAGTGGATCACCACAGTGTGGCGATGCTGCAGTCCGACCAGTTTGACGGCATCACACAGGAAACACTGCAGCGTATTCTGCAGCGCAAGACACTGTTGGCGGAGGAACACATGATTTACTTGGCTGTTGAACGGTACAAAATTTATAGTATTTGTTGTATTGTTGTCTTCTTATTGTCGTTGTTGAATTTGTTTTACTTGTGAGAGCAACATTGTAAAACGTTGAAGACCTTGTTTGGGAATAAAGGCTGTGACACTTTTCTCGATAACTGTCGCATCTTTTTTGCCCTATTGGAATTAGCGTGCAGGCGCATTTTATTGTTACTATTCGCTTTTGAAAGTTTATTTATTTTTACTTACGTACGTTACGGTTGAAATTTTTTGGGGACTTATACTTTCTATTGTATTTTTTTCCAAACATATTTAACGTACTGAGTAAAAACACGATTTTACTAACAGAGTAAACATCTCTTTAACAGTTGTATCCGGTACTCGGTAGCACAGGTTAATCGATTTCTGCAGCTCGTGCAGATGCATGTAGATACAGCAGAGTTAAAAGATGCCACAGCTATCGAGGAAACACTGTAGAATGTAGGAGACATGGTTACATGATTTACATCCTTTTAAAGGTGTAAACGGTATATTGGATAGTTTGTGTCTATCATCATACGTTAATTTTAACATATACCAATAATATTCCTGATATGCCGAGGCTATCGTGTAAATATCTTGGATGTTGTTGTTTTAGGTGGGCAGCGGCGGCCTGTTCTAGTAACGCCGTGGAGGCTTCAGCGGCCAATCGCCGTCAGATGCTGGGAGACGCATTGTTCCATGTGCGGTTTCCGCTCTTGAATAACACGGAATTAGCAGACGGCCCGGGCAAAGTAAGCTGAATGGCGCTTCTGCTTCTGAACATTGTTTTCTAATTTTATCTGGCTTCTTTGCTGTTGAATCGCAGAGCGGACTGTTGACGGAATCGGAACTGTTGAGTTTGTTCATGTACCAGAATGCCACGGTGAAGCCGACCTTGGCGTTTCCCACCGAGCGCCGCTTAACGAAGGAACAACAGAAAGAACAGAGTCCACAGACATTGTTTCGCACGGGAGAGGAAGTGTTTGTGCAGTCCCTGGGCAAAATGGGACCGTGGTGGCAGCCAGCGCGCGTGATCGCGTGTTATCCCCATCACGTGTTGTTCACTTGGTGCAAAAACGGCGAGAGCGACACCGCAACGGCTGACCAGGTGATTCGTGCCAAAGACTACCTGAAACGCGACCAGACGGTGTACGTGCGCTCGATGCGAGCGTACGCACGGTACGAACATGCCGGCATGGACGGACAGCCCCGGGTCAATGGTGATCGGATCGTTGAACTGGCGGATTTGCTGCTGCGCAAAGAGCATGTCGCGTTGTGGAAGGCGGGCCGGAAATGAGCCACGTTCTTTGTCCGGATCGGACTTTGAACCCATTCGCCTTTTTATGCACGCGAAAATTGTTGTTGTCTTCGCTTTTTAATGCGTGCATGCGAAACTATTGTTATCTTTACTTTTTGATGCACCGCATTGCACCCGACAACTTTTTTCTTCACAGTGTGATTGCTTTCGCAAATTATTCCTGCGCTTTTTGATGTTTACGAAGCTGATACGTTTGTTTTTGTTAACGCTGCTTGATATTTACAAATTTGTACGCTTTTTGATGTTTGCAAAGATGCTGCTTTCACTATTTGATGCGTACGTAAACACTTACTTTGCTTTTTCATGTTTGCGAAGACTGAACCTCACTTATGCTCTTTTGACTTTCAAATCCTGACTACGATGTGAAGCATCGTTACTTGAGATCTTATTCGGAATTCAGTTTTTCATTGCATAGTACGAGTACGAAATTACGAATCCAGTTTGCAGTTACATAGCGAATGGCAGCTGGTGAAGTGACTCGTGTGGCCGGCTTTTAGTAATTTTGTATTTCTGCAGGTTCTGATCGGTTGCCTTGGTAGGATTTCCGGCTGTACCAAACACAGTATTCAATTAGGCATCTGCCTGATCTGGATAGCTCAATAATTCCTTTTTCCGTTCTCCAGCTGGCTAAATTGAACTCTTTTAGTCTCCGATAAAATAACGGGTTTTGCTTATTCATGATCTTAATCACATGACTGCTGTTTCCTGGCGCTCAGTTACTGTAGCCGCTAGATGAAGTGGCTCCACTGTTAGATCCGACCGCTGCCTGCCTCTGGCCGGGCATTGAGCACGAGCCTTCCCCCCACCGAGGGGCGCACACTTTGCTTTTCGATAAACTGTTGGCTGCCCCTGCCAGGGGCACCCCAAAAACCACAACAAACCAGGTTTATAAATTGAAAACTGTCAGTGCTCTGACATTATGCTCTTACAATAATTATTGTACTTTGCTAAAAAATAATAAAACTCAGTAAAACATGTAGAACGTCAGCATCAGAGTCAAAATTGTTTGAAACCAAAAACAATTCTGCACGGAGCAATGTGTGTATATTGGGCTTGCATTTTCCCGTATACCAGACACTGTGGAGCCACTTCATCTAGCGGCTACAGTAATTAACTGCGCTGCAAACTCCTCTGCTTGACCTTTATTCCCGATTTCACGTGCGGCTTCTTCGGTAAACCTCTTCATCAGACGAGGCTTGTTGAAGAACTTATGAGATATGCAATGTGCATGTATCGACAAATTATGCTTTGTTACAGCTTCTTTCGGTTGATATGCAATGAAAATTACGTGATGATTTAGGAGATGAATTAACCAGCCGCTGTCGCCATTTATAATTGGTTTCTGTCGGCTTATTGGGCATGAGTTGGTCAAAGGTTTTCTTCTGCTCTATGCAGATACATTGGTCTGAATTTTTATTTTCACCTGTGGAGCGCGTAACAAAACATTTCACTCGAATCGCTTCACAATACATTCTTGACCTTTACCGAACAAATAAAGAGGAAATTAAAGCGTAAAACTTCAACAACCATGCATATCCAGCAACAACCGCAGTAAAGAGAGCTGAAATCCTTTAACTTATTGATTTAATCAAAAACTTATATTCTCGATTACGCATTGTAAAAATAAAACGTTCTAAGCATACATTTGTAATTACTTCGTTCGTTCTGACTTCTGATACTTCGGACCCAGTATTAGTGAGTATACGCTGCGACTTGCAACTACATACGAGCGCTAATACCAAGCGCTGCAGCGTGACATCTACGTGAACGCGCGTCCATTTCGCGCCCATTTTGGCTAATCGCGCCGCTGTAACGCTCGATTTCATCATGTTTTTCGGTTATCGAGTGTTTCCAGTTTCCACGTCTCTTGCCAGTTCTGCTCTGCCTCGAACTTCTGTTTTATTCTTTCCGTTTTGCAGTTCGAAAGAGCATCTCTCTGTCCGCCTTTGCACAAAATTAATTTGTACTTTCGTGGCATTTCATCATTCTACATTAATTTATCTAACTGTCGACGAAATCCGTCACATAGCCATGTCGCCAAAGTAAGTTCATCGAAGACTGGGCGGAACCATGGGACGGGAGCGCCAACAGGCCGCAATCGGCTTGCTGGTTTACTGGAGCAGGCGTTCGCCAGCGGAGACCTCAGTGATGTGCGGTTTACCGTTGGACGCCAGTCTGGACAACGTGTACGGGACTTCACCGCGCATAAGTAAGATATCGCTGCTCGTACATGTATTTATTTCGGTGCCTCAGCACTGCAGTCAGAGCCGAGGCTGTTCGGCACCGTATTTTCCGTGGACGGTGTTAATAACTGTTAATCGGTGTGCAGGTTCGTCCTGGGAATTCGCAGCCCGGTGTTCCGTACGATGCTTTACGGCGACCAGCCGGAAAAATGTCAAGGTGTCGTCGATATTCCCGATATTCACCCGGACGCCTTTGCCACATGCTCAGGTAGAATAGGATGGTTCCAAGGTTTATTACGCTTATTTACTTAAACAATTCTTACGTTATTTTAGGATAAATTTTTATAATTGAATGTTTTTGATTATTAGTATTTCTTAAAATTAAATTTAGTTAAAATAGTGTCGGTTACTTAGTTAACCGAACCGAATACTTCGATTGATTCAAGAATTAAAATTTGAATTCTTATTTTGAAAACTACGAATGTTACAAGTTACATCCTTGCTCTACTGTTTTCGACTTAATTGGTAAATAGATACAACAAGTTTTTCTCTACGCGGTGGATTTCTCTAGGAAATTAACAGTTCATGAATAAGCTAAAAATAGTCCTTATAGTCAAGTCTGGTATATGTCTGGAGTAGCAGCGTGGCATTTGTAATACACTGCACCGTGGTGGGCGTAAATCCCATATATAGCAGACGATCTGCATTTCTATTACTGTTTTCCAACACGTATTTCCCTACAAATGGGGTGAGCTCCTGTTTAATTATCAAAATGTTGCAGTTTTACGTACACCGGTGGAGTGCCAGCGGGCCAGCTTAACGTCCATAACGCGTTCGCCACGATGAACTGCGCCGGCAAGTACGACTTACCGGAGCTGGTGCAGTTGTGCAGCAGTTTCATCAGCAGCCAGTTGAATGCCGATAACTGTCTGGCCACTTTGAAACAGGCAGGGAAACTAGTTATCATGGAAATTTAACAACAAGAGTTCTTATCTGTTAATTATTAAGATTTAAAAAGAGCGATGGTAAGCACCGTAGTAGCGGAAATGAGTGATCTGGGTTTATCTTTATCTGCAGGCTGTGTTCTGGCATGCTGACAACATCGTGGAGAAATGCCTGACTTTGGTGGATCAGCACGGTATGGTCATTCTGCAGTCGGACCCGTTCAACGACATCACACAGGAAACATTGCAGCGCATTCTGGAGCGCAGTACGCTGTTGGCGGAGGAGCACATGATTTACTTGGCTGTTGAACGGTATAAATTTTCATCTTCGTACACAAATCTTTTACTACTGTAAACACATGCCACATCGATAATCCACGTTTTCAAATTTTCTAAAAGATACGTCATTACAAAATGATGTTGATATATAGGTATTTCTGGTAGTTTATGTAAAGTTTTCAATGTTCCTCCTCACATTGTCAGTTCAGCATACAACGATGCACTTGATAACCAACACTCACCAGTACTATTCAATTTATAAAAACTTTGAAACAGTTGCAAAAACCGGTATTTTCTTCCAGCTCTGTTGCGTTAAAAAGAAGTAAACCGAATCTTTATCAAATCATAATGTACCTCTACAAATCTGAATACAATCGGCGATCCATGTAGTAAAAGTACTGTAATCGATATACGGAAGAACCTCTGTGTGTTGTTTGTGTTCACTGGGTAATTTGCTTGCATGTAAAACAACTGCAAATGTTGTTCAAACATGTAGACTGTAGAGCAAATTAATCGGTGATAACAAACACATAAAACAACTGTAAACTGCTGAAAATATGGTAATTTTAAAGTATCGATAGCTATCGCACCGTTTTTGGCTAATTATGCGTGCCGGCATACAATAGTCGGTGAAATACGAGATTTGGATAATCTGTGCAGGTGCGCGTAGCAGGATAAAATTAAAAAGATGCGACAACTATCGATTAGCCAATACAGTGTGCGAAACATCTACGAACGTGGGAACCCGGTGCTAAATAATTTGTGTCTTTCATCATCCGCTAAGAAATATAGAAGGGTTTGCCACTTTGCCAAAACTTAACATAAAGATTTGCTGATAAGTGTCGACACACTATTGAAATAAATGCCGTTTGCTGTTGTTACTTACGTTAGATGGGCAACGGCGGCCTGCGCTCGTAATGCCGTGGACGCCTCGGCGGCCAATCGCCGTCAGATGCTGGGAGACGCATTGTTCCATGTGCGATTTCCGCTGTTAAGTAACACCAAATTGGCGGACGGTCCGGGCAAGGTAGGCTGATGCCATGTCCCTCTGAATGGCGCGGTTCATTTGAGATCTAAGGTCACGAATGACATTAAGGATTAAGGATGCTCATATATCTCTAAGACTGGATGCATATACTTGCCGTCTACGGTACTATTTTGTGATTGCTGTGCTACAGAGCGGACTGTTGACGGAAGCGGAGCTGCTGAGTTTGTTCATGTTCAAGAATGCCACGGTGAAGCCGGCACTGGCGTTCCCCACCGAGCGCCGTATCACGAGCGAAGAGCAGAAGGAATGGCTAATGTATCACACGGGAGAGGCAGTGTTTGTGCATGCGCCCGGCAAAATGGGACCATGGTGGCAGCCAGCGCGCGTGACCGCGTGCCATCCCCATCATGTGACGTTTACGTGGTGCAAAAATGGCGAGACGGACACCGCCACGGCCGACCAGGTGATTCGTGCGAAGGACTTCTTGCAAGACGGCCCGCTGGTGTATGTGCGCTCATTGAAAGCCTACGCCACGTATGGATATATCGGTAAGGATGGACAGCACCGGGTCAATGGAGATCGGATCGTGGAACTGGCGGATCTGATGCTGCGCAAAGAGCATGTCGCGTTGTGGAAGGCGAACGGCGGACACAGCTTCGGTCTATTGGATATTTGATTCGTCCGCTTTTTGGCGCTTGCAAAAATATTGTTTTCTTCGCTTTTTAATGCGTACAAAAGTGTTATTTTCGTTTTTTATTTCTTACGAAGCTGATGCAAGCCGTGCTTTTTTGTTGATGTTGTTTGTTGCGTACAAAAATGATCCCCAAGCTTTTTGATACATGGGAAAATGTTTTTTTTCTTGCTTTTTCAGGCTTGTGACAATGTTGTTTCTTTACAATTTGTTGAGTACGATGCGCTTTATGGTTCTTGCAAAAATTATAGCTCCGCTTTTTGATGCACGTTGTTGGGTGCTTACGGTGATGATTTGTGCTATTGAAAATGCTTGCAAAAATGCTGCTCTCGGTATTTGATGTTTGGGACGATCTTGCGTCATTAAACTCTATTTTGTTGCAATAATTATACTGAAAAGCAGCTGACGAACAACAAGTTAATGCGTGGCTTTCGTCTTATTTTTCTTGTTCTGATCGGTTGCCTTGTTAGAAGCATTTAAGGCTGCAACAACCGCAGTATTCAGCTCCTCTGCCTGATTTGGATAGCTCAGCAATTCCGCTTTCCGTTCTCCAGCGGCGCTAAACTGAACTCTTGTAGTCTCCGATAAGACACCGGCATTTTGATTAACCATTGCACTCTTTTTCGCCGACTGCTGTTTTCTGATGCTCAACTGCGCTGCAAACTCCTCAGCTTGACCTTTCTTCCCGATTTCACGAGCGGCTTCTTCGGTGAATGTTTCCATTAAAGGAGGCTTAGTGTACGGTATAGGATGTGATTGCAGCGGTAAATTATGCGTCGTTGTGGCGTTTCCAGGCTGACTTGCAATTAGAACTGCGTGATGGTTTAGGAGACGAACCAGTCGCTGTCGCCATTTTGAATCGGTTTCTGCCGGCTTACTGGGCGTCAGCTGGTCTAAAATCTTCTTTTGCTCTATGCGAATACATCGGTCTGAACTTTCATTTTCACCTGCAGAAAGTTTGACGAAATATATTTTACTTGAATCGCTTCACAAGACATTCTTGACCTTTACCGAACAGACATCTAGTTAAAACAAACAAAAACTTGTGTTAACTTGTTAACAAAACGTGTTAACTTATTCAAAACAAAACGCTGTTAACTGCTCGATCGATGATCATTTGGTGTAGAAAAGAAGTAACTCGCTTAATACTCATATGTTACCGGCAACGCAGCGTTAAATCTTCACTTACAAGCAAATATCAATGGATTACTTTCTTGCCACTCCACTTCTTCGAACCAAACAACATACAATCCCGTCAACATGGTGCCAACGATGATCCTTTCCCCGATAATATCCAGTTTTAAAAGCGGATGGGCCACATCCGCAAAGGTCACCATCACCCGCAAAAGTTGACCGGTCACGACTGACCACACCCGAATGCTGTGATCCCGGCAGCCGGTGACAAGGCGCTGGTACAGTGCATTCGATGCGCTAATCTCCACGGGATGCGGCAAAGTATGGCGTGCTGCTGATTGGGATCCGTTAATCTCCCAGATGTACGCCACGTTGTGCACGCATCCTATGCAGAAATATGTGTCGCAGTGCAGATACCGCACCGGACCCGGATGGAGCGAGTGGGCGGTCAGCAGTTTACGAATACAACCGGTTTGGGTATTAACCAGCACGACGGACCCGCTGCCGAGAGATGCGGCAAAAATATCGCTACTGGAGGAAGTGGGGAAGAAAAGGGAGAAGATGGGAGTACTGCAGTGAGACCAGATGTTCCCACCTGCAAACAGGGACATATAAATATTAATTAGTTATAGTAAGTAGTTCACACCAAACAACTCTAAGAAAGGGAGATATCAACATAATAGCTATAAACGCATTTAAACCTTAAATTATGCAATAAATACATAGTGAAAACTTATAAAGGTTGTTGCTTTGTTTTACAAAAATTGCACAGCTTGTCATAATTATTATGTTACTGTATTGTGAGAGCTGCAAGCTATTGTAGGTACTGTACATTGTAGTTGCTGCATATAGTATACAGAGTGCCTAATCCTGTGCAGTATGCTCAGATTGGCAAAAAGATCTTGTGCGAAGCGTTCGTTTTTATTATACGCATAAGTGCAGTTATCAAACACGACGGTCAAAAATGATAAAAGGACATGGTTTCATAAAAAATAAAATATTTTCATTTAAATGGGTGTACCTAATGTGTAAATCCGACTCGGCTCAGTAAATTGGTTTTCGTGTTGGTAAATGTAAATGCTGGCACTACGCGACGATAGTACTAGCTGGTCCTTCGGCGTTGTGTCCAGCAAGTTAATGCCATTTTCTGGGTCCAAAGATATTTGTTTAAGAAAGACAAATTTAGGCAGGGTTTTTTGGTAAATATGGACGCAAAAATGGGACGCTTGAACAAAGATGTACGAGGCGTTCCTGGAAATGGCCATCCTTAAGACAGGAGTGGTTTCCGGTTTCACTGAAATGGCCTCAACAATCTGCTTTGTTGCCACTAAAATTAACCAGCGTATAGCATCAACGGTTTCATGTGGCGCTTGCCACTACTTTATAAATTACGACATTCATTCCACGAGTCTGCATCCTGCCGGTCCAAATTTTCAGATACTACTGACCTTTACGCATGTTGTACAACGTAACAGTACAAAAAATAACAGCAAATGAATTTTATTAAAGGAGCGCGTACACAAACCAGCAAAAGCGTATTGAACTGGCGCCCAAACGGATTCGATCTCCTTTTTGTGGCGCAGTAAAGCAAATTTACGCGATTTTATTTCAATTGAAAAAACCATTAACAATTACATAGTATATCTGTATTTGGTACGCGCGATGATTTAACAGAATCTAGGCTTCTGTTAAGTCTATTTTAAAAATTATTTGTAGTGCATATATACTTGCACTCGAACCTGCTGAAAGCGTTTTCTTGGGTCATAAATAATAAATGTATTTGACCAGACAAAAATAAATAAGTAATTATAAATGTATACAGAACACTTGGTCAGTACTTCTATTTCTCACCATCATAAATGGAGATGTTTCTGTGTATTTTTGAATAAACTCCCCACAGTCCAGAGTTTGGACAAACCGCCGCTATCGGAATACTTCCTTCTGATTTCCACAAGCGAAACTCCTCGAATTTCGAGCAGAAGACATTCCGTTCTTCCAGTGTAACAAACCCCGCTCCTTCCAAATCCAGACAAATGTGACCTTTGTAACTCGGATTGGGATTCCCGAATACGACATCCGGTTTCACCGGTTCCTTCAGCCATGGCGTCGCTACCACTGCCACCGGTGTCTCCGCTTTACTCTTACTGGGAATTGGCGTCTTTCCTTTGGCCGAGATCGCTGGTTTTTCGGGTTCAGGAGGAAGCCGCTCGACGACCGCCGCCTTTAGTTCCTTATAAAACCACAATAATTGGGAATAATCTTGAATAAGCAAGCAACGCATAATAAATAACTGTTGATTTAGAATATCGCACCGTGTAAACCAGTCAACGGTCTGCTCGACAGATGTGATTAAGCGGTGGACATCCGCAAGGGGCGGGGCATCAGTCACCGTGGCTCCTGATTGGCGCAGCGTGCGCTGCTGCAGCTCGCGCGCAATACTGTCGATTCCTGGGGTCATCGTGTCAACATGCAGGCGCAGGAGATCGAGCGTCCACACCGCGGTCTTGATGGGCATGACGTCCACGAAGCACATGAGGATTTCATGCTGCCGTGTACCGCTGATCCGCTGCATACATGCAATGAAGCTGGCAGCATGTTGCTCAAGTTGGCAGTGGTTGCAATTATTGCAGGGAGGGTCGTTGGTACAGCGAATTGTCCCGGGGTTCAGAAGGGATGGGATTCGGGGTTTCTCAAAAAGGTCAAAAAATGGGGGTTCTTTTTCTTCGGCCTGGTATTCGGAGGGAATCGTCACCGTTTCTGGCATGCTACGATCGGATAAATATTAAGGTCACGGCCTTAAGATGTGCTTACATTTCACATGACATGGCACTATTCATGATAAGATAACTTGCAAAAATTCTGTTTCTGTTAGAATAAGTGCACGAAAATCATTTAATCTATGATTCTGTAATAATAATTATTTAATTTTGTAAGTAATAGTACTGAAGCTGATTGTACGTAGTACGTACCATCAAGAACTTACTAGAGGTAGAGACACTATAGTAAGTACTTGGTACCATTCATACAGAAGGTGATGCAGGTGGTGTGACGTGTATGCCTCTGATTAGTACTGTGCTTGAATTACCTCGTATTAAATATTGTGCCAATCGAACACGCGCATGAGTGCATATTAATTTCTGTATTTCTTATTTCAGTTATCTATCATCCTGTTACGTGCAGAACTGGTAAATCTTGAGTTACTAGTACTGCAGAGCATCGGCTACTTAAGCGATCAGGTATCGGTTACATACTTATTCAAATTCCCCGCATGCCGTGATATTATACAAATAACTAAACTAGGGTAGAACTGCTTGAAGACAAATCGTTTTGAATTTGCCTTTAATTTTTCAGCAAAGTAATGACATCATGACACCGCGATATATTCATGCGAATTGATGCTATTTCTATTTTGCCAGCATTTTTGAATTTGTATGCGCGTATACATATGCTGAATATTTATACCGTGATACAGCACTACTAGCGTATAGGTGCCATAAAAACGTGTATTGTATGTACACACTCAGATATGTAAAGCCACGCTAATAATATGTAAAATTAATAGAAGAATGCGCGGTAATAGCACTGCTGTTAAATGCAAAAATTCGTAAATACCCGTCGTGATTACTCGTAATCACCCATAAGTAGTCAGTTTGCAAACTTGTATATTCCCAGATTTACTTATGTTAAAGAGCTTTGAATGGGAGCGTTTTTCAGTTGTTGCCTTGACAGTGGTAGCGTTCCTGACGATAACCTTAGTAAACAGGATAACCAGTTGGTAAATGCGCATAAACTCAAAGCGGAAGACTTGGACAGGATTGGACAAACCACCAAGAAAAAGCCATTCAATTACGCATTAAAACATGCCGCATCCCAACATGGTTATGCACCTTCCGCTCTTTACTCACATTTACTAGATAATCCGGTAAGGAACTTTAAATAAAATCTCAGCAAAATTTTGAATCTAAGCAGAAAGCCCAATTGCAAGGCACTTGATTATTATGCAGTGTTCATTCGTGCACACACTGAAAGTTCGTGACAATGGATGGTATCTATTTATATAGATATATATTGTCAATACACTGAATACAGTATACGTAAATTACCGAAATAATATTATAACGTAGCAAAATTATGACTACGTATCTTAATGTACTGCGAAAACAAATACGCACTACGAATTACCATACATGATATTTTTCTGCAAACTTCCATGGCTAAGTGTAATTTATCGAAAATGGTATGCTGGATAGAACGTAGCATCTTGATATATTCTATATTGTATGCAGAATTTCAGGTTATTCATCATATAATATTTAAAAAGGTTGATCCGGTGGCTGCCAAGTACATGCGTCCCGAGGAGCTGTCCTTCGCCCGACACTGCTACGCACCGGAAATCGTCCGTGGACGCTCATCCGCCGAGCTGGTTAACACGCACGTGGCAAGTATTGGCGGACGGCAGCCGATTCGCACACCTTCTTCCGGTCACGCTATAAACCATCCCTTGCATCGCTGTTACAGCCAAGATTAGCTTTTACATTTGCTTATACGATCGTACTGTACAGGCATGTACAGTACAATACTTCCATCTGCTTTGCAGAATATGTGGCTTGACCTTTTTAACATTTTAATTTTAATGTAAACTGTACTTGTTTATTCTTTCATAGCCTATGTACAATACGTAGGAACTTGACTTATGCAAGAAGGATCTATTGTACACAGCTGACTTGGGAGCAAAAGATATTATATTTCAGGTGCATTTTATACGGTAATATCTGATCTGATATGGTGTTAGGGCAGCATTTCCGGTGCATAAAAAATGCAATGCCTCCTCAATCAAGCTCCTGAATCGTTGCTTAGCTTTTACATTCTTCTCACTTCTCACATAATTAATGCTAAAAACGTTAGTGTTCAGTTTTATCTATTTCAGTTCCGTATTCTCTTTAATTTAGCATGAGTTTCGTTTACAATAATTTACAGTAATTTAGTGGTTTATTATATTAATTATTACAGGAATGGCCCTATTGACTGGTTTTACCGTTGCACGGGCGTGACGATTTCGGCTTCATTAATTTGAAAAATATTTCATTCAAGCTCGGCTATAGCGCGGCTATAGCGGACAATTGGAAACTGTGCATTTCTCATCTGACCTTAAAAATTAGTATTATGCATTGATTGATTATTGTACCTTGTTTTTATACGAGTTACGGTATCAGCTTTGTGTGCTCAATCTTGTTTATGCTTGCAAGGTTTGGCTATTGAGATTAACCAGAATAATAACGATTTACAATAGTACGCGAAATTGTGAAGACATCCATACTAAAAATTAATTAGGATTGACGTTAATCAAAGTTATTCAAATCGTGTTCCCTTGATTAGGTGCTGTCTATTAACTGTTATTAGGCCCGAGTAGTACGTAAGTATACTTACGCCACGCGGTACAACTCGTACAAACTTTTCTCGCTGTGGTAAGTGTAAGAAAGTGACTCATCGATACGGCACCGATCGATCACGGGCCAAAACTTTTTCGCTGTAGCGTAAGTTTTGACGATGGCCGATCAGTCTGGCTAGTTTCCTCCTCATTCCGTTCTGTGCCGTTTCATCGTTTCGAGAACTTTTACGCGTTTTATTTTATCGTTTTACCTGTTGAAACTGGCACGTTCTATTGTGTTTTTAAATTGTTAATTTTATCTGTTCCTTATATTGTTTCCCATCGTTGGGTCGTATTTTTACCCAATTAAAGGCGGATTGATTTTCAGTTCAGTGTGCCTTCATTCCCCTCTCCTGGCAACATCCCTTCCCGTTTGAGTCGATGTGTTTGTCTCGATCCCGTCAGACGTCCATGCGCAGGTGTGGCTGCTTGGTATACTGAAGCGACATGTATCGATGTCTGCGCTGGTAATTGAGGGTCTTACTATTCGGATGACAGGTGAAGAAAATGGCATGTCTAGATTGGGGGGTCACTCATGTGGATAATGGCGGCTATGACGCGTTTGGTCCGGATGTACAGCCCTTCTTCTCCGTACCCAGTCCGCATATGTTTGATTATGCGCCCATTGAATATGGAGAAGCGCAGGTAAAGAATGTGAAAAGTCTTGTATAGTTCTGAAAATTTTGAAGAATGACGGAAAGCAGTGAAAAAATGGTCAAGCACGCTTTCGTTAGGCAGATTTGCACTGTGTACGGTCAGATTGGTTCAAATGGCGGAATTAGCTGTAGCAGAAATTCAGATGACGTAATAAAGTGAGGGCTGTTTGTATTGCCGTAAGAGCTGATTAAAATTACGTACAAATTTGATTAATATTAATTTGGTTGTTGTGTAAGGTCACTAACTAGTCCAAAATTGTAATTGTTATTGTACTGCATAAAATACAGTTTGGTCGAAGCCTGTTTTGTGTTTCCAGGAAATCTTTAAGTGCTCGTTAAAATGCCGTGTTGTGTGTTGTTATCTGATCAAACCTACTTTTTCCCTTTTGTTGTCGTATTAACAAGAAATTTATCCGTTTGAAACTGGTCAGACCAGTGTCGCTTAAAGTGGACACAGCCAGCCGTCATTAAAAAGCTGGCGACACGCAGTCGCTTTCGCTTTTGGTTTCGGCAGAACACAAAGAGTCACCACACCTTTATTACCGTTGTTTTGGTGAAGGGGAAAAAAAGTGTGTTTATCTTCTTTCCGCATTTACAGAGCAGCAGCGGCAGCGATGTGACGCTGAATTGTGTGGACATGGATACGGGTAAACGCCATCTTGGATCGTACATCGAGGGTCAGTGGTCGGGTAACACGGCCCTGGAACGCTTCAGCCACAATCTGCAGATGGTGAGCAGCGATAACGCTGTCAACTACGGCGTGGATGACGCGATGACTGTACCATCGCGTGACCGTTCCCTGAACAATGGCCCCAATGGCAGTGTTTTTGCCCTGCACAACATGTATCCGGGCAAGCTGGATCCGGCCATGGAGATGGAGCGGATGGTGGCGTTGGCGCGACAGTTAAACAGTAAGATTTATCAGCAAAAGTTGACAAAAACCTGCGTAGTAACAGGTAGTTATGTTTTCCGGAAGTAAAATTTCGTACATGTATAATAAGCGAATTTATTATTAGCTGAAATGCAATCCGGTATGAATTACATATTGTAAAATTCCGTATGGTATAATTATGAAATAATCTACAAGATAAATTTTGTACAAGTTTTTGCCCATCTCATTAAAATGAAAAATAGCGTAAAAGACAAAACTCGGTGATGTCATGCAGCTGTCGCCACACAAAGCTGCTGCTGCTACTAAAATTAAATCAGGTTTTTGTTTTTGGCCTCTTTTTCTTGCTTAATATGTACTTTTTAATCCTTCGTATTAGAATTAAAGATGCCGGCGAGTTGTTGTTATTGCTTACTTTTGACTGACTGCCGCTCAACAGTTCGACCTTTTCATTCTCTTCGACAGATTTTCGAAGATATGTTCTGTTGCATTTGGTGTGCGGCTTCTTCAGTTCTTTTGGCCATCAATGCCGGCCAAGCTTGTTGACTTCGTCGCAGTAGTAGCAGTTCATAAGTTGACGTCATTTCTTTGTTGCAGTCAGCGGTGTTTTACGCGAGCGTCCCGACGCTCCTCCTCGACCGGCAGGACAGTCGCCGCGCAAGCCACTGAGCATGCCCCGTTCCAATGCGTCGCCACCGAGCCACCACGGGCATGGTCGTTCCCGCAACTTCTCGCTGCCACTGGATTCATCGGGCAACAGTGGCCATGCACGGAATCCGTGTGCGGCATGGCGCTCCCCGTCGCCGGTTTTCATTAATGGACGTCTGAATCATCGCGATGGGCGCGAGCAGCACCAGCGCAATCCATGTAAGCCAGACGAAATAAACTTTGAACTGAAGTTTAAATTGCGGTTGTGATAAAAGCAGACTCGGCATAAGGCATCGTTGACCAGCTACAGTGTGAATCTCTCAAATTTCCTTATCATACTAATCATCAAAATTTCATCCTGTACGGGTCTGCGAAATTAGCCGGCACTCAATTCAATAGGCAGTAAAAATTCAGAATTATTTTATTTTACTGATGTTCAGTTTGCTGCGCACCTAGATAACAAATTACCGCTGCTAAAACTTTCATGTTTTAATTTACGTGTAATTATCATGTTGAATATTTTCGACTGGCAGTGTCTTATTTTTTCGTGTCAGCAATTTTCCTACTTATTGTAAAGTTCCGTGTAAAATTGAGGTAGTTTTAGTTTTATAAGGCATTGTTATTTATAGATGCGCCTTCCGGTCACGATTACAATGAAGGCGGCAATCGTCAGCCGGTCAACCCGTATGCTGACCACCAGGCCACCGGCGATCACAATCCACGTCATGGCAACCACCACCTGCATTCGCCGCATCGTAATGGCCGCGGACGGATGCGCGGCGGCCAGATGAACAACATGCACCATCTGCGCCACAATGGACCACTGTCCAAACCGTCGCCCAGTGTGGACTTTTTTGAAACTCTGAATGCGCAGGACGCGCAGGCAGCCACCGTGCCACACCGTCAGCAGGATTTGGCTGTTGTGTAAGAATTCCATCGAGTTTGCTTGCTTCATTTTCGTTTGACTTGTGGTCCAATTTGTCTGAATTTGATGTCTGACTTTGATAAAAACTACAGTAATGTGTTGACAGGAGCACATTTGGCGAAGCGGGGCAATCGGCTGGACAATTCAATATGCCGCAGGGCTTGTGTCTTGGATTGAATGACGAAATTATTGTAGCAGGTAATCTCATTAATTCGTTCTTTAAAGTTAGCTATCGTACGACATATGTAGACACGGATAGAATAGATTTTGATTTATACATCTGCGTTTTTCGTTGACGTAAATCGGTGAACACTTAACTTCTTTATGTGACAATTATAGATACACTGAGCCACCGCATCCAGATCTTCGACAAGAAGGGGAATTTCAAATTTTTATGGGGTATTTCCGGTGTCAAGAAGGGACAATTGTGGCATCCGCGCAAGGTGGCTTTCATCCCCAAGACGGAGCACATCGTGGTGAGTGACCGGGTCAATGGCTGCTCGCGCATTCAGATCTTTGAACGGACTGGTGCATACATCAACACGCTGGGCAATCTGCACAGTCTGCGAATGGCTTTGAACACAACGACGGCTGGTTTGACCGTCTTCAATGATCAGGTGCGGAAACGATATAATTAATATTTCTATTTTGAGTTAATGAGTACGCACGTGCCTTACATGATTCCTATGCAGTTAAGTTAAGAAAAAAGTCAAGAAAATTATTGGAAAGCATTCGTCTTTCGCAGCAGAAAATGGTGCAAATGTTATACCTAGAAAATAAATGCAAACTTTGGTAAATTTCGTCTGAAATTACGCCCTTTCCGACATTTTAAGATTACTTGTCGGTTTATGAAATTTCGCTGTATATCGTTGGTTACATAAAACAGTTTGCAAACTTTGTTAATATCTGTTTTTGCAGATTGTCGTCGTGGAAGTGCAACCACCGGCGTGTGTCATTCTGAAAGAAGACGGCCATGTTCACCACTGGTTCTCGCTGGAGAGCGTCATGGTGGAGCCGTCGGATGTCGTGGTCATTGATCACAAGTTTTACATCAGTGACTTCCGGGGACATTATGTCTGTGTGTTCAACACCTGGGGCAATCTGCTGCAGCGCCTGGGCGCTTCCAATCAGGAGGGCATTGTCCGCTTTCCGCGCGGATTGGGTCTGACGCCCAATGGAAATCTGCTGGTGGCCGATACGGATCTCAATCGCTTTCATGTGTCGGTGTGGAGCGCCGATACCGGCGATTTGATTGGCTACCATGCGTTATTGGATATGAAGGTACGCGAGTTAACACCGTTCTTTGTTTGTCAGCAATGTTTACCTTTTTTGTCAGCAAATTTTGTACTCGTAATATTTAGAGATAATTTTTTCCAACATTTTGCCGCAGCTGAGAAGGATTTCTTTTACATGCTTACTTGTAGTTAATGACAGAAATAATATTTATGCTACGACTTCGTCAGTACCTTCAAGGCTTCAAATAGTGATGAAATTAAGACTCACAATGAACACTGAAATTACTAAGCAGATGTAAAAGACAACTGTCGCAATAAGATATTGTTTAAAGAAGCGAAGGTAACCTTTGAATTAAGTAGTTTAAATTTTTTTGTATCGTCTGTATTTTGACCAAATCAGTTAATTTGCGTCTTATGATTGTTTTCTTTATTTTATGGAACACTGTTAATGGTCTGCGATTTCTGTATAGTTCGAGCTAGGATTTGAATTTAACTGTCACTCTGTTAGTATAATTCTGCTGATTTATCGAATAGGTGAGCCACAGTTGTGGCATTGTGATGAATCAGGATGGGGAGCTGATCACGGCGGTAAAGAAGGATCACATGGTGCTGGTGATGCGTATCCAGGAGGGCAGTAGCGGATACGTGCGTAATGTGCATGCCGGTTTGAATGTGGACGCACCGGACTTTCAGTATCAGATTGCCGACAAGGACGCCACCGTTCCGTGAAGGTCGACGTGTGTGCGCATGGGGGACGTGATGGCGCGCGCTGTGTTACTGTGTGAGGATGTTTTGTTCTTTCTACGACCAAAGTGTTTTCATACCTTTATAGTTTTGCAATTTTTTAATCAAATGGTTTAGCCTTTTCTTTTTTGCCCCCCTCCCTCAGAATTTAATTCGGCGATTGTTTTTCGTGTGCTCAGTGAATTTGTGTAGTGTGTCGGCGTTTATCGTTTAGATCTTGTGTTTAATTGGGTTTATTATTTTTTTGTCAACTTTGGTTTGGGTTGGATTGTCCATGTGTGTCGGTATTAATGCGAGTGGCCGCTGGCGAGTGGCCGCTGCGAGTGGCCATCTTCCATACCATCCCTTGTGTATATTGTCGGTGAAGAATGTGTGTTAACGAATTTCGCGGTCAAATCTGTTGTTTTTTTCTTCGGATCTTTAGGCATGGTGAATGGTTTTTGTTTGTTATTTTTCTTGTTTTGGCGAATGTGCATACGTGTATGTTTTTTGTATCTTTATGGGTTTTACTAGAAATAAAATTTTGTCAAACACGTTTGGGTTCTCTTGGCCCGGCGTTCAGTGGTGCGATGCTAGGGTCTACGCCGTCACTCTACGGCCCTAAAAGTTGAGTACAGTACTCATTCATTTTAAGTCAACAAGCACATATGGATGGCTTCGTTACTACTCCTACTTTGTGCTTGTCCACTTAGCAAAAAAAACAAAATTTGTCAGTCAAGAAAACTTAGTACTAAATTTCGAAATTTTTTCTTTAGATATGTGATATTGTCGAATGTTTGAAAGTTATGGAAGGTCAACAATAGCAGAAAATTTTTATTTTTTAAATTAAGCGTCGTGAATTCAGAGTACTTAGCAACACGAAGATTATAATAACCGATGATAATAATTATTATTCACCGTATTAATGATGTCTATAAGTACCGGACTTCATTAACCGTGAAGGAATCACACCCATATACAGGATCTTCAAATATTTCTTAACATTTCGGAATATTATATTTGCGAAGCGCTGTTTGAAAATATTTATTGAAATACCTTAAAAATTTGGAATTCCATATTTAAAAATTTCTAAAAATTTTAAAATGTTTCCAGAGCTCGCCCCGCTGCGCGGGGCCAATACCTCCATATTTCAGCATTTCTACGTGTGGAAAAAGTTTCAAATAAAAATTGACAAAGAACTTTAATTACAGTAATTACAACAGTCAAATAGTATTATACGAAATAATTCAATAAAATAAGCAACATATTGCAACATTCCAAATTTTTATTCCAAATTCCATACCTAGACTCAACTGGGAGCGCGCTAGCGCGACCAACACTTGTAGAGTATGAACGATTCGCGATAAATTTATTTCTGTTACACCATGAAGTCTAAAAAAAATATTAGCAATTCTCTTTATTAGCACAAGCCAGTCACACTGCGAACTTTGTAACACAAACAGAATTAAATAATTACAAATTAGCAATTGAAAATATACGGTTATACTCTGTAGTTAGGTTGAATTACGTAATACGTATACAACCGTCAACCAGCCCGTCAATAATACGCCAGTCGCTAGTTCGCTAGTTGAAGCAGCGCCCACCTACGGGCGGCGTGCAGGCCACGTAAGTCGAGTAGGACAACAGTGAAAAGCTGCGTGTGCTAGTCGCGACTCGCTACTGATTTTCTCTTCCATCTCTGGAGTTTAGAGCCCTCTGCTTTCCGTTTTGCATTTAACTTTTTAAATTGATTACTTGGATCTGTGCAGTGTCTGTTGTGCATAAATTAGTGATTTACCTTGCACGGTTTTCAAGTGGTGATTTATTGCCCCCTTCCGTTGTGCAATTTGTGCCCCCTGGCGACAAGGAAACGATGCCGTCGGACATCAAGGAGCTCTTCGAAGGTTTGTACACCGACCATCCTGAGTTGCAGGGCAATGCTCAGTTGCTGAAGATCTGGGAGAATTGCTCCATCCTGGTAGAAACGAGCGAAAAGCAGTCCGATGTCATCCGGACACTGAAAGAAGAGAACAGTCAGCTGAAAGTGGGTGAGGGTCCTGCAAAGATCGAAGTTCGAATCGGCGATAAGGAAGTTGTGGTAGTTAATAAAGATACTCTAGTCGAGAAGTCGGGATTCTTCGCCGAACGTCTAACTTCTCCAGATGGCGGCCCTGCGAGCGTTGATCTTCTCGTTGGTTTGCCCGAGAATGTCCACCGTGACATGCTGGCTTCACTGGTTAAAAGTCTGGGTAATTCAGATTTAAAACTGTCTTTCAAACGCGATGACGCCATCAGAATGTGGATCGCCGCCAAATATCTGCAAATGGAAGAAGCCTTGATTACAGCAGAGAAAATTTTGCGGAAAATTATGATACGGCAGGAGAACGTGTGGCGTCTGTGGCGTCTGGCTCGTCGCGATAGACTCGTGGATTTGGAAAGACTGGCATTCCAAGGGATTCTTCAAAAACTTCCGCGTCGCTCCGCGTTCGCCGATTCTGAGACTTTTCTGAAGTGCAGTGCAGAGGAGGTTATTGACCTGCTAACCGACAATGGCTACTTTCCTCAATCCGAAACATCAGTTTATCAGGTTGGTGCGATTTGTAGACCCTAAGCATAGCAGTCAAATTTAAATCGAATTTTGAAGCAGCCCAATTTCTGTAATGATTAATTAATGATAAGTAATTTATGCTTCATAGATCTTATATTTCTTAATTTTAATTGTATAGTAAAATGGTTTATTAAGTATTGTTAGTTACATGTTTGAAATTTGCAGGCTGTTGTGCGCTGGTGCATGGCTGCTCCCTTACGCATGCCACACTTGGATCAGCTGTTGAAATCGTGCATTGTGTGGGATTCGGTAGACATCGATGCTCTGAGAGCGTGTACGACGGGAGATTTACACGAATTGTTATCCCAAATTTTGGCAGATCGAAACTGCGGCCAGCTGCGCGGTGGAGTGTTGCCCAAGCGTGCCATTCCGAAAGAAGCTATCTTCTACCACATGCGCGAAGGCTATTCCCATCAGTTGCTCAGATACGATTTCTACCGCAACGAACTGACCAAGATGGACACCCTAGTGCAAAATACACTGACGGAGCTGTCGCCCAAGATCAGACCCGATGGTTTCGCAGTGGCCGTTGGCCGGGAGCTTATTGTCGGCACTAAAGGAAGTCTGCGAGAAGGGGAAATAATCGCGATTGACTGTTTAACTGGCAGTTGGCGTACGTTGATGAAAGAACCTGCTTTTAATAACTGCATCTCGGTGGTGGCGGTGGGCAACGATGTCTTCGGTGCGACACACGATCCCTTAACGTGGTACTATTGTGATTTTTCTGCCGGACAGTTCGGCCCTATTACCCAGCTGGCCGAAGATGTCTCGCAGCCGTTTCTCCGGGGCGGAGATGCTGTGTACCATCGCTATTTTATGTAAGAATGTGTGGCATAATATTAATTATTAATAGTTGGGTAATTTTAGAGATTTGATAGAAAGCCATTGGCTCTGTGCTTTAAATTAAGTTTCGGTTTGCAGCCACTCGATGGAGACTTGTCCTCTTCCGGATGGAAAAATTTGGTGTATTACATCTGGTTCCTTCGGTGAACAAAACTCTAAGCGTCAGGAGACTGTGGTGGAAATGTACGATGTTCGCAGCAACAAATGGACGAAGCATACCGGCTGGACAGAGAAAGTGAAGAACCCGTATCGCTGTGGAGTTATTATCTTTAAAGGACATTTATACCTCATTGGTGGAGCCGTACAAGGAGCATATCACGAAGATGGCAGGAATGTAGCGGTTAATTCCTGCTACCGTATTTCGTTAGCACGCGTCCATTCTCGACCGGAGTCCATTGGAAAGCTGAACGATGCGCGTTATGACCACTGCGTCTTCATCAAGGACGGGAAGATTTGGGTGTATGGAGGCACGATCCAAGATAGTGCGAATCGGAAAAAACCGGCTTTATCTTTTGAGAAGTACGATGAGGGCACGAACGAATGGACACGGGAGAAAGTGCCGATGTCAGAGGAACTGCAGGCGGAATTGGTTGGCGGTGATTACGCGCAGAAGACAGTCTGTCTGGCGCTGCAGACTCCTACAATGGGCAGTGGATTTGCTGAGTTCCACCACGAATACGCATGTGTCATGCAAGATCACACTTACCGCACATCTGAATACGTGAGACAGCGCAGTCTTTGCAATGATTATGAGACCACTTGGCCTGTGATTTGGGATGATTGATGGCTAGTGAATTTTCCGTGTGTTCCTTGCGTCATCGGGTTGGCAGATTAGTATGTTATCGGTTAATTTTCTCTCTTTAAACATTTCCACTGGCATCTACTGTGTAGCCGTGAGTACGACGATATATGGGTACATTTGGCTGATCGTAGAATATCTTTCGAGCCCACTATGCGTAAGCGTGTCTTTTTGTGTCGTGTATTTCCTGTTTAAATTATATTTTCAGCTTATGCAGTTCTTTACTTGTACCTTTTATATGTATAGTATTAGTTTGCTTGAATGTTGGATGTAGAACTGCGGTTTTATGGAATTGGTGTAAGGTTGCTCCTTCTGTACTCTCACCCTTGGGCGCATAATCGTACTAGTTATCTTCAGAATTTTCTGGATTCCCATGTTACCTAGATAAATAAATACTCTTATGGCGCAGTAAGTACTATGATACGAATCATATCACGTTACGCATATTGTGAGAGTTTCCTTGAAGTAGGGTATATCGTAGTGAATCCGCATTTACAAATATACACAGATCAAGCAGCAGTATATATTCGCATTTTTATTAACTGTATAGCAAAACAATCGTTACAGTACAGTAGACCTTAGCCTTTCATTTTTGGTTATGCATAAGTGCGCAAACGAATACTAACGCATAAGTCATCGTATATTTATTCACATTTACCTCTACTTGACACATTCCTGGGAATAGTAAGCTGAGATTCTTGGTTGCCGCTTTTTAAAAGATAGTTCAGACTTCATACCGCGCGTCCGTTGCGCGCCCATGGACGATATCATTAAGCCAGGCAATATTTTATCCGCCATTCTGACATTTTCACTTTTATCCCTTTTGGAGGCTATATAGCGCGGAGATTGTGAAACGGGCGAGAGCTAAAAATAATTACAGTTTGCCGTCTCGCGTGTGGCAGCAGCAGCATTAGCATATAAGCAGAATACGTGGTAGTGTATAACGGCATAACTGTAACTGTGCATAACTGTACTTGTACAGTACGCACTACGCAGTGTGGTGTGCCGATGGGAACTATGGATGGAAGATGCTATCTGCATACAGTGTATGCCAATATAGGATCTTCCATCCATAGTTACCTAGACACATATTACCGTATATTATGCGGTAATATGTGTGTAGGTGTTTATGCAATCGCCCTCCGAAGGAATACTACATCGCGGTGACATTCTCTTACGGATTAACGACTACGACGCAAGCCGGCTGCCGCTGCAGGACGCTGAACAGCTCATTAACAGTACCGTACTGTCTCTCATGATCAGGCTGGAGGTTGAAAGGTCAGCACAAAATATGTATGCAATTGCATAACGTTTCGTTACGGCTACGGAGGTTTCGCCGATGTTTTCAGAAATTTTTTATATTTTGCCAAATTAGATTTAAATAAGATTCCACGGCTTCTGGTAAGATGAAAAATGAAATTTCCGTCATGGAGTACATGAGTGGATCCAGCTGCACTGTCCTGAGCCATTCGACCTTTCAAAAAATGCATGAGTGGTGGCGATGGGGAATGAACTGTACGGTGCTTTACCAGTAATTTATTGCTCCAGTGTGCCCACCGGACAATCCGTCGAGTATTCCAGTTGCCCTGTTGCACTTGCTAGGGACCGCCATTGAGAAGTTTGATCCCGCCCGTGGTTTACCGTGGGACCAGCGACTGCCTGTGGAAGCGATGCTCGGTAGAAGAGTGGCAGCGCATGTTCAATTGTTCGATACTTCTGTAGTCGGTAAGGATGTTTGTGACAAGGAATAAAATCAATGATATCTACGCTAACTGCGGTTTGCAGTTTTACGATGCAGACCTATCCCTTCCTCACGGTAAAATCTGATTCCTATCAGCCAGCTTTTTTTGAAAAGCACGATCATCATCCGGAGTGTTGGGTAGAGCAGTACGATATCATCCGGAGCCTGACAAACCACGACAACCAATGGACGAAGCATGCCGGCTGGAAGGGTCAAAGCCAGTTCCAGCATTGTTGCGGGACTATATTCTTCCGAAACTATATTCTTCCGACTATATTCTTCCTATATATGCGGGACTATTTTTACTTCACGGGTGGCTGTGTGTGTGCGCTTACCGAATGTGAGCTGAACGGTTGGAAAGAAAGTGCGAAGGCGGTGACCGCTTGCTACCGTGTCTCGCTAATTGTGAGCCACGTCCAGTCCCAACCGGAGCCCATCACGGCCTTCGACGTCGCCCGATATAATCACTGCATTTTCCTAAAGAATGACCAGATCTGGTTGTACGGTGGGACGACCCGAGATTAATTACGTAATTGTAGTCGCACTTAGCACAACATTTGTCAGATGCTAAACAGGTGGAATTTCAAGAATGGTGAAATTCCGAGAAGTGCCATTCCGCTTCGTGTGCGCACATTATCAGTTCGCAGATCTAGCTCGTCCCATAATTTCGGTGATATATCAGCGTGGAACCCGCTAAATCTGCAAAAACATCATTATATTGGTTCACGCAATAAGACTGCACCTTGTTCAAGCAAATTTATGTTTCCAGGGCGCATATGACACATGGCTACTGACTAACAAGTACCAACTACATGGCGAAGTCCCGTTAACCGGGTTGTCAGCTCTTGTTGTGATGAAGATACTAAACTGCAGTACCACTGTATTCTGTGTAATTTCATTGTTGTCGGTGCTACGTATACGCAGGTCATGTGAGAATTATGAGAGCATCAGTTTACTGCCGGCGCGGCCAAGATTCACAGTCAATAAAATAAAGAAGCCGCGAAAAACGCACAATGTCATATACACTTACGACTTACGAGGACATTTTCAGTGCGCATACACTTACATATGCATGGTAATATACTTTCGCATCGTTTCCCATGACCATATTTCTATAGCGTTAATTGCGCACCCAGCGAGCGTGCACTGCTGCGACCTTTGCATATATATATATATATATATGTCCTCGTTGACCGGGGGAGAATTTGTTGTTCAAGCCCCACTTAAATCGCCGCATCATGTGGTATCGCCCTTCGCTGCTATGTAGAATCACCTGCGGAATACCCTACTCTAGTGATTTCCCGTGCGTCGGCAGCGAGTACAACGATATGCGACTCGTCAGTCAGACGTCCTATCGACCATGTTTCGCCCGCGGGGGCAGTCGAAGCAGTTCCCGTACAGATTCCCGGCGTGAGTATCACCAAAATAGATCATACGCTGCAGCGCCGAAAATTTCACTCTCTTCCCATTTGTAAATTACAACGTGCTGACAGCAGTCGTCGAAGATGGCACAACCGCGCCCCCAAAGTTTAGTTCAACGGAAACTGTCACTGGGACAAATCGGGATATGCAAAATTATTTTTATTCGTAATAGTGTGGTCTTTAAAAATTGTTGTCGGCACTTTGATTCCAGTGCCTTGCAACAGATTGCTCAGACAGTAGAGATATAAGTCGAAGTTTTGCAGTATTGAGAGGCTTTTGGTCGCGGGGCTTACCGTGCGTTGAGGAAGGACGTAGAAACCTACGATGTCTTGAATGCGTCCCCGCCAGTATGCTCCGTCGTCGTTGCTGACCGCCACAGTATTCGATAGCTCAGCTGATGGACACTCGCCAGCATCCGCTGATACGAGGACATGGAGGGGAAGGGCATGCCAGTCTAAGCAACAACTGTACGTCATTAGTTGCTGCTGCCTGTTCAGTTGCCGATTCTCTGTCAGATTCCATTTGGAGTCGCAAAGAGACACAATCAAAACATTTCAAATTTTTTCCGCATTTATTTCTAATCAACTCCCGCGCCTACTTAAGGTTTTAATTGTTAATCTCAAAGACCTTGTGCATTTCTATGCAGCTTTATTACAGGGGATAATAATCTATAACACGGAATAAATTTAAGGTCAGCGCTATACCGCTATGCGCCCGGTCAGGATAAGCAGAATCTTGGCTGTGTGCCTGAATATTCGGTGAAAAGAGTTTCGGATAATTACGAAAACTTGTCATTACGCACTCACGCAAAATTCGATGTTCTCTCAGTTTGATGTACGTTTATGTACAGTCAGTGTTTTTTCTTCTTAACGTATGCTCGATGTTTTCCCGGCTCATGTTTTCTTGTTGTTTCAGTTGTTTATAGTCTCATAGTTTATAGTCTTATAGTCTATTGTTTATAGCTTATAGATGCTGATAAGGAGCGATTCCTTGTATTTGTAGACATTAAGCAATTAAAACCTTTAATGAAACTGTGGGCCTGAATAATACCGAATAATTAAAAATTTAGGTGTAACTGTGTTTATTGGCAATAGCCGCCCAAATGGCAATAATTGCAAGCGCTGGTACACTACTTAATAGTTAAAAATTAAACATTAAAAAAACAACTGTGTTTTAAATTTTACACAGTTGCTGTTACCAGATGAATTCAGTACTTCGTACTTAATGCAGAACTGGCCATCGCGATCGTGGGAAAGGTTAGCGCACATGCATACAGATAGGACAGACACAATCGCATAACATTTTCAGATGTAAAATATGTCCTTGATCCCAAACACCGCCATTCTGCTCCATGTGCGCACATTTTCAGTTCGCAGATCCACATCGTCCCAGGATTTTGGTGATCCGTCAGTGTAGAACCCGCTAAATCTGCGACGAATAACCGTTAAGTTGATTTACGTACGTTATAAGGCTGCATTTATTCAATCAAATTAGATCTTATGTAACTTTCCGGGGCGCACATGGTTACTGGCTACTCCATTGCTGTTGCTTTAGAAGACCGAGAGGAATAAAGGAACATGAACGTTCATTCATTCCTCTCGTACTCCTAAGTCCTAGAGCAAAGGCAATGGCTACTCGTACTGGCTCGACTACTTACATTATTTCGTATTAGTCGTTGAAGTCTCGTGACTCAAGTTGTATAAAGCTCTTTATGTGAGATCGATAGCGATAATGACAATAATGGTGCCACCCTATCCCGTGTCCACCCTATCCCGTGTAGTTTTATTATCGCATCGCAACTTAGGCTATTATGCACATTAAAAAAATGCAACTACTGACTTGTGAGCAGTATCGTTAAATTGTTGGCTATTGCCACTTAAGTATTTACAGAATTACAGTTTACATCATGTAAACACTGGGAAGTATGATTTTGAAGTACATAACACTTTATTCACCTGTGGTACAACATCTTAATCTTTTGAAGTTGATTGAAAGTTATGATTTTTTAGATAGAAGTATGTATCTAATGGTAAAAAGATAGCCAAAACATTATTGAATGCGCTACATGGTTATGATACGCAATGCTTTGATTGATCAATCGAGCCAGTAGAGCTGGACTGCAGTTTGTATGATCGGTTGCAGCACTTGAACACTTTAACCACAGCCGAGGGGCGAGGAACAGTAGTAGTATTATTGGGCTGTGCTTTAACACTTACATGGTAAGATACCCTCGGATCATGTCCCATTCAGCCGGATACCACAGATTGCGCACCCAGCGAGCGTGCACAGCGGTGACCTTTGCATATATGTCCTCGGTGACCGGGGGAAAGTTGTCGTTTAAACCCCACATAAATCGGCGCATCATGTGGTATCGCCCATCGCTACTCTGCAGAATCAGCTGCGGAATAGTGATTTGCAGGGCGTCAGCGGCGAGTACGCCGACATTCGACTCGCAAGTCAGATGTGCCATCCGCTTTACTTCGCTCGCGGGTAGTCCAACGAAGCGCTGGATTTTTTCGCAGCGTGAGAAATAGAACAGCTCGAAGACTGCAGCGCCAAAAATTTTGTCCACTTTCCAGTTGTAAACAAGAACACGCTGACAACAGTCGTTGAGGACGGCAGTGCGCCACGTCAGTGCGTAATTCAGCGGAAACCCGATAATATCTCTATCGTATGTTATCGGGTATCTGCAATTATTGGTGACCGTGTGGTCTTTGAGGATTATTGTCGGCACCGTGATTTCCATGCCCGCCAAAAGATAGCTTAAGCAATAGTGGTAGTCGAAGTTATGCACTAGAGTGAGGCTTTTAGTTGCTGAATCGACCGTGCGGCTGAGGAGGGATGCGACTTTGTAGCTGTTTAGATTGTGGGATTTCGTGGTCTGAGAGCAGGTTTTCAAACAGATGCTGATGTGTTCGGTCACAGAGCGACTACTCAGGAGCGAAATCCACAATGCACACACTCTGCAAAACACAGCAAAATTAAAGGTGATAATTTGATTTTTCTTGTATTTTGCTCACATTACTAAGTTACGTTTTCATATTTTGCTCGCCAGGTATTAAGATTCCTAACAAAATTTAACTTGCATAAATGACTACTTTGAACACAAAGGAACAACAGGAAGTGGACTGGATGCAATGGAGAAGAACGGATCTTCCACGCATTCTTCTGTATCTGTAGTTTCAATAAATACTACAGCTACTGCAATTTTCAACAAATTCGATTTGTTCAGATAATTCAGAGTCGCGAAAAAACAAGTCAAAAGGGATGTCTTGCGATCAGTAGTAACTGAAATACATAGCACGCCACATGGAAAGTGGTGCTGGTAACCGGTAAGCAAAATCTTAATCATCTAACTAAAATGAGCAAATATGAGAAAAATTGGAGTATATTATATTTTGTTAAGATAACGTGCACGGGCACCAAAATAATTCTAACTAGCAGACCCTGCAAAAATTGCGCGGAATAAATAAGTGATGGATAACTCACCAGTCAAGCGCCAAAATTAACAGCGTAGTACTACAAGTATAAACCTCGGTATAGTTATGAGGAATTGCAGAATTATAGTCTAATTGTTATCATTTTACGGCAGGTTCCATCGAAGCGAACCGTGACAGGTTTTTATATACGGTACACGATGGATATCCGTTGTAGCACTTACATTCTACTCTGTTTCTGCCCAGTTAGACTTTTTCTTTGCCAAACACTGACTCTCGAAACTTCCCGTTTTTCGACAATTTTCTAGAGTTAAGAGTTTTTCTAATGTCCTACAATCAGTACAATCTATACACATTTTTCCTACATCTCATGGTGTTACTCGTCACGCATCGTTACTCTACGGGCCTCTACCAGAGCACAAAACACCTCACACATTGCTGTTAGGCCCGACCGCTGCCTTCAACTTGCCGGGCCATTCCGCCCTCTACGACCGCCAGAAATTTTCTTTGTTTACACACGAATTCGGACACCAAGAACAGAAACTACAATTTCTGATATGTATTCCGTTCATCGGCCTATAGATTGGACTATGATCCTCCTTACCGTTTAACCCTCATACGTGAATGCAAGTCCAGATGAGCAAAAATCTCGCATAAAAGCGAGATTGGCAGATGAACCATCGATGCATCGTCAAGCGGCGGTTCCATTCGTTCATCTACAGATATGCGAATCATAGCTAGCAGTTAGCGAAAATACTCCTTATTACAGAAGCAGGTTCGTAGCTTCAGCCGAAAACCGTAATCAAATACTTGCTAGGTTTATAGTGTTCTAGTGCAAGTCACTTTGATCTGATTGGTTGAGCAATGGCTACCTCATGTTAATAATTAATGTCGTACTTAGCGCTTGAGCTTTGCCATTGGGTGTGTTGCCACTGCCGCAAAGGTCACCGTAAATGAACGCCGGCAGATAGGCCCGGAAGTCTAAATGTCTTTGCAGCATATCGGACAGTGCCGCCACGGTTGGGGGTTCCGTCGGAGGATGGCCGCTGATAAACGCGCATCCATTCTCTTCAATGTGCAGATGGAAGCGACCGTAATCAAATGAACCCCCTATTCCAGCAGCGCGGCTAGAAGACTCACAGAAGTGCTTGATGATGCGCGACTTATCGGAAGCGTCGCACAGAACGTCTTGCGCACTGGCAAAGGAAACAAAAAGCTTGGTGAATATTAAACTCTTGCTGTACAGCAACGGCGGCTGTGCCAGCGCTGCTTGCTCGACAGTTTGGCAAACGTCCACCACTTCCATACGAGCCTTTTGCGATCCACCACTGGCTGGGGCAATATCGGTTGTGCCGTAATCCTTCACTAATGCGCCCCATCCTGCACCAAGAATCAATACTGTGACAGGACGAAAGCGGAATGGTCCGTCGTCCTCGTCACGGAGAGCCGCCAACTAGACCGGAGGCTCATTTCCTTCGAATTCGTTATTAAAATAAGGAAACGGTAAAGACCACACCCGTCCCGCATGTTGCCAGCTGGCTGGGGCCAGTTTGCTCTGAAAATCGATAAAGGCGTAGTCGCCGGCGATGTCCTGAATGTGTCCCAGCCAACATACACCGTCGTCGTTACGGACCGCCACGGTGTTCTGGTAGCTTAGCTGACGGGCATCCGCCAGCATCCGCTGATACGGGGGCATGGAGGGGGAGGTCATGGCAGCCTAAACAAAACAACTGTACAACATCAATTGGTTCATGCTCCTGTTAAGAGAAAACTGCCGATTTCTTGTCAAGTGAAGAAACTAAAGTAAACAGTGTATCATTAATCAACAACAGTCATCAAAGTTACCAAAAAGTGCAAGCCCGCGCGATAAGTCAGAGCAACACACGCAGCTCAAAGGTCAACTACAGGAATTAGAGTAACACATTAAATTATGTAAGTATTATGTATGTACTATGTATTATGTAAATTGGCATTGCCATAATATCAAAAATATACGTATAAATCGCCGAATAAATATAAATTCTACTCAATAACGATCGTGAACGTAATCATGTTGTTCCGCTTCCACTGTACAATGAAAAATATCACACGTTCTCGTTGTGGCTCGTACTTGGAAACCAAGTTGCCTCTGAGAGAGATCGGTGGTGCGAATTCGTGCGAGAAATGCAAGATAGATGGGATCGTTTTCTGAAGGGAAGTGGCCCGGTACATGCTACTAAATTCGTGTGGATGCACGAAAACTTTCACTTTCGCGCACTCCCAAACACTTTTTCGCTTTCTTTTTATGACATTCTGTAGTCAAATGATTTATATACATAGGCGTAAAAAGTGTTCGTGCGCGCACGAGCGGTTTTTCCGCCTATGTATAAGTATATATACAATACGAATCATCTGACTGCAGAATGTCATGAAACAAAGAGAAAAAGTGTTTAGGAATGCGCGAAAGTGAAAGTTTTCGTGCTGTACACGAATTTGGTACCATGGGTAGTAGTTGGGTACCATGTACTGTACCGGGTGAAAAAGCACTCGAGTACCACAGCCAAAGGATTACAATAAAACCAGTAACAGGATATTAGTAATGCCAAAATTGTATGCAAACTGCAAAGAGAGGAATGTTACTGGAAGCAAGAAATACAACCTTCCTTTTCTTGAAAGATATTCACACTATTAAAAAATAATGTAATAAACTGATCTACTCTGTTACTCTGTATCATATATACTCAAATGATATTAAAGTTGGAGCCAGAGAAACGGCCAATCTTTTCATTCCGCGAGACACTTAGTTATAACAGACCGTTGGAGTTTTCTCGGATCGAGGTAGAATTCAACTGTTGAGTGTGACCTCTTTTTTGTAAGCGCCCGTGGAAGTTTCCCTAATTACCGGCAATGATTAGCCTGCTCGGTTCTTGGACGGTCTGCACTCTGCCTATTCCCTGTCATCTTTAGCAGAAGATGACCTACTTTTGTTGTTTCATTTTGCGAAGAGACCATAATTATAAGATGTGTGTCTGGCATTTTGTCTTTAGCACTTGCATCCAAATTTTCAGTTGCTGCTGACTGTAGAGACTAGAAAGTGACCTTTCGCACTACGCTTAAGCGAGCTGAGCCTGGCCATTTGCCCCACACCATTTGTCTGTTAAATTAGATTAAATCAAATTTTTTGCAGTGATTTAGCATGGAAATGCCGTAAAAACAATAAAAAAGGATATTAAAACGTAGTGCACATGAATAGCCGCGTAAGGCGTATAAAGTCTCCTTCATATGCACTACGGTAAAAACTGGTGGCATATAAGATCTTTTTTTATGATTCTTTATTTCAGTGCTGTTTTCAAACGGACGTTCTTTGTATTCGGTAGTAATGCAGGATATTTTTTCTTTGAAAAGACCAGCAAATTTGCAAAAAAAGGGTATTATTTAAAAAGATATTAAATTAAAAAAATACTATTTAAAAAGCGTATAAAAAATGTTATTATTTTGGTTGACTATGTTGGTTATCGCTTTCCAGGAGGTAATGCTGCTTAATGTGCCAGATTGACATCGATTGCCGACGCTACTTCGTAGAACTCTCCCTGTTTCTCCTTATCCAGAGTGGCCACTGCTCCCACATGTGCAGATAAGCCAGCACGAAATGCGTCATGGCGATGCTCTTATACGAATTACAAGTACATATGCTCTTATGCTCGATACTCTTTATATAGCGCTTCCTGGGTGCTGTCGTTGTGGGCCAGCGCCTGGATGGCCGGGATAGCAGCGCCCAGTGTGCGGTGGGCGGTCACTCGCTCGATTACCTCCCCGTTAATATATTAATAACTCACCTTTTTATACGGCGGCTCTGGCGCGACAGTTTACAAGCAGTAAGATCATTCAGCCAAGCTGAAAAAACCTGCGTATAAGTTAATAAGTAACAGGTATGTAGTTACTAGCTAGTTATGTTATCCGGACGTAAAATTTTCTTAAAGTACAGTACATGAATGAAAGTTGACATAATACACGCACCGCGTGTACTACGACCAACCTGACCGCAGTCAGCAGAGAAGGAACTCTGGAGATTGGTGTTGATTCTGTTGCCCACTTCCGTAGACAACAGGTGCTACACAACCACACTCTCACCACACTCACTACCACACTACAGGAATACCACACAGTAACTTCCGCCTAGGTACACACTACTGCTTTCCCTAAACGAAGGTCACCACAACTCAAACACCAACAGGACCACAATGATGTTACTCACTTTAATCTTATATTGATGTTCACTCCAACTCAGTCACACCGTAACTACTGAATACTAGCCGACGACGAAGCGCAGCTTCTGATCGGAGGCTACCGATAAGAACACGGATCATACGTCATCGCTAGTGCAACAGGGAATACACGTACAAACGCACAGTAAAGTCATACAACATAATCCCAATTATGTCAAAGTACATGAATGTTTTTAGCTAACCCAACATATGGTTAACACTGGCAATCTTCCGTACCATCCCGTGTGTACATTATTGTCGGTAAAGAATGTGTGTTAAGGAATTTTGCGGTCAGATGTTTTTCGTTGGATCTGTATCGGCATGGTGAATGGTTTTGTTTGTTATTTTTTCTTGTATGGGCGAATGTGCATTGTACATGTTTGGTTTTTGGATCTTTATTTCTTTTACTAGAAATAAAAATTTGTCAAAACCGTTTGGCTTTTCTTGGGCCGGCGATGCTAGGAGTACCGTATTAATGTGAACAAACATACATATATATTAACAGATTTATTGCAGCTCTGTCGAAGCTGTCCACTTATTGTTAGCGAAGAAAAAATATAATACATTCATTAAGAAAACTTATTTTTTGCGTATGAACATTTCGCTGACAAATTTTTCCAAAAAAATCTCTTGAAATTTCAATGAATCAAAGGATTACAAGTAAAACATGTGAATGCATCAGCAAATGAATAAAAATATAAATAAAAATATTTTTGAGCGTTTTTTTAGCCAGTTAGTAATGATAAGCGATAACTGAGAAAATTAATACACGTAAACGATTAGCACCAGCAGTCGGGTAATTTAGAAGAAATCTTCAGTGTGATTAGGTCGCCTATTTCCGTTGTCGGCTAAGACTGCATGATCAGTAAAGATCTTTTACTTTTAGAGAAAACTAGTTTTCTTTTGTACAGCAAATTATTACACGTATCGTACATTGATTGCAATGACAGATCGCATGAAACTATCTAATTTCAAGAAAATCAATCCGTATAAAGGCGTAAAGTAAGTACGGTTCCGTATACACTAACGGAAGCAGCCCCCACCCACGGGGAGCGTGCAGAGTGCTAGCCAGCCACATAAATGGTGGAACGAGTACTTATGATAACAGTAGTAAGAAAGCCGCGTATGCCAGTCGTTCCTGGCTTGTCTGTTGCTTCTGTTTGACTTTATCAGACCGAGAACCTCACGAAAGGCATTTCATTTTTGTTTTCCTTCGTCGCCCTTCTCTTTTCACAACTTCCTCGATGATTTGATTTCTCGTTAACCATCACAATCTTTTGATTTGCGACTGTTCATAGTGTAATGCTACCAGTAATTGTCTTTCGGGGTCTTTGATAGTCAGTGCGTCGGTTAGCGAAGAGTAATGGAAGCTTTACCGCCTTTACGCTTAACAGCAAAACTTAAGTTGCTGCAACTGCGCATTTCGATTTGAGTTGATTCTGCAGACTTCCGTTTTTTCTTTTTTAATTGATTACTTCCATCTGTGCGGTGTCTGTCGTGCATAAATCAATTTTCTATTTTGTAAGCTTATCCAGTGCTGATTTTGTTTGTTCTTGCCTAAACATGCCAGCAGGTGATGAGGAAACGGTTTCCGCGGATGTGTACGATGCCTTCCACAAACTCTTCATGGAATTCTGGTCGGATCATCCTGAGTTGCATGACAACGTTCAGTTGCAGAAAATCTGCGAGAACTGCTCTATCCTGGTAGACATGAGCGAGAAACAGGCCGATGTCATTCGCTTACTGAAAGAAGAGAACACTCAGCTCAAAGTGGATGTGGAGAAAATCCATCAGGATGTGTACAAAGCACGCCAAGATCGAGACGAGGTGACTTTCTGACCTTGAGATTATTTCGCTTTCGAGCGCAGAATAAATTTAAATTTAACAGTGATTTTCGACAATTAGTAGGAGTGCAGTTGAGCTTCTGGAATTAAATAATGCATTATGGAAGAATTATTTTTAAATTAACGAACATTTTTTGGGATTTTTTCCGTAACAATTAGCAGCTAGCTACAGATGAATTATTGGATTTTAAATTTAGTCATTAATTTATTTAGTATGTGGATGAAGTGGAGAAGAATTGGGCGGCGGAAGTCCAGCAGTACGTGAAACAGTTGGAAGACGGGAAAGAGGAGAGGAAGTTCCTGAAACTGCACTTGGATGAAATGGAGCGCGAACTGGAGCATCTCGGTAATGAGAAAAAGAAAGCCGAAGAGGCGCTGCGTGCTTTTCGTGATCGCTGGGAAAACCGCAGCCATCACATGACATCGCTGTTGGATTCCAGTGAATTTGAGACCGGAGAGTCGGATGCCGAAGGTTACGAGGTAAATTTTTATTGAAAATTTATTTGGCGACCTTTGACTTTTGCCTGCCTTTTGATCTGTTGCGCACGAGTTGAATGAAAATGTTAAGCTTTCATTTTTCCGTGAGCGAGAAAGTATTGCAAGTGGTATCGCTACAGTAATACTCGTAACATCATATATTTTTTTTTTATTTCAGCAGAATAATTTTATTGATGAATCAGGTTTTCGAAGATATAATTTCCTTTGCGTTACATGGTCAGATAGCTCAAGCTTTATTTTGTGTTGACGCTTTTATGCGCAGCATTTTCCTTAGCATGAACGCTTTCTTATATTTTAAGAGAATTTATGTTATTCCTTCTTTTGGATATGTATAATTTTGTGCGCGTGTCATTGACGTAAGTTGAAGATTTTGTGTAGTGTTTTTTATTGGTGTTCTTACAGTTTTTCTTGATGTTTTAGGGTGATGAGTCCAAATATTCTTCTCCTGGTGGCCGGAGTATGGTGCAGCATTTGATCGGTGAGATCCAGCGTAAGGATGATGAACTGAATGAGCTGCGGGCGCGCGCTGATCGTGTGGAGATTCCGCATTGCACGTCGGATCTGCTGGATGAGCTGCACATGCTGCGCGACGACAACGAGAATCTACGCAGTCTCCTGGCCGACCGCAATCCGTCCATGTCACCGAAAGGTGTGTTAAAGCTAAACACTATAGAAGTATATGGTTTTACTGTTTGCGACATTATTAGTCAGTTTGCTCGTTTTCAAATTTCAGAAAAATAATTACGTACGCGGTACGCGTATTAGTTAGATCTGTGCACTGCGATAGTTCTGAGCGCACTTACTAATTCAAAATTTTAAAGATATTGGTGTCATTGCTAAGTTTTTATTGATTACCTGGTAACAACTGCCCAGACTTTTCTGTATTTGACAGTCAGTGATGGCTGTAAATGCGAAATTTATGTTAAAATTGCACACTTGATAGCACGCAGTTGTTTTATTGGTAGTTTTCGGTGTGAGTTGGTGTAATTGTTTTGACTGGTTCTTTACAAAATCCCTCGCTTCATGCAGGTATAATACAGATTGTTTTTTGTAGACGTCAGTGCCGATCGTGGTCGCTCGAAGCGAACCAGTCTCATGTGCGAGTTGAATTCTCTGGACTGTAAGTTAACTGCCTTGAATCTGGTGACAGCGAAATGCAGATCTGACTGTTTCTTGTGATTGTAGCGTCGGCGAATCGATCATTTATCGAGCGCACTCGCGATCGTGCCGGGTCACCCATGTTTTCCGATGTCGCCAATCAGACTGTCGAGCAAGCGGGGGATTCTGCGTTTTCCAAAACCACACAGGAAGGATCTCCGGGTCGGAAACTGTTTGAGAATTATACTGAGTAAGAGCCACCTCGCGAACCAGCTGATTATGTTATCGAGATACGATTACGGTTGAAACGGTTTCGTTAATTAAGGGTTTTGCGCTAATTTTGATACGTACAGATTTTACTTTATCGGTTTCCGTTAATTTTTATTATAAAAATTATTAATGTTAATTTAGTTCATATTATTATACGTTTTTCGTAAAACTTTCGAAGTCTATGTTGTGATTTGAAACTTCGTACGTACGCTTTCTTGCATGATAGGTAGGATTTGGTTGTGTACCGTAAAAATGCTTTCTTCGCCATGTTTCTGCTTTCTTCGCCATGTTTCCATAAGAAACTTGAAGAAAACGATTTCTTTCAGTGGGTTTATTGTTTGGAAGTTTGCTGTTAGTCTATCTCATGATTGAATTTAGTACATAATTCTTCAATAATTTCGGCAGTCGCCACTTTGAATTGCTGATTGTTTTAGTTATTGTTGGAACATGCTGTACAGTATTGTAGAGAACCTGCAGCGGTGGTCGCATCTACTGACCGGACTTGTACGGGGGATCGTCTCAAAAATAATTTCCGCGCTATTTTCGTGATTGGTCTGCTCTTCTACCTGCTGGATCTCATCTCGTTTAATATCCTCGGCGTGCATATATTTTCCCGTAAACCATGCCACTCAGGTCCACCTTACTGAAGTGGAATACCCGAAAATTGGCTGTGGTTGTCTGCGTTTGGCCGGTTGGTTCGCTGTAATGGACGTATTTATTTAATTATGCTCGGGGAACGATTAACTGAACCGTGCAGACTTTGCGAAATATTCTTTTATTTATATCCTCGCATGAATCTTTTTTTTGGAAAATAATAAATTTGTACTATTTTCATTTTTTGTAAATCTGTAAAGGTTTTTGGCTCATGTGTTCCCGTGTTAGTGATGGAGCGGCGTTGTGCGTTTTTATTACATTGATTATTTTGCCTGTAATATACATTTTATGTACTCCGATTATAAACTGTTTATGTGCTGTATAATTATATGAATGAATTGCTTTATAGATTTTACACATGGGACTTTTGAGTTATGGTGTGAATTGCTCAAATAAATGGGTTGTTTTGTCCAGGCACTGGAATGGAAGTTCTTGTAAATTTCGAAAGAAGTTTGTCTACGCATATTATACATACATGATGGTTGGTATGCTGTTTGTGTGAAAAACGTACCCTAGGCATTTTCGTTAAGCGGTACAACGAGAAATTCCTGCAAGGAGCTTTTTTAAATTGAAAACTTTAATACTGCAAATAATATTTTTAAATATTACTATTATAATACTAGGGTAATATTTTTAGTTTAAAAAAGTATTTTAAATATTTAACATTTTACAATCATCCGCTGCAGGCTTCTTAAATTACAACATAATATTTTCTCACTGAAAAGCGTAAATATCAGGATTTGTGCAGTACACTGTGTACAGACCCTGTATTTTTTAAAGTATATTTGTGGAACTATCTGTACAGGATAAATATTGCGGTTGTACTTATATATGTTTAATTTACTTATATATGTTTAACTTACTGCGAGTGAACATGTCCCGTATCACTAATTAGTAATTTGCTCTACTACAGTGCTTACGGCAGGGCACAGCTGTGCCGTCGTGCTGAAAATCGAATCGACGACGTTGAAGATGCTGGTTTCTAACCATAGCCGCCGTTGATACTGTATAAAGTAAAAACCACTTTTTGCGCATTCGACGTTCTGAGATTCGCTAGCTCTTTACGACTTCACGCATGTGCAGTAAATGTTTTGCGTGGTTCTCGCTTGCAAATTGTAACCGAAGTTAGCATTGAAGCAGCTTAATTCTGCTTAAATATATTTAAATATAATTCGTGATCACTTTTTCAGTTAACAATCCACCGGAATATCGAGTATACGTTGTTTAAGAATTCGTATTTTTCTAACAAATATTGAAGTGTACAGAACGACCGAATTACTGGCAGCATGAGCCAGAAAGGTGATCATACATACGCGGATTCACTTCCAAATAAACGCCCTCGTCTCATAACGGTTCGACAACGATCAGGTACGAACTGGATAAAACAGACAGAAGATTCTACACATTGTAAAGACTACGAACCCAGAAATGTCTGCTAGAGGTGCAGTAATTAATTATGGATGCACTTGCTGCTGCATATACCAATATGACTACATACTGTTGTTAATCTACTGCCTATTGTGCAGCATCCATGATATCCGAAGACAATGTCGATATGCTGGATGAGAGCGCTGTGATTGACACACTCAACGATCTGCACATGCACGATCAAGTATGACCTTTCTTGCTCATTTTGCTGAAAGTATCCATATATTGCACTACTGATATCATATAAAATTATTTCATATTATTTATATAAAAAAGTATTTATAATTATAAATTATTTTTCTTACTGTTCATACAAAAAATTTATTTTACTAAAAAATGATAAAAAATATTTTTATAGTAAAATATATTGCATGGTTTCGGCTAGAACGAGGACACTTTTCTGACGGCGGATACGGATCCGTGTGAGGAGCAAAAAGACAGTGATATCGTCGATCGGGATGATGCGGATTATGTGCCCAGTAAACCCACGTTTTACTTGCGCCGTCAACCCAAACGCTTTGTCCATGCGCGACCTTTTACCAATGGTCTCAGCGATAATGCCACAGTACGACACACTGGTGAAATACTCGCTGTGTTCTCGAACGCGTAATGTGAAAAATCCATTACTTGTCTTTTAAGTAATCAGTATTCTAAGTATGATTAACTGTCAGCTTAAATTAACTTAAAAAATGTTTGGCTCAACGGCTACAGCAAACATCAGATAAACATTGTAGCCGATTCCAGGCAAATTCTGACAGCTGTTCACAAGTCAGTTGGTCGGCTTTTTCGGTAAAAATTTTATTAACCAAATTTGATTTTTTTGGGCGTGCGTTAAAATAAATACGGTTTTCGGGTTGTTCTAAATTGCTCTTAAAATTTGTAAAGTTTGTATTAATTTTGTATATGTAAATAAAATTTGTATGTTTTTTGATAGGCCGAATGGCTAAAAGAGCATTTCCATGCGAAAAGCGGTAGTCTGATTCCCAAGAGTTTCCTGTGTGATCGCTACGAGGAATTCTGCACGCGGACCAAACGCAAACCAATGAACAACGCCACACTGGGCCGATTTATTCGCGGCGTCTTCCCCAAGCTGGAAACTCGACGACTGGGAGCGCGGTACGTACAGACTGTATATATGCACGTATTTTATTTACAACCCGAAATCTCTACTTAATCACTTTTGGTTTTTTATTCTTATTGTCGTAAACTGAAACAGGCACATCAACGTCGTATATTTTCCTTTGTTATAAATAAACAACTACAAAAACGAAATCCGAAGAAATAAAGCAGAATGTTTCTATTTATTATTATTGCTAATAAAATAAATAAACGTAATTCGATAAGCGGAAGACTTCCGAAATGACTTATTTCGGTGTTTTTGCAGCCAGCAATCGCGATACTTTTACAATAACTTAGCCATTCGCAACTCCAGTCCGTATGCGGCCATGATTCGTCAGGAGATGCAGTCGGTTAACATTCGTCGTAACCGGATACAGAGCACGCAAAACGCGCAAAGGTCAGGTTTGCTTTTCGGTTCTATGCCTAACCTTCATATTATTATTATTGTCAATTTTTTCCGCTGCAGTTTTATTCGGTTCTGTGTTTGTGTTATACTTTTGTAAGCATGGCTAGCTAATTTCTAAATTAATATTTTCATTTAATTACAATGTCAAGAAGGTGTATTCACATAATTATGTGTGTCATCGTTCAGTATTTGCATGTTGCGCGTTTCTCATGCATTAGGTTGTTTTTTTACTTGTTTATTTATTTTCGGTTTTTGTAATTCTCATAATTTTACGACGCGATAATATTCTACCGTTATTTAGGCTATCGACCCAGAATTTTGTAACTAACCCGCTGTTTGATTTGATTTATTTTCTATCTAACTCATTTGTTTTCGGCTGTCTTCTTCTTATTGTTGCAAAGTATGCTGTATTTTGCTGCAGAGTATGCTGTTCTTGCAACGCATTTATGCATCTTACGAATGTTACATGTATATCTTATTGGCAAATTGTGACCTTCTGTAGTCGGTCAGCCAGCCCAGCCGCCGATGCGCAACTGGACACTGACTGTGCGTCGGTACCGATCGTTTTCAAAATCCCGCCCTACCTGCCCGGCTTTACACAGCGCCGATTGGCCTATACATCATACAGTGCCGTGCGCGAGAACGGTGAGCCTCGACTGGAGGAGGCACTAAAGCGTTTTGACGATGAGGGCTGTGCGCATGTACTAGCTACGATGGAGCACAATAAAGAGAAGCACCGCTCCATGATCCATCCGGCACTGCTGGACAGTGTCATGTTCAGTGCCCGCTTCCCGGCGGCGGTGGGCGTGTTGCCCAATTGCGTGACGGAAGTGCAGGTGTCCCGGTTTCTGGTCGGACTGCGAGCACATATCGGAGTAAGATAATAGTGTCAAATACATATGTCGAATTATGTACAGATATATCACTCACATATTATTATCAAATCTTCTTATTATTACTTATGATAATCTCTGATAACCCACAAAGTAGCTACAAATATGGCTGTTTTTAAATAGATTCTCAGCAGTGTATTTTTGGGATACAACATGACCGCGATTCCTCACATCTTGGAGAATTTCTGGTTAAACAAAAAGCGAAGGTTTGTTTTCAAGAGTTTCGTTAAAAACACATTGGGCAATTAGTTAAAACAACTTAATTTTTTCGTTTGAAATTCCAGTGTGCAAGTTTTTGACACGGTGACCTTTGCCCCGTTAATATGGCCACCACTGCAAACCTTTATTACCCAAGTATACCGGCATTTGTACGAAAGTATTATGGATTTGTTTATCGCGGATTACTTGGTCCCTTTGGATGGTATGAAATGATCGCTAACTATGCAGTTATAGCTAGATATGGGAAGAAATCTAAGTGTTTCATTGCAGAACATGTTTGGGGTATTCTATTTGTGGTGGCCAGTAAGTACTATCAGTGTATGGAGTACGTAACACGCGGATTACCCAACGAATTGCGCGGTATGTTGGTCAATGGCGCGCAGAGCTTCGCGCAATATCTCCGTGACCTGCTCAATGCCAACCACGATGCTTGTTATATTTCCCTGACCTGTATGGATAAAAACGTCGTTACCTTGCTGACCGGTGCCTTAAACAACCTTATGCGAAGTGAATTACTGGTGCGTGCACTTAATTAACATTTTGAAAATACACCAGCGTAACTTGTTTTGTCGCTATTTTTATTACTTTACTTTGTATTTTACTTATCGTTATTTATATTATTATCATTTACTACTACGTATCATTACTTGTAATATATACAGTATACCGCTGTTTAAATTAACCATTGTGATACAACAGAGAAAATAGTTTCCTGAAGTTTGTTCGGTTAAAATGTAAATTAAATTAAACAGATAAATTAAAGTAAAATTTATTGTAAAATACATACAGCCTAAACTACATAATATATACTCGTATGCAGCGATTGTTTATTGGTTTGCTGGCAGGATTGTCTTCTATGGCTGCAGCGTTTCGCGCTAAGTGATCTTCTGACAGCGCTGCAGACGTTCGTCAGCTTCTCGGAGATCAAACGCGATGCGGTCACCGCGTGGGCTAATTGGATCAAGGGTCTGGTGTCGTCTTACGTGGACCGGTATGCGACGACCGATGACAAACTGACCACGCTGCGGTTAATGGCTGGTGACTGGTGCCTTTTCATGTAAGCATAAAACGCAAACATAACAGAATAAGAAAAACTACAGAAAGACAAAGACCATTTGTTTCCTTTTTGTAGGACCGCTGCCGAAGATGCGATGACCGGTTTTCACGGTGACCTTCACATTAAAGCCGGTTTTTTCGCTATGTGCGTCAGCATGTTCTGTATGGTGGTGTTGTCGGTTATGAAGGATATTTCGGCGGGAACGTCTTTGGATATTTATTCTAAGGTATCCTGTAAATTATATTGTTAATAAAATATTTCCATAAAATAATTCAAAAGTCAATTTTATATGTCCCAAAGGCGCATAGCTTAGCGCCTGCGCAAATTAAATTCGGTTTAAACTCGTTATTTGAGCGTGAGCCCATAAAAGAGCATCAGTTTTGAATTTTGATTATTCAGGTTTCATCTCTGATATTTGTTTAGGTTTTTGTTTGGTTTTTTTTATACTCATTATCGTTAATCTGGCGATAACTGGCGCTTTTGTTAGACGATAATTATGGTGTTTTATATATTCAGTTTGCTCGCCCAGTTGTTTCCGACAATACGGAAGATTTCAGCGCGTCTATGGACTACAGCTGGTGGCCGGATTTCCCCACCATCTCCTCGATGCCGATTGCTGAGGATATTCTGCAGTCGGAAACATACGTCCGGACCTTTCCCGCGTTAGCCGGTGTTGCGTACGATATTTCGGAAGCCCAGTTGATGGAGGGCGTTCGGACCAGTCATCGGGCGGGAAAAGGACGGAATCGCTGGCTAGCCGAGGGCGAATGGGAATAATGCAGCATTTCACATTCCAGGATCCCCTTCGTTTGGCCTTTGATATGCAGTAACTAATAAGTAAAATATGTACTTAATATTATGCAGTAAACGATTTAATTGTGGGACATAAGTATTACAAACGTTTGTAAACGCAAGTTTCCGCAATGTTTGCCATAACAAGCTTTCAATCGCGCGCCTCGCATAGTGTTAACATATGGGCGTGTATTGTGAGAACGTCGGGTTCAGACTGACTGTACGCTTTTACAAAGAATGAGCACCAGTTTGCTGCATCGTGTATGCTGCTGCATCGTTTGCTGTATGCACTGCGTATCGCTCTTGCATACTGAGATATGATTGTGTATCTTCTTTTAATTTGGCTCTTGATTGCGTATCCTGTGTGTTTGTTATCACGATGAAATACTCGTATCTTTTAACAAAACGCGGTTTTGTGCACGCTTTTCTTTATCAATGATAAATACTCACTCTTTATATACGAATTTTGCCTACTTTATTTTTTTTAATTTGCCGTTATGCAGTTCATTGAACTGAGCTTAAGCAACCCTCAGTAGAAGTAGTCCGGACATCCAGATAGTGTTCTTGATTCTTTTTTTATTGAAAACTTTGTAAATTGCATACGACGTCGACATTGGCAAGCAACCGGCATGCTAACACTGATAAGCAAGTGTAAAAGAAAGGCCAAGAAAAAACCATAGCAAAGATGTGCAGAATTTTAGAGTCATAGCAAAGATGTATATGAGGCAAAAAAAAGCAAAAGAATTTAAACAGAATAAATTATCTCAGTTATGATGAATAAGTTGACACAATTACACAATCAGATGATATTGCATATTCGTTATGTAAAACTTCTCGTATGGGGAGAGCTTGCAGTAGTAGCACTAATTACACTGCAGCGTATAGACATGAATCTATGCCATATATAAATCTCTACTAGACATTTTCTCCAGCAAGAGGCGCGCATAATAAAAGAGCGTGGTATTACAAAATCAGCAACATCATAATATGGCGACACAAACTGTCTCCAGTCCAATCCGCTTTCAGTTTTACAGCTCCGTCAGACCATATCCATTTCCCTGATTGAGTGATGCCATGGCGCGGGATTGTTTTGGTGCGCTGCCCCAGTCGGTGGTGGCATGACGTTGGCCTTGCGCTTGCATGAGAGCCTTATACGTGGGGCTTTCTTTGTAGTCGGTCAACGGTTTACCGCTTCCACTGACTTGATTCCTGTTGATGTGGATCACCAAATGACACCAATGCACCAAATGGTTATGAAATTAGAGATATGCGGCACACGTGGTTTAAAAGGTCACATGCTATTTCCCAAAAATTTATAGAGGTACCTACTGTCTAGTGTCTAGTTCCACGCACTACAACCATCAGATTAACGTCTTACCGAAATACATACCGAAAGGTCATGCGCAGTTAAGGATTTCGTATATATTTTATTAACGATATTTTAAGGGTTTGATTTGCATACATTGTACTGTGCATAGTTATATCATAGTGTAAAGATGGAGTTACACTTAACAATTAACAGTAAACAACTACTTCGAAGGTATTAAAAAATAATCAACAACAACAGCACACTTTTAAGAGGCTATAACAAGAAAATTTCGTAATTTCTCCGAATCCTGTATTGTGCCCATCACGCACATAGCGTTCCCTCTAGTTTGAATTTGTAGAGTGCAGAGATATATATATTGTCTTACAGGTTATATGTAGTATTACTCGAGTAGGCACTTGCATTTCTTGCAAGGCTTAATCTGTATTGTAAACTTACGGTCGCAGGCCGGTTTGAGCAGTGAACATATCCACGGCGTTTTGTGTGTTGTACAAACCAGCCGGTGAATTGTAGTTGGAGTGGATGATCTTGCGACCGGCTTGCGGTGCCTGGGGGATCTCGAAAGGGAGCTGACTGCTGTGCTGCTGCTGTGGCTGGTTGTAATTAGGCGCGCCGTTGAAGTTAAACGGGTTGGCATTGGCCGCCGGACTGTACGGAGCCGGTGGGCTCGGGGGTTGTGGTGGGGGTGGCCACTGTAAAGGTCACGACATTATCGGGAGGTCAATTAAGGAAACCCCATGTTTCCGCTATGGACGTAAACGCGTTACAATATTAAATACAGCAAATTCAAAATACCAGATGTCTTGAAATTTAATAGAGTTGTTAAAGTAATGCTAACAATGTTCTCACAGTATGGATTTGTATAATGTAAAGCAGCTTGGGTACATAGTAATATCAAATATCGGATTTACAGCATTGTTCTTCCTCGTGGCACTATTTTTGTTTGCTAAATTGTACGGAAAAAGCTCTGCAGTTAAACAGCCTGTATGGTTCGGAATGTTTGGATTTGTTAGGGAAGTTGTTGACCGTTACCTGTCGTCCGCCCATGAGCTGTTGTGGTACTGGCGATTGCGAATTCTGTCGTTGAAATCCATTGGCAGCGCTGTAAGGGCTGGAAAGAAACCAACGTCTTTAAATCCTGTCCACCTCGCAAAATTGTCAGTAATGCATGTACTATAAGAATGCGGTACCTAAGGTTGGCTCCATATCCTTGTGGAGCATCGTAGACGCTCTTCGGTCGTTGCTGCCCTCGGTTATAACTGCGCGTATTCACGGGAGTATATTGTGAGTCATGTGCCACTCGCGGTTGTGGCAGTTCCTGCCGGCCAAACGACGACTGTAAATAGGAACCCATTGGGCGGTAGTGCTTGGCTTTCGGTCCCGGCGCAATCAGCTGATTAGAGCGATATGTCTGCAAGCGAAAATAAACTTTAATATGCCAGCTGTGACTTATGTAACCTTTTCAATCTGGATGCACTGTTACATCACAAGATTTAGATGAAATATCTGGCAATAATATTATGACGATGTGCATTATCTACATTAAGACGAACTTTGCCTACAACAGACAAATTAACAATTAATATAACACATATATACGACATTTTACATTAGGAATAACTGCACATTATTGCAGTATAAGTTCTTGCACAATTTTGGTACCTGATTTGTAACGCTCAGTTTATCAAGATTGGGCAGCGGGACAGCGTAGTCCAGTACATGTGACTTTTTCTGTTTTTCCACCTCCATGAGCCGGCGCATTCCCGGCGCACCGGGATCGTCCTCCACCGGCGCCTGTTCACGTTCCCAACGCGGACCGCCACGCGCAGGCGCTCCGCCCTGTTGGATCATCTGCATGGTGGGAGAGTTCTGCCATGCTTGTTGTTGCTGTTGCTGCTGCTGGTAGCGCTGCAACTGCTCCTGTTGGTACTGGAGATTCTGCTGGTATGTCTGGGAATTCTGACGCTGGAAAGACGGCGGCCCTTGCTGGTAGGCTTGCGGTTGGGGGCTGGTGGGCGTAGAGCCCCCGCTTGACCTTTAACAGAAATAAATGCCGGTTGAATTTTACACCTTTAAAAATTTCGTTTATTTTATTAGTATTAGTATCTGTGCTTCTACAATTGTTATTAATTTTTCTCGTCTAACAAAGAATTATCGCTGTACTTTGTAAATATAATTATATATGTATAATATTAGTATTCAGTTTTATCGTGACCATGGGTTAATTATAATGACGCCACAACTTACGACACTATTTTTCTTATTAATTTTTTTAATTGTGTAGTCGATTGCGGACAGCGTAGGTATTTGTACTAGTTCATTGCTGGCAGCAGTAACATATTCACACTCTGAGAACGTCTGTAAATCGGTTTTTAAGAGCAACAAACAAACTTGGAGTGTTGCATCGCTACATACGAATACAGGTCCTTAAAAGCGACGGAATAAACTGCGAGTAGCGATGATGACTGCCATCTTTTAATATCGCTACAGATGTGACCTACATTAGTAACCGGTCACTTGTCCTTTGGGAGAGTTTTAAGATCAAGTTTAAAAAGCATTTATCTTCGGCGCTGCATGTGGGCTCAGCTCTTGAAAAAACTAACACGGCGGTCGCGACGCATTTGAGCAAATACAGGCTAAGATTTTAAGCTTCCGAAGTACAGTATCTATCAGCAATTTCGGCTTGACAGAAGTTATCGTTTGAAAACCTTTTATTTAATCAAAATTATTTTTAACAGAAACTTGAATTAAAAGGCGCTTCCTTCAATTCAGCTTTTAAAAAAAGCGCCTACTCAAGGTTACAGAAAGTTCAATGTATAAGTACCAACATCTGTTACATTCCTGAAAAATTGTAAAGTTATTAATTGTGGATTAGCGCATCAAATTGTGGTCCTAGATAGCGTTTTCATAATTTAAGTCTTAATATTTAAATCTTGTTAGGCAAAAATGCTATAAAGTCCTAAAACACCGGCAAAATTTCCGTAGCTGCCGTTACGAAACGTTATGCAACTGTATATATCTTTTGTGCTGACCTTTGAACCTCCAGCCTGAGAGACAGTGCGGTATTGTTAATGAGCTGTTCGGCGTCCTGCAGCGGCAATCGGCTGGCGTCGTAGTCGTTAATCCGTAAGAGAATGTCACCGCGATGTAGTATTCCTTCGGAGGGCGATTGCATAAACACCTACGCACATTATACTATATATGCACCAATAGCATCTTCCATCCGTAGTTCCCATCGTCGAGTACCGCAGACTGCGTACAGTAATAAACTATTACGTGTTCTGCTTATATGTTAATGCTGCTGCTGCCACACGCGAGACGAAAAACTGTAATATTTTTAGCTCTCGCCCGTTTCACAATCTCCGCGTTATGTAGCCTCCAAAGGGGATAAAATGAAAATGTCAGAATGGCGGATAAAATATTGCCCGGCTTAATGATATCGTCCATGAGCGCGCAACGGAAATGCGGTATGAACCGGCTTTAAACAGCGGCAACCAAGAATTTCCGTTTACATCTCCCAGGAATGTGCCAGATCGAGGGAAATGCGAAATTGCGAATTGATACACGATGACTTATGCGTTTAGTATTAGTCAGCGTGTGTTCGCATATATCCAAAAATGAACAATGGCAAAACGGTGATTTATGTATAATAAGCTCGATGTAAACTCGTAATACACGCACGCGTAGTAACTAATTATTATTGGAATATAGGTATGTATGTATGGAATATAGAATATAGATATGTCAACATGGTATAAGCATCGATCACTGCAACATCACAATACTTCCAGATAGCCCATTAATTTAATTACACTTATAAACAGCAGATATTACATTTTCTGCGTTTCCAAAAAATCCGTTTTGGCGTGGGCAACAAAGACCAAAAATGCACAGGCACGCTTTTCTGATTGAAGTCGATTGAAACAATACAAGCGGCGTGCTAAATAGCGACGTACCATAAACCCACATTATAACTCAAAAGTGTGAATTACAAAGAGATTCTGGGACCGTGCTGGATTATAAAGGTAACTTCTCAGGAATAAAAAAATTTCGAGAAAACAAAAGAAAAACCAATTAAGACGCAATATCGCTTCGATTCGATTAATATGTACTTGGACAAACATACTTATACCGCAAACATACCGCAGGAGAGCACGATAAAGCATGATGGCCATGGTGACTGCTTGCACCACTAATCCAAGTTTATTTTTAAAAAATTCTATAATACAGTTTGTAACAATAAGATGGGGATAAAAGCAATATTAAGAAATGTTAGGCGGTAAACGAAAGTATCTGCAAGCGCGTAAATATATACCACAGGATTGAACATACCCGCTGGACAGTCAGTGCTTGGCCCTGGTCAGCGCCGCCCTGCAGACGAAATCCCCAGGGTTTATTGAAAGCATTCCGGTGGAGCTGTACCGCAATCAATGAGCGGGGCCCTAGCGCTGCCATAACGTCTCCACCGTGAATCTCGCTGATGTGGTTGTATATATCTTGCAATGTACTTTAACCGCACAAATATACAGAAATATCAAATTATAATCCGTATATATTTGCACAGTATACCAGTCGTACACGCAGTATATGCTGACTGACATATATGATATACGTACAAAGTGGCGGCGGTAGGTTTTTTCTTCGTGTGCACTTCCGGCCTGGGACGGGAAATATATGTTTAGAAAAATAACATAAATTTAGGCGGTGTAATGTCAATGATCAGTTTACTGTGGAGAAGGACGCGCCCTATTCCGTGCCGTACGGAGACAAGTGGAATATATGCGTTTATAACGGTTAGGCTGGGTTTAAAAATAAAAAAATAGATGCGGGTGTGAGGCAGACAGCAGCTGCTTGGAGTTTTTGCACCAGGATGATGAGACTATATCCTGGGTACTTCTCACTCATGAGTTTCCATATAATTTGGATGGAGAGAGAGAGAGTGGTGGAAGAATGCATGGCACGGTTTTTTTGGCAAGCGGATAACACAATCGAGGCCCCTATGAAATGCACGCAGCATCGCGCAACTTCCGCCGGCTGACATGTTGGAGAAAGATCGAAAGAGAAATGCGCCGGGATGCTGTTTTCGGCCACTGCTGCACTGGATATTGCTTAATTTCTATCAGGGTCTGACTATTTATTTGCGCTTTTAAATGGTGTGCTGATTTATCCGCGCTGCAGCAGAATGCGCGCCGCACATAAAGTTTTGTACATTTGGTTGTAGAACTTGTAGTACTGTACACATACGGTTATTGCAGAAATGTCCAGATTTTTAATTTTACCAACAAACTTTTTTCTTCATAAATCGTAGATATCATATGACTGATCTTAATTGGTGACACTTGGTGGCACGATGGAAACTAGTTTGTGCAGAAAATTTCACGAACATTATGCAAAGCTTTATTGAACCACAAAGAAACTGTAAGTTCGCGTATCCAAACCAATAACTGATAAAATGCATACTCGTACAATAAAAAAGACTTAGAAACACGCGTACGTACACTTGGCTAGATATACCAAATTCTCTCAACTTCAAAGATAGTGTTACTTTATCGTGCGACCTTTAAACGTTAATATCAAGGAATATCAGGGAAGTGAGTAAAATTAATACCGCTACAAAATCATTCAGTCGTCCAAATCCAACCCAGTAGGCCATTAGATTTTATCGCTCGACGTCCGGTAAAAAACCTTTTTTTCGTCGCCTTCATAAAATCGCTGGCAAACGCCCCCATCGCTCACCACCGGAGCGCGCAGTGGGAGGAAAAAAGTTTTCTGTTGATAGTTCTCCTTAATCAGTTCCGCCTGCAGATCTTGCGACATAGAGACTGGCATAGCCATCCAACGATCGGCATTTCGATCATAACATTCGAACAATGTACTTTCCTGTTTGTTGCCGTCGACGTGGGTCGTTCCGCCGTACACCCAGATATGCTCGTCTTTGATAAAGATGGAATGATCATAACGAGCAACGTTCAGGTGGGCAATGGGCTGCGGTTGCGGGGTGGCGTCGGAGAGAGATACGCGGTAGCAGGCGGTCACTGCGTGCGGCTTTACGTCCCAGTATTCTGTAGCGGAACAGCCACCCGTGAAGTACAGATACCCTTCGAAGACGATCGTTCCGCAACGATGATGGAACTGGTTTTTATCCGTCCAAACGGCATGCTGCTGCCATTTATTTGTACGAGTATCATACATTTCCACCATACTCACTGCATCCTTAATATTTTCTGCCGTTTCCATAGCGCCGACGGAGGTGAACCAGATTGTACCATGAGGCAGCGGATAGGCCGCCATTGATGTCCTGCCAAGTACATACAGACAAATCAATAGTTATACTATCCCGACTAGTGACTTTTTCTATATACGTAAATTCTAACCGGTTATAATAATAGTAGCCCGCTTTCTTGCCCTCTAGAGTTCTCTCCATATCAACTTGGGTATGGCCTGATAAATCCTGTGAAACAGTCATAGCTCCTTCCTCTCTATAGAAGGGCAACTGGGATGCTCGGCAGATCTGTCCAGAATTCATATCATAACTGTACCAGTTAGAGGGAATTTTTCCAGCACCGTAGATTTCACTGCCCACCGCCACCACACAAATGCAGTCATCAAAGGGAGAGTTTTCAACAAGGGTGCGCGTGGCGCCGGTAACGCAGTCCATCGCCATAACTTCATTCTTGCCGGAAGTTGGCGTGCTGGCAACAATCAGTTCCCGGCCAACGGCCAACGGCCACCGCAAACCCGTTGGGATTCATTACTGACGCTTTGGCTTTCAGTGTATGGTATAGAGGCATGGTCTGTGTATATAATAGTCCGAATTCCTGTATGAAATTACTAAAATCCCAGCGTGACGAAAATTTAAGCGGTGGTGCGGGTCTCTAATACACACTCTGCCGTACTGGCAGAATGCACACACACTCTGCTGCAATGACGCAGCGCCTCATGACGTTTTTCAATTTGATTGCGTCGTACTCTCCAGTCTTTCCGATCCGGTAGATGTTATCTTTGATTCCCAACATTCTGATTTTCGTTTGTGTTAAAACTTTTCATTGAGCGATAACAGTGATTTAAATGGTTAACCTGAATAATAGTACTTGATAGTTAAGAGTATTCAGCAGTTCAGTGAAGTATTCATTGTTGATCGTCACCTCTGTACTTGCAAACACTCTAGTCGACAACACAACAGCATTGTCTCTGCGGACCCGAGCCTCTGTGGCAGCGATTATCACCCCAGCAATGTAATTTGACACTGATTTTTCTTAACACATTGGACACAAAATTTCATCGCATTAATACATGTTTACTTTTAGCCTTCTGACGTTCCAAGTGCCAAACACTCATTCGTTAACTCCACAGCTATCAAAACAGAGTAAGTGCGCAACAGGTATATCAGTGGTTCTTGAACACATCCGTCCGTATTTTGCCCTTTTTCTTCTTCGTGCTTGCACGCTCAACCCCTCTGTATATCAGAGTTTACGGTTCACACACGAAAATGCATGCATTTTCGTCTGTACCTGAGCGAGCAAACCAGAGAGAAGGGCATTTTCATTTTTTTCAAAACCACGTGACCAAAAAGCACGGGGGAGCAATTACGTCATTATCTGTACGTAATAATAATACGTAATAAGTGATAATTTACTAATGAGACGCATGTTATGATACGCATACAGTAAATCACCCCCCGGGCACAGTTCAATGCCCGGCATAAATATTTGAGATAATTTTTCTGAAATGGTGATGTTTTATATCAAACAATTTGAGAATACCGAATATGAAAATTAGTTGCCTAACAATTGCAAGGACAGGTTTAAAAAATCTTTTAATTGTGAACAATTTATGTAGAATGGCCTACCGTATTCCGAGAATCCCTGAAAAAACAAAGGAAGAACTGGAGGCAGAATTGAATGCGCTGAAAAAAGACCGTAGCAAGGATTTAGTTAGACTGGCCGAATATAAAAAGCGAACCCGTGAACTCACTCATGAGAACATTCTGTATAAACACCGCTTGACCGCCAGCAAGGTCACCCCGGACGAGGTTTTGCTGACCTTTGAAAACCGGGAGACCTGCGACGGATTGATCGAGTATTATTCCGAGATCTTCGTGTCACTCTTCGAGAAACGGAATAAGCTCACTCCCATGTCTAAGGCGCACGCGTGTTGGCGAAGGCAGGTGGCAGACTACGTTATCCCTGGAAACCTGCCATCCGATTTTCGCTGCCTTCTAGACGCTCCCGGACCAGTGTATCCCCAGTACGTGTCCGTTGAGGAAAAAGAACGTCAACAGAACATGAGATGGGGATTTTTACTAACTGTTCTAGATGATCGCTGTACTAATTTCGATGTTGCGCGCAAAGAGTTCGATAAAGAAGAAGAGAGTACAACTGAGCTCGCTATAAATGGCATAGGATCAGAAATTGTTGCTAAAGTGAAGATTGCTTGTGTGAAGCTGGCTACTGAGCGTGGTAAGAACCGTTCCGCTCCTGCGAAACTTCTGTGTTGGAGTGATGTACTGAAGAAAATTGAATAAAGCGTTGTTGTATAGGAAGTCAGCACATTTGTTCCTTGAAACCCCAGGCAACAAGTTGTTCGTAAACATTATGCTTTTATGTCGTATAAATTGCAGATACGATGGGTGGATGCCGCTGTGTAGCACCCGGTTGCTTGAACGCTCGGTTGAAGAAGCAATCAGCGGCTGATTGTCCTCAAATGTTCCACAGATTTCCTGATCATAAGCTCCATAATTCCCGCTTCGCCCTTTGGGCCTCTTTTATCAAGCAAGACCCTAGGTGGACTCCAAGCAAGAATACGTATCTCTGTTCGGATCATTTTAGTAGAGACGCCTATGAGGAAACTTCTTCAGGATGTTTTCGACTTCGACCAACAGCGGTACCGTCTGTATTTTCGGAAAATAGACCGGTTCCACTAATCCAGGAGCAGTGTCCTGCAGTCTTTGAATCGAAGCCTACAGAATTATTAAGTGCGGACAAACGCCCGCCGTTGCTTATTGGTCGCGGGAAGCGACCAATAAATTCGTCCAGCGAAATTATTCGAACGGAAAAAAAGCAGAATCTGAACGACAGCGTCAGTGAACTCAACGCTAGTTTTGGAGGCCTTTCTACGGTGGATCCTGTCCATGAGATCGCTCTTGATTTAGTGAATGTGATCTTCACCTTCGAAATGTTGGAAAACAATTTGGATTTGCTGCGTCTTCCTCTATTTTGGACGGCATACGTGGTACAGAAGGGGATGGCTGTGGTCATCGCTCGTGTCGATCCGGCGACATTTGAGAATCTTTTCACCATCGGCGTCCACAACTCATTGCAAAGCACGGTTCGCGTACGTAACAGGCTTTACACAGGAACTGAAATTACCGTGCCAGTAGTTTCCAGTTTTCAGCAAATTGTCGACTTATCGTTTACACTGGAGACCAGCACGCTGTGTCCGTCATTCGAAACAAGCTCAGCCTGCGAGCTTACCTATTTGGGTAAGAAAGCCTGCTGCTTGTCGTGCAAGGAATTTCGGAAACGATATATTTCCACTGCCAAGTATGTAAAAAGCCTACGAACGCGCTCTGAATCGGCTTCTAAAGGTCAAAGAGCTTTGAAAGCGCGAGTTTCTCGACGGGATTCGAAGATCCAGAAGCAAGACGAAGAGCTCGAACGTCTGAGGAGTCTAGTAAAAGAGCTTGAAGAATCTAAAATAGTCCCGGAAGAGTCCAGTAGCCTTTTGACGGAATTTGTAGAAATTTCCCGAAAGAATAAGCACGATCCCACTAAATATAAGACTGATTACATGGATTTTGCAATTCGGCTTTATTACTACAGCTCAAGGGCATACAGATTTTTGCTCGGTCGCGGAGTTCCGTTACCTCATCCTGGCACAATCAGAGTGCGCGTTTCTCGTTTTTCCAAAGATACGGGTTACGACAAGCTCAGTATTCACTGTGTCGAACACTGGGCAGAAAGACAACCTGAAGGCGAACGTGATTTTACACTGACGTTGGACGAGATGAAGCTGAGCAGAAAAAATAGTCGGTACGTGCAGTCAGAGGATCGGGTTCTAGGAATGGTGGATTACGGGAAACATAACGCAGACCTTTCGGAAGAGCAGTTGATGAAACCAGCCGACCACGCTTTAGTTGTTGGCATTCGAAGTATCAAGCGCAAACTGTTTCAACCGATCGGAATTTTTTTCTCCAGTTCCCAAACTCCCGGGTTTATACTCAAAAAGATTATCGAAGAAGGCGTTGAACTTTTGGATCGAACGAAAATACGGATTCGCGGATTTATATGGGATGCCGGAACTAACAACATGCAGGCAGTCAAGAAATTCGGGTTTAATGTAAATAAATACGACACTCCCACAGTTACGGTTAACGGCAAACCACGCTATATTATCGTGGACCCACCACACGACTGGAAAAATATGCGTAACGGCATGTTTAAACGGAACAAAAAAACCGGTGATGTCACCAGCCGACCGTTCAAGGTAACGCAGAATGAGACGTCCTGTTCCGGATTCTTTAATCGACTTCTTATGTATTTTAATTACTTGCAGTTTGTGGATGAAAACGGTACTCTTTACACGGATGAAAACGGAAGGGCTTTGTTTGTCGATTTTGGCCATTTTCGTCAGTTGTACGACATTGACACTCACGTTGATCGGAAGGGCATCAGGATGCACCACAAACTGACAAAGGCTATGGTCACCCCGGATGGTTTCAATCAGCAGAGGGTAAATTACGCTGCTGTACTCCTGTCGAAGTCCATGGCCACCGCGTTGAAATTGTTCGAACAGCAGCGCCTGATGAGCGGCACTTTGGCCACTCAAAAGTACTGTGAGTTCATGAACGGTTGCATCGATCACACAAACTCCTCCTACGGCGACCGGAACCCTGGACGAACTCCCATTCGTTTTGAGAATGATGGGCTCGAAAAACTTCAGGCCGATTTGGAGAGATTGCGCTGCTGGAAAAAAGTCGTTCCCAAGGAGGACCGACTTTGTGACCTTACAATAAACCACTTCGCCGTGACTATTGACAGCATCCGGAGGTTAGCTTTGGACCTGCTTGCTGAAGGAATGGATTACGTGCAAACCAAAAACCTAAACAACGACATGCAAGAGGTACTGCTTTGTGAAATATAATTTGCCTTGCGATACAGTTTTGATGTTTACGCCGCTGTAAGAATATAAACGATCTTGATATTTTTAGAGGTTCTTTTCTCAGTGTCGGCAGTTGGGTGGTTCCAGTAACAATCCGACAGTTGAAAATATGTTGGCTATATTCCGGATTTTATCGTGCCACAACATCCAGAAGGCCTGCGAACATTTGCGCACAAATATTGAACAGACAGATGACGCGTTGATTATTGGATCATTAAACGTTCTGGATTTGTCCGAGGAATTTTCCAAAAAACTGGAAGCCGCTAAAGCATTGGCACTGCTTTCGCAGTCTGAGCCCGATGTTCCGGAATTGGACCCATTAGTGAACGGTGCTCATCTAGATGACATTTCTCGAAATGTTGTTTATTATCTCAGCGGATTCACAAGTAAAAGGAAAGAGTTGGAAGCAGAAGTATGTGACTCTTGCCGAATGGAACTGTTTTGGTTGGATTGGTCGAACGGCACTCCTAATTTCGCCCAGTTGACCGAAATGAAGGATGGGGGTGGTTTAAACTTTGTTGGAAAACCGTTTCATGATTTGATGTGTAGCCTGGAGACAATATTCCGTGAACGTATTGAGGAAGTATTGTACCTTTCTCCTCGCCAGTCCCTACTGAAAACCGCGGAAAAATTTGCGATGCCCGATTTTATTGCCAAGAAAAATAGTATGCGTTCGCCCTGTCTTGCTGAGTGCTCGTGGGCTGAGGTTTTTCGAAAAAGTGCATCTTATTACTTTCAAATAAGAATTCACTTTTATGCAAAATTGTTAAACGACAAGGTTGGTAAGCAATGGTCGAAAAGTTCTGAGTCTAAAAAACGTAAGCTAAAAATTCATGCTGGGGAATAATCGATGTTATCGCTGAGTCTGTGCAGTGCTATTTTTTGCGCGAAAATTTCTAATAAACATGTCTTACGTGATACGGAGACTTGCGTGCTCGCTACGTTGCGTAGAGTTTACGTATTGCAGAGTGTGTATTCACGTGTGTAATCGTCCCAATACACCGCGCAGCAACCTAGTCACGCTGGGATTTTAGTAATTTCATACAGGAATTCGGACTATTATATACACAGACCATGATAGAGGGTCATTGGAATGCAGCGTAGTTAGTTCATTGCGGATAAAATCGAATCGGACAAGCTGGTGCTGACGCTCATCACCACGTCGCATATGAATGAAGAAGGCCTCCTTCGGAACGGCTCGTTTGAGCGACGCTCCAGCGCCCATGAAACCGCGGTTGCGATTTCTGATAATCTCTAACAAAAGAGGCTGTAGAGGTCCGTCCCGCGAGGAAGATAGCAGGAGAGATTCGATATCGATACTCTGATCCCACACAACACATCCCTCCAACAGCGGATACAGATGCTGCATTTCGTTCGGTGGCTTCGTGCGAGCACCATCGCATTACCGCCTGTCAAGTGCGAACATCAAACTGGCGAATAGAAATAATAATTACATCGTTCATTAATAGATATTCGGAGATATTAATCGGTTAAAACGAAACTTTGAAAAATAATAAAATGTGAAAAATATTCGTGAGTTAATTATTTATACTGCTGTACTGTTAATTTTTAATTACATGACGTTAATGACTATACCAATCATAAATTAATAATAAATAAATTTTGACAAATGTAATACTATCGTCACTTTGATATGTGTGCTTTACAGTTTAAAAATACACCAACCTTATAAACCGATG